CCACCTTGATAGAAATTTCCGGTACAAAGAATAAACGGGAAACAGCTGCGTGTAGAACCAACTTTGCCAGTTGAAAATAATAAGAAGATATATATCCCTGTGCTAATAACAGCGTCCTGGTATTTTGAAGAAGCTATCACAACAAACCCATTAATTATATATATAGATAAAGATGTTGAAAATCTACCAGTCGAATGGAGATTTTTTGGTAGAGTATGAGTTTTGAACTAGAAAACAATTTTTTTAAATTTTACCATTGCCCATTCTGTACAGCAGATCATAATCCCAGAGTTGAAAACGCAATTGCCTTTTTATTTCAGATTTGGGTCTGAGTCAATATTCTGTAGGCGCTGTTTTCAATTTTAAGTGAGGTAATTTGGGCAAACCACTAACCTTTTTCTACTTTAAAATTAAGGTTCGATTTACAGTTAATTTCTTCATTGTTTTCCTAATTTCTAAATAGCTTTGTGTGATTGTTCTATTTGCTAAGCAAATATTCCGTTATAAGTTGTCGCTGAATGAAAGTGAAATTTTTGAATACATATTACGTAACACATAGCGCAAATGCCAAATCTATAAAGGACCTTGAACGGAGACGTCACTTAATTTTTCATATTGGCATTTATTACCTCTAATGTGCAAATAGGTGTTGACAAAACTGCTATTTAATGTCAATAATCATGCGGTAATAAACGAGGGATTTTGGGGGCAAAGGTCAGTCGCTGGAATCCAATTTTAGGTTCCTTCCGTGACTGTAAAACTTGTGAATGCTACTTAAAAATACAGGTAAAAAATTACGAAAAAAAATAACGCAGAGGCCTCTATTTCGACTTCAAAATATGCAACACCAAATAATGTCGAAGATATTCATGCAACATTACGAAATTGTTTGTTCTAGGCATCATATCCATATAAATAAGCCAAAAAGCGTACCTTATTATGTGACACGGCTCATTAATTATTATATTTATGAATCAAATTGTTCACATTTCGAGTGTTATAAATACGGTATTATTTTTAAATATGTTTAAAAGAGAAATGATTTTTTAAATTTTCATTCACATGCATGGGATAACATTAAATGGGGTTTGAGGAATCAGCTACTTGTCAAAATCGGTTTCTATCAGGGGTTCCCAAACCGCGAATCCGCGGGTCAATTACAGCCTGCTTAACGATGTAATATGGCCCGTCGAAATCAAGTTGAAAAGTTTAACTCTTATGTTTTTAGCTTTTTGATATCCAGATACCTCCAATTGTTACGTCATTATCACAGTTTAAGCACGTGTATATCTTAATTATACGGAGCCGCTTAATTTCGTACGTTCTTTTACTGGTTCCGGTACAATATTTCTACCCGATCAGTTGCGAGCGAACATCTTCAATGGCGTACTGTTTACTCTATGACTGACCCATGATACTGCAGAACGGCAGAACTTTTCAATCCAGGTGGAACTTGAAAGATAGACTGTTGCCGCCAAGTATGCATGAACACAACTTTGTTTGTGGCCGGAAATAAGGCAAAGGGCGAGACAATGTATCATATTACTCTAAAAAATGACAATTTTTCCCTAAAAGTAGCGCAGTTGAAACAATTGCCAACTTATTCTCGTATTAAATGGTCTGTTATGTAGAGCCAAAAAGGTGGCATACATCGCTTAGTCTAAGAAAAGTTATATTACCCTGAGATAAACCCTCCCAATTAGAGCTACATAGTGCCACACAGAGATGCACATATATGTATGAAGATTTTTCATCTTATCAAACAAAATTTGAATCGTAATTCGTAATATATTTGAATGCATAATGCGGTATTTGTGCTAAGTTTACTGCAGAAACAAATACAATTTAAAATAAATAATTTTTGATCCAAATTTAATAATCTCATAATCTCAAGATAAAAAAGTTGAGACGCTTTAGGCTCCATGCCCACCCAAAACTCCTTTGCGAAGTTTTGGAATCAGTTAACCAAAGCTTATGTCGCTGAACCGCTGAACCACAACATAATCTTTAGTTAATTACTGAACATTCTTCCAGAGCAGACAGTAACAGATTAGCATAAAGATCTCAATTATATTGTGGTGTTCAAACAGAATTCGATGTTTTCAGAAGAGTGTTTTCAAAACTCTTCTAATTATTGGACAAAAAATTCATCAAAAATGTTCAAAGAGACAATGACTACTCAAAATCAAGGAAACGTCATTATTTTTTAAAGTGTACTTAATGTCAAGTTTAAAGTGTTACTTGAAATGTTCAAACATACATTACACTTAAATAGGAAGTTTACGTAAACAGAGTAAAGTAAGTCTTATCAGCGTCAGTGAATAGCAGTTGGTGGTCGAAGACTTACTTAGCGAAGCTGATGTTTCATTAATTATTGTCTTTCTAAATATTTGTCTATAATGTCTTTTGTAAAACCCATTACCGAGCTGAAAAATGTACTTTTATGAAATTTTTAGTCTAAAATTTCATACCACCAAGAAGAATGACTACAACCGGGGATGATTGAACCTATCTATGATTGAGTTTTCAAGTAAGAGATGCGAGGTGAATATTAAGCGCCAACTTTGGTTTAGGTGAACTGCTAGTAATAACCTATTAAAATGGTCATTCGTACGCGAGTTTTTTTCTAAATATCCCAATACACAATATGGTAAAACACCATATTAAAAAAAATGATTTATTTTATTTAAACAATAAAATTGGTATTTGTCCAAAATCAGCAAAAGTCAATTTTGTGGTCTCCGGGGGGCTATATTTAGTATGTAGAGAGATAGATAGATAACATATCTCTTTTGTTACCCTACTGTAATAACATCCTCGTCCAAATCCCCAAAATGTATTACTCAACTAAGCATTTTCAACATTGAAAGATGGCATACCATTTACATAAAAGACCAATGGGGCTAAGAAAAGAGCATATACTAATCGTATTTTGATCAAACAGGACATATCCATGGCGTCTGGAACAACTTAAGTTTGAAAATACCGCGCTCTGCGAACGATTTATGATTTTGTCGCCTTGCCAAATTTATTTTGCAACTAAGCGTAAAAAGTAGATAACGTTTACCCCATAACACTATATATACTTGGACCATGTCTGATAAGTTATAAGAATACGACCGCAGTGTGTAAACAACATTTTTGATGTGTACATCTACCGCCTAATCTTACGTATTATCCTCATCCGTTTGCTTAATGTATTTCCATCAATGGGGATAGTATATCAGGGAACATCACTTGTAATATTGAAGTAGGCCTAGTTTATTTAACAATTGCGTCACCTAAATTATATCAAAAACGTTTGCGTCCCAAGCCCGGGTTGGGGTCCGGTCTGAAGCGAGTATTTATTTACGACCGTTTTCAACACGGGTACACGGGAAAATTTGTTCAAATAACACCCTAATTACAAAATATTTGGTGAAATTTACCCAACTGCATTGTGATATTTTATCGAAAATGCTTTTTGAAATTTGCGAATCTGCGTAAGGTGACGCCCTGCAAAGTAGTATAATGTAAATATGATTCCTTGTGAATTGAGGATAACGCACAGTTAACGCCCATATGTAACCAATACACCCAAAATGAGCTTTCTAAACTTAGTGTTGACTTTTCTTGATTGCCGGTATTTTAGGCTATCTTATGTGACGTTATAACAAAGATAAAAAGCGCACACAATCAAGATAACGCTCTCATTTGCGCCGTTGTGCATACTGAAACCTTTTTTGGAATCACCTATGCTATTCTGGGTAATTTATCCGACGACTACCGGCATCAGGTCCATGTTTTATCGAATGTATTGGGTAAGTGGTACACTGTTTTGAAATGTCTAGTTGTAACCAACGTCATGTCTCGCGGTTAACCACTGGGACAGAGTGAAACAAAGAGGTAATAAAAGTACTTTGCGTAATGCTCAGACGTAGCCACCCACGGAACCGCTCATTTTTTTATGGCAAATTGAAAGTAGATTGCTTATCGTATGTTAGATATTTAAATTAAAATGTTCTGTTTTCAATTTACTCTAAACTAAAAACTTTTAACTCATATTGGTCATAGCTCAGCGCAGATGCCGGCTTCAGTATCCGTCTGTATTAGTTTGAGTAGTCATTTCTATCATATAAATTTGTCACTGAGTATGTTTAGTTGTTTGGCGTAAGAGCGTCAGCCAAATAGCACGCAAAAACATGGTACGGTAATAGTTTTGAATGGCAGATAAGCGCGGTATAAAACTCCCTTTGATCTGTGCAAATCTGCTCGAAAGAATACTTAGTAATATTAATAATATTTGAATAAAATAATGTTTTATCATTTCATTTTTTCGTCGAAGAACATTCTCTAAGTCGCCATTAGCTTATCGTGAACAAGCGATCGGATAGGCAATACTGCGGCGCCGGGTGTCTATTCCAAACGAGTAATAGTCGTATCAAGTGCTTTTCGACAAGGTCTAATCGTTTACAACGAAGCGACTTTTTTCTCTCAAGGCACGAGGAAGAATACGACACTGTCGCTGGGAAAGCGCTCTGTCGCGGCGAAAGGACATTACTTTTCACGGCCTTGTTAAATTGTCGCCATAAAAGCAAGATTCTAAAATTTGTTGCGTAGGTAAATCGTACTATCTAGTTTTATCGCTGAGTATAGGAATTATAGATAAGAGAACATGTCTTTCGTTTGCTACGAATTGAGGTAGAAGTAACATTTAACACTTAACAGGTATAATGTCCGGACTTGCATAAAGACTTCGGCAAACCGGTCAATGACGATCATAGAAGACAAAAATGTTTCATATGTCGTACTTGTAACCTATTTTCTGCATAATTACCATTTTTCTGTGTATTAGCAATTGCAGCACCAATTTGCGACCGGTTTGTGTATTGGTTTTCTGAAAGGCAGGATATAGCATTAATCCACCGGGGTACCGGTACTTCGATTCGCGTTACATTATATCATAATCTGATAAAATTATCATTTTTTCTGAAAGGATTATTGAATAATATATCCCTACTTAAACTCTGTGACGAATGAAAAACGAAATTGACATCAGAGAGGTATTAGTAAATCTTAATTGGATTACAGAATGGCCGGTGTGTGACACAATTCGGCGAAGCGTGCTAGTGTGAAACCGTGGCAAAAGGATTCAGGATTATATCTTGGCCTGTAGGCCGAAAAACGGTACCGGTGAAAATTTATGAAATGTCTGGGAATGGTTCGCGGTTAGATTCCTTCCACACAGAGTTGCTAATATATCTGTTATTTCTGCTGACGTGTTGTTGTTGGACGAAGCCAGTAAGAAGAATGTGTGCCGGTAAGTGTGAAGTGTGTATAACCTACATTCTGAATGTTAAACCGACTTGCCATTTGTTATGTTAGGAAGCATTTCTCTAATTAAGCATATCCTATATGTCTAAATAAAATTTCCGTATATCAAATTTATAACATTCATTCATAGCATATTTGAAAACCCTGTGAGACCTTGTTTCACTTGCCGGTACGCGACACTTGCTTAGAGTAAATGGCACAACTGCCTAAAACCGTGTTGGCGTTGTATATTCGTTGAAATTATTCATAGATCTCGCCGATTTAATATTTTGCCAGAGTCCACATTCTCACCCCGGTTATAAGGAATTTGGGTATCCGGATCCAATTTTTTTTTGGCGGGTTGAATGTTTGCCTTTTTGAGCCCATATCCTATTTTTAGTTAAACTATTGAAGCTTTTTACGTATTTATTAGTTAAATTATGATACATAACCTGTGTTAAAAGTGACATGCGTATCTGGAATTCTATTCACCGGCTTGAAATACAACACTGATCATAACTTTTACCGGATAAATTCAAATCTACAAATTGTTTTATACGAGTCGTGTATGGTTTGTTTATAAAGCGGCGGAGGTAGAATGAATTTCCATGCGGTTCCAAACTTGATTTCTCACGTTTGAAATTATTCTGTAGCGGCAACGTTCAAAAGCAATTTATCAATAGCAATACGAGTTGATTTGCGTTACGCCTTGCAAAGCAATGGCATACCAATTAACGAAAACGAAATACCGAAAACCATTAGGACATACTTTTAAAAAAATACAGAAATATAGGGTGTTATTACAGTAAATTTAGTTTTGCTAATTTTTGCTTAATATGACTGTTTTAAAAAACGTGGCCCGAACATAAGAACATAGTTTTTATGGGTGAAAAGATCCACATCTATATTTACTCAAAATATTTGTAAAAAAATAGTTTTATTTTAATTTCTCTGAGAGCGACGAAAAAATGTACCGGTATTTCAAACCAATGCATTTACTCAAGCGAGCAAATATCTTATTCATATTACAATCAGCTCACATGCCAATATAATTCAATGTCGCGTGTGTTACTGTGACTAGATACAGACCCATATGTGTTAATTTGACGAGATCCAGATGCGTTATTTGTCAAGAATAAATTTGTTTCCGTGTGGTCCCGAGACCTAATTTATAACCGATTTTGAACACAGACTATTATAAAATAATGTCCTATTATTGACTTCAAAAAATATCATGTGATATAATATTCCATGTGTTGAATGTAGACTACAAGTAAATGAGATATTAGTAGAGGTCGATTTTATGTAGCCCTAGTCGAAGTTGTTGAATTTATAATATCTTCTCCAAATTTTCCATTGTTGTTACATTTTGAGATTTCTATTAAATGTTATTGCATTAAATTTAAATTATATATCAATTTTAATTAAAACGTATTGGCCCATTTTTATTTCTCGAAAGCAAAATTTATTGAATTTATAGATTACAAAATTATTATTATATGTACACGAGTTTCTTGAAACTCTGAAATCCGTTCGTTGCAATTTTAACAAATTATAAATGTCAATTTAGAATAATATGACGGATTTCGATTATGTCCAATTTATTTACTTATTTGATTCTCCAATATACCAAGAACTTAGTCGACAACTGTTATATTTAAAGATATGCTTGATGGAAACCATTTTGAATTAAATTATACATCCATAAAACCAAATAAATCTCATTAAGCTCAATTAAAATTCATAAATTCGTCTTAATGGTCATTTTGCGGTAATAAATTGGTAAAATTTCCTCAATTAAGTGTTTATGTGCTTACTTATTTGTTGAATTGCCAAATAAGGACATAAGTCCCATTATACAGACAGATAAAGCTTACTAAATAAATAAAATTACAACTTCGGACAATTGGGATGTATGAGATAGTGAAATCCGAGCCCAACTTTCCGTTAGTTTAGTGTCTAATTTTTAGGAACTATTTAATCTATGATCAAGTATAGCACAGACTTTAGTGTACCATAAATCATATAAATCATGCTTGGCCAGAGTTAACCAAATTCGATGATTGATTGACGACAAGACGGAGATGAGTCATACAAATGCAGTAGTTCTCACAAATAGTAGGCGGAGTCGAAAATTTGTATCCGGAAATCGCATTCGGAACTTCCTAATACGTCATGTCGCGGTTTTTGTTTGCAAATTGGACACAGAAAGCTACCTTTGTTGCTATATTGATAGTATATTGAGTAGGGGAAAAGACACTTGTCTAAACCCCGTCAGTATTGTATAAAGCACTGTAAACAAACAGCGTTCGAAAGAGGTTTCAATTTATCCAAAATGACGTAAAACCTGCTGTTTTACACAAAATGAAATTATTTCTAAATACGCCGGGTTTTGGCCAAGTATTTTATCAATTTATTTCGTACATATTGGTTTTATATGGAAGTGACCATTTTGGAATTCTTTGCCAACTTTGGATCAATCAAGGAATTTGAACGAACCAAGTCGATGACGTTAATATAACAAACATCTATATTTATAAAAAAAAATAATTTACCCATAATAGATACATTCTTCATTATTATTCATGCTCTTTCTCGAGAAAAATTGGGAATGAAACACGACCAAAATCTATTTATCTACTAATTCGAATAAGAAATACATTCTGAATTGAAATTTTCGAATATGGAATATCGAATATATTCTAAATTTTGTTCTACTACTCATGGAAGTAAAAATGCTAAATTGATGGAATTTGGAAACGCGATAAAATTAAAATAACATTGATTCGATTGGTTTTCTATTTTCTTACAGTTCCAAAAATTAAATGAAGCCATTTTTGTTCATACTGGAAGATTTCTCATGATAATATTTTTCGAATGAAACTATTTTAAATTATTCCAGGATTCAAAATATCAAATATAATAAATTTTTTATTGATTCGAATATGCGATTCTTTCCGAACAGAAAAAGAAGCAATACATCGAATACTCCTCCGTCAATTAATCGTATATTTTTCCCGTTTCCCATACCGTGAGAATGTAATTTCAAAAGTAGCATCCCTTTGTTGTCAAAATGTAGTCAGCGTTCGTTGGTATTGGTGGCAATACAGTCAAAATGTTTCAAAATAATCGTCGTTTTAAACATACTTTGCTGGATTATCTGCTCCAATTAACTTTCATTAGTGTCCTAATGACGGAGTAATAGCCCCTATCCGTCATTGTGCTGCGTCATACAATTTTCGGAATTCGCATCGTGTGTGTTATCAGGACAAGTGCCAATGAAATTAACGCAAATTAAAAATTAGTCAAATAAGTGTATACTGGGGAAAAATTACAAAATATTGTTATTTGTGGTTGAAGCGTTGGCAGCGGTTGAACTTGGTGAACTAGGTTTAAAATCTCAAGTTCACCAAGGGTGTAATAAATTGGTTAGGTAATGCACAACCGGAAAGTGTTTCCGGTCCATCCGAATAATAAAAGTTCTTAAATATCGGAAGATATCAGTGGAAGCTTGTATGTGGAAATGTTCGGAGTGAAAACTGCGAGTAAGCATCTTAAAAACAATTAGTCTTTTAGGATAGGATAGGATTTACATATTAATCTCGGGGGAGAGGAAAGCCGATAAGACGGCTTAACCATATGGCGACCATTCCTGCACTAGCCGCGCGCACAGAGACTCTTTCGGGGTAAGACTATAAAAAATGTACAAAAATATCCTGGCGCCGTAAACGAAACTACAACACTTACAAAAAATAACGATTGAACATTTATAACAGTCGCCCAATAGTACGGGTTCTGAATTATTCTCTTATTTTTGCGTCTTATTGAAAATTTGAAATATCGTGTCGCGTTACCAAACACCGATAAATTTCCTTTGAGATTATATCTATACAAACAAAGACACTCAACTCAAATTTTAGAAAAAATACAGAATGCCACTTTTATTTACTTTATTTCCAACATCGTCCTCCTACTGTAGAATCGTTGACCCTTATCAAGCGTTATTCTTCTGGACTGTAGTGTGGGATACTCATATCCACGAATAAACAAACAAAACTGGACAATCGCTGGACATAAGGGCGTCTCTTCGCTATTTTAACGTAACCGTAAATATGATCAGGTCACGAGGTTGTAGTTTTCTAATTTTGGCGCGAAAATACACTGTTTGAGTTCATTCAAAATAATGTTTATGGTATTGAATACGAAGTGTACATATGGTTCGTTTTGCTAAATTGTTATCGGGGTTGATTTCATTTACGAATTACAAATATGGCCGAAGCCGCAATGGACTTATCTTAGTAGGGTAATCGTATCGGCTTTGGTTATGTATTATTCTATTTTTATTTATTCGAGGCACATATGTGTGTACCGTATCCCGTTGTATTATGCTCATGTCTAACTATTGACATACTGAAAAGTAGGAACCTTGAACTGCGGTGGGCATTTGGATAACCACCATTGTTCAATACCACACTGTTTTCAATAAAATAGATTTTAAATATAGAAGTAGAGTGATTGTTGTGGGTCATTATTTAATATATTTCACCATTTCCACAAAGCCCAGGTGCTGTCGTCTATACAAGAATTACAATACAAAGAGCATTATCGTAAATTGACTTTTCCGTGAACGACCAAGCATAGTTTGTTAATAACGGTAGGATTTAATTGTGTACCACACTTGTAAATTATAGAAAGACACTCGAGACATAATCCGCCCCATCTGAATTTATCCTTTGATGTGTTGGTTGGCGAACCTGTTATAATTGTCATTGTTGTCTTGAGATTTCCAGTGGATTTTACTATCCATTTTTGGCAGCATGGCTTGTCGTGCAATGCGCACCTGGGCTTTACCTGACCGGCGACCACATATGGTACTATTGAGGAAATTAATTCCCGAACTGGAATTGTATAAAATATTTTAATTTCGTTATTTTTTTTCAAATTAACCACGTGATTTGACGCCTACGTCATATTTATTTAGTTTGTTTTAAGTAGTCAAAAAGGCGCCACGACTTATTTTATTACGTATTTGCGTAACGTTTTACGATTTTGAAACGGAAAAAGGATGCGTTTACAATTCACATTCCTAATTAAAAAATGATAACAAATTTTAGTATTTCAGCGTAAATCAAATGCCGCACTTTCAAAGTTTAGCAGTATAGGCGGTTTGCCAAGCTTAGGTCTTGCAAATATATTTTATATAACAATCATCATCATGTTTTGGGTATTATTTTATGACTTTTTTTATTAAAATTCTCGTTCTATAAACGTGGCGTCTTCTTTTCCGGATGTCGTTTCGTAACAATTGCCGTTAAATTGTATGTGGATGTTTCGGACTATAATTGTGATCACAATAAAATGTATATACTTAGTCTATACATGGCCATGGATTGATTATATATGGCCACTAAAACCGAATATCAAAATATCAAAAATTGACGATTTTAAAACCGGAAAAGGGAAATCACGAAATTTTGGTTGAAAAAATTTAAGGTAACAAAAAGGTTATCCAAACACGTTCAAACAACTGTACCGTGGTTATAATGAACCCGCATACTATTTCGGATACATGGATAACAAAATTTTATCATCCATATAAAAATTCTTTACTTGGCATCTAAAAACAATTATAATATGGAAAAAAAATTTTCACCGATTATGTGATAATTCAAGGCTCGATAATTTAAATGAGGATAAAACTGGCAGAATCTGACCGTGTGTAATTATTAAAAAAACACAAGAAAACGAAACCTTTAAAATGCTCCGATATCATATTTCGATCGATGCCGATAAATATCAACAATATTATCTTAAATATTTAAGAAGAGACTATCACTATACTATTGATTTATAAAATATTTACGCCGTAATATGACGTAATACGTTGGTGATGTCATTTTTAACACCGAACATTATCAAAAAAATTTACAATATTGCACCTATTTTATGCGCACTAGTGGATGCAAAATCTGCAAAATTTCTTTTAGAATATATAGGTCAGAGTTATTCCCATATCTGTATACACGCGTTTCCTTCGGCGGTTTTTAAAGCCATCCTACCAGTTAGTGTCAAATATACATAAACGAGATACGATACTACGAAGGCAATTGAAAACAAATTTTAAAGTCTATTTGTCTACCCTAACGACTGTTTCGGGATATCAAAGACAAAGTACCCACACAAATGTCGACAAGCACCGCGGGGACACGAGAGACGACACACTCATCGCCGCCAGCTGGGGCCACCTAGGTCACAAGAAAGTCTCATATAACAATGAGACTATTTACCAAAAAAGGAAAAGCTGGCCCATTCACAAAAACCTTTCGGAAACACTTATACCGTATCTCGAAATGGTTGTCGCTAGTATATATGTTTAAATTAGAGACGAGGTTTAGATCAACAATTGCCAACCGTGGACATAATATATTTCTATCTATTATCTGTGATTTATTACCACCTTAAGCTTGTTCGCTTTAATGTAAAAGAACAGTAGCAAGTACTCGATTGCTAATGAGTTTAAGGATGCCAATGAAAGTTTTATAAACTTGAGCGTGGTGTTCGTCCTAATTATAGTAGACAAGTGTATCAGAATGTTGACACGAAATTGAATGTTATTTCGATATATTTTGTTGCAACTTGTTTATCAATGCCTAATGTTACATAAAGTTTGACATTAGCTGTGATTTTTACTTCCAAACTGTTACAAATTGACCAGCATATTTTTCAAATTTTCCAAAGTTGTCTGTTTCAAATATTATTCGTTTTGTATAATTCAATTCTTTACATATACTACTTGGATTGAACCAGGCTTTAGATTAAATTGAGGCTTACAAGTTACAATGCAACCTTGCATTCTGTTTGATTTTGTACAATATACAAATACAAGGCACTCATTCTCGAATGCTTTTGCATTTGAATATGGTAATAAATACTGGTTCCATCTTGAATTTGTTTTCTAGAGTTTGAGTCCCTGTTATCAGGCCCATTTTTACACTTGTAAAAATTGTAGGAGCAATATTTCACCTATGCCATGGATAAATCGTGTTATATAAACGCGTGTGAACTGAAACCCATGCTTGGACGAACATAATAGGTCTATATTCCCAGTTCCTGAATTTGTAAACAATTTATTCCCGTCGAATAAAATTTCCAAATATTGAGAATCATAATACGATAATCGTCTTCCAAAAGCCGATTATAAATATTAATTTTTTATTTTATAAATATCAAAATATTTAGCAAAAAGACAATATTTAGGTAGCCTTCTGGACCATAAATCTCCCAAGTGACACTCTGTAATTGTAACAAGCTTAATAAATATAGAATAGCTGTTGGCACAACAAATTTGATGGATAAACTGAGATTGTAAAATTATAAATTTTACCGCTTTAAACAAACCAATATCCGATTTAGTTGCCTTGGCCAAAATAAAGTGCTTTTCGTGGTTTATTTTTCATATCTTTCATTTGATTTGAAGATTTTGAGGGGTAGTGGGGGATTCAGAAAATAATAATGAAAAAATTTAATAATGTATAATAATATCTTTGTTGCTTCTATGCTTAATCAATCAGTCAACTCATCAAACAACCTCGCCTCAGAGCCAGTAGGCTGCGTCAGATTCTCATTATTTTCATCGCACCTCACTGAATTTATGAGGTTACTTTTTAGAGTTAGGATGTGTAAAAGTGTGAAATTGTAATCACCAAATTATATGTTGCTAACTAATGTAAAGTCCGCGGGTCTGTTATTTGGATTTTTTTGTTGATCTGTGATATTGTATATATTAGAAAATAGATTTATCCTGTTAGTTCAAACGGATTAGAATACCCATAATCCTATTTTTCATGAAATTCGGGATTTTTAATAACGACATGTTTTGTACATTAACAGATTCTGAAATCAGAAGAGTTATAAGTATGAAAAAATGTCAGTTGACGGTCATTGTAAATAAGTCTAGTTTATAATCCCTATACTGTAGATCGAAATTATTATCAAAAATGCTAGCAATTATGACTTGCCAATGGCTAAATAATCGAATAAATATACTATGCATCACAAATTCTGCACTTATTCTAATAGAGAATGTTGTATTGGTTATTGCAGATATGTCGCTAATACAAAAAATCGCTTCTAACAATGTTATATAGTTTATTTACCGTACTCTTGCATATCGTCAGATATCAGCTGGTGCTTGTACGTTTCCCTGTTCGAAGCGGAAGGCAGGAATAACGGAATATGAAATTATACATAATGTGTACTACATTCTACTCTTGTTTTTTTTTGTGTTAGAGGTTGTTGCATTGATTATTCCAGATATGTAAATAATGCAAAACGTCACTTTTAACGATACCGTATATTTCGTTCACAGATTGTTTTAAAAATAACCGCAATATTACCTTTTAGACCCCGAAGCAATCGATTTACTAGGCTTATCTCTGAGTTCGACGGGCACTTTTCCAAGAGGAGTTGAAATTGTGACAGATGGTGGAAGAAAAGGATACAAGTATGTGGTACCTTTGGGAATGTATTCTTATTTTAATTAGCATTTTAGGTATTATTTTTTTGTTTTAATGCACTCGTTGAAAATGAAAAGAAATGGTAAATTCGATTTTGATGTATTTTTTTAAGAGTCATTTTCAATTAGAAAATTTCATGATAATTTTTTTGAAACTGCAGATTGGATATATTAATCTAGTTTTTGCAAAAAAATTGTTTTTTTCAAATTTAATATTTCATTCAAGATTTTCGATTTAATTTTTGTGATAGATCAAGGGTTATTCAACTTTTAATTGAATAGCATAGATATGAGTCAGCGATGTTTAAAATAATTTATTCCAAACGAAATTTGATTTAGGATAATAGAATCTTATTTTTGAATTAAAATAACTAAAAATACTGGTTTCTTTGATAAATTATCATTTTCAAATGATTTGAAATTTATGCCCAAATTTTTTGACTTATATTATTATTTTGATACATAATCTATTTATTCCCTTAGGTTACTCGAGAATTCAAAATGCGATAATATTTTCAAATTAAAAATATGAGATACCAAAATATTTGCATATTGAAATTTCATTAATTAATGAATTATACTAATTATTGTCTGTCCAATTTCCATCAAATCTCAATATTTTTTTACTTTTTTGTAAATTTCAAGCAACATGGCGGACATGATGAAGGGCGTATAAATCGCTGGATTATGGATAATTTTACAGAATAAAACACGAATATATTTTAGATTTGCTCCTGAATCAATAACGACAGGGATGCCAGCTTCAACAGTGTTAAATAAATGTAAATATTTTCCAACGGAATTTTCGTTCGTTATTTCCTTCAAATCATCCACACAAAGACTGGACAGTGAATATTTAATGACCCTTCTTGGTCCGGTGAGTATTACATATCATGACCTTTCCCTTCCACAAAAATATAAATATATCCCTAATACTTCGGAACTTATTCCTACAAGAAGTTTTCAGCCGCCAAACTCCATCCATTTATTGCCAGTATATTTACCAAACAATAATTTATGCCCAAAGTTTTTTTTGAAGAAGTTGTGTGAAACTCATTACCTCATAGCTGTGTTTCTGGTCGTATTGACATGACATGAGAGATCAACCTCCTGTGTTTCTGAGTGACTGTGCACAACTTTGCTTTACGTGAATTTCCCTTACGTGAATTTCCCTAAAAAATACAGAATATGGAAGCTCATGCAAGAATTATTTTCTGCAGTAATTTGTTTTTTTTTGGTGAAATTACTAAAATTTAGCCTTGATTTAATCGATTAATTACAATTCTTTTTAGAATATAAATTATCAAAATTCAGATTAAAAAAAAAAAATTTAGGATTGTAATTTTTAGAAAAAAAATTTTGTGTGAACAATAACCCTACTTTCAATTCGTTGTAAGTGTAACGCAATAAATTCAAAAAGATTCTTTTTGTTAATTTCAGTTTTGTTTTTAGGACAGAGAAACAATACTAATGGCAATACGAACAAAAAAAGACTCTTTGTATTTTGATTTCCTCGACAAAAATCAACCAAAAAGACAAACAATAGGAATAAAATCTTCAATTCTATCTGACGGTTCTTGGCATGACGTCATAATCGCGGTATCGAATACGGATGTCACTTTCACCATCGATTGTGGGACGCCCTTTACTAGGTAGGTCGTTACAAGTAGCAGTGACTTTAGGTCGAAAATCATAGCTTTATAACAAGTTCTGGAATTGGAAAGTGTTTTTATAAATTCTAGTCCTGAGTATTTAGTCCACATCTCCGTGCTTATTAACGGTTGATTGTAAAGGACCTTTTTCAGAGTGAAATGGATTTTAAAAAATGTCTAATTGTTCATACAAGATTTTGCAAAAAAAAAACAGTCTGAATATGCTAAATTTAAATTTTTGAAACATCATCGATTTAATTATAAGATGGATGTTTCCCCGAGCATCCACTCTCTTGTTCATCTCCGTAACAATGGCCAATCAGCAAGAATATAATGGTGACGCAACAATTGAAAGTTTAGTATCCGCTCGGACACTTTGTACTCAGAAAGATTTTTAGTTTTGGTTGTAAATATTGACTCGTTTTTTAGCGTCATTTTCAATTTTTAGTTGCGTGATTCTGTAATTTAGCTACTACAATTACTACACATTATTAGTAATATTTAACCATCATTTTTATGAATTGTACTTTTCACTCGACCAGAGGCTTCACAGTTAGCGGCATAGGGCGCTTTAATTATGAAATATCGAATTACATACAACTCCATTAGGATATATAATTTCGATATCTTTCTGGTCGGTGTTTACGAACACGCGCAAGATGCCCCAGGGAGTTGAGTAACTTTTATACTCTTGATGTATAGGCCAAACTTCACGCGAGCGCATCCGCTGAATTACTTATCATAGAAGCTAATACATTTGGGACCTAATTATTAGACGATCAATGCAATCTTGGACAGGATGTTTATTCAATCTTTTGATGTGCATCGAAGCGTGAATTATTCTGCATCCGATGCTGGCAAGGTGCATGAACAAAAGTATTTTGTTATATACGATCTATACTTGATCATATCATAATCTAAAAATAATAGTAATTCTATAGGCTTAATTCAATATAGATCAATACACCATATACATATAATGAGAAATTCTAATTAGTATAGGTTTTTTTCAATAAGTATTTTCTATATTCTGCTATTATTAGCATTGAAGCCTTATAAGAAGCGCTTTATTATCAGCGTGCATTTACTTCAATCTGATGATAACTTACGGAAAATCACGTCATCGAAGAAATAGTGATTTGAGTCGTTCAAGTTTTTGACTCCAACTACGGTTCCCAACATTTAAAACAACAAATAAAATAATCTGCCTCGACTTCAATTTCCAACTTCAGAATTGCTAAATTTCACCCGCGAAAATTTTGAATTTTTTTGTTTCCACGAAAAATTTCGGTTTAGACTTGGTGTTTGGAATTAAATATTATTGACTTCGACACCCGGTGAATTTTATAGTACCACTCCGGTTTTGACTCCAATAACAATGAAGACCATACCTCAGTTTAGAATATATGCTTTACACAGCTAAAGATGAGAATTAACCAGTAAGAGTTCAATATCGTACGTGCTGAGTTACAAAAAAACATAACCCGTAAATTTCAATTACTTCTATGAAAATGAAGAGAATATTTTAACACTTGAACACTTGCCTATGATTGTACCCAAAACTTTCAGTAATCTAAAACGCTTTGCATGAAAGTTTTGTTCTATTTAGAATATGTGTTTTCTGTTCGGATCACCCAGTCATACCGATCGGAAATTATTTTTTACGATAAGTTTTATTGTATTAGTCTATACGTTGGTCTATGATCATTAATTCCAAAATTTGAAAGTTTCAGCCATGATTGATATTTCCTAATCTTTGAGATATGGTACATATCACAATTCTTTGATTCATTTTGGCAGCTTACTAATTGTGCTGTCTAGTATTGGCAAAACTCCTTAATTTAACATCTTGTGTATAACAATTTTCAGTGTTTTATCTGTTGTAGCACAGTAATTATTACTCCTTTGTGTTATAAATTGATTAGGCAATAACGAACCTTATAAATTCCGGTCCAAAAATGCTAAATAAATGCATCACGTAAAATAAGTTTGTAAAAACAACCAAATAATCTTTTCCCAGTTTAATTTTTCACATAAAAGAGAAAATTTCAGCGAATATTATAGCAGAGAATAAACAAATAAGCTTACTAAAACTTCAAAGTCCAAATTTGTTCTTGTTAACGTTGAAAAAAATAATGTCCAATAAAAATTAAAATATAGAATGCAGAAACTTGATACCGTTCGGAAGGTCTTGATCTCAGTGAAATAAATAGACGTTGATTTACAACTACTTGAGACGAATCAAAATAACTTAGCTAAGTATGAGGAAAATTAAAGTATCTATGAAAAAGTTTGGTTTATAAGGCCCGTTTTATAGATAACTCACATTGAATTGTTAATAATTTTTTTTCAAATTTGACAGTCCGCTTCCGTTGTTATGTCGTGCTAACATCAAACGAACCGCGTCACAACAATTTTTTTTTTATTTCCATATTATTTTCGATTTTCAATAATTTTTAATTTTATCGTCGATTGGCGTAATTCCAAGTGCGGCTCGCGAATTTGAAATTCTATATCATTAAAAGATTTCGCATTAAAATTTACTTTTAAGTATGATCGTATTTGGTTCGGATATAGAATACGCAATTTTACTTTTAGTTATCATTGAATTATACATGATCGGGGTATATTTAAATTAAAGTTCACAACGTTAGCATTATTTTCTATAAAGGGGATTACGCTATAATACTATTGTCAACCACTTACGGCCAATTTTATACTGTCAAAAAATTTGTAAATTTAACAGTATTGTATAGGTAACAATTGTCCTATAATAGGAAATACAATAATGAATCCGCAACATATGCGATGTATTAAATATTATTATATGATATCGATTTAAATTCATGCTTGTTTCAATATGTTCTAATTCAGAAATAACCGTTAATGAAAGCTGAATTTACTTTTATTTTTATAGTGTCTATAATAGCATTATTCCATGTGGTCAAAATTTGATGGTCTAACAACAATTGAATAAAAGGTTCCGAACGAAATCTTAGGTTCCAAAGATCTGGATTAGTGGAAAAGATTGATTTCGAAACACTTATGATAATAATTTAGCCATCAAGTTAAAAATAACAAAAATTAAAATTTGAATTTGGATATTTTGGCTTTTCCTATCATATGCCAAACATAAATAATGTATAAAATCAGGGACCCTCTGTGTTGTTTGTTATCAGTCAATATATGGTATGTTTTGATCTGCTTGTCTGACGGCTCGAAATCTCTTAATTTTTAAATAAAAAATTCAAAATTATTCCTAAATTCAATTTTTTTTTTGATATATGTATTCGAATATTTGATTCGTTTTGGATATCATTCCTGGATAGAATCTAGTTTCATACGAATGCTATAAATGGCATTATAGCTGGCCAACCGTAATCGTGATCCGTTCCAAAAACCTTAACCATTGTGCCCCTGCTCTTCAATAAAAGTGAATAGTTTTTCTTTTCTGCGTTTCCATCAGTTATTTTATACGCTATGTTTGATAATAAAAAGTCATTTTAGTAAATCCCTTACAGCCAAAGAATTGAACAAACCACAGTCAGTTTACTTTAAATTAATGCAGCCACTATGACACCTTTGCTTTGGCACCACGAGGACCGCTTCGTGGCATCCTCAGGAAATTGGAAAATCCCTGGTATGGACGATGTTAAAGCGGCGGTATTATACACTGACCTTAAATTATTGGTGTCGCAGGAAAAATATTTCAAGTTTACGACACACGGCCGCTACTTCACTTAGAGCGTGGCAGACTTAACCAGAAAACATAGCAGATCTATATGTGTACACATGTGCTTGCTTCGAGCTTTGTTAGCAGCAGGTCGTAAAATGTAAGAGAATATTGGAAACAATCCGGTATTGTTATTGAAATATTTATTTTGAAAAGAATTTGAGATTAAAGTAATTGGAAATTGAAGTTTTTGATTCGAAGTTTAATTTTGTCTAAGATTAGTTTTCAAATTATTGTTTTACAGTTAGTTCGCACTATAAACTTGACAAGATAATCTGTAAAGCGTCTTGTACGTTTCCGGCTTTTACTTACTCCTTTCTTTGAGTTCAAGTTAAAGGTAACCATGCCTTAAGCGTGGCCCATACTTTTGCCGGGCTTGAAAATTTTTCATTTATGCATGTTTCATGCTTGATTCGGAAATAAAAAAAAACAATGACGTCATAGGCAGACTGAGATGTGCTTATCGAAAAGGTTCACGAGTTACAGCTGTGTCGTTAGCAGAGCAAATGGTTGAAAATTGCACTTGATATTTTGGTAACATTTTTCGTTTTTGAGATATTACCAAGCGTGGGAAAAGGATAAAACATATTAAAACCGCCGCTTTTATTTAAAAACCGTGCTTGACCAAGTGGAAACAGACCCAGTGATGCTTTTTATGTTACATGATACGCTAGTGTCATTATGTCATTGTATATGTTAGCATGAAGTTTAATGTGGGTCAAGAATAAAACGAATTTTGTATGCTCTTCTGAATCTCAGGAATTTAAAATGTCATTATAAATATAGTGACAAATTTTATTTGGATTTGAAATTAAATTTACATGCTATTAAAATATTACGATGTCTATATACAAGAGAGCTATCAATGCTCAAATATATGGACACAAAGATCGCGCACGGGTGCCGATAAGACCGCAGCTATGCAAAATTTAAAATAACGTGCAAGCATGATAAAATAAAGTGTTCTCATACGGCATAAAAATTGTTCCCATATGTTATAAAAGTGTTATAGTTTTCCACGGGACTTGAGGAAATTTGAAAAAAAATCAGTGACATTCTTAAGTTCTGAATTTCCCGGAGTTGAAATTGCAGACATACGCCTAATTTATTTTTCAAAATTTGGTTTTCTCGGAGTTTAGAGTCGGTGTCGAAATTTTTTAAAAAACGGATTTGGAGTCGCAGCCTCATTTTTTAACCAGGAGCCGGGAGTCGGAGTTGATTCTAAATCATCTCCGACTGCACAGCCCCGACAAACATGCACATCTTACATGCAGTTTCATATAAAATCGGTTTATGAAATTTATTTCCTGGTCTTCCAATTATTATCGGTATTAGTCCGAAATCCATATCACAATGTTCCTGCGTGTAAGCTGGTACATCAAACTTGCGAGCCTTTTCTCGTTACTTTAAAATTAAATGGAAGGAGCTGTTTTTGAATTTTGAATTATATGCCTGAATGTGTTGCCCTTTGGGTCACAACAAACAAAGAAGCGTTCAGGATAAAAGCATTCAACGCTAACTTCTACATATGCAGTTAGCAACCACTTCTTGACACCCATTAATTTCTCTTCAGCTATATGTTGAAATAAATGCAGCAAATTTACCTATATTTAATAGTAATTCAATTTATTCAACTCGTTAAAAGGTAAAACTAAATTTACAGGAGTCGATAGATGTGTGTTACATGTAATACAATATTATTTCAGATTACTTTTATTTGTATCATAATTCCTTCCGCAGAAATAGTTGCGGTTACTTTATTATATTTGTACATTTACTGATTATTTTTTACAGTACTAAAAACCATTAAAACCAAGTTCGCTTCGGTCACTTAGAATTTAACGACTCAGTTCATGGACGGTCAACTTTATGTTTAGCCATTAGATTTTGGTTTGTCTCAAGCGTATTATAATCGGCCGTGCAGTTTCCATGTACCGAGCATGCTTGATATGAGTAAAATTTTAAAATTTTACATTCTTCTTAGGTCGCTGAAAGCTCCGTTTCCAGAAAGACTTGACACTCAAAACGGACATTTCTACATAGCTAGTAGAAGAAAGAAGAGAAATCGATTCACAGTAAGTGACAATATAAGGTTACCAGTAGCCAATTTCGTCCTATTGTTTACAAAGAGATCCGATTTTTAAAGTGAAATTTATAAATAGAAAACTCAAAGCAGTTTTAGAACCCGTTTCGATTTTTTTGTCAACAGCTTACTGACTACGCTGCTGGCATCGCTCGTTTAAAACCTTGCTTCAAGTTAAAATCTCGTGACTTCATCCAAATTTTTTTCATGATGCGTTTTCACTCTGAACAAGTCTCCCTATAAGGAGCTACTGGCTATTTAAGGTTACCGTGGTTGGTTTGAAATCTCGCTTTAAAATTTATTTCACTCATCCAGGACTTATTTTTATGATGCATTTCCTCATCTTCGCTCTAAACAAGTCTCAGTATAAGAAGTCACTGAACATGTAAAATAGCCTAGCTGCCTTGGTGTCGGTGTTTTAAAATCAAACTTCAAAATTCCACTCCCGCTTCCGGGGTTTATTTTGTTCAGAATGGTTTTTACCCCTCCTCTGCAAGCAGCCATTGAACATGTCAGAAATCTTTCCGATTCAAAATTCCCGACTCAGTTTTTTGAACCTTGAGTAAACTGGTAAACACGGGTTTCAACCCGGGATCTTCACTTGCCGACATAGTTAGATCTAAAGCGCTCTAACCACTAGCCTAGACACTAGCGCATATATTACATTGAGCAGGATATAAACTATTTTCCTATATTCAAATATGAAGATTCCGGCCTTCCTAAAATGGTAGCTTCTCAGATTCTTTTTCGGAGTAGATATGTAAAAACGTTTATTCTCTTGTTTCAGGGTATTCTTCGTCAGCTGAAATTACTAGCCGGATCAGATGCATCATATTACCTTTGCTCTACCTCGCCTTCAAAATCATCTAATTATCCGGGATGGATTGACAACACTGTTAGTAAAGGTACATGAAATGCTTTTTTCTTTAAAAGTTGGCAGAATTGAGAAAACAATATTTCGGCATGCCAATGCTGCTAGCAAGTTTTTCTTGTAGACAACGTTTGCATTTTTTGGCAATTGAATTGTGGAGTCGGGAGGAAATTATCATAGCCTCCGACTACCGACTCCGGGTTCACTCAATTTTTGACTCCGACTCCGGGTTGTAAAATATTTTGACTTCAAATCCAACTCTTTTCCCACGTTTCCGTTTTGTCTATCTCTATTTTATACGCTATGTTTGATAATGAAACCAAACCAAACCAAAATCGCAGGCGCAGTCGCAATAAAGTAAATATCGCTAATGGTAAGTAGTAATAAAGGCCTTTGTTCGTCGCCTACAAAGGGCAGAGGGCCCAGTTTAAAAAACCCTGATCCGAATTGAGACAAAATTCACCCTTATACCCGATAGCCAGAGAACATACTTGATTTTGTAAAAAAAAAATGGACGTTTTGATAAAGTGGCATTTTTGAGGATGAACGTTTTTAATGATCTTGGAGGTTACTTATTGTTAACATTTCCTTTTAAGATCCAAAGAATAAAGTTATAGAATTTGAAGAGGGCAACTCCAGACCTCAAACATGTGATACAAATAATAAAGGACATTTCGTGTACAGACCATCCACTGGACAACTCGAAATGTGCGAGGGAACAAGATGGAAGCGACTCGCAATAGGTAACATAGGTAGAAACGATTTATTTTAATTTTTCTTTCAATTTTTTTCGTGTTTATCAATTGACTAACATAGAAGATAGGTAAATTGACCTTGAATGTGTAACTAGAACTGCCTTAATCTATATTCAATAATCGACCGAAATTAATATAGTCCGAACTTCACGAATTATTCGTTTTTCAATTTCGGACTCGTGAGTTCGGACGTGAATTTTTGTTAAAAAAGCAATTTAATCACAAATATTCAAGTTACTCGAACAATTTATAAGTATTCACTTATTTTTCAAAAAATTGATCGAATACCCAAGACAAGTGCTAATATACGTTTATAGCTCCAAACATGACGTAATTGTTTATTTATAGAAAACTCTTAAACTCCGTAAACGGTGCTGTAGGTTTTAAGATGTTTAAACTGTCCTTTAGTTAACCTTACTCAATGATCATGATCGCCGCCCTGTCTGTGGGAAAATTCAATATCTTAGTGTTCTATTGTATTCAATTGTAAAGTAGTTTTTCCTGGAGTATTGGGAAATAGAATCATATATATTGAAGATCCAAAACTAACATTAGAATTTTAATAATGTAACATTGCTAGCTTGCTGCTTACGCATTTCCTCTTATCGAACATTTTATTTGCTATGGATACATTATTACACATGTTTTTGTAGAATGCTTTTGTTTTCCCCAAAAGCAAACGATAGAGGTTAAAAAGATAGGCGTAACGTACATGGGTTAAGTAAATACTTATGTGTATCAAATCCCATGTAAATCGTATTAGAGAGATTCACTTTCAAATACGCGCAAATTTGGCAATCAGCCGTAAGTTAGAAATGAAGATGGATATCATATAGATGCTCTCAATAGCAAGTTAAAATTCAGTGGTTCTCAAACGACAGCGTTTCCATTTACGTATTTTCAACGTGTTTTTTAAATTAAACATACTTTCCGATATTTTTAGCTTATTGTTAGCTAGTTATTTTTTATGTGGGGCGCGAGACCTGACAATTCTAAAAAGGGGCACAGCTTAAAAAGAACCACTGAGTTAAATGGTCTTTTTATATCGTTTTATCTAAGCTTCGTTTTGTTAATTTAAATTAGTATAGTTCCAGATTTGGCGACTTTAGAAAGAATCATTATATTCTCTTTTATTTCAGCTGAAGAACGACTAGACTACATCGAAGATTTTTTAAATTTAAAAACGAAAAGCAAAACTCTAGATTTCGAAGTATTTCGCATACCGAGCGAAGGGCAATTTCTAGCAGCTGCTAATCAGGGTAGAGACAGAGATATGGACTCTACTATATATAAATGGACTAACGGAAAATTCATACCCTATCAAAACATAACTACAGACAGCGCACAAGATTGGGAATATTTTCAAATCGGAGATGACGTAAGTGAAGTTGCCATGGCGACGATTGACGACACTTTTTTGATAAATTATTTTAATCTTTCTTCAATCATTAGTAATTCACACATCAGAAATATTACAGTGACGTCATATTTGTTTCTATGGTGATGAGTGAAGGCTAGTCATTTTCTGATGACATAATATGACAAATGCATTCACTTAAAAGATATGAAAGGCTTCTTTCTGTTTATGACGTCATAATCCTAATAGAATGATAAATGGCGACCACCCAGCGGTAATGACACTATCGAATCAGGAATCTATCTAAATTTAATTTAGTCACTTAATGTGGTTGGATATTGGCGGATAGCCATATTTTGTTTGTTTTAACTCGATCGCTCAGCGCTATAAAAAAGTAATATAACTAAAACTTAGAAAAAGTTATAGCAAATATATCGGAATTCCCAGTTATTGTTCTCTAAGTTTAGGTTTTATTTGGGTTCAAAATAAACAAACATTGAAAATTTTGAACAATTATGAAAAATTTGACTCGACAGTTTGCACATTGTGCTAAGCGTTAGAAATGCACTTGTCAACTCCATCACACTGATTACCCTGCCTGGGTTCCCCGGTTCGAATCTCGCGGAGATAACCGTCGCCGAGTCCCGTAAGTAATGTAATTACACAAAAGTAGTTAAGCAATTTCGTAAAATACATAGCAAATTGCAAGTTATTAGGACGAGTCTAGGAAGAATTGACAGTGCGTCATGAATCGAAAACTTGACTATATAATAAAAAAAAAATTACTACGAAATGCTATAAAATATATACAACTTTTTTCAGCATTTTCTAGCCTGCGCTAATCAAGGTGCAGATGAGAGGTCGCCATATGCAACAAGTACTGTTTATAGATGGTCGTCTTCAAAAAAAAAATTCATACCTCATCAATACTTTCGTACTTTTGCTGCTCAAAGTTGGGAAAGTTTTGAAATTGAAGGAAAACACTACCTCGCTGTAGCGAATTTCGGAGGAAGTCAAAATCCTGACGTATCAGGTAGGCGTGGTTATAAGACACATTAGCCGGTGATTGGCTGAGCTAGTCCATGCATTGACCTACTTAAATTTGTTTTATAGGTTCGAGTTTACGAATTAAAAGTTGGTTATATGAATGGAATCCTGATCACAGAGCTTTTATACAATATCAGGTTCGTATTAAGATTCTTGACTGAGGTTTTTTTTAAAAAAAAAAGGGGGGGGGCTCTCCAGAATAATCGGGAGTGCCGGGGATCTGGAGTCGGAGTTTGTCATGTTTTCATCAGAATCGGAGCCGGAGTCATATTTTTCAGATACCCGGATCTGGAATTCGTCGTCGATATTTTCAAATCCCTTTAGTCGAGGTCGAAGTTCAGAGCTTAAAATTTACATCAATCTGGAGTCAAAAGCCGGAGCCGGAGCTGGAGTCCGGATTTTAAGCCGGAGTTGGAGTCAGAATTTTCAAACCTAGATTCCGTAGTTGGATTTGATTGCAAATTTCTTCACATGAATTAAAGGATTTAATTTTTTACTCGCATCAGAATTTAAACTTTGGCATTAAAGTCAGTATATAGATGTGGTTAAAGTAACCAAACTGCGTCATAGCTATTGATCCCTTGTGGCTCACAACCGTAAGGAAGTTCTGTGATGTCTTTGGGGAAATAGGGATTCAGGCTTTCGAGTTTTCCCGGAGTTCAATTTACGACACCCTTTCGTCAGTGATTTTTAGAAGCAAAATAAAATTACCATTATGATTATAAATAGCCGATGTTGGCAGCCAAGATTCGGATTTCTCAGAGGTCGGAGTCAAATTTTTATTTACACCGGAGTCGTAATCGGAGCGAAAATTTGTTTCAATCCCTCGTTGAGGTCGATTTATACAATTACTCCTGACTCATTAGCCCAGACTGCTGTAGTTCCATCTGCATTTCCCAATTTAGAATTAAGATATATTTAAATAGTTTTAAAATTTCTTTTGGAAACACAGGCACTCAATACAATAGGCGGCGTGGATTTTGAATACTTCGAAGTAAGCGGGAGACATTATCTTGCTGTAGCGAATTCGTATGATGGAGACGATTCTAGACTCCATAGCGTCGTCTACCGGTGGGAATATTCAAAGTTCGTTCCACTGCAATATTTAGAAGTGAGTTCAGACTTGGTAACCTATTCAGTTACATTTGCATCGGTACATTTTGGTAAATTGACTTCTTAATAAAATTCCTAAATATATGGACCATAACGTGTTACTATGTTGAAACAGCAAAATTTTATGTGAAATTTTAGACTTGGAGGTCAAAAATATAAAAATAATGGTCGTTTTTTTTTGGAAGGACCGGGACCCTACTGGTTCCTCGTCGCTCACTTAATTTCTACACCCTGGGTGGGGTGATGGGCATGGGATTTGATCTCGAGATTTCAACCTGTAACGCCTTATAGTTAAGTCCAACGTTTTATCAACTTAGCCAGCGCGTATTAACAAATACCGAATACAATTTCAGACTGTGGGTGCACAAGATTGGGAACATTTTGAGATTAATGGAAAACATTTTCTTGCGGTGGCAAATTACTACGATTATCGGAAAAAATCGTATACGATCAATTCAACAATTTATCAATTATCGGAATCGGGGAATCGATTCGATAAAATTCAAGATATCCAGACAACCGGGTAAGTGTATATTTCGAGGAATATTTTCAATTTATTTCGAACATTTCAAATGTGAGAATTTACTAATGTTTTCTCCAGGGCGTTGGACTGGGAATTTTTCACAGTTGGAAGAGATTCATTCATTGTAGCTGCCAGTTCATCTGACAATAATGCAAAACTAGACAACATCATATACAGGTATGTTATTTTGCTGACGCCGCGTAGCTCCGTTCTTGTCTATCCTCCATTTTTCCCACTGTTCTGGGTTAGGGTAAATATATTGCGGGGAAAATGGTTAAAGTAAGCATATGAATTGGGATTCGTGCTGTGTTTTGGCCTAAGATAAATATAATAATTTGGCAGAAGGTTAGAGTTTTCATATGAAGTAAGATACATGCAATTGAGGAAAGTGTGTGACAGGTGGGCAAAGGTTAAACATAGGGTACGGAGGATTTGGATTTGCAATTACGAATTCGAAGGGAGTCGGGAGTCGTAATTGCAGACTTTTAAAAATAATTAAATAGTTAAAACCACCAAATTATTTATTTTACTAAACGTTCTTAATAGTCTATTGACTAAAGCTTGTATACACCAAAGTTTTCGTTGTCGAGTTTATTTTTCTCGGAGTCCTATTTGGAATTTTTCCTAACCTGCAGTCAGGAGTTCGAGATAATATATGTATGAACCCACACACGCTAATTTTGCGCCCATATATGGTCAATTGATTTTCTGTGTATATATTTATTTTGAGCATTGTCTCCCAACTTTTTTTATAATTTTTATCTTATTACTCGGAGCCGAAATCGCTAATTTTAATATTAATTTAAATAGTAGTCGTATATTTGAATTTTGTCGTTTAGTTTTATATCATCATTCGTTTTCGTCTACAGGTGGCAGGGCATGGAACACTTTGTACCTGTGCATTCAATTTCAGTTAGTCCTTCGTCAGATTGGGAGGTTTTCAAAACGGAGAACGGAAGACAATTTTTGATATCAGCAAACGTCAAAGGAAAAAATAGTAAAATATTAGAATTGATAACATATTAATTAATCTATTTTTGTGAAACGGACATATCTTTATTAGTGGCGTTGGTGGCATAGCTTGTGTAAAGACTTTTTCGGAGTGAAATAAAGAGTATGTGTCTTGCTTTATGCATAGTGGGTTTGAGGTTGAATCCCTGAATTTGCAGAATAATCATATTTAGATATAACGCTTTTGTGCTGTCAAATGATTATTTTATTGATAATACTATTTTACCTCAAAACAATTATGAGAAAACAAATAAAACTTGTTACCCAAATGAAAAATAATAATACTTGATCCTTGGTAATTCAAAAAAATTCGTGCAGTTTTCAATGCTCTATATTCATTCATAAATTTTCCTTTTATTTAACTATTTTTATCACCATTTTATTTCCACGTAATGTATTTCATTTCAGCATAATTTTTTTTTTTGTTCAAAACACCAATTATTTTGGATTGATTTTCAAGGTGTGATCTTACTTTTTCTTTTTATTCATCAATATAATTCACCACTGCACAGTGTCCTAAACAACCACAGTTCGCTTGGATTAGACCAGTGGTTCCCAAACTTTCAGTATCATGGAAATTTTTGGGACCTCCTGAAGTATGAGCACCAAGGTGGCGCACAACCTGAACTCAGGTTGTGTACCAAGTTAGGGTTCAGGTTGTGCGACATCTTGATGCGCATACTTCAGGAGTAGGCCTTCCCCTTTTATGATAATTTGCCTGATAATTGCAGGCCCATTAAAACGAGGGCTGTGGAGTCGGAGAATTGACTCCGGGTTAAAAAATATTGACTCCGACCCCCGTCTCCGGAATAACAAAAGGTTCGACTCCAAGTCAGAACTCCGAGAAACTTTGGCGTATGCATAACTTTTCAATACTGTTTAACACCCAGTACAATTATTTTCAAACGTATTTTATCGGATCCAGGAAATTCAGAATTTCATTGTTATCATTGGATAAGCAACCCATAACCAAAAAAGTATGAAATGTTCCATTCTGTAGACGGTTGGGAACATCTGACTTAGACCGCCATATCATACATGCCTAACCATCGACATTGGCATTAATAAAGTGTGTATTTTGAGCTCTAGCGTAATGAGAAAACAATGCTTTAATTAAAATTATCGCCGATTGTCACTAAATTACATGATAACAATGTCGGAATTGTAACATTTCATGTTTTTATATCTTGCACTTATTCCTGTTCAAATTTTACTGGTAACGCATTTCTAAGTTGGTCATATCAGTACGACCAGTGAGGCCCTTTGCACTACGTGATTACTGAAATAATATTTTTTTGGTGTCGTTAACATTATGCTCTCGAATAATGTAATGCCTTATCTGTGAATTTACCCGAGTCGACATTCAGGTCGTGTCGATCAGAGAATTGGTCTGGCTGTTAGTTGAGTACTAGTATGAGTTAGATCACATTTAGTCGAGTTGAGTCAATAACTGTATCCTTACCAATATTTCACATTTGTTGGCATTTTTCTCTATAACAGACCTTCCTAATGACTTCATGTCCGTTTAACTGAAAATGAGATACGAGATCACAGCTTGTGAAATTTTTTTTTGATTGAAGAATCAATTAGAAGGTTAATTATATATGTAATAATACCAAACCTTTTTATTACAAACATCTATCTACCTGTTTATTTCTTTCATTTTTCGTTTTTTTTTCTTATCGTCCACTGCCACTGTTATTTGAAATATAATAATAATTAATATTTTTCATTCGTATGGTATCATGTTTGTCATTATCTCATAGTTTTAATTTATTTTCATTGCATTCTCATTCAGCATATTATTATTATTATTATATATTTTTTCATTTTGTATTATTTTCTTACTGTTGCTATTAGAATATGTTACCATCACCTTCGAAAAATAAACTGTTTTGGTTTTTGATAATTTTTTTGATCACGGATATGAAATTATGGCACTCCGCAATAAAAGTGTTGATGCAAAGAAATTGTCTAATATTATCTATTTAGAAGTATGACATTTTTCTTCTCTTGGATGATTTTACAGATATAAATGCGAATTGTTTAAATATGATCAAATACATTGACTGTACTCCACTGGTGCTTCGTCGAAGACCTTCGAATGTTCCGCCTAAACTTTTCGATTGGCATACGATTTCGATTCCACCTGAAAACAACGCTGAAAAACTGCAAAACTCGTCGACGGGAATAAGCTTGAAAAAAACGGCGCCCGACAATGCCCCTGCGGTTTTTTGAATATAAAAATTTATTCTAACATCTACGCTACCGAGTATGGTAATTATTAATGAGCTTGTTCTCAACACCTCACAGCACTGTTCATTACCGCTATTTTTTCAATTATCCAAACGTACAATAGTATTTGAACGGTATTAAATCGTCTAATGCGATTGTGAAACATTTGAATGTATTTGCAGTATTCAACAGATTCTCAAGTTGCAAGCAATAGCTTATATTCTACGAACGGCAGTTGTCCGTGAGATGGGAATCGCTTCGATATTTGACACTTACTTCTGGACACACAATGTTGATGGCGTCAACTATGTAATTTTTCACAAATTCTGAATCGGAAAAAGGCTTGTTGCAATCTTGTGTGCTAAAACAAACTTGCCTTTGCATCACTGTAGCAGCCTCTTGGGTAGATGAAAACTTGATAAGTGTACGCGGTTGCTGTTTTAGCTTTATAACCATATCTGCTGCCTTGAGTTTCAGTTCTTGTGTCGTTTGGCTCGAAAATGTCTTTCCATATTATATTCTTTGAACACTATACATGTTTTATTACAAATTAAGCAGCCAGCTTTTTATTAAACATTGTCCATGAAAAAACACTTCTGTGTCCATTCCTCGTTAAAACACGACATTCGGAAGCCACTTCGCGTTTTTTACGGTTCTCCGAAGTATGCGAACCAAGATGGCGGACATCGGAACGTAACATGGGTAACAGGTTAGGCGATAATTTATTTCCAATTTTCCTTATTTTAGTCCTATTATCAGTTTGAAGACTAGCTAAGAGCCTAAACTAATTGTTGTGGCGGCTGTTGATTAATTACCAATTTTGATGATGGTTTCCTATTAAACATTTGAAAATTTCCTACCATCAAGGTGGATGGTAGGCGAGCAGCGAAGGGTTCGGTAGCAACGGTGGGTAGGGAAAAGAAAAGGACAGGGATTGATAGGCATGAGCGGGTGCGGGCTAGCGAGCAGTGTAGGCCAAGGCTACTCAACTGGCGGACCGCGGTCCGAATCCGGATCTTTCGAGTATTCGATTCGGACCGCGCCTAATTCTTTATTTTAAATCATTAGCCCCACTCTTGAAGCTTCCTTTTATAAAATCACCTTTATAGATTTAAATATATATAGTAGGTCGGGGTAGTTCGGACACCCGGGGTATGATGGTCAGTCAAAATAAAATCCTCCTACTAGCGACACCTCGCGCTTTTTCGTCGCTCAAAACGCATCGCGTGAAAGAGCGACATCATGCGAACAACGACAGAACCAAGATTTTACATTCCAGGCTCGACAACTTACAAGGCGGTGCTTTTTGGGGAAAGTGTGTTTTTGTTGGGTCAGAAAAACGTCAAATTATAGAGTCCCATGGTGGCGAAGAATAATTTTAGCCGGAAAAGTCTGCGAACTCGGTTCTATTTTGTTTATTTGTTGAAAGTAGTTGCATTAGATCGAATAAATTCTTTAGCAGACTGCCAGTACTCATATTTGGATTGGCAGGGTCACTTAAGAGGTAGGGTGGATTTTGAGTGGGGAGGGGGGAGGATTTTTTTCAATATAGTCTGTTGGGAATGTCAATGGCCCGTCGTCATCGAAACTTATAAATAATTATTTTTTGGGAATTAGTTCCCTTTTACAACAAAGATCAAAAGCACACTCATCGCCATATTTATATTGGGTCTCTTAGAAGTTAAGCCCGGCGTAAAATTTCATCTTACCCCGTCAAATTATTTTTTTCATATGCGTATAAAATACGCCCAAGGTTATGCCAAGAAATTACAAAATAAATACTTCTAGAGGTAGTCCGTGTAAAGAAGATATAAAAATTGCGGTTGAAAAAGCGCAAACTAAATTTTAAATTTCTAGTTTTCCTAAAACTGTTCAAGCTCTTTCGAAAATTGCCCTGTTATGTCCTTTATGGGGTAAGACGGACATACTTTTTAATATGCAAGAAAAGTGATCTGTTTAAAAAAAATTTAAGAGACATAATCCTGGGCCATCTAGGCGTTGACCGAAGTCTTATGACCGAAATCTTAGACACCATCAAGTTAATTTTGGTGTGTGTCCGTCTTTCCCACAAAGTGTCTAACTTACCCCGATATTTTTTTAGCTGAAAATCGGGCGTAAATTCCGATTCGTTGCTATGGCAACAATGTGCAAATGTGGCAAGATAGCTGGAGGGTGGGTGCATGAATCAATCGTAGAACGAATGCAGCTGCGACATTATTTGAAGAGTTATTCAAAATAACTTATTAGTGGGTCCGACTTCCCCCGACCTACTATATGAGAAGAACTATAAACGCCATAATAAACAATCTTGATTAGCTAATAATCATTAGTCGGCCGAGAAAGTGCGTGTTTAAGGATGCCGAAATATAATTTCTGGAAAGACCGGACCCAAACATTTTTGAAGTTTTGTATGCGGATCTTCGGCAAAAATAGTTGAGTAGCCCTGGACTGTAGGCAATGGGAAAAGGGAACAAGAATAAGAGGCGGAGTGCGGTGGCAGGAGGGGTCGAAAGCTAGGCAGAGGGAGAGTAGGAAGGTTTGGTGGTAGAGATTTTGTAGGCGCCTACGCCCCGTAGGGAAGTTTTGCCGGCAAGGAAGTGGATGTAAACAAGAAAATCGCAGGCGTATAAGGAATTATTTGTGAGGAAAACGGGAGATGCAGCGAATGACTCAACATATATACGTCGCTAGGTCTGGAAGATTCGCGGATCAGTGCATATGGTGTTTACTTGACAACATACTTTCATTATTAAAGCATATAACGAGATGTTGGAATAAACTTCACGTTAAATATTTAAACAAAGGCCCGTTTAGTATGGGTGGCCAATGGAGCTAGGCACATGAACGAATGAAAATAAGTAGGCCTAATATGCGCTTGTTTTATATAAAAATAATTTATTTCGATGAAACTGTACTTTATCGTAATAGAGCATTGCTTCATAACCAATGACTAACATACCTAACAGAGGTCGGCAACCTACGGCCCGCGGGCCGGATCCGGCCCGCGGAGTAACATAATCCGGCCCGCGACGCTTCAATGAATTATAGTAACAAAACAGTTTTGACGATTATATTTTTCACGTTACACAATTCATTGAGAGACGCGTGTAGACTAAATTATAATCTAACTGGTATAAAATTCACAATTACTCGTTTAATGAGCCTATAATTTAATTATAATTAGACGAATGGCAACAAAACGCACAAAAGTTGATGCTAAGTGCAAAGGGTTCAATGTCGCCGAAAATGCAATGCAATGAGGAAATAAATCTATATTCAATTCGAGAGATGTATCACTGCTTCATTTTCTTATAACATATATCAGCCGTTCGGTTTTCAACTCTCTAAAAACATGTGTGGCCCGCCAATGTTCTGCAACCATTATTTTGGCCCGCGTGCGACAAAAGGTTGCCGACCCCTGCTTTATAATATTCCAGGAAACAGTCTTCAGAATAAATCATCGGTCATTGCGATTTAATCCTGATAAAATCAATACAGCAGAACTTTGCGGATTATCTTGGCAAATGCGACGTATTCTGGTTAAGCTTTTATGAAGCAGTTCAATCGGTATTTGAATAGTTTTGTAGCAGTAGTGAATAATGTTTTCTTGGAAACCCGACGAATCCGCGTTTCCGCTCTCCATACGGCTGAGATTTCCCTCCAGTCTGCTTTCTTCCTGGCTCCTGGAAGGTTAAATTAATAGTCAAATGGTTGTAATATATATTCGCTTAACTTATACGTCCTGGCGCTGACCATTCCGAAGACAACCTCAAAACGCTAAAGAGGGCCGCCGCAGGAAACACAGGCCACCGCTGATAAATAAAATAAAAATCACACTGCGATGAGTTGGCACACTGTCGTGAATACTGGCCGGCGGTCGTCATCTCAGCGCGACAACGGTCTGTTGCTGTTCAGGATATTTGTGAGTTTTGTTGGATTTTCTTTTTACAGTGTGAATGTTTCTTTAAGCTTGAGAATATTTTTTTCGCGGTGGAAAGTAGATTACAATTTGACCTCAAATTACTGTGAAAAACAAAAAAACAAACAAAGACAGCGAATTTGAAGACGGAAGATGAGGTTGTTTTGATGTGCCATTCTTCCATTCAGTAATTTTTAAGCAACACGAGGCAGAATGCTGAATTGAAATTGTACTGCTGTTGACCAGTCCCAGAATTTCAGAAATTATATAGGTAGACTAAGAGTTAGAAGATTAGATAAATAGAATACTTTGGCCATAGACCTAAAGCAGCCATAATTCAGTACCGTAATTACTGAATTATAGAGAGTTTATACCGGTATTTATGCAGTATATATTTGAACTTATATTACATCTCCCCCATCTTGAAAAATTTATCATAGAATGAATGCATATTGCATTCTTGAGTAAATTGCTAAGCAAGTTTCAATTAAGGATTGATTTTTTCTTTCATTACAATATCAGAATATCTGAATATAGAGTACCGGGGTACTCGCTTTCTTTCTGAATTCTTTTCCAATATATTCAGTCATTACAAATCTACCATCAAACCATTATAAGAGGGGTGTTGGTCCATTTAATTAACTTCATTACTAGAGCTGGGAATTTCAGGGGAAACACTTTAACCGCTGTGTGACGTTTGGCGTAATAATTTCAGCTTGTTACCGTATGTCACAATGGTTATCAAGCAATTGCGCGTATTCTTGTCCCGGTCCTGCTCAAAATTATTCACGAATCGAGATAGTTTTATGATTGCTCTGTGGCAAGAGATAAACAGCGTGGTTCGGGCATGTGGAAATATTTTGAAAAACCTGATTTTGTTGTTAAACATCAGTTTATGTGACAAATTTTCAGTGTTGGATGTGCAAATTTTACTTAGAGATATATATTATAAAGAAAAACGGGATCGACTGCGCACTTGTTGTATGACGTTGAATATCCGATTTTGCAATGAAATCGTCAACAATATATTGTATTTCGAAATCGACCGAAAAATGATTCTGAGTTTATGATTGTAAATTTTCATTATCAGCAATCTTGGTACTTACATTATTTTTCACATTCATTGACCCCTTGCCCACACAGTTAGTAATATTCTTTTGAATTAAACACCACAAGAAATAAATTTTCGATGATGTAATCATATTTGACGAAATTGTACGGTATAAAGATGATTTGTACCTGAGATGTCAGTTAACGGTTAAAATAAATCGTAACCGTTAACCATCTAAAATCGGTTAATCATTCCCAGCCCTATTCATAACCATACATTGATGATGATGGGGGCAAAGTAAAGGCTGTAACACCTTAAATAACACCAAACAAAAATGTGATGTGAAATTTTTTTATTAAAAAAAATCTGCCTGGCGCGGAATGAACTTCTTGACAGACACGTTTAGTTGAAATCAAACCCATTCAATATTCAACTGAGCCGGTATGTCCCATGCCAAATAGGATATAGCGTTCTGCGTGAGACTGCCTTTTATTGGAAAAAATAAATATAAAATTTGGGCACTTACGGCATGTACTTTGTTAGACCCATATTATGATGTATATACCTAATCTTGAATATGGCAATTTTGATAATATAAGTCGCTCGCTTTGCGTGACACTCAAATATTTTTCAAGTAGCCTAAATGTATCTGAATGTTAACGTTTCCAGGCAATCTAGTAATGTTGAAAATCAAGATCATGATTGTTGATTTATTATTATGCTTGTTTTAACATCTATTATATTTGTATAGAATTATATAGTGATATTAACTGTTCTTGAATGAAAACTCATATAATGGCATCTTCTCGAATTACTACTATGATTTATTTGATATGTTTGAGTGGATTGTTAATAAGTGGAGCTTTTGGACAGGACGCAGGTAATAAAAAAAATTCGAATCTAACATAATTGTGAGGTATATTCTTCAAATGTATTTTTTTATATGATGCCTCTTCATGTATGTCTCCTAACAAGGCTCTGTACAAGCAGTGTCTTCTATGTAAGAAGTTATTTCATTTAGTATCAAACCCTTGGTGACGGGGGTTGGTGTGTGGACATGGGCTTGAAATCTGGGGTTATTCAACCTAAAATGCCAATATAGCAAATTTCATTTTGATATTAGCCGACTGGATAATATTTACACAGCATAGTATGAATTTCACAGATTGAAATATATCTGAAATAGAAAATAAATTATCATGTTATTTGTGACTTATGTTTTATCCTAGTTAGTTTTTTAAATCGAGGGGGAGGGGTAAAAGTACCAGACCAATATACTTGTGAATGAAACTATTCCAGATGTTAGTTATTTAAAAGTTTCAAAAAAAAAATATGCAATTTGAATATGTTTAGATTAGCCTTTATAATCCTGGATAATCTATCTATTCATTTAAATTAATGTTCACTAGCTTTAGTTTTATATTGATATGTGAACTCAATGATTTTCCAGACCATTTCAGATTGAGATGAAAATTGTGTAATATTCGCACTTGTATTTGCAATTTTCATATTTACTAACACTATTTTTGGGTAACCCGATAGCCTAGCGGTTAAATTGTGTTGGCATCGCAGGTTACACATCTTTAGTTCAAATCCCTTGGTCCCCGCCTCACCCATGGGGTAATGAATATGGTAAGCAATGCCAAACCGGAATAATTTGGTTTTTTTTTTTAAATATAACAGTAGCTCTATAGATATTGTTGGATATCAGTGGTGCTTGTATAGGGCCTTGTTTTGAACGAAAGGCGTGAATAAAATGTTGCATGAAAAATGCTATTTTCGTTAATTCTTTTCGTGCTTTATTAGTACCGTAGTTTATTTTTAGAAACTGATACGCCAGCAGGGACAGAAATTGCTACATCAACATCTACTTTGGCACCTGCAGCATCTACTTCAACTGTATCTCCAACATCAACCATTGCACCGACTCCAGCCACGGAGTCTCCTACATCATCCTCAACTTCTACAGTTTCTCCTGCTGACGCTCCAGAATCACCAGATGCAACATCTACAGACACCGCACCACCTAGTAGTACCACTGTAAGATGTTATTTTTCTTGTTGATATATGCCCTCCCTTTCATTAAAAAATTCAATAATTACGTAATTTTTAGAACACTTCTTCGTTTGCTATCTCACTGAGTGAGGTATAACAAGATATTATTTTATACAATTCGAAACGCAAATAAAGCAAATGTTAAATATTGCGTGTGCGGATATAGTTAAATGAAAGGGTTATCAGTTTTATGTAGACCACTGTATTGAAAAGTCTGCAATGATTGTATTTATATCCTTCACTATAGTATGTAAGCCAAAATTCTTATATATAAATAAATGTGCAGGCGTATAACTCATATAAATATAAGATGCATTGTGCATATAATAATTACCTCTAACAATTAATTATAATTAATTATTTCTGATTTACACACAGGATGCAAGTGTTCCAGAAAGTCCAACACAAAGCACAAGTAATACTTCTGATACAGGTATGTACAACTAGGTAAAAATAACTTGTTTGCAGGATGACCAAATGGTTTGCATTATGGACGGGCATCACAATTTCAATTCTCAGTTTTAAACCGGGCTGTGAAGTCTGGAATAATTTACAATCAACTGCAGCTTGGAACTCCGGGAAAAATCAAAGTTTCATAACAGAAACCATGCTGCAGACAGGCTGTCTTTAATTTTCTGTCAGAAATATTCTGGTTCTGGTTTACAAACCTGACAACCTTACGCAAAGTGCAATAAAATATGATAGACCAAACGCTAAATATTTTGGTCTGTTCAAAAACATACCAGCTTCATACTAGCTAGCTAGCATATATTAGTGTCTGCACATTTAGAGCTTTGTCCAGATTGAATATGGGATAAATAACCGTCTTGAAAATCAACTTTTTTTGGCATAATATTACCGTGTTTGGGAGTTGGATTTCTTATGTTGTTAATTCCGGGATTCTCAAACGGTTCATCTCAACGCCCTGGCGCATTGTTTTGTATTCTCAATGGTGTGCAATATTTTCATTTGTAACAAATAGAAATGACAGTAAATAGAGCAGGTAAAGGGTGCTATTTTATCAATTTCACGTAACTGCGATGATTGTTTACTAATAAATGACTTGTGCACCATGATATATAAAACAGTTATACCATTTAATATGTCTGTCTAGGTGAGGCAAGTTTTCCTGTTATGGACATCATTAAACGCAATTTTTGATCACGATAAATGCTGGGAAGAAAATTCGTATATCATTTCCAAAATTTTTTTAGAAAATCAAATGAATTAAACTTTTTGAAAATATATACAAGCTGATATGTGACGATAAAAAATATCACATACTTTTATGTGCAAGAGTCGTTATCTTTTGTATTTTTCTTTAGGTGGGGATGCAACTTCCGTAGCAGCGGCACCAATAGCACCATCACAGAATGGGTTTGATTTGGGAAGTTTTTTTGGAGGTTTGTACTTTTTTGCATTTTATTTTCATCCTGAATTAAAAGAATATTGATATATTAGCATAAAACCGGTAAACTTTAAAATAGCCTTAGGCGCAGGGTTTAATAACAGGCGTTTTAATTACAATCTGAAACTTTATTTTCGAATCTACATTTTGGGAGTATATTCTCGATTAGTCTTTGACATAGATTTGATAACACCAAAAATTTAGATATGCTGAACACTGGGTAAGAATAAAGAAAATTATTAATTTTATTGTATTATAGTTACAACATTAAAATATTATAAAAACATTTTCAATATGAAATCCTATACAGCAAAATTGTTAAAATGTAAAAGTATTCTCAGGTAATCATAGACTTCTTAGTGTTAAGTAGTGGAAGTTGCTTTAACTAAGTCATATAAAGAAAGAGGCCCATTTTTGCATTGAACACTTTCTTGATTGTGGATTAATACCCTCTTTCAGAGTAAAGGTTAGCAACCTAACAATTTACCAATATGTTGTTTTATATATCATATCCTGGGATCATTATTATGACAATTAAATAGAACTGGCATTCTTCTAGTCAAAACATATTCAAGATATTTTTAAATAATATCTCTTCAGTTGTGGAATGTTTTTATAGCTAGGACCAATATCCGTGTAGCGTCTCTTTCTTAGGGAATTAAAATGAGAAACGGGGATTATAGCAGTGTAACAATAAAATTGATTTAAATCTTTTGTGCAAGAATGAGTATAACACACTCACAGGGATACCAAAATAACATGTATTGATTAAAGGTTTCTCTTATGTAACACCATCTAATTTGCCTTGGTCATTTATAGCCTTTAGGATTAATGGAATACTAATAAGCTAAATGAGATATATATGCACTTTATTTCTGCTTCATCAATAGTAAGTCTCAGTAATCCTATAGCTTAATAAATTATGTGTACCACATACTTGGCCACACATTTGAAAGCAGTTTTTATCTAGCTTGAGTTATGTGTACTATATATGTGGGCACATATTCCAAAATATTTTTATCTAGCACGAGTTATGCGCACTGCATATGTGGCCACATATATGGTCAATATGAAAACAGATTTTTTCCTCACATGAGTGTATGTGTACCACATGTGTGGCCCCACATTTGAAAGCAGTTTTTATCTAGCATGAATTTTAGTCAATGCAATGTTGCTACTCTTTCGAACCCATTTTTCAACTTGATACATGTAATAGGATTGTGTAAGTTTATTCATTTGTTAATGATTAATATGCCAAAATTATCATTGCTCTCTTTGGCGCTCTAAAAGCTTCCACAGGTTGATAATTTAATTATAGGATAGTTCCGCTTGATGAAATATGTATGAATGCTCAAATCACTTTTCACTTGGTCTTACGGTTTTGATTTTGTTGCCTCATTGACTGATTATCGGATATGTTGCACAGGGATCCAAATCAAATAAATATGTTGATTGATTTTTTAATAATGATATAGTGAATATTGCTTTTTAAAAGTTATGTGGTGTTTGATGATTAAATTAATCACCTGCATCATAATTTAGCTCTGTTCTGGGATTTTATTTCTCAACAGAGTGCCTGGGTATTGATTGTAATTTTAATTGCATCTATTTTTTTTTATATGAAACTTATTCAGCCCTTAGCTCTAAGCAAGGCATCAAACCATCCACTGACAATTTGTTTGAAGCTAGTTTTTTTTATGGAAATGCTGATATATTTTAGGTTCATAATTACGGTTCGAATCTTGCCTATACAATTCATCACTACATGCGATTCTTATCGAACTCAAGGTAGACATATGGATCGTTTGGTTATTATGTTGTTGTTGCATTCTTCTTTTTCTTAGTGTTGTTGTTGTGAAAAAATCACTTCACTCTTTAGTAGACCGTTACTGAAAGGCTATTACTTCCAAAATTCATTTCAAAATTTTCTGTGGACTCTGGGATTCGTTCTTTTGTGTGTGATGACGACATCAACCTGAAAAAATGTGCACCTTGTTGCGATTCCGCAATCGTGTTTCGTTGATTAGTCGAGGTCGGGAGAACTGCGATACCATACATGTGAAAGATTACGTACCTGGACTACATTGTTTCAGCATCCGTGTCCATATATTTGAGCAATGCTCTTGTTATAATACGAAAATATTAAATTTAAAAAAAAAGCAAAAAACAGTAAATTTTTAATTTCTAAATCTTAACTTGTATCTTTAAAAAAAAAGAGATAATTTTAAATTTAGTTTATTGAACTAGCATAATAAACGTGGTTTATAATGTCCTTGAACTTCCATTGTTTGTATGTGATGAATCAAAATGTTTTTTTTTTCCCATGATGTGTTTTGTGTTACAGAGGTCCCTTGAGGCTTTACTCTATATCAAACTTCCTAATTTTAGCCTGAAATGTACAAAATTAATCAATTATTCAATTCAAATTGATTACATTTTAATCCTCTCTGTGGCATTTCTAAATGATAATTCAAATTAATATTCATATTATCATACTGTTCAAAATTTTTCTGACCAAACTGTTTGAGATCTTGAGGCCTTGAAATATATGTACGGTACTTGAAATTTTGGTGTGTGCCTTTTTCCTTACAAAAAATGTTACATAAAAACAGCTTTGCACAATACGTTACATTTTTAAAATTGAGGTTTTTTGCACAAATTCTCTCAGACAAAATTTAAAAGCTACCTAATTTTTATTATAAAATTATTTTTAAAAACAAGTTTCCACATGAATTTGTTAACCAAAATTTGTATTATAACTTCATGATATATGTTTATTCTCTTTCCAGACCATTGAACTGTAAATTTATTAATACTAAGTATTTCCAAGATCCTGTTTGTTATCACGCACGTTAGTGACGTGTTTATTTACAATAGCTATTTTATTCTATATTGTATGTTCAAGAAGTTATCTTGAAGTTACCAAGTTAATGTTTGCCAGACGGGCGGATATTTGTAGAAGGAGTGGTATACTGTTTTAACGTCAGTCGCCACATTTCGACTCACTGGTTTCGAGTAACCAAACAATGTTTGCTATTACTAGAATACCTTTTCTATAATGTTCTGTTCAGTATAATTGAATGAAATTTACGGTAGTCAAGTTTGGAAACTTCAATGGAAAGTGCTGCTATCTATAATTTAAGAATGGCAAAATTTTATTTTCTATTTTTGGTAATAAAGAATCTGTAATTTGCAAATTTTGATGGAAGTAATTCTAGTTTGGCCGCACTTAAATTAAACCACCAAATCCGTCAATTCTTATTTTGATACAATTCTAGGGTTACAGGATGAAAATTGAAATTTCGGAAATATATTTATCCGAAAATACGAAAAAATCATATTCTGTTTGATAACCTATTCAAATTTTGTGCGATCGTGTTAGAGTCATTAAAGATTACTTCTTATTCAAAATCTGCTTAGTGCTTACCATACCATTGATAGTGAATAACAGTTTATTTGTTACTACTGTATTTCAAACCACATTGAATGGGCGTTACCGTTTAAGATCTTTCCATGCTTTATGCTAGTCAATTGAACATAGGCTTTCAGAGGAATAAAGTTTTGCATCTTGACAAAATTACCTGTAATAGTATTCATAATGCTGGCTGCTGGAAACCATACCTCCTTATTCTGTTAAAATGTAAAAATGAATTGAAATGCTTCGATTTTCAAGTTGTTTTTCTGCTTTTTTTTAAAGATATTTTCTATTTTCGATGACAAATAGCAGTGGAGTAATGAGCTCATTTCCTGAAATGAAATATGCAATATATTTGAGAATTGACTGCTGCGGATTTATAGTGCATTTCCAAACCACAAACTATGATTTCTATGGTCTGTAGGGAATGGGAAATTCAGATATTTAGCTGAAATGTTATTCAAAATTATCACTATAATGGTACTGTTTACAGTCAATGTGCCTACAGAAAGAAAAAAATTTATGCTCTCTTCCTAAGAACTCCAATTATGTTGAATTCACCACGTCATAGCAGTTTTCCTGATCATACTGACGCAAAAGGCATCATGTCTTGCGTCAAACGTTATTTTTTTATGCGCAAACTCACATTATATTCCATATAGTGTCAGTATCTCGCTTCATTCCAGTGACTGTCTGTAACCCCGCTCAGGAATCATTTCCCTTAGAGTTCGACTTTTTGTTTTAATATTTTCTTGTTAGACTTTCTTACATGTGCAGCTGCACGATAACCAAATTTTTTTCTCTCGGCTGCCTTCACCCTGAAATGCTTTTTAATTATTTATTGCAATTTGTATATCAAGTGTGCTTTCAGTATGATGAGAATATAAACTACTGATTACTGACTGGTTCTGAGTGAGTTCTTGTGGCCTTACTTTGAGCAGATATTCTTATTAATAATTAGTAATTTTGATTTTTAAAATTGCCTTTGTTTTCCAAGAAATTTGCCATTTTTGTATATTACGGTAAATACAATTTTCAATGTTCCGTATAAAAATTATCTTTTCTCTATGTATTTCAGGCTTCATTCTTTGTGCTGCCCTAGTTGCAATCACGTACTTCGGATGCAAAGTTTTCCGAACGAAGAAACCAGACTACAGTACCTTGTAAAGAGCGCCTTTGTCTCATCAGGTGCATCAAAATGAACATAGTCACCCTGTGTATAACTGAACTATGATCGCTTTAAAACTATAGCTTTATTCTATGCTGAACTGACTAGGCATTGTTGCAATGGTGATATCTGTTTGAAATAATTTACAATAGTTTAGGACCATCTTGTACAGGGATGCAACAAACATAATGCAGTTTTCGTACCAGGATAATTTTCGAATCTTGCACAAGAAACTTGAATGTGCTAAGAGCAGAGATGTTCTCAAAAACTCAAAATTACTCAAATCACTATTTTCTTATCTGTCATTGTTGACTTGCTGAACTTTCCCACTGTACCAGTACCAGTGGCGAGTTACCATGCCAGTTTAAGATGTTGTTATAGAAATACCTGAATAACTCAAAATATTTAATTAATAAGGTAACAAAAAATTCATTATTGTTTTGTGATAATAGAAACAGATTCTGGCTAAAAAATTTCAATTTCAGACACATGAACAAAATTTAGCACCCCCCCCAGCATAAATATGAAAATCCCATCCTATTCAGGTGCTGACTTGTCTGCCGATTATATCTTGAATGTTTGCCGTCCACGGTCCACCCCACTACTGCTTTTGTTGGATAATTAAGCATTGTTTGTTGCATCTCATTTTATTTTTATTCTCGTTCTGTAGCATATTGTTATAATATTTGCTTCTTTTGCAGTGTGGCTTGGTTTTTTTATTTCAAATTTCTGTAGTATATTCTTCTGATACATGGTCGTATATGGCCGGTGATGAACTTCGCCATACAGGTACAACACATACCTGTCCCATCTTTGATAAAGGAAAATTTAAAACCGGACTTTGTAAATCACTATCCTTGTTAGTTCAAAAAAAAGTTTTTGGTGATTTATCCATTTCTCGCACAATTCTTGATATTTTGCTTTTTAGAAGTAAACCTCCATGTATTTGCACATTGATAAGTTGTACTTCGAGCACTGAGCACAAATTCATCTTAAGTCACAAACTCACATTACCTCTTTTTTGGGTTAAAAATAGTCGAAAACACACACTGACCAACTATCTTGTATATTATTGTGTCTGATTCGATATCGTATTTTTTTTTTTTTCTGTAATTTCGTTTGTTATGTTTTTATTTCGGTGTAGCAGGCGAGGGCTAACTGTTTTGACGTACAGTATCACTATATTCTTTGGTGAAAGTGAAGGATGCACAATACTATTTATTTATCCTGTAATATCCTTATGTATGTTCCTCTGTTTCCAAAAAATAAAGAAAATATAAAGCTAACTCTATCTCTGAGAAAAAAAATTACTTTTCTGCATCTGCCATTGTAACTGAGATATCTAATTTGCTAACAATTCACAATATTACTAATCGAAAAATTCCGGTGGAGTTGCAATATATTAAAATAAAATAATATTACTGTATGTGAAATGGCTTTGTAAATAATTCATGATACTAATCTTTTTGGTGTACTTTGTATAGTCTTCTGTATATAATTGGGAAGGTCTTTCTTTATGGTACAAATATTAATCCCAATTATTGCTTAATTAAGCATATGTATATCAAATTAACATAGTCGCTCTTGATAGGATACAACTGCAGTCTGCTTGAATTATTAAGTATTGAACCCCATGTTCTCATCAAGAAATTGTCATCATTTAATTATCTAATTTTTACTAAACTTTACGTTCAGTTGAATTTATCCATTGTTTGGTTAAACATGAAACATTCTGATTTTATTTTAATTTTAGCTTAAATAAGTGTACTTTTGACGATCAGAACAAATATATCAAAAACGATATCAAAAACTTAAAATAAGAAAAACAGCAATTTTTGTTCAATTGCTTCACAGGTCTTGTTGAAGATTTGTTCTTTAAATGATGACATCGAAAATCTTTCCCAAGGTGAGCTTGTTTCCGACCAACTAGCTATTAGCTATTCCTTATGTTTGTGGCTTTATTCATCTTTATATGACATCTATTTATTAACTTAGTAAGGTGCGTATAATGTAGTATATTTAGCTCTATCATTACCCGTAATTCACATTTAAAATGTTTGTGTGAAACTATTATCTTGTGTATTTTAGTATCTCAAATAAATGTTTCACCAAATTTTGTAGTGGTGTTTGCTGGCTGGCGCGGGTTCTCTTGTTTGTATACCATGTACAAATCCCTCAAGTGTGTGAAACCAGTAAGCATCTTATTTGTGGCTGGTGCAGTACTGGCATAAGAAATAATGACAACACATAGGACGTAGTTTCAGAAGAGTTGTTCAAACATCAGATTAGGTCTAAAACACATCATGGGCAATCTTAATTAAACTGAAAATATCATTGAAGATACACATGCCTCTATCTCTTACCTGATAGGATTTTCATATTTATCTCATGGAAAGAGGAATATCCCCTGAACGGCTTAATCATATGACAAGCCACTCCCCTGTGTGGTTGACCCTTTATTTGTTTCAGATGCATGAGCTTGATGGTGGAGGAAGACCCAACCAAACAGCGGTTACGTGAACCAACCCTCGGCAGCAGTGGCGTAGCCAGCCCAAAATTTTGGGGGGGGCCAAATTTGAAAATTTTAGAAATTATATTGGGTTTAAAACACCCGTTCTTCAAGCGCAAAACAACAACAGTTGGTCAACAAGCAAACTGATTCAATTACTCAGCTGGATTTTTTTGAATACAAAATCCATTAATAAACAATTTTTTATTTGAAACAACAAATATTAACAACGCAATTTGAATAAGTAAAATACATCGCCCCGATTAAAAGTCCATCCTACGCTTCCCGCCAACTATGCTCGACACAACTCGATTAATTTTCTCCTCGGTGACCATTTCACGGTGACAGTGAAGCACACACAAATCAGAAAGGCGATTGGACGTCATTAATAAGCGCAGCCATGTGTTTACCCGTTTCATGCACGAGAAAGACCGCTCAGCCTCAACGGTGGTTGCTGGTAGCGTCATAACAATCTGTATTGCGGTGTACACGCTTGGATAATCTCGAGCGCTCAGAAGAAGCCCCTCAAAACATTCGTCGTTAACGTCGGAACTTAAAGAAGTTCTGCACATCTCACTTCATTCTGGAGGTTATCCAATAAATACAGACGCTCTACCTCATCCACGTGAACTGGTTTGTTCGGTGGAAGAATTGATAGCAATGAAAAAAATGATGGGTTGTCAATGAAGCGTTCCCGAATAGAGCAGCTCAAGCCGTCGACGTATGGGAAATATACGGAACGTTTAAAATACTGGGATGCTGAATCAGCACAGACATTGTCGCGATAAACGTGTACTTCGACTACTCTGGGTATTGTCAACTCTTTCAAGCCAGCTATTTCACAAGCTTCTTTGTAAATATTCAATGCGATTTCAGAGTCATTGCGTTCTTCAGCGATAACGCTCTGAAGAGAGGATGTGAGGTTCTTTACTGACGGCACACTGACTCCGACCGCCTGAAGTGCGCGCTAGTGGCTCCATTAGTGCCGAATATCGACCAATCAAACATACGGCGTAGATAACCGACGACTTTTCTAGAGCAGATTTCAGAGAAAAAGCCTTCGCCCGCATCTGACTGTTAGCATCTCTCGCCAAAGAATCAAGAGCCTCAAGTACTCGTTTGAAGTTGCATTTGAAGATTCGGATGCTCTTGTACTTCTCAGACCATCTGGTGGGGCAGAACAAAGGGATGTTAATTCCTGAACCCGCGCGCCTCATAGGGCTCTCCCTGAAAAAAAAACGAATAGTCTCACGAATGATATCACAGGTGCTTCTGATGATTGCAACTTTACTTTGGTCATTTATGACCAAATTCAAACAATGAGAAGCGCAGTGCACAAATATTGCGCGCGGGTATTTATCACGAATGCGTTTTTGCACACCGCTGACGTGACCTGCCATTGTCGTTGCACCATCATAGCCTTGCCCCACAAGTTTTTGCAAATCCACTCCTCGACCAGAGAGGTGGGTCAAAATATTTGATAAAATTGATTCGGCAGAAACAGAATCCATTTCCACTAATCCTGTGAAGCGCTCGCACACTTCACCACCTTTCACATACCTCAAAACAATGCTTAGTTGTTCTTTCCCAGGAATATCACATGATTCGTCGGCTATTACGGACACAAACGATTTATTAGCTTCCATAACGATATCTTGCACTATCATGTTGCTTGATACCTTGAGAATTTCATTTTGTATCATCGGGCTTGTATACTTAGCGTTTCCGGCCTTTCGAGCGAAATGCCTTTTCAAATCTTCATCCCCTGCGTCGATACGAAATAGAAGAAGGTTCACAAAATTCCCACTATCCCCGGAATGTCCGCGCAAGGGTATGTTACCCGAAGCACAGAACATGACAGTCTTGACAATGGAAGTCATTATTCGTCTGTTTTCTTTTGTTTGCGTAGCATATTGGGCCTCCATGTTTGCACGCACATTTTGACAAGTTACCATGCTTTTGACAAAAATTTTTCGCAGCTATATTTGATTCTCGGTGGTAATTTGTGTCTCGGTGTGCTACAGCCTTTCCATAAATCTTTTGTAGTCAATGCATGGTCTTGTAACAAAGGCAGTGTCCCTGAGAGTTCCATGCTTCAAACGTGCTTGCATGACTATGCATATCTTACACAAACCACCCCCATCAGAGAGTTGGGTGTAAACTAACCAACTGCAAAATCTGTTATCGTCAAGCCATTTTTTGAGAAATTTACGACGACTTTGTCTAACAGTATCCAGAATCGTCACGTTTTTCGGACCATCCGAAGTTAGAAGCCTGTATCTCTCCGCATCGGTAAGCTGTGTATGTTTCTTAAGAATAAATCCAAGATCGTTTGTTTTCCCTTCGTTGATTATTAGTTCATCTTCGGGAATAGAAGTGATAGACGTAACTGACGTAACCGGTGCATCCACAGCCTGAGAAGCGCTTATTGATGTATTTGAGGAAAGCGAGTCTTTATTTCGCTGAAAAAAACTATCGAATTTCGCCTGTTTAAATTTAGCCATCGAAGTAATTTTGGTCATCAAGATGCCACAAAACTGGTGGATTAGGAATGGAATTCTTGAAAATTTTGGGGGGGGCCATGGCCCCTCTGGCCCCCCCCTGGCTACGCCTATGCTCGGCAGGAAGGAGTCCAGTAATCCTCCAGTCGAGACCTGAAGCATTTCAAAATGACTTGCTTTGTGTATGCGTTTGCTTCTGTTGGATCTTTTGTACAAATTCCTCGCCAGTTACGCAAAAATATAAAATCAAGGAAAACACTGAATTGAAAAAATGGAATTTCCAACAAATAAATAACGCTGCGTACATCGTTTTGTGGTATCGCATTCTATTTTTGTTTTATTGCAAAGTCATCGAAAATGTTAGCATTCTTGTGACTCGATACATTTTCCAAAAACGACATTTGAGAGTTTCGAGTGTCCCATAATCATGTTTATTCAGTGCCTTTCGACTAGAAACGTTTCGTTATAGTCAGTTTTCAGTCGTTCATCACCAATGAATGTGCTGACATATAGCCTACCGTCAGCGCAGATCAACCAAATTATTATATATATATACTGAAATTCAAACATCTACGGTAAGTGCGGATTTAATACGTCTGTAAATTACACAAAATAGGCTGAATTGTGTTTTATTTCATGTTTTTGTCGAAAATAACGATACCCGACGAGATGGAACTTGCGCAATTTTATCTTCTGAGCTAAAAAAAAGCAAAAAGGGTGCATGCCGCACATTTGTGTTTTAGGCCAGTACGGTCTTGTGCGCGCATCCCGTCTTAAATAATAATAATCGTTCATTTATTTTTTTATCACTATTACGAGACGAATAAACTTACATACATACAAAAGATCGAAAACTCGGTATATATATAAATATACCGAGTTAAATCGCTCAGCTCCACACTGATAAAAAACATGCAACCTTAACTGCTTTAAACGACCAACAGTCAGTTGAGTGTTGAATATTTGAATAAAACCCACTGGTGAAGTGATATTTTATTATTGTCGATAACACCAAAACTGCCCTATGTTCTTGGCAACCGATCCAAATTTAAGACCATTATTTCGTCATAGAAGAATCAAACATCCTAGAAGTCTTCGAACGAAATTGCTTTTCAATTTTGTAGCAACACCTTCGAATCGCTGAATCCAACGGTTCAAAATGTTAAAAGGATTCGCCCGACGATTTTCGCGTCGCCTGGGAAACGTATGGAAACTCTTGTCCGCCGATGAAGTGGATGACAGTATATTTGACAAAGAAAAGAATCTTTATAAACGTGGAATCATCAAAGCATCTGGGGCGCTAGACTTGTTTGAATCAGAAGTCATAAGTGGATCGGAGTTAGTGGAGGCGATTGACAAGTAATTAAGTAATAATATAGACTTAGGAATCATTGAAGCCTGACATGTTGAAATAGTGGCTCAAACGGCGAAGTAGCATTGTTCATATTTTGGCTACACTTCCCGCGGCATCATATTAAACTAGACTGGGACTTATGTATAATATTTCACTCTTAGTAACTTATTACCGATACTCGCAGGATGTATTTTCAGGATGGGAAATTTAGCATACGCTGGAGGGCCACCAGCAACAAAGTGCGCGGGAACATATCTCCCGAAGTTTGTCGAATTATTGAGCAAAGGCGATATCAGAGCGGATGTAAAGGTGTCAATATTGAAAGCAATCAGCATCATCACAATAAACCATTTGGAGCATCAGGTGAATATTTTACTAAGGCTTAGTGTTTAGAGGCTATGATTAACATGATGTAGATATATTTATGACAAGCAGTGTAATTAGGTTACCCAAAAAGTACCGTAAAATTATGTCAGCATGTGGAAAAGCGAAATTCCGCTTATCTGTACCTGTTGTTCAACATTAGCATTATCTGAACGCTTGTTTAATAAACTGAGACATTCAGTTTACATCTGTATTTTGCAGGACCAATGCGAATCCCTTGGTCTGCTTCGACAAGTGAGTGGTATAATTTGCGACAGCGAATCATCTGAATGTCTTTTACTATGGGCCATTTACTGTTTACATAACATTATTGTTGGCAATATCAGAAATATGCAGATAATAGCCGAAGACAAAGCGATCCACGAATCCATAGTAAAAGCAAAAAGTTTGAACTGGACAGCATTTTTGTATAATTATGCTACAGCCGTTATCAAGTTAGTCAATATAGAACTTCAACCGAAGACAGATTTTAAGTCAGTTGAGAAGCCTAATGTAACGCCGGACTCTCAGTCGTCTTCAAAAGACGACTCTTCAGAAAATGCTATTCCTTCGTTTCATGATACGGAAAATGGTGTTTTAGTTGAAACCCCAGCTAAATAAAACTATTCAAACAATGCAAAAGTGTGTAAAGTTGTTCAAATCAGTGCTGTAGAGTGGATAATTTGCAACCGACCACAAACTCCGAGTAATTTAAAACTCCCGACCCAGTGTTGACGAAAATTTATCTGCCACTCCAGTTTGAAGACAATTTTTACTCCCGCTTCAAAGAAAACAAAATTGCAACACTGAAAACATTTGCGAATGTTAGCCTTCTTTATTGGGAATGCTTAGTCAATCACCTTAACACGACTCCGCGGTCCGGGTTCATCTATGTGTCATACTGAAAAAATGCTGACTATTGGAAACAAATTTTTATCGGTCTATTTTAATTATCCAAAATTTCTAAAGACCCATGAGCAGTGGTGAGATTCAAATTTTTTGTCAGCCGGTTCCATCACAAAAGTCATATTTTTCAGCCGATTCTGTTACATGTTTTCTTTTACTAATGCTAACCGGTTCGCTGATCTCCTAAAATACCGTGAGACTAGGGTTAGCGGAATCGAGTCTAGATTCGATTCTCTGCAGAATCGATTCTCAAGGTTAAATCTTGGATTGCAAACAATGTGTAACGTTTTGTGGCAATTCCTTCACATATATATATGTATAACTGCTTGACTGTTATGCTGAGTTGCTACGACGCCGCAAACCTCACTTTATATATATATATTTTGCTGGAAGCTAGAGGGCTGTTACGTTTATTTATTTCAAAAATCTCTATGGTTTTCTTGTGCGATTTTGTATACAGTGACAGATTAAATATACCCATACTACTTATATATACCTAATTTTGGCCCTCTTGGCCGCCCACATATTCTAACATCGCTCTCTTGTTTAATTTCACGCGGTATTGTTAAGTGGGTATGATTTCTCGGTGGAATATGCAGAGGAATTGGATAAGAATCGAATACTTGTAAGTAGTCATACTTAGCATCCTTACTTATGACACATACGCACACAAGCAGCACAGAGTTCTTGTTAGAGAAATAATATTATTTTTTTCAAATCTTTTCCTCTGCGTAAAAATGAAATATAAATTTGACGCTTGATTCGGGCGAAATAGATAATAAAACAAATTAAAATATACACAAAATCTTCAAATAATTTGGCAAAAATTGTTTGTTGAAACTTAGCAGGATACTAAAAACAGCGTTCAGTTTCCCTCACCATAAGCAAAATATTTTATTATTATTTCTTTTGATTGTTTTCGCTAATTCTCTGGGTTTTCTTTTCGGTTTCACATGTCTTTTGGAAGATTTACCTTCCCTTCTCTTTTTACAACACCGACTTTTTCTACGAAACTTTGGTCTACCGGCACTGGAAGCCACCGAGGAGGAAGATGACTTTGCAACAGATTTTTGTCGATCAAATTTAACTCTTCGCTTTCGGAGCTTCTTTCTTTTACGTTTGGAATATGTCGTGAAATCTTTCTGACAATTCTGAAATGAATGAAGTAATCGTTTTTCTGATATTTGAATGGCAATCCCTAAACAACTACTACCAGAGCAACTACTAAAACATTCGTTATTATATTGTTCTTGCAGCGATCGCCGCATCATAAGAAAATTTGTCTAACATCGTTAACAGTTGAAATTTAATATATTGGGTTGGAAACTTGTTTACTTTTCGTATCTGGGTATTATATATAAATATACATGATAGAATATACAGGAAGGCAAAGATTCTGGTCCCTATTTTTTGATGGATGTGAAAAATATAAAGAATTCCTTGTGACTTTATAAATTGTGTGGCATTTTAAAACACTCACCTCTTCAGACGAATATTCCTTAGCATGGGAATTGTCGTAGACAGATCGAGCAATTTTTGATCCGTTTTCATCAATTTCCATATTTTCTAATGATGGACCAACTTTGTGACTCGCCATTCCCATCCTCCTGTACGCTCGATCTGCACAGCATTTCACTGTTTCAATTTTACTAGGTTTTTCTTTCTCTGTCGGACTAGACTTCACATTTTTTTCATCCTCAGTATCTGATGGCGGAGATTTTCTTTCTTTGCTGTTTGTAGGAAAATAGGTTTTTATATAAATCTTTCTACAAGGAACTTGCGTATTCATGACAAATTTCCTAACTGAAAACATTATTTTGATAAAATTAAGGGAGTGTAAATTTGTCAAACATAGTTTTTATTCACAAAAAGAAAATATTAATAATTCAAACCTTTTTCTGTATTCCCGTCGCATATCTTTTACCTTGAAAAAAACAAATAAACGATTTATATTTCTAGTGTTGCAATTAAAATAGCTGAAAGCAGTGTCAAAAATTGTATACAAAGTTTATCAGCTCAAGTTCCAATTCATCGTAATTGAATTCAAACTTTTTCAGCAGGGCCAAACCAGTAATATATTTTATATATACAGTATGTAACTTATCTATTTCTATTAACAACTTTAAATTCCTAAAATTGGCATTTACTACATCGTTCAGCCCTTGGCATTTCATTAGTCATCGATAACTTTGCTTAGAGATGACTATCCTTTTGTCATAGCCAAGTTTATTTTATTTCAGTCAATAACAAAAACGACAGCTAACATAAAAAAAATTAATGAGGGAGAAAAAATACACAATTTTACCTGGAGAAAGGCACATGGAACTAAAGCTGACTATCAAGCATTGACAACCAACTTTACAGTGTGTGAGCGTGACCATGGTTTGGCAAATTTGTCTAAAAATGAGGACATGACATACCAAAAATATTCTTTGTCTTACCCTATCTCTCAATTCTCTTGATTGTTGGTTTTGACTCGAATACAAAGTTGACGTACTCGTACGAGATTTGCTTCTACTTTGTCGTCGTTTTTTGCACCCGTCTTTGTTTTGGCAGTCCTTACCTGAGGTTCAAAATAATATAAAAATTTCAATAAAGATTTCAATTTGTAATATCATCAGTAAATATAAAGTAACATACCCATATTTGCAATCGCAAACACGTCGTCCGCGACATTCACAAGTTCTCTTTTCTCGATTCCTATTTCCAGAGCGTTCCGTACATCCTTTTCTATTTCACACGGATTTACGCCGATATCTTCGTCTTCTATCATGCGACATATCTTGTTAATTGTACATCCAGTTGCCGAATGCTGCCTACGAATTAATTTCTTTATAAGAAATAACAACTTTGCTTCGTGTTTTGAAGACGGCATTTTGAATATAAAAGGTTGATGTGCCGATGATGCTAATCTGTATTAATTTCACGATATGATTTTGTATTAGAGTGTAGTTATCCTACCGACAGTTCTTTCTCCAATATTTTTACAAACAGCATCATTAGACAGCGCCCTATCGTACTTGGTACCTAATTTCACAACCTTATCTTTCTTGTGTTAAGTCGTATTACAATCCGTGCAAAGTACATTTTAATATTTTGATTGTGACGTCACAGAACGAGATTCACTGAGCTTTACTGACGACTAAAGTTATTACCTGTAGCTCAGGGATTCTCAACTTTAGGGATTAATTTGATCTGTTTTTGCAAGAGAGTAAAGGCTGTCTTCACAAACTGGAGTTTCGCCCCAACACTTTTGCAGATATCGGATAAGAGAGATACACGCGATATATTCAGCTCTTTGATCCTAGAATGTTTTGAAAGAGCACGGCCTAGCCAAGCGCCTGTGCACGACGAAGTTCAAGAGTATCTTTGCATACGTGCAGAGTTACGGTAAATGCAATTTACGATGCATCTAATTTTAAACCGGGTCTAGTAAACCACATATACATATTTGAATGTTGGCGTTCTGGGACATATTTTCTTCGAGCTGAAACAACGTTCGGTTAAAAACCTGCACACAAACGAATATTTTATCCCGCACGCATTGTAACTCATTAAACAACTATCATTTTGAGTTACGCGATGGAACAATGGGACATATCTTTCCTCTATGACTTTGCGAAATAATCGGTATAGATATACATGGCACGGATATAGATGACTATTCATTTTTAGCAATTCAAGATCCCTGTTCCACTTTTCCTAAAGAACACATCGAAACAACCTGTGCATATTGCTATATTTCCAAGTGAAAAAACTTTCGTCCAATTAAACAACAAAAACAAACAAACACTTTAATCAAAACAAAAAAAAGAACACTTTCTGGGGAATTTATCATCGGATAACACACTGCCAAGCAAGGTACATTGGTAACCGCAATATATATATATATATATATACACACAGCTACTGTAGAATTCCTATTTCGTGATATCAATGGATGTTTCGAACTGGATTAAGAAAAAACCAAGCGTAATATGTAGAAATTTCACAGCCTATATTTTGATATGATGACCATACTTGATACCAAGCTTGTCCTTGTATAACCCAATGATAAAATAACATGTATTTAATGGAAGAACAAATTAAGAGGTGAAAACTAAATATAGATACATATATAAATATAATTTTAATTCTTTCTATATATTTGAATATGTAATTAAGTAAAATTTCTATGTCATATATAAATATAGTATTTTCTATTTATTAAAAATTAAAGATAAAATTAAACCATTAAAATCACGAAAATATATCTTGGAAGAAGATTTTTACAAGAGACACCGTGTTTTAAGTAAAAAAATAGTATGGCTTGGAAGTGAGAGAAAATGTTTGTAGAGACTAGAAGCAGAAGAATACTTATACCCTACAAAAGCAAGCTTTTTACCCCAAATTAAATTTTTATCATCATTTGACAATTTTTTTTTCAAACTTAGCTAATTATGCTTTACAAAAGCAAGATTTTTACCCAAAATTAAATTTTCATCATTTGTGAAATTTTTTTTTCCAAATTTAGCTAATTATACCCTACAAAAGCAAGCTTTTCACCCAAAATTGAATTTTATCATCATTTGTTAAATTTGTTTTCTGAACTTTACTTATTCACTACAAGAGCAAGTTTTTTTTACAAGATGATATTTTTGACCATCATTTGTTAAAGTTATTTGTCAAATTTGTCCTGCGAAAGCAAGCTTTTTTCAATCGAAATATAATTATTTAAAAGTTGCGCATGTGTACTGAATACCCCAATTTTTTATATTGCTAATATATCTCCATAAATATTAAAAAAAATGTGTTTTTATTTTTTTGATAAAAATTTGGGACGTGGAATAAGAATAGTAAAATCATAGAATCATGCAATTAATCATAAAAATATTATTTACAAAATTCATATTCGTTTATATTAGATAGAAAAAGAAATAGGAAAACTCTAAAAAACTACAGTTCTGAGAATAGGGTTTATAAATGGAAGCATATTATATAAATTAATCTAACTACATAAACAAAATTGAATTTCATAGAAAAAAAATTTTTTTTTTAATTGAGATCTAACAAATTAGCTAATTAATATAATTCAATCAAGTATTCGAAATATGCTATGTTCAATTGCAGAAATTATTATAGGCTTGAGTATATTATTATGTCATATAATAACCACAGTTTGAGTTATCAAATTTAGTATATTTTCCATGAATAGTATTTTTATTTAATTTGGCAAATATTCAACCCTAAAACAAATCAACCTTTTTATGCTCCTACATGCTTTCCTATGCTATGCCCTCTACCCCAAGATGGTTTTAAATTTTGTCACTGATTCATAAATTGCTAGCAAATTGAATAATTAAAAGACCGCTAAATAGCTATCAGTCTTTATAGTACTAGGTCGGACGGCAGAAAAAAATTGAAAAAAAAAATCGCAGTGCGTAAACCTTCAATTTAAATAGGCTGTGTACTATTGCAATAAAAAGGACGGGTAAAAATCAGGCTTCATATCTCAATCAGAAAATATATGGACCATACATGAAATATGCCAGAATAGTACATTTTAACTCTGGCCCATGTTCAAAATTAAAAGTATACAATCCAAATTCACAGACGTTTTATATAATATTATGTACCGATAACTTCATTGCATTATAAAAAATGTAAGCTTATAAAATTTAACACTGGCAGGCGCCATACGTAGAAGTACGTTGTATGTTTAGCGTAAAAAAGCTGATGACAGTGTGTTTTATTTGTTATTATATATTCTTGAATATATATCTTTTGAAAAAAGACAAATACTAAAAAATTTTCAATAAAAAACATACGAGAAAAAATTGAACTAAAACTAAACACTGCTTTTTTCTGTGTGTAGTGAGAATAAAATATGACGGTACCTTTTCAAAAATGAGATTTTGGGCAAAAAAAGGAAAACTTCAAATCAAAATTTAATTCCAACCATACACGACCATTAGTAAACTAAAGGTGATATAGGGTTTTTCACTATTAAAGGGGTACCTGTCATATTGAGTATATAAAAAAATAATATTAAATTTGCTACAAGTTCATTGAAAAAGAAAAAAAACTATTCTACAATTGTTAGTTTAATCTGTGATTGTTGTCACTGAAAGTTGACCTCCGAATGTTTCTGAAAAAATAAAATTAACTCAATTAAATGTTCGAAATAGATATATATTGAAGTCAAGTTAAGGACGACACAAATATTTAGAGAACCTCGTCCTCTTTCCAGTTACCAGTCCACGTCACTGAGGTCGGATATAGAATTCTGATTGTTGGATTCTTGCATTCATGTTGTTAAACCACCCTATTTTTGTTTCTCTAATTCAGGATTTTCTAAAAATATATGACAGTACCTGCAGATTTTTGTCTGTCTTGAGTTCCTACAGTTACATGTGACGGTGATCGTCCAGCAGTTCTTGGTCTTTCTGTCGTCGAAGATGGAGTCCTGCGTCCACTTGAGGGTCGGGCAGGTAATCGAGCAGAACTAGGACGGGGCTGAATTCCTTTCCTAGACATTGGTCCATTGTAACCACTGTCAGGCGCGGTTAGACTTTTGCCAGAAAGATGCTAAATAGAAGAGATGATATTTTAAAATCAGAACATCCAATATAACTTAGGAGTTAAATAATGCAGTAGTTTGCCTGGGTGACCGTACATTTGAACCCACGTACATTTGAACCCATGCGTATATCCACGGGTTCAATCTATATGCGGGTGCTAAAACCCATGGGTTAGGGTTAGTATGGGTTTAACTATCCGTGAAACAAAAAAAAATCCATGAGTGCAATAGCATACAGGTGCAATTGTCATGGGTTCAAATGTACGTGGGTTCAAATGTAATGGAACCGTTTGCCTGATGCACTTGGATGCATTATTGATATCAGAGCTGAAGTTGCATTTTTAAACTACACAGTGTTGGATAGTCAGTGTAAGTCAGTTACCGGATGCCTACAAGATAATACTTATAACTTATTTATCCCAAGGGAGAGGAAAAACGAAAAAAACACGGTTTAATAATAAGGCGAACTGCGGCTTCCTGTCCGGTTACCAATTCATGTTGGATATGGGGTTAGTTGGCCAGTTATTTGTTTAAGATGAATGGACATGATGGTGAAAGAAGCCGTAACTAACCAGCAGTTACGTGAACCTCTTGCCATTAATGCTGCTGATTACAATGTGTAGGTTTCTGAATAAAATCCAATGGAAGAATATATGTGTAATATGATTGCTAGACTCCTCGTTTTCGCAGAGTGATTCAAGTTACCGATGTTTGGCTGTTTTACGAATATGTTTCAATCGCCTTGCTAACTATTCATATATCTGACAAGAAATTGTGGTTCGCTACATCTTCAAATTATATCTTATAGGATTTCTTCGTAAAGGACATTTTGTTTTGAACATCGTAATATTGTATATTATTGTCAATACAAACTTGTTGTAGTTGGAGTATTGGAAGTCTTCCTCTATAAATATGTCCGTCATGTCCCTGCAATTCAACTTCTTCTTTTGCTCCATCGATTATTGCTTCCTCATCTTGCCAAAGTTCACTGAAGTCAAAAGAAAAGTTAACCACTCAGGAGATTTCGAAAATTGTACAGATAAAACACTGCAACGTATACCAGGGCAGTGGAATTGGGACGTGCATGTTTTAGTAGTAATGAAGTCGGAGCCAAAATATCAAATTCTAAATATTTGAAGTTAGAGTTGAAAATTTCAGATATATGACAAAGGTAATTGAACTCGAAATTTTCGACAAAAACAAAAAAAGTTTACTATTCATTTTCAACAGCCAATTAACGAAGATTTCAGCAGTTTAAGCTTTTTTGAAGTGTGTTATAAATAATCTCTGACAACCAGGCGTCGCTTATATTTTAAATGGCTCAGAGACTTGAGTTAATGGCTTGAGTTAAAGTCAGGAGAACCACCCGATGGCAGTGAGGAGTCCAGCAATCCTCTCCCACATAATTATCCCTCAATGTGATTAAAGCCTGCGAACCCACATAGCAGTGCGAAGACAAGCACGCCAAAATTAGCAAACATACCGTTTAACCAGTATGTCCAACTTAGCAAGCACATATACTAAAACATTACTCTCAATATGTTCACACATATTGATACAATTCTCGATGTTACCTCAGGTGTGTTAGTCTTGTGTATCTTCTATGGGGATAAGTTAACGTGTATCCACCCCCACAGCTTCTGCCTGAAGGCATCACATATTCAAGCTCTTCTGCCTCACTAGAAACAAAATATATTGAGTAAATTTTTGAAAATTTGAGATATAGGAATGAAAATTTTGCACTGCAGAATTGTGTTACATGAAAAATTATTGCGGAATAATTGAAATTTTGTGAATATTTTGTTTGAATATGTAACTGTGCGTAATGCTCTCATTGCAAAATGGCCTTTCATAATGAAAAATTAAAATTTTGATATTGTGTATTTTATGTCCCGAATTGTGCCAATTATTTCCAATTTTAAAAAATGATGCCATATTTATAATATTTCAGATGCTGAAAAATCATTATTACAATGTTTTTGAAAAAGTTCGTGAAAAAATCAAAATATGTTATTTTTACCACGTTTGACATGTGCAATTCACACATAAAAAATACAATTCGCCAAAATTCAATTAACCTAACATGATGAAAACCAGACATAGCAGCTTACCACATATAATAAAAGAAACTATGTTGAGAACAAAAGATTGAAATGGAATTTAAAATTGTTGAATAGAAATAGTTATCTGATATGTGTGTTTGGGAAGACGATAGCATGTCCATTGAATACGATGCATCACTAAATAACCAGCTGTTTATCTCTAAACAAAACTCAATAATTGTAATGTAGAGGGTATTGAAAACGTGACTAGTCTTGAATATTGTGAGTTTATTTTTAGTAAACGGAATTCCTAGATCCGTTTTACTATATTAATATTCCGACTGTTTCACAAATAATCAATGACGTAAGAGTCAAATATGCCTGACTAATCTTGGCAATTATGAAATTTATTTTTAGTAAGCAGAATTTGTAAGCCTGTTTTTCTATATTAATATTCCGAATGATCAATGAAGCGTTAGTGAAATATGGAACCCGACTAGTATTGGAAATTGTGATCCGCACATTCTATGTAATGGAAATTGCTCGCTTCTATAATTTTTTAGGTTTTTTTTTATTTGTTTTCAGGAATAAAAAAAGAAATTATGACAACATTTGCAGCAAAAATTGGTCAAATATTGTAAAATATAGAGCAGAATGAAAAGATATGCCAAAAATACAAACCCATTTTCTGGTCAACGATATGTGGTGCAATTGTCAAGAAGTTACACTGTGTGTCTTTTTCACAACAACATGCATTTGTGCGTGTGCACATGTGTGTAGTGCAAAATCGGGTTGGTTAACGATATGTGGTGCAATTGTCAAAAAGTTACACTGTGTGTTTTTTTCACAACAACATGCATGTGTGCGTGTGCACATGTGAGTAGTGCAAAATCGGGTTGGTTGATGATATGTGGTGCAATTGTCAAAAAGTTACACTGTGTGTCTTTTTCACAACAAACGTGCATGTGTGTGTGTGTACATAGGTGTATGTGAAAAATTCAAGTTGTGCTATTCATGAAAAAATATTCTACAAATTATAACGTGCTGTGCAAATATTCAAACTCTTTTCAGTGAGAAATTTGCATGTGTCAAGCAAGAGTAAAATATAAAGCGTACTCTAAAGGTGTTGCACATCTATGTCCCACAGTTGGCCATGGAAAATTTAATGCCCAGATTTTGACTCGTATGAAAAATATATCAATTCCAAAATATAAATTACAATTGATAACACATAATAAAAATTCCTGTAAAAGAAATTTTTTTTCCAAAAAAAATTTTCTGAAATCTGAGGCCTTTGGCAATATAAAGTTTGAGCTCAAAAAATAACTTGATCTGTCTGTGTGCGGCTTGCTAGCTTTCTGTTCTCACTACAATATATTATCACTCCTAATATAAACAACTAGTTAACATGTAGCCTACATTACATTTTAATGCAAAAAGACAGCCATCGTTATCATTATCTCCAAGGAAATATTAAATAATTAGATAAGGCTACACATTTTTATACATTTAAAATAGAAAGATTGAACTTAAAAAACCTCACCCTGTCATATGGTATATATTGTATTTGTCCGCTTTTTTCTGTGTAGACTGGGGCTTCCCAAACTGGGGGCGGCAACCCTGCCGTGGGACGCATAGCAAGTTTTGGGTATTACAATTACAGTATTAAAACTAGTGCGAAACATAAATCTCACGATTTCGAGAGAATACATAGGATTAAAGAAGCAGCGTGCTTGCATAACAATGCCGATCATGAACTCAAAACTTTGAAAAGCCCTAGTGTAGACAACCTTGTTTTTGAGATGACCCTCTTAGGATATTTAGTGCAATTACATCGCCCTTGAGATGGACAATTACTTGGCAAATTATGATAGTTATTTTCAGAAGTAAAAAAATTTTGAAATCTTGTTTGAAAGTCAAATTCTAACAGTGCATAAAGAATAAATTCATTGTCATTTCCATAGCGCCTCTTCAAATTCTAACTTTTATTCCGTGGCTAGAATATGTGAAGGTACAAAATAAAGTATACATGCCTGTGGATACCGAGTAAAATGTAGGATAAAAAACATTGTCACATCATGAAAGACTCTTTTAATTTCAATATTGTATTAAATTCAACCACATAGGTATTATTTAGATACAGATTTATTCAAATTTATGCCAAATAGAATTTTAGTAGTAACAGAACCACAATTTAAAAAATCATAAGTTCAGTGATTTAAGTGCGTGTCGATATATTCAGTTATAAAATTGTAAAAGCCTCATCAAAAACGTCATCTTTGATTAGAATGGGTTTAGAATCCTGAATCACCATGAAATACCAATTAACATGGCCTAACCAAACATACTAATTATTCATACTTTTTTTAATAAACATATTTAGAAATATGGTAGATGTAGATCAAAGCAGCCTAGTGTCAATAAAATGCTCAAAAATTAATTTAAACAATTTTTTGAAACCTATTTTTCCAAATAACTTGAATTTCAGTTTCATAAATAAATGACTCGAAATATCTCGTCACAAATATACAAAAAAAATTGATTGATCAATCCGAGGTGATTTGGAAATTTTACTCCGCAGAAAAATCACCTGGTTAAAAATTAATACTGTGCTCATATATGTTACTAGAAACCATGCACAACATATGTATGTTACTAGAAATCGTGCACAACGTTAATCTTAAGCCTTGCATGGTGAAACGGCTGAGCTAAGCTGATTACTTTACTAGTACTCAAGCAACTATAATATAACAACTGTCTTACACATGATGCTGTCGTGAAAATTGTGGATCTCCGTGTGGATAATGTGTTTTATAAGCCAGTTCATCCAGTTTACGAAGTCTTGACATTTCTCTTTCTTCCAGCGCGGCACGGAAATTAGTCGAGTTACGACCAACTGGCATTTGGCTAGAGACATCAACAAGTTTACTACTTTAAATGGTAACTTATAAAAATAAAATAAACCTCAAATACTAAACATTTATAGTTTCTGACTATATGCACTAATTCTTTGGTTCTGACTTTTCAAAGAAATATTTTTAAGGTAAAACATATCAAATACTAATTATCGGCAGATAAAATTTCACAGAGAAGTACTAAAATTTTTTTCAAAAATTCAGAAAACTAAAATCAATATATTAACAATATTTTTAATGTTTGTGTAATTTGTTTAATGCTAAAAATTTACAATATTTGTAATTTCGCCACAAAGAGACAAATAATTGTGTTCATAGCCAAATTAAATTTACAAAAATATTGCCAACCACTGGTACATATACATCCCATATAAGGACACCTGACCACATCAATAAAATACACGAGACGACAATACCATATGCCTCCGAATTGCAATTCAACACAAATTACGTTCTAGTGCCTGTCTCAACAATTAATCTACACTGTTCATTATATTCTGACTACAACACTATAACATTTTTTCTATTCTGCTGAATCTAGTAGACTAAGTACACTCTTCTTACTAACGCTTCAATAAATATTATTATCATTACTTACCCTTTTGCTTGCTGTCGGATTTGATCAAGTTCGAATGATGTGTACGGCCGCACTGATTTGGTGGCAGGAAGTCCAGCCGTCGCTGGTATAGATGGAATCGGCCTGCGTGTATAAATGTTATTCTTAACTAAATTCGTGTTTTTGTAGGAGAAAATCTCTTTCAATTTCAAATTTCCAGTACTCATTTATTCAAATTATCTCGAGTCCTATGAGCCCCAATATTTGATCCTGAGTTTTGCAGGTTTACATAATTCACTAGCACATTTTGATATGGCATTCGTAACAATTTTTCTACCAATTGAATGAATTTTTTTGACATTGCAATGACCATGTCACATATATTCCATTGCTCTCTTGTATGTTGAAATTTTTTTTTGTCCAAAAACATGAAAAATTCAAATTTTGCTTGACATTCAAATTTCTCACACTTTTTATGAACGCAAATCCCAAATTTTTCAGCAAAAGAAAACTTCTGAAAAAAAAAAAATCTAAAAAAAATCTCACCCAGCAGGAGTCATTTCAACTGGTCTATCACAAGAAATACAATGATAACTTTGTATTAATTGTTTTCTAAATCCTGCAGCTTCATCTCCTTCTTGGTAAACATCTTGTGGTTGATGTTTTTCCAATAATTTCTTCATTGCTTTCATTCTATTTATAAAAGGATACAAATAAAAAGTAATACCATTTTTTTTTAAATATTATTAAAAGGAAGTATACATGAGTCTTCTCTATATTAGGGTTCTTTTTTTGTAATTGGATGTATATATCAAATTTAAGTATTAATTTTTAAATTGTTTTTTTTTGATATCCTTGACATACTTACGAATGTTCGTTATTTTTTCGAATTAAATTTTAAATTGGAATATTCTGATTTCAATTTTTCCGAGTCAAGTTCGGTTCAACATTATTTCGTTACTCTTACTTGAATTTGGAAATACTATAAAAAAAAATTGTCAAAAATAACCTGTTTTCTAGATGTTGTTTTAAGCTTTCTAATTCCATTCGATCCAACTTCCCATCGACTTCAGCAGATAATTTGTTCACTTGCTTCTGCCATTGAGATTCCTGAAATTTTGTTTTTTTCAAAAAGGTAAAAAATTATCCATTCTAGTAAGATTTACCTCTGTTGCTTATTGCCTTTTATGAAGACTTGATGGAGAGTGTAGCTAGATACGGCATATACTGAGATGTGCGTAAACTTCCAAAATTTATATTGGGGCTAACCCATGGCAAATCAAGTAAGGTAGGCTATGCAAAATCAGGAATATTACAGACCTTTGAAAATATTTCACATACAAATTGCCTGCTTGTCTAAAACCTCGTTTAAGACCAAAGACTTCATTAATACATCAATAGTATTACGTTTAGTTATCATTCATTGAAATTAAAGTTTGCAATGCTAATTTGAGTCTTTTTAAAAAAAAATTCGTTGCATTCACAGAATTCATTTGGTAGGAAAGACTGACTACTCACTTGTCCTAATATTTTTTCTAATAAATCGTCCAAATTTTTAGTAATTTCTGACGTCGTTGTATCAAAGTCAGATCGATTTACTTTTGTCTCCAATGCTTGTTTGTCTGCTTTCTAAAATAAAAAGTATTTTTTTGTAGAATCCACTACTTTTTGCATTTTTAGCTGAAAGTGAAATATGATATCCTGTGTTATGTTGCCTGAAGTTGCCCAAACTTGTGATAAAAATTTTATGTCAATTTTTATATGTGGGAAGATAATAACTACTGTAATTCTTTAACATTTTTGCAGTACACTCAGAATTATCTAGCGACACATTGAAGCGTCACTTAACTCACAGTTTAACATGGGAATCACTTTTCTCACAAAATAAACATTGAAATTTAATTCTGGATTATCCTTTCTGTATTGCAAAATATTATGTTTCAAGTTCAATCACACCTAAATTAAATCCACAGTACAAAAATTGAAAAGTGCTTTCTTTTATGTCTAAAACAACATTATACATTTTAAAATATTTGTATTACATTATACCATTCAGAGACAGACATCAAAACGTTGGAGAAAAACACAAAGACAAACAGACACAAAAACAAATAAAAAAAATTTTGAGAATGTTTTCGACAATGAATATTTTAACAAAAAGATAGGTGAAGCTGGTTGTGTTTTATTCATTTTAATTTAAATTCTCCAATTTAATGCTTTTTCTTTAAAGATTCAGACAATAAAAATATTTATTTTTATGCAAGATTTGACATAAATTCGGCATTAAAATAAAATCAATTTAAGAATATTTAAAATCAAATGTTAATAATTGCAGTGGAGTTTTAGTTACATGGCAGTAATGTAGGAAAATTATATGGTTAAGATTCTCACAGAAAACTAAAAATTATTTTGCTAAGACAGATAAATAAATCCCCAAACTCACCACATCGATTCTCAATTTCACGTTTTCTTTGTCAGCTTTGTTCTCATCCAATTTTTCCACATGGCCATACAATGTCTGAACATAAAATAGAACAATATTGACAAAATTGGCTACTGCAACTGCATTGTAAGCGTGAATAATTAAAATTAACCCAATCAATTGTAATTATGTACAAGTCAGACACGCAAGATTTGTAAAGTAAAGTTACTTAATTCATGATATAGTACTCAGTTAAAAAGTAAAATGAATTCATTTTCTATTACAAATAATTTGCTTCAAACTTGGCTTCCATTGGTTAAGCCCTGTACCCTAGAGTCCAAGTGTAATTCTATTCTCCTATTTTGAAGTATAATTTAAGCGATAACTCACATCAATATGTTTTTGTTTGACTTCATGTTCATCTAATGCAGTATTCACAAGTCTGGTTAGTTTTTCCATTTCCGCTTGAAGATTGAGCAAAGCCGTTTGGATTCCAGTAATAGCACTCGATTCCTAAAAAAATAAAACAACAAAATGACAAAATATAAAACTTGTTGACGCTTGGAGATACGTTGAGGTTTCGGACAGACGAAATTTACATGAATATTATATGTTTATCAAGATTGTGCCACAGAAAATTTCAGAGTCATGTCTGATTCATCTTGAGTGAAGCGAAAAAAGTGTAAATTTAAAAAGATAAATGGCAATGGCACAACATGGAGAAGGTCATGTTCATGTCTGTAAGCGAGTAAGCATGTTGCCAATGTCAGCCCAAGAATGTTGTAATACTGAATATCAAGTAAATATTGTACTGAAAAACTTGCTGTTTAATAAACCGAAAATTCTTGAGGTAATGAAATGTCTTCTTTATGTAAGATTGAAAACTGAATTATACTAGTATCTTAATTCATCAGGATAACTTCCCCTGTTGGGATAAATATGTGGGAGAGGATTGCTGGACTCCTCGTCTCCCTAGGGTGGTCATGTAACCGCTGATCAATTACAGCTCTCTCCACCATAAACCGAAACAAATTATAACAAGCAATCCAATACCTGACATGGGATGGTTACCGGACAAGAGGTTGTGGCACGCCATATGATTGAGACGTCCCATCGGCTTAGCTCTACCTCAAGACAAATATGAAAATCCTATCTTCTAATTAACTTGACTAGAAATACTGGTAGTAATAAGCAGATATACCTGTTTCTTAAGCTTAGAGACATGAACTGGAGCCTCGACTTCTTTCACTTCGGTAACATGAGTAACCTTCATTGATTTTTGTTGCGACTGAATCTGTTGCATTGCTTTGTTTAACGCTTTCTGTAAATCTGCTAATTCAGCAATTTTTTTGTCAATTTGATGGATTTGGTTAACAATACCGTCAACGATTGCTCGGACCTCACTAGTCTTGCCATCCTGTTTCTCATCCTCTTGTTGCAATTGCCTGTTCAAGTATTTTTATGAGAATTTTGCCAACACTCTGAGAAAGACTCTAAACAACCAACTGCTATGATTTGTATAAGAAATAATCTTTCCAATTCATAACATTGCACCATGGAAGATTATTTGTTAGTGTTTTAAATAAATTTCTAAAATTTTGGCTGCCAAAATATTTTCGTAACTGCTTGCCTGAAATAATATGTCCAAACTGAATATGGCGAAAATATCTTACTTTGTGACAATTTTTTCATACTAGGCTTATTCCCCCTTTTCCCTCCAGACATGGCCCTGGAAAAGCATCCACTGATATCTAGCGATATGTGAATGTATACTATTTTTGAAAAAAGCAGAATTTGCTGGCTCAGCATTGCCTATTTAATTTATTACAATCTGTGTAATGTTGTTGGTATGGAAACGAGCATAACCTGCGATTCCAACATAATTAAGTCTAACACTTCAACTGCTGTGTCATCATGCCTAGAAGCCCAATTTATCAAATAATCATAAATTATTATTTACATATACATATATGCAATATAGGTTATTATTTCTAGGATAACCCAACAACATAGGCTACAGCTGAAATAAAATCACGAACTATAAAATTTGGCATTCCCATCAAATTCATCTGTTGACTCACTTAATATGGCTGTTCATTTTCTGTCCAAGTCTTTGACAAGCAAGCTCTAATTTTCTCAAGTCGGTTGCGGATGCACCGCTGGATGACTCGTAACCTGAACTTTCTCCATCTGACATAGAACTACTGCCTTTGAAACTCAAAATACTGTCTATACTGTCCTGCTGCATTTTCATCATATCTGTGGCCTGAAATTTTATACTCGACAAGTTAATTTCTAAGATTTTGATCTGACATGAACTGATAATGAGAGATGAATTTGAAAATGCTATTCTATATTATCCAGAATCAATAGGGATTGCAATACCTGATTCCACATTAGGTTTTTACTAACATGCAATCATACATTCTAATGATTTATAGCCTCGTTAGCGCTCAGCACTGCAGTGGTTGCCCGTAACTTCACTCAGAGATCAATATTTCCGAGTGAGTTCGCATGACATTGCTTTCAGAAAAAAATCAGATATTAGCATCCTACATGTAAAATGGTGCTGGATTAAACAAACTAACAATCCCACCTGATCTCTATCTTTCTCCAATTGGGCAATCATATCTTTCAATTGATTTAATTGGTCGAGTAAATCTTCTGGAATGTCCGCAGAACCTCCTAACAAGATCGAATGTTAAAAAATTTAAAAAAAAAAAAGATTTTTCGAAGTAAAAAATTAAAAGTTCTCACCTAAGCCTTCCAAGTCTGACTTATCTGCTTTCGTGGGCAATACATCCTGAAATAAAATAAACAGTGGGGAATGAATTTTAATTCTCCAATTTTAAAAAATGTATTATGTCATGAACTATACACAAACTCATTTGATAAATAAGGCCTTTTTACGAACAGAAAATAAAAATAAACAATACATTTTCCATTTCGTATTACAATCACGATATAAAAAGGTTAATTACTATTATACTTCCAACGAAAAATAGTTTTTTCATTATCATTTCATTCACAGTTTATCAGCAGTAATACGAGAAATATTGAAAAACTGAGCAACAGAACAATACATACCTCTATGCCATCAACTCTTCCCTCAAGAACGACATGTTTTTCATTGAGGGCACCAATACGTTCAAGCATTTCTGTCGCCTATAAGAGACAAATATTATAATAGTGTTGAAAAATTAGGCAAATGGAAATTTCAATAATATTTTACCAATATGCAATTAAATACATCTAATCTTCTAATAATCTTCAGGTATTCATGGTATATATTCCTCTTTAACAAATCAAATTTCTACGTAAATTTTGTTCTCATAGTTTTAGCCTGTGTGACTCCGACCTGACAGCGTGGGACAGAGTATTATGGCAATTATCTGTCGGTTGTAAAATTTTGCATCTTTTCCATTAACTGTGCTTTTACTGTATTAATGCAAACCAGCATTAACAATCTTCAAAGACAAACATTTTTAATCACTTATCAATTATTTTTTTCATTTTTTAAACACGCAAAATTTTGATTCTTTGTATTTGCGGAATCAAATATTACAATTTTCATCACTAACAAATCAACAAACCTGTGGGAATCTTTCTTTAGCAGAACTCAATCTTGAACTTGTGGGACTTGGTTCGCTTAATACCGGTGAAATCTGCTTTGCTACAGCCTACAAAAAGAAGTGAAATTTTTATACGCCTTTACTCTAAACAAGTCTATGTGCAAGAAACCACCAAGGGGATTATATAACTATAATTTGAAAGAAACAGTAATTTTCCAGTTTGGCTTTGCCCACCCATTTTTTTACACCCTTGGTGATAGGGTGGGATTTGAACCCAACGTCTTAATAACTGTGATGCCAGTAAGTATAATGCTTCGATCACTAGGCCCTCATGCTTTTCAGCTCTTAGACTGCTACAATAACCACTTCAGTTAGTGAATAAACATTTTCATATCATTTAAATTTGGTCAAGTACCTCTGACTATCAATACACTTAGTAAAGAGTGCTTGAATTATGACACTTGAAATTGAACTAACAATAACACTCAGGAACTATAAACTTCATGGGTCGTTCATATATGAGTGTTAAAACCAGAATAGCCTAATAATATTCTTAGTACAAAAAATATCACATTGATAGAAACATGATTTAACCCAAAAATCATCATCATTAATAGAAAAAACAGGTACAGATGTTTTAGATTTAACTCATGAATGTGGAAAGCCTTTGAGATGGTTTACTCATGAGGCAAATTACAGCCTCTCGTCGTGCTAACAATCATTTTTGAGTAATTAGTTGGTAAGTTATTCCTGGATACAAGGACTTAATGGTGGAGGAAGCCAATACTGATCAGCAGTTGTGTGAACCAACCGTGAATCGTGGGATTTGAATCTGCGCAGTGTGATCAGAGATGCAATGGCGAGTGTGATCAGCGGTTCGTATAGAACATGTATTTTTTTTTTATAGAGCTTTCAGAACAAGGCTCTAGACAAGCCTCTACTGATACACAACAATTAAGCTGTCGAACTGATCATAGTCTTTACATTTCAATACACCCTAGTGGTTACTAAAGCTGATTATGATGACCAGGAGCCAAGATTAAAAGCAGAAGAACATTTGCAGGCCAGGAGAGGGGAGCGCTCGCAAGGGGTGGTACCGATACAATAATTAAGATACCAGTATAATTGATTTGTTACGAAAATGCATAGGCTTAAACTGTGATATTGACGTAACAATTAACATTATCTACAACGCAAAATAAGAAAAAAAATGAAGTGTTAAACTATTTCACTTTCACAAGTTTGTCGGGCCATATTTAATTGTTACGCGGGTCGTAATTGGCCCATGGGTTGTTTTATTTACTTTACCTCAATATTTTTTTTACATTTTATATGGAGTTATCTTACTTATACGAATGGACAAACCTGTAGTTCCTCCATCTTTTTCATATGTTGACTGAGAGCTTCTTCTAACACAGGCCATGTTATGTAATTCTCAAATTCACTTGCGTCAGGATATCCAGATAATTTTGCTGATAACTCGGCCTAATGAAAATAGAAAAGATTAGACTAATTTTCGAGAACAGATCTCTTCAATTGTAACAATACTGAATTACTGACATTTATTTTAAGTCTGCTAATTATATTTAACAAAGAAAAAAAGAAAAAAGACAAAAATCAAGGAGTAAATTATGAACAACAAAGCATATAAAATTCCTTTCCAAAGTAAATCAAAACCATGTGCAAACAGTCTGGATAAATATACTGGTAATATAAGTAACACCACAATCAAACATCTGCTATTAAAAACACAGCAGCATTTATAGAATTTGAATAAGATATATAGAGAGAAAATTAATAAATTAACAAATGCTTCCATTATACAAGTAGGTGGTAACTACATTATGTCCTGTTGGAAATTAGAAATTTTTTATTTTTCTTACATTTAATCAAATTTATCATGGCATATGCAACAAATTTATACTGAATTATTTAATTAATAATGATAAGAAGAATCAATTCACAATTACCAAACCTCCAAGCAGAAGAATTAAATTATCTCTAAAAAATTATATTTCTAAAATATTTTTTAAAATATTATGTTTCTCCTCCACAGTGTAAAATCTACAACCAACAAAATAAATATGACAATAATTGTTTCAATAAAAAGGTTAATAAATATAATTTTCTGTTGATATCCATAACAGTGAAAGTTCGAATTTTATTATCATTTTAATATAGTTGTCAGAACTCATAAAAGATATTGAATGTTGACATAAATCTTCCTCTTAGATCAAATATTATACTACACCCTTACGTGTACATATCCTATAAATATTATTACCACTTCCGAGCATACATTTCAATATGAACAAAACTGCTTGTCGAAGGAAAGCATGTATTGCAAAACTGTATGAAACCCTATTATAAAATATTCATTATTTAAAATTCGAAAATTATTTTTAAAAATGTATCCAAATAAAAAAATGGTTATTTATCAAAAAAAAAAATGTGAAATGGAAATTTCAAACAAAATATGGTTTGACAAATTTTGATAACGGTATATCTTCCCAATAATGATATAAAATAAAATTTGAAAAAAGTATGATACAAAACTTTAGGATCACTAGGTGTAGCCATGTTGAATCATACTTCAGTACTTTCATACAGTGATTTGAAATAAAACAAAAAAGTATTTGGTTGAACTATATGTATTACTCCAATTGATCTCATACCAATAAACTTCAAACAGCAAGAAAATCTTATAAATTGCGCAACATTACTACCATGTTACGCAATTCAAGAATACTGCTGTACACTAACACATGATTGTCCATTTCTTGTCATTGTTGTAAACTGCTCGTCTGAGGAAGTATGATTTTGGCAGACGAAAAGTTACAGAAATATATTTGTGTTACTGTGTAGCAGGATTTATGGATTGCGAAGTTGAGTCATGTTTATTCCTGCTACAGCATACTTGGATTATACGCATACGCAAAGTATAGAGAAAAGATTGGCAATTTGTCTTGTGTAACCCCAACTCATAATTACTACTGTCAATTCTAAAAATTTAAATTAAGGTATATTGAGTTAGTGATATCTGTATAATCTAATGCTCATACTCTGTTTGAGGAGGCTCGAGTCATTGGCTCACTCAAGTTGTACTCGAGTCATGAACTCACTTTGCACTCGAGCCACTATTTATCCAAGACTCGAAGTGACTCAAGTAATCTAAATGGAATACCTCAGACTCAGACTAAGCTCAAACACATATTTTGAACAAATACTTACCAATTCTTCTTCAATTTTCTTGATTTTTTCATTGTAATCTTCCAAATTACTCAAGCGCTGCAGAATATCGGACATATCACCAGACTAAAATACAAATTATGTTCGATAATAAAATTTGAAAATATAAGTACGGGAATTGTGTAAGGAAACCCCTGGGTTCAGAGACTTCTTTCTACTGGCTGAATCTGGTAATCGTGTCAAAATTCAAAGAATACTTATAAAAATACAGCTGGAAATTTGAGAAAGACTGGTTACACTGCAACTTGTGTATAAATCAAACAATTCAATTTGTATTCCATAAGTGTATAGTTTCCTTACCTTTGCTATTTCTTCCCATATTTTTGAAATCTGATCATTGAAATTTTTCTGATCATCTCGTAATTTTTTGATTTCTTTCAATAAGTCATCAAGCAATGAATTGGCCTGAAACAAGAAAAAAATCAAGTAAATTTTCTCGCTATTTCAAATGACGAGGCATATTTTCATAGCAATACAATGCCAAATAAATACAATTTGATAATAAGTACTATTTCTTTGACCAGCAATAAATTTAGAAATGTCTAATTAAAGTTTATAATAAAACCATAATTATGGCTTGAATCAATATTTATTTGTATCAATAAATATCAACATTTAATATTACTTGTACTGTATTATTATTCTTTTTTTTACTTTGGAAAATTTGAGAAAAGTTTTAGAATAAGTCCAGGAAGTCTATTTACCCTTGTAACTCCTTCTTCGTTACTTTGAACTTTTTTCTGTAATTGCATATGTTGCCAGATGTCAGCTACTGGTGATATTGCAGTTCCAGATCTATTATAAACACGGAATAACAAAATAAAAGCATACCATCACGTCTTGAGGAGAAAAACAAGAAATTTACAGATATAAAGATTTTTGAATGTTTGAGTCTAGTTGGTGCATCTAGCAGCTTTCCTCTTACTTTGTTTTTCCAAGAATTTGTTCATTGCTTGGTAATGAATTGAGAACAGTGAGTTGACTCTCAATTTTTGATACTTTTTTATCAATTTCTTCCAACGAAGTTGATTTTCTTGCAGAAGTATTACTTTCTGTTGCTTCCAGTTGAGGTATTTGATCTAAAAAGTAAGAGATTGAATTAAGAATTCTGACTTCTGAGTATACATTCATAAATTGAAACAAGAAAATTTTTACAAATAAAAAAAAATTGTTCATTTAGATTAGAAATCACCAGAACCGATTATTGTCAAAAAATATAAACTGAAAGATACTTTTTATTTAAAATATAATGATTATTTATGTATTCTGCAATGGGCAAGTATTTAATTTCAAATCTTACAACACATGGTGAACCACGCCAGTTACCAGTTCATGTTGGGTATGAGATTAGATCACCAGTTGTTTCAGACTTTCAGTGTTTTAATCAAGAATCACCTGTATTGATTGAAGCTTTTGCATCTTGCAAATTCAATTTATCAAGGAGTGATAAAAGTAAAGATTGTAAAATGTTAAAGTTGACTGCTCCAACCTGAAATATTAATAAATTGTAAAAAATAAATTATTATCACTCATAATGTTAGCCTCATTTGAGGCTGTGGGTTAATTATATCTTGAACTCAACGGTCACCCCAGTGGGGTTTTAGACTTTAATTCTCGGTGGCCATTTTTTTATGACTCTTAATTAGCACTTGTGGCCCCTGCTCTTATATAAAAATAGCTAGTTTGCTTTTATTAATGCGCATCAATGAGTTTTTTTATGTCCCACATCTCATAATGAAAAAAAATAAATAAATAAGAGAAATAGAATAAATTGGATCACAGTCGAGGAATTAAACAAATGGCACTCAATTTAATTTACATTGATGTAGTCATGGTCAATGGTACTCAGTGAAAATCATGGCACTCTAGGAGACCAAGGGCCTAATCTGAGAAACCCATTAGCGCATTTTGTTATGGGAGAATCTAAAAATATATTTCAACATATAAATAGATATAACAAAAGAATATTTAATCATAGGAATATTTCAGCATACCTTAGAAATTTCTCAATTTTTCAAACAATAAATAAATCTTACCTCTGGAGTTCCCAGTGCCAAATAAACCAGTTCATTTAAAGTTTTTTCTGTATAAGTTTTTTCCACTTCCATTGTTGCAATACAGAAGCTCTTGAATTATAGAATCTTTTTTATTTTACCATCATTGTAATGGATGTGAGCGAAAGTTTTATTTTCCTTGCTTGTTTTTGGGATTTTAGGCTTATATAAGTTGGAAATGAAAAAAAAAATTCATGATTCAAAATAGGCTAATAAATCCAAAATCTTTTTCTTCTGTCTGATTTTGGTATATTTACCTAGAGTCATCAATAAATTTTTAGAAATATTGTTAATTGATGGAACACAGAACACTTTCTTTGAGCAGCACTAATCAAAATAATATGAATCTGGTTAAAATGTAATGAGAGCTGACTTCCTAACTAAATTTTGAAATTGTAACAGAACTTTATTAACACTCCGTATTCTTCAGAAGATACTCACTCTATTTTTTAAAAATTGGCTTGAGTGAAATTCTATTAAAAGCTCCCTTTTAATGAGTTATAATGAGAGAGTAAGTTAAAAATAAATTCATAAACATTTTAAAAATTATCCCAAAGTATTTAGGTTATATAATTCCCAAATCGGTCGTTTTCAAATCACTGTTTCATAAGTTAAGCCCGCAAGAAATCTGATTTTAAATTTATGCTCACTATCCAAAGTGTCAGATTGTTGCATTACTGTTAAACTTCCAAACTTGATCCCCTAAATATCACAGCATACAGGCATAACAATATGAAAAGGGTTACTAAGAATAGTGGACATATTGCCGTACCGTAGCCGTATTGCTTTTACTGTCTGCATGTGGTTAAACAATTCAAATATAGTTTTGAGAAGCCAACCAAATCAGAATGATGAAAGTAGAACTCTTACGTCTTTGGTCGCAGCGTTAACTATAAAGTTATAACTAACTTCCGTGAGTTATTTCTGTATTTATGAGGTACCGGCAAAAGCGAATGTCTACTTCTGTAATTGCTTGTGAAAGTGTGTTACTATTCTACACTACACTCAAGTTGTTTATATTACAAATGAAAACATAACAATGTATAAATCTAAAGCAAAACTGGACAGACATAAAGACGCCGTTCAGCAAGCCGGCGAGTTCACGGCCGCAATAATCGTAGTCTGCCCAAAGATATACCGAGCGTGATGTCGTCATGGATACACAAAAGACTGCTTTACGCTTGAATAATCGTTAGTCGTTCCTTCGCGTGCCATTTATGTTCCAAATAGTTTTTATTGATAATTTTCCGCTGGTCCCAAGTTTTATATTAGAAAAAAGAAATTTTAATTAATAGCTTGACTACCCTGCCCTATCAGAAAAAATATCAGAATCTTCCTCCTTGCTGATTTAAGTTTATTAATGATTTCCGACATTCCAATGCATCTTAATGCTTTATCATCGTGTTTCATACATTTGAAACTTTTTGTTCCGAAAATTCAACGCCCACTATGTCTAGTATACTCATTCATTTCAAAATTTATTCCCAGAATGACGTCAATTCTTTTACATCGTCTGTAGAGAATCGGCCACTTCTTTTATACACATACATTACGGCCTCAGAAACACTTTTTCTTCTTAGATTTCCTGCCTTTTACTGACTTCAACCATTGCACCTTTTGTCGGGATGAATTTCCTCCATTTCTTCTATTTAGTTTTCAGCTTTATAGTGATTTCCACCCCACCGTCCGTAAGAAGAATTATCATTCGCTACTTTCATTCTGGTTTCATCCCTTCTGTAGTAGTTTAAAGTTATTTGTTAAGATTATTTCACGATTATTTCAATGATTATTTCACGAGCAAGGGGATTTCACGATTTTATTCGACTATCCATCATTGGGAGGCCTTGGCGGGAATTCATGCAGTAAATTTTTCATATATATATATATGAGAAATTAGACCTCACCTTAATCGTATCTGGTGGATTGTCGACTGTATGCACTATGCTATGTCAATGCATGACTATTATCAGGGTGCGCCAGTTCTGCGAAGCTTAACTGCTAGAACAATGCCTTGTTCTGAACTTCCAGCAAAAAAAGTTCCTGCAATTAATTGATCAGATAACACAGATGGTTCAATAGAGTTTCGCATTGAGCACTATGCTCATCAAGAAAGTGCTGTATATTTAGCGATATCTTGAATTTAAGAACAATTCAAGAAGCCCAACGTCGAAAACCCCGTTTTAGTTACACGGGACGCTAGTGGCTGTGTGTCATTTATTGCTCACCACTTTGTCACACAAAAAGAATGTTATATGGGGGAATTCCACTTCTACAAGAACTCATCTAAAAAGTGAAGAAAACCCACATTTTGATGAATTCTGAATGAAGGGGCAAATATTTTGTCGAGCCACGCATAATAATATACATATATATATCTGTTATTACGCAAAGGTACACTTGAATATCAACCACAACCAATGACTTTTTATATAAGCAACCTATTAATAAATTCAATAATTGTTTTGGAATCAATTAATAAAACCTATTGCAAAAATTAGGTATTGATTTGGTGGAGTTCAATAGATTTGTCGTTGTTGCGTCCTTTTCGAAAATTAATATCAATGTAGAATTAAGTTAGATAGGTACACTTTATTATTTATCTGTAATATGCAAAGGTAAAGTGTTGACAGTTGTTTTTTCTCGGGGTCCATTGTTCCAAAAGTCATCTATATACAGAAAATTCAAACTGGGTCATGATAAGTAAGCAAAATACGATAATGATATCTGATGAGTGTGCACCAAAGCGTGTGTTCTAACAAAAACTAATAAGTTATAGCCTGAAAGCAATATGCAGTAGTGGAACGGTGCCGAGGCACATTCACAACACCATTACATAAAATTGTGTTATTGCTACAAGAATATGATATTTGAACAGAAAGGGTACAAAAATCGTATTCCTCGCCAATCTGACAACTGGAAAATTCCTGTCCAAATCAATAAACGTAGAATGTCCAGCATTGAAAATGTCAAAAATTACAAGTTATAAAAATTCACCTATTATATCATGAAATAGTATTGCATCGAATATACAAGATAGCAATATATATGACTCAATGATAACGCACTTCGCCCCTATTTAAGCGCAATACACCAAAGATATCAACAGTTTCAAGGTGTATACCGAGGTTGCGTGATAAAAAGTGGAATTGAAGAGAACAAGATTCCATGAATTGGGCATTTTCATATCCTCACAGTAAGATGTTATTATCATGCAAAAAAAAAATCATGTCTACACTTCTAGTCTTCTCTCCACTTCAGATTCACTTAAAAATATGTCCCGTGCATCAAGACTAGTCTAATTTGATCAAGCGCGTGCCACTTTGAATTTAAATGAGTAGCGGTTTCATGAGAACAAAAACTTCAGGGAAGAAGAGGAATTGAAAATTTTCAAATAGCTCTTTTGTAGAAATCCCCTGCCACTAATACAAAATGAGAGATTTCGTAAAGACACTCCCGCCAAGTTTTAAAATTAAAAATAGTAATTATCCATTTCGGGTTCGGGTTAAGAATGATTTATAAATTAGAATTTCTAGCTCATTCTGCATTTTGAACCCTAACCCCAACCCTAACTGGATAAGTAATATTTTTTATTTTATTTTGAGCGGTGGCGAGGGCTTCCTACAAAAGATCCTCAAACCAGGAATTGATTCCCCTTCCATCAACAATTGAATGCATTACTTACTGCCATAGACCCAATGAACAACTTTTGCTCAATGCAATTCTTCGAATATTTTTATATTTTACGAATTTAGGTCACAAGTTTTACAAACACGTGAAATCTAAAGCCCCATTATGTATTACAAAGCGGGCACAACGTTCACTGTTTTGAAGACGAAGATAACTTTTTATCCCAGTCTCGGTATGTTTCCATAAATTTTGCAAAATAATAATGGTGTTGAATGAATAATGCTAGTTTTTGGGAAGTAGAAGGCAAACTGAACTAGTTCAGTCTAGTCTATAGGTTGCGCAGTGCGGAAATTGTTGACGTGCATCATGCATATGTAGCTTTTTTGTTGTCTCACTTTATCACTCCTTCTCTCTTTGCGTCGCGCAATTCTTCCTCTCTCTATTTTACGCCAGAAACCGTTAGTGTGAGCATTCGTTTCCGCGGTCGCAGGGCCACCCTCTTGCATGCCGTCATTGATGAGATTGTTGACAGCAGGGCTGGAGGTAGGTCGCATCGTCTTCACAGTCAGTTTTATTTGTTTTCAGCATGAGAAGTATAGCGATTAAAGAAAACTTAAAAACAGAGAATTCTCTTGTATGTTACCCTACTTCTTGTGTTTTCAATAACTTTTCTCAGTGTCACGTTCGCAACTTGTGGTGAAGCTTATATTGAAGTATAAGGGATTTTTTTTCGCATCCTTCTTATCACTGTTGAGGACTCGTGAGTTAGAAAGCGAGTAACGTAATAACGAATGTTTAATAACAGGATGGCCTATGGGTTGATATCTTATTCTAACGTATAAACATTAGATTTAAATATTGATTGCTATACCGGTAAATGATTCGGAAAATGCAATCAAAATGATACGAGACAAAGTTTATGACAACTAAAAGTTAAGGAAGGCTACGGATAATAATAAACTTGTTAATTAAAAAATTGTATCACTCTTCTCGATAAACACGAAGCCACTCGTCACTTTTGGTCGCCGGATTATGAAAATGTTGAAATTGAGGAAATGTCACAAAAAGGAAGTTGTTTATTAAAATAATTTTCTATGAAAGATTGTGGTGAAATAATCAATGAAAATAATTCCGGATTCCTCACATAAAGATTTGAGCGATATAAACCTTCTGCTCAGTCAGTAAAATCAAAATCAGCTACTAGCAATATAATATGAATCAGACGAGGTATTCCCAAAGCGCAAACACTATAAGCCGCAACGGGCCTCAGGAGATACCTCGTGTATGAATTTTTCATCAGTAATAACCACCTGCGCTTGTTTTCTCTTTCCAGTGCGCGTAAAATCGACGGATAAATGATTATTGAATTTGAGCAGCAGCCTAATCGATACCGCCGTTCATCTTTGACGGCGAGTAAGGGCGAAGCACCGCAATAACAACAGAAAAGCTGAAGGCGACTTGCAGAGCCTCACTTTGCAATCTGCGAATTCTAGCGTAAAGTCGCACCAAGACGACCAAGTAACATCTGTGCAATATGGGAAACTCCGTTGCGGGATACGATAGAACCGATCAAAGGATCTCCAGCATCGAAAAAGAGGTGAGAAGCTTGTTTACTTGCATAAAAAATATTGCAGTTATTGATTTGTAACGTAAGTAGGATTATATTATCTTTAGTTTAATATTTAATTGTCAACAGCGGTGAAATAGCAATGCAAAGTAGACTAAGAATGTTGTGTTAGTATGTGGTGCGACGCGAGTACTTTTGTGGCCTATTTTACGAATATTTGAGATGTCTTTTAGACAAAGTAGGTTAGTTTAGTTAGGCTGTTACAGTTTGACAATCTTCGTTGTTTATTTATTCATTGAATCATTGATTATGAAGTGTCGGAAATTCATCGGTTGTTTAGAATCTAATAGCTTGACAAAATGATCAACTAGTATTTCTATCCTCGACTTTGTTTGTGAATATACATACGGGTTTTTTATGCCTTTCAAATCATATTACAAATGACGTTTCCGTGTTCCTCAATTTCAATATACTCAAATTTTATCTTCATTCTGATGCCACCCACTGTTATCAAATTTATACCGGAACAGGTCAGCGTCGTGATATGATAGTATGATAAAATTCGTGTATGGTTATAATACATTTGAGCCGTTAGTCATTTAAAAATACTCATTTAATAATATGAGAAACAAGGAAAAATATATTATTTAGTGCTGATTATTATAAATATTACTTCTCTAAACGAATCAGAAACGTCACGTTCTGATTCAAATCTCATTGCGCGTTTTCGGTTTATATGAGTTTAGTAATTAGAACAATTTGCTTCGTTTGGTGAAATATATATATCTAACAGTGTAATGAGTGCTGCAACAATACAAAATCGCTATTCAGAAATCATGGTTTGCCTTGCGTGAGTATATAATAAATACGTGCATATTATCAATGGCCCGTGGTGACTGTTTGTACATCGAATTTTTTTTATCATTGAAGACTCACACAATGTAATATGCTACATTACTAAGCCTCTAACGCGTTCAACATGTCACAACATCCGGTGAAGACATATCTCGAATCATACGATTGAATCATATTCCGTGTATATATGCCAGCAAGTATGCATGCATTCGTGCGCGTCACCCAGTATTTGAATATCATGTCGGTATCTCACGATATTATAAATTTGTTTTGCGATTTTGCATGTTACCAAGATGCATATATCTTACAGATTCATTTCGTTTTAAAGTTTGTCATGAAAAATGACTTTCTCTATATCGAACTTTAAAATTTTGTCGTTACGAAAATAAGCGTGAAAAGTTATAAGCTTATGTGTTTATCGGCTCGAGTGATACCGAACTGGATCGAAAACATGAGTACGACCCTATAAAGAAAATAATAAATTTTGGAAATAAAAGTAAAAAACTGAATCAGTAAATGATTTCTTTACAACGGTTTTGGTCCACTTTTCATGTGCATGGATGATAATTTGTCTCTAAATCGCTTCATCTAATCAATACTAATGTTGAATATGGAATTTTTAATTTTATATAACAGGTGTATATAACAGTGTTCATTAATTCTAAACATTGTATAATAATCAAATGATAGGGATAATTCATTTTTTTACATAAGAGCCGGACTTGTTGGCCAATCAGTCCAGGCAATTGGTCCACTGGGAATTACGTAACGGATTTTTCTGTTTTTACCTCATTGAATATTCATCTATATTTTAAATTCAAATTTGTGTGCTCGTAATTTTATTCGTTCTTTATAATTCGCATGGCCGTAGGTAAACATCATATTCCGATATTATATAATATTTCTTCCGTGGTCAGCCTTGGAAAAATATCTAAATGATTTAATTTCAATCTAAAAATTGATTTGAGCTTTAATGTAAATATCCTGTTAGAAGTTTCTCCTGTTGTCTTAATCCTGCGTTCCTTAGATCAATCGACCTGAAAATTAAATATAGAGAGAAGGATACGGCACAGCTTGTATTTATTAATTCTTCTATATTGCACAGAGGGACCGAAAAATCACGAATCGGGAAACTTGATTAGTTATAGCGGCGAATCTTTGGGGAGTTGAATGAAACAATATAAAATATTTTCGCTGGTATTATGTAAAATAGCTCGCGAATCAGTATTTTGTTTCCTGCCTTATGTTCCATCTTCATATTTGAATTACTCAGCTATAAGCGCAATTACATAAAAGATCTATGATTTCTTACTTGAAAATTAATTTTGTTTTGTTCGGATATTCGGATTTGAGATTATAATTTTTTTTTGCATTAGAATATATAGAAAAAATATAAACGGCCCTATACTGCTATGACTCGCCTCAGTGAAATTAAATATACAAATATTAATATAAATACCAAGGAATAACGCTTAAAACAGGACAGCGCTTAGGTCACAGATCTGACCCGGGCATATTGTCCATAACATGACTGCAATAGCCCTACGAATACTGTCATAACGACCTTTTGTTGAACATTGTGATCTCATATTTTGAGGGCAAAATGTGTGAATCTCGAACCGGGTGAAATTAAGGCCAGGCGTTCATATACTATTACTACCAATAACAGCTATTCTATGTATCCCGTTTAACATATTAATTACGGAACCTGTTTTAACTCACCTGAAACAGACGCCAATTAAGAAATGGGATTCAGAATTCGGTTTCGAAGGAAAGTACCTCACTTATATCCCACATCCACCGACAGTCTCATGCACTGATTAAAGTGATATAATCGATTTCCCCCACTTCGAAGGCAGTTTTATCGCGATGACATATATGTATTTATCTGGGTTTTACAGGGTGATGAGTTGAGATCATATGTTTAATAATCTCCTCTTAAAGTTATAAATTAAATTCGTTCGCTAAGATTTCTAGTGCGTTTATTTTTATCAAGTTTCATATTTTTATAAAATTTCAAACCTGCCTCTTTCAGTTTCAAGTTCTTTGAGTGGCAAAAAAATCTTTGATTGGCAAAACATTAGAAATTTTTCAATCCACGCTCATATTATTAATTGGGTTTTTCTATAAATCATATCAGATTACGTGTTTTCGATGTTAAAAAAAAACAATTCTAATTATAATTTGAAAGATAAATTTTGCCCCAAATAGCCTTATGTCCGAGGATTTTTTTTTTTTGTATATTCTATGTTTATCATAAAATCGATAACATAGTCTTTTGTTTATGAGTGCTCAAAAAGATTTAAACAAATTCGGTACATCTGGACCCTTCTGATGAACTGGTCATAAACAGTTTACCGGAAGGACAACGTGAATCAGTCATTAGGTTTAATATCACTACCTTTCAGTCTCTTGTGATTGCGATTATTTTGTTGTCGGAGTCATAAGCTTACATAGTCAGTAAACATACCGTTCAACGTCCTAAATTGTTCTTTCCTGACGACCCTTGGGGATTTTATTATCACGAGAATCGCTATACCACTAATACGTAACACTGAAATGAGTAATTAATTCACATGATTATGAAGGCGTACATTACTTTCGTTCAAGTTTAAATTGGTCAGTGATGCGGAGTCGGGAAAACTTACAAATGACTACGACTCTGTTAGGATAAATTTTGACTCCGACTTCCTAGTTGTAAAATAATTGACTCCGACTTCAGTTTCGAACTCGGAAAAAATCAAATTTGATAAAAAAACACTGGCGCATGCATGTTCCTTCCCTTTGTTGTTAAGACCACTCAGCAAACTTGATGTTTCTTGAGTTTTTGAATAAATTTTGACTCTTATTATCACCATTAAAAGTATGAAAGACTCACAACTCCGGTAAATTTGAAATTTTCCATTTCTACTCCAGATAGACTAAATATTTGACTCCATCTCCGACTCCATTGAAAATATGCCAGTCTTCGAACTAAAAGCCCTGATTTTGGCCTGTTAAGACTTTCTCATCCAATATTTCTTGTTAAAACTGCGTTATCCACATATTTTGCAGGAGTATCGTGTTGTAAAAACGTTATCATAATCACGTAACATATGTTTTTGGTATTTATGATAAAAAAAGTAAAATATTTTAATACACTCATTAAGCGTTTTACGTATTTCATGGAAATCTTCAATTTTTTTCGCAATTGAAAACACGATCTCGGTCTGTACTCGGTCTTCAAAAGTAGTGATTTCTAAAACGAATTTCGTTACACTCGCAGACATTGATCATACATAAATCAAACTTGATTCACTGATAAGTTATTACTCTCATGCTGGCCATTCGTTGAAAGAGTCAGATAGAGTTTGAAACTGATCTTTGATTTAAGACAAACCGCGTCACGAAAATTTTGTATTTTCGAACTGACTCAATAACAGTCATGCAGCGCGTTTATTCGTCAAATCTAAAATAAGTAATATTGCGAATACATATCATCACATGTGCATCTTCAACCCCATTTAAATTTTTAAAATTCTTGAAAAATGTTTGGTGACTAAAACTCCCATTTAATAAATGATATACGGTAGTTACAATGCATAAAAGGACAAAGCCTTCTCTTTATGTGACAGCACATGAATTTCCAAAATACGTTGAAAGAACTGTCGTCCGTCACAGCGGCAAATCTTTGACGTTTTTGACACCTTTCCGAATGAGCCCATGATATAAAAATATCTAAAAAAGTTATAACTATCAAAAACACCGTTTACAGCAGTTAGTGCTATTACCCATAGCGCCTCAAATGCGACGTAATAATTTCCTTGTCTATATTATGCGTGCGTCAATTTGTGGTATTATTTTCTGAGTATTAATTTCACATAATAACTTGTTACTTTAAAATAGGCGATGTTATTAGCGGTTATGGAGAAATAAATAATTCAAGAATTGCCTATTTTTGTGGGACGACACCCAAAAAACTTGAAAAATGTTTAAAAAAAGTTCATGTGTCGTGCGTCATTATACACAAATATGGTCATACTAGAAAACCTGCCCGCTTTTTACTAGTCTAATCAATACTCCAGCATGAAGAAAAGGTCACAAAAGGTATACGAGATGGAAAATCTATTGCGTATTAAGAGGGAGACAGCAACTCAATGAATAATTTAAACCATTCCCGCCTGAAATTGATGGAAAATTGCACACCCAGTTTAGCGTGTGTGGTATACAAATTATATGCGCTGCTGAGCGTCCATCTTTTGCGTGTATTGAATACACTCCTTCAAAATGTGATTAGTTCGTCGGCAACAATACAGCAAAAGCAACTTATTTTTCTATTTAATGCTTATTTACGCTTTATTACCGCGCTAAACAAGGCCCAATACAAGAAGACAATGAAATATTGGCAATTTTTCCAATCCTAAATTAAAAAATATTGTAAACATTTCTCAATTTAACTTTTCACACACTTTTTTGAATATTTGAAACCCCAGGTCTCAGCCTATTTATATTGTTCCCTGTAATATGCTTTCAATGGGATTTCAATTTAACCTTCAGTCCATATAAAAAAAACAGTCTGTGTATGGTTCTTATATTTATACATTGAAGTCGGTGTATAACGTGTAGTTTCGTGGAAGCACTCCATTCATAAAAATGTCATATGCCACATGCAGACTGTCTGTGTATACATTAAAACGTGAATATTTCCTGTTATATTCATTTGATTTTCTATCCACAATACTTGTATCGATATATTTACAAATTGGCGCCAACTTAGGTTCGTCATAATTCTTTTCTGCTGATGGCAAACCATGTTTTTTTTTGTCATTTTCAGAGATATTCAACAATTTGAAAATCAATCATAACGGGAGTGAGTGTAAATAATATGAATATACGGTTTATACGTTTAAAAACCATCGTAAATTCAACCATACGACGAATTTTTATGGTACAAATTCGAATAAATTTAAGGCTACGTCATCATTTGTGACGTCATTAACATTTATATGTGAAATGGTTTGTAACATACTCCACCGTTGCTTGGATATGGTATCTCTTTTGTGTGGCAAGGAAATCATCGCTGAAGCGAATGCAATCGTTATAAATTGACAATTAGTGATCGATCATCAAATCTGGTTATCAATGCTCCTCTTCATGCGCTCGTTAGATATTCACAATCCGTTTTTGTTTTCGTTTTATTCAGCGTCGTTTAGTCGTTGGTCAGTGTATTGAAGGTAGTGAACAGTATAGTATCTATCTGGTTGTTGTATACATAATTTACGAAATGCACAGTGTTCTGCCAGTATAATTACGGTAGTTACATACAGTATGGAGCGCCAGTCACTTTACTATTGCATTCCTTAGGTTACTTCTATATTCTAAATATATATTTGATGTACAAAACCTGTTTGACTTGTATGTAAGTAGGTCAGATATATGATGCATTAATTCAATGTTGTTTTGAATTTCATTTTCCTAGGTGGGAAGGTATAAATGTGTGTTTTTGCTTTAAAATTATTCAATTGACGCCATTAGGTAATTAACATATAGGACTAGAATAAATGTTCAAAATATTAATGCATATATGACGTTCGCTATCCTAGTTGACAATGCATTCATTGTTTGCTGTTTGCCATTTTCCGGGTTCAGATATCAGTAGGTTATTGTTTTATTTGGATTGTAATATCAATTGTGGGTTAAATATGATTTACACCTTAACAGACTTAATTTATCTACGAAAAATGTTTGACTGTTTTTCATTTAGTGACATCTACTAGTATCTTGGGATGAGCTGTTTTTTTTTCAATTCTTCCCCGACCTATGGATACTTAAGACAGCAGCATATAAGGCAACATGTAATCGTCATAGGAAACTTCATGAGAAAGAGATAATTACGTGAAATATGAAAATGCGTTGACCGTTAAATTTAAAATTGGCAATTAGAGCGCTCCAATCAAAAAAACAAAAGTATATTAAACATCATAAAATATAGGGGAATGTAAAATGTTGATAAAAATTAACTATAGGAAAAAGAATCTTTGAAATTGATGGTTGATGTGCTTCTCCATGAAGGCTTAGTATTACGGAAGTACCAATATTACTCTGGACATCTCGTGCGCCCGATTTTAATGACGTCGAGTGTCGACCATTGCTCTCATGCACATAATTAACCTTGCAAGAAATCAATTTGTTTCATCATGCATCTTTAAATCAATAACGCAATTTAACATATCGAACCTGAAACTAGAATACAAAAAATAATTATCAATCTGTCAATAGCAATATGGGTTGCGGTAATTCACTAATATCTTTAGAATTTGACCTTGTTTAGAGAGCATTTTTAGCCGACTTTATATATTGCAAGAGAATTTGCTTAAATGAACGTCACTTGTCAGGGAATGCCTTAGACACGAGAAGAAATCAATTCAAGCGTTTGGCAAGAATTTCACTGTCTAGCACTAGGGGGGTACACTGGAAGTAAATGGCCCACACCCAACCGATCAGGACGACTAAAATTTTTTTCCTGTTGAACCAATTTTCGAAAGTTCAGACTGATATTACCCGACAACAAACTTGTCTGTGACCTCTAATGACATTACCTCAAAGCCAGCATTAAGCATTTTTACCCAACTTAAGTACTATTCAAACAGTATGTCCACGGTATGAAATAAATTTATATATTAGGCGTACAAACAATTTCAATTTTGCGTTTATTGTTTTTTCCAGTTACCTTTCTTAACACACCATGGGCGGAAAAAAAGATCACTAATATTCCATTCTGGAACTTGGAAGCGAATTGTTGAATCTACAAGAAGACGAGGAACAAAAATTAAGGTTTGTAGCCATATTTTTAGCTTTTTATGTAAAGCCTTGTTCGAGGCAGACTTTATCCGTGTAATTTGCATATTTTGCTGCAATTAAATTCAACGCAAGCTCATTCATAAACTTTTTTATTGGAGAATGAATTAGTCGATTTGAATGATTTGATATTACCAAATCAATAGTAATTTACTAAGTAAGTGGTCGAATGATAGAATTTGTTACAACATTAACCAAACTTAAATCATAGATAATTCGAGAAACATATATGTGCACCTAAATTACATTTTATTCAAATGCTCATTTGGTGCTCCCGAAGTATGTGCACCAAGATAGCGCACAAACTGAACATAGTATGTGTACCAGGTTAGGGTTATCAGGTTGTGCGCCATCTTGGTGCACATACTTCTTGAGCACCGCTCATTTTTATATGATTTGTAGCAACTGATTTTTTATATTGCATATATATTTACGTACAGTTGCGAGGTTAATTTTACGTGTTTGTGATAATAGTGTGCGTACAGACGTCATTATTAATATATACATTTTTTCCTTTCAGATAAATCCCTCCCTATCATGTCCAGATAGCAATAAACACCCGATTATCGCACATCAAGGCGATGGTCGACACTCTGCACAAGAGAAGTCACCGATTGGACAAAACTTCGGAAAGTCTCAATCCTGTTACGTCATCAACACAAAGGCACTTCCGCCTCCCACATACGTAACAAACGGAAAAATGGGAAATGTCGTCACGCATCTCCAACAACCACCAACGCAAAATGGAAAGGTTGCCCCTGCAGACGCAGGGACTATTATAAATGGCCAATACGACCAGCTCACTGCCAAACATTTGGAGGCGTTAGGAGCTCTACCACCGATTACAACAAACAATCGAAAAAATGTACGAGTACAGGACCAAAAAAGGAATTCATTGCCGACGAAAAACGCGAATACAACTGACGGAAATCAAGGACATACTAACGGTACCAAGCAAGACGTTGTTCGAGCTGTCAAACCGGTTCAAACCGCTCATGACCAGTCGAAAAAGACTTCTTCAGGCGCGCCAAGAAAAGTCGTCATCCAGGCTTCGACCTCTGAACTCCTTCGATGTTTGGGTGAATTCGTGTGCTATCGTTGTCACCGTCTTCCTGACCTCGACCCCACGGACGTCATTTCCTGGATTAGAGGTGTCGACAGATCTCTGCTGGTACAAGGTTGGCAAGACATTAGCTTCATCATGCCTTCTAGCGTGGTGTTTCTGTACATGCTATGTCGTGAAATGGTCACGGAAAATATGCGCTCTGTTTTTGAAGTACAGGCGACCATACTTACGTGTTTATACATGAGTTATTCATACATGGGAAATGAAATCTCGTATCCTCTTCGGCCTTTTCTTATTGAAACCGAACGAGGCGTATTCTGGTCTCGTTGCTGTGAAATAATGGCCAAACTATCGGGTAAAATGCTCCGTATAAACAAGGATGCTCAATTTTTTACCTCCGTCTTCAGAGAGTTGAAGTCACATGCCAGTAGCGGAGGTTACGCTCCTCAACGTCCACCTTTACCCTCTACACACGACCGGGTTCGGCACGAACATTCCAGTTTTATGCAAAATTCTCATCATTCCTCGATGCGCGCCAACGGGGTTAGGATAGCTATGCCTGCAGGAGGAAAAGTCGCAGTACGATAACGTAATCCTTTACGCAAAATGGATGGTGTTGCGTAAAGAGATTGAGAACTTCCACTGACGCTTTTCAGGATTGACGCAATGGCGTATTCTACGACCAGTATCCGTGCACTACCACCTTCAGATACTTAAAAAATATCTCCCCAATGTCGCATAAATGCGAGTGCATTTTACAATTTGTTTTAACAGTTTTAATAAGAGCTAAAAACGTGGCGGGTTTTGTTAAAACTGGCATGACATCAATAAGTTCAACCTACGTTCACTTCACAGGACGACTTACGTCTTTGTTCTTTTATTATTATAAATATTTATTATATAATTGTAATGCACGCATTCCCGACGTGTTATCACTACACGATTTGGTCCAGGAATTGATTCCAGTCTTCGCCATTTGAGACATAAAGAATGACTAAATGTCGGTCGTGATTTGCCTAGAACATTTTCAACACGATAAATTATTATAGAACATTTTTAAAATTTGCACATTTTTTTGCTGAATCTATTATTTTATGTTATTTTTTTTTTCATTATTTTTCTTTTTGTTTTATGTCAAATATTGACTTAAAATTGTCATTGATTTGTTGTTTTTTCATTGAAATTTTAAATGAAATATCAGAATATCTAGTTAGCCTCCGAAAATTCAATTATTCATATCATGGGATGCGTGTTGATTGACACTTGATTACCTAATTGATGTTTGGGAAGAACTCATTGAAATTTTTTGTCAAAGTAGTGTCTACTAAATATAAAATTTACGAATTGCTAATGCGATGCATATACTTCTAGTTCACAAAGATTGTATAATATCGAAGAGTAATATCGTATTATTGTATTTTTTCTACACGTAAATAATCACAGGCTATTTTTATTCTAATTAGGTTCATCAAAAAATTAGGATAATACCCCCTGCAATTAGAGTTTTCTCCAGTCTATTCAAAAATATTTTAGTGTGTCTTGCAACCAACCTCCTTAATACTTTATGGCTTATGCAAATCAGAACCACGGCCAAAACACGCGGATATCCGAAATAGTCAATGATCAATTAGTGTCGAAGTCTTTCGCTATACCTCGCCTTACGCATTATCTAATATACAAGCACGTACCACGCGTCGAAAGCCGCCTTTTTGTATGGCCTTTGCTTGATTAGTTATACGTTGTTAATTCACTCTGATTAGGTGTCACAACAATCGTTATGAAAGCGCGACAATTGGTCAGATCTCGTTTTGAAATTGATATTTAGCGTCAAAAATCATGGCGACAATGTCTCAAACGCCACACCGGCGCGATTTATCAATTCTGTCAGAAATGAAGCCAAAGCCTTTACATAATTGTATATTATCAATCATATATTGAAACGGCACAATATGACTTTCCCGAGTACTTAACAGTCAAATACTCACAAATTTGCAAAAATAAAAAATAAATGAAATCTGGAAAAAATTGTTACAAATGTCAGAAATTTGAAAATAAAAATATTTTATATATACATGCCAGACCAAGATTAAATTATTCGCATTCAGCCATGGTAATGATTCGATCTCTTGTGACAACTAGATGAATTCCACCCGTGCTGTTGTTCCAGTGTTGTGTCTAACTTTGGTATACATATGGTTTTCTGGACCAAACTGTTAAAAGAAAGCGCAAAGATACCAACTGTTTTAAGCGTTCTAACCGTGTAAAAATACCAAAATGGATATGGATAATTTATTGGATATGTTCCACCATATAGGCACACCGTTTCCGCGGCAAATATGTTTTTTTATCAACTGATAACAGACGTAATAATAAAAACATTTTGATTATTACCAAACAAATATGAAATTGTAGGAGGAAATTTGATTAAAAAATTGTTGTTTTAGGTATGCGCCATACGTGATCTGCGCCTAATCTTAGCGGGATATTTAAGGCCCATACCAGGGTCTGTAAAAAGCTTGCGAACTGTAAGTCAGTATCGATTGTCCAATGACTAGCCAATCGAAGCCCAAAACCCAATGACTAGCAGTTATGCGTTATGCTCACCAAAAGCGTTATAAATGCCAGGGATAAAATTCTCTTTCCAAAATTCTGAAATATTTTGTCCTTCACTATTTAGTAATAATCATTCAGCAAACCTTAGATCACTTGAGGAATGCCAAATTTTCCAATTTTGTCACCTTTTGGTATATAAATTCAAATTAACCATATTTAGAAAACTGTTAATTATTTCGGCACTGTCAAGATGGTAACGTGTATAGTGTGGGCGCGTAGGAACACTTCGTGACGTCACTTCCGCACGCTTGGCTAACGCGCGTGTTATACTGAACGCTCAGTCTCAAAATATAATACGTTTCGCAACTCAAATTTTTATCTTCGGCCATTGGTACTCTATCATACCAATTGATATTTATAACCCTTTATGTGAGGCCACATATGATTCTGTAAAAACCTATCAGCTCCATTAACATATTGAATCATACCGACTTCCTGCCTCCGTCGCCCACACTATGTTATGAATGGTTGGTTGCTATATTACCACGTATTTAATTTGAGTTTAATGGCCAATATACTAACTAATTTCCTTATTCGCCATTGTATCAGGCATATCGTTCGTAAGGCAATGATGAACCTTCATAGATAGAATTACAGTTTAATTCGATTCGAAGTACAGTTACAGTTAAGAAGGGTTCCTTAAAATTTGAATACAAAGATTATTACACATTCCATTTTTCTATTTATTGTTGCATAAAACCAACGTCATTATGTGCAATATTAAAATGATAAACACTGTCAAAAATATGTAACATTTACTAATTTTTCACGGTGATTTAGTCCAAAGAAATTGAACTTGAAGACATGCCCATTTTTCGAACATCGATTCATACATGGCCAAGCACCAAAAGCAGGGTGCTAATTTTGGCCAATGAAAATGTCGGTGAAATTTTGGCTAACCTGAAGATGACAGTTCTATTGCTTATTATGACGTAACCAAGGTCCAACAATTATTATCCCAATTTCGTTCTTTATATTTTAATCATCGTTATCGTGTATTATTATTTTTTGCTTTGATTGGCACATGCTTCTTCACGCTATTTGATATCTCTATCATTATTATTATTACGATTGAAAACTGTTACAGCCAAAAAGTTACTATCAAATGACAGAAATGTGGATGTTTTTTTATTACTCTGAGGTCTTCGATGAATAAATTCAGGATTTCTTGTGACAGGCATCTATGTTCCACCACCAGTTATTTGATAATAATTTTTTGGTTGAATATAATTCTTATTATTTGATTTTTCTTAATTGTGGCTGTTTTCTCCTTTCTCTCTTTGCGCTGTATGCGAGCAATATAAAGTACTTCTCACTGAATTTATATTAGTCATTTTGTTAACAGTGTTCTTGGGTGGCAATGTGATTTCAAGAAAATAACACCGTGGTATTTATGTAGCGACAAAGTACCATGCTTTGGCTTACACCATAGATTCGAAATCTACGAAGTTTTTATTGGCATCGGTTAGTCCCCCGCGAAAAATCTATGACGAGAGAAATACTGGTGACATCAACTCTCAAATTGTCAAAGAAAGTTAGAGATAATTAGTATATATATATGTTGTGTATTTAGTCTTATTATTTTCACCGATGATTTTGATTATTTATCACTTTGGGGTGTGGTTCCCAGGCTGTGCGTAGTAAAATATCAATCCTTAAAAAAATTATCATTTACCCGCCTTGAAAAGTTTACATGAAATGATCAAATCCGTTGAAAACGTACGACTGGAAATCTGACCGCGTTATGATAGTTTATGTGCGCATACAACTTTAAGTATCGCATTTATTGAATATATATATTATTAGGCTTTTCACTGTCGTAGGGATTATTATGACAAAATTATGCGCTTCAGAAGTGTGTGTACCAATGTGGAGGTAACTAATTTTGTTCGCCTACTTTACATCAAGTTGTGTAAATGTAAAGGGACTGAAACCTATGGGCAGGGGGTATGTTCACTTGGCTAACACAGACAGTCCCCGAACTCGTCATGGAACTAAAATAAGGAAAATCGGAAATAAATTGTGGCCCAACCCTAACTTGGTACACACACAACGGGAGTACCTATTATTAAGCGTCTCACCGTCGTAATTCAGTAATATAAAAAAATTCGAATGACCAATGGAATAATTTTGTATGTCAAGTCGCCTAGCCTTGTGCGACAAAGTCCAGGGGTGCACCTTCAAGTACTACACTAGATAAAGTTATAAGGTATCCTCAGGGAACACCTTTCTTCGAATTTGTTACATAAGATGCACTAACTCTAAAAGGTCTGTTTGGTAAGAAATGGTTGTTTATTTCTTGGTTTCCTCACAGGCAATATATGATTCCCAACAGATTTAAAAACCTACACAATGCTGAATGCAGCGTTTACTGACAGTACTTTCCCCGACAAAGATGAGTCAAATCATAGTCAGAAAGTTCTCCGTATCAAACATGGTCAAGTTACAATCGTACTTAGGCCAGTAAGCAAAATTTATTTACCATACTAAACTGTGTGAAAAAATTATTTCCCTACTGGACAGTTATTAATATAAAGGTACACACTGAATTCCCTTCCTTGCTCACGATTTTTATTGTGGCCCAGTACGATGTGCTTTTCATATGATGATTTCCACATGTCTGCTATGTGCTTTAATCGGTAAATCATTTTACATACCGGGAATTTTCACTATTACGGTAGTAACTCAAAACTGTTAAGGTGTTTACTACAAATTGGCTTTTGTTGACGTCTCTGGGCCAATAGAAAATAACGCGTTCGAATCGCCTTACACTCATTGTCTAGTTTGGATAGGGAGCAAACATGTAGTCATTTGCACAAACAACTCAATGAACCTACAATGTTACTCGTGTTAGCGAAATGATTGGTGACTGTTGGTCCATTTCGTTTCCATCAACTTATTTGTTTTCATACTTTCTGAATAATCACTGACGAATTCCACTGTGTAGTGAAACGCATTGATTTGAACGCACCGAAAGCAGCAACCTCATGAACCCATATAAATAAATTGCCGGCGTCAAACTTATTTAACTATGATTTGTGGTAAGTGATGAATACAACTGAAGTTGATCATTTTCCCAGGAGACATAGAAACGTCAATCTTTTAATCATAGTGAACTCAGCATTAACTGCCTCCAAGTTCAATTGTGTGATTTCAAAAAAATATCTTTATAGTGCTGGTATAGTTATTTATCATATTTAAATATTCAGTAGTCGAAGATTGAAAAGTTTTCTGAAATTCCTCTATATTCAATTGCTTTCAAAAGTGATCTTACACACTTGGCTAAAAAATCGTCACCACGTCGGTTTTCCGCCGGTTGATTTTGGCCAGAAAGCCAGTCTGCTTCAAAGCTTACTATCGCCATCTCGAGTCAGCATTATTTGTTGCATCCGTAAATATTCGTGTACGAACTTCATCTTGAATGATGGCCTACCGTACATTCACCATGTACACGCCAGTAGGGTTGGATTTCGTCTCTCTATCATTATTGTTATCATTTTTTCGTGGTATAAACTTAAACGTTAAATTTAGCTAATCGTACGGCATATATTCCATCATTTTGTTTGTTAGGATAATATTTACATATTTATCCCGGTTCCTTATTTCCAAGCCGCACCACCCGTTCCAGGCACTACCTCAGAGAACACTTCAGTATCAAACTCAGTAATTATTAGGCTACTAGGATGATCGAAATGGCTAATTTTGAAATCTCGTGTGAAATAATCTTGTTTGACCTTTTTGATGAATAAATCGACTCACTAGATTGGCATATCCCCCTGATGAAAGCCAGACAAATCCAGTGATATGCAATTTTATAATTATTTAGATGGATATAATCAGTTAACACTAGAGTTAGGCACGTTTCCATACGACCATATCTCATTCTCATCGTATAAATACACATGTCTTGTTGAATATTTGTCAACTTTATATTGGTACCATTTCAATGTGTTCATATCTTTGTCTACCAATTTTGGCCCAGCTTGCATGATTCAACACCAAACAGCTATACGCGTCATTGTAGCCTACTCACTTTTCGAATATTATGCTTCTCAATCTGACCACCAGAAGGCAACTTTGTCACAAACATCACAACGGCTATTATCATTTCCAAGTATACTCACGAGGGGACAGCAATACAATTGCGTTGGGATTCAGATTGATCAATCTCACTTAGTGGGGGTACTACACACACGCTGTGTAAAATGAAGGCTATCAACTCAAATACGGATAATTTCGTTCAATCAAAGTAAAAATATTTGGATGAAATTGGAAACGATTTATTCTCCGCTCTCCAGTCTGTTTGTACATGTGTAGTACCATATTTACGGTAGTACACGTTTCTCAGGCCAGCATTCCGTTATAGTTTGCTTGTACGTATATATTTTAAATACTCCTCGCAGGCTTCATCGGTTTAGCATCGAGAGGCCATATGTTTAGGCTCTTTTATCGCCCCCCCCCCTCTCCCTGGATGAATATGTAAATTTTATTATATATTTATTACAGGAGAAAAGAAGAGCATAATAATATGCCGATGTAAAGCCAGCTCTCCAAACCCCATATATCGAACGTAGGTGGGGACGGGCATTTCATTTCCTCGCTCTTTCATGGCTCATCTGTAGGTATAAGATTGGCGATTGGTGACGAAACATGCTTTCGGATGGCTGCGACCTGGTTTATAGGATATTGCATTGGTTAGGTTACATATGCGTGACTTAGTGGATTGGGACGCATTACAATTGATAACGCGATGAAATATGCTTTCGGAAATTGGAATCGTACGCTCAGAGTCAGTATGTGTGAATGTGAGTCATCATCTAACTCTTATTAACGGGCTAGTGCTATTTTCATTCCAACTTCGACTGACTAACTTGCGGTGCAATATTCTGATATTATAATATTAGTGTTACTGTGATAGAATAATGCTGTAATAGCAGAATAGCCATGGCAGTTTTAAACTTGTCTGCCTGTCCCTTAGTCTGTTAGTTGTCGCTTTTTGGTGTAATTATTACGGTACCGTACCGGTACGGTACCGGTATACCATGCTATTGGATAAAGCAACATGCTGACGATGCAGTTCATTATGCCTTTCCAAGTGGCATAATTGCACTGCATCTGAAAACATGCTGCTGTCAGTCTTCAATATTTTTATATAAAATTTAACCCCAGTTCTTGAGAATTTTAAGTGAAATGTCTGATGTAATACAAAATGACAATGGCCCCGAGGTGAAAAATGGGTCAGGTTTGGAAGAAGAAGTTGAAATTAAAAAAGAATCCGTGCATGATGACGTTGAAATGATGGATGATTCTGATCATGATGAAGAGGAATATGAAGATGAAGAACTTCATGAAACTGAGAATAACGTAGCAGGTCAATATTTGAAAAATTTAAAAATTATTTAGTGATTTTATATATGATTATAACAATATATTTTACCTTTTTATATAATTGAAGTTCCAGGGTTTTGTGCAATATTATAATGAAAATTAAAATATCAAATAATTTCTGAATTGTGTTGTATTCAACTATAATAATATACTTCCATGTTATGTCGTTTGGCATCATCTACTGCTGTACCAAAATGAACCCCTCGCATCAATCGCAGTTGAACTATTCGATTTTTCTTCGATCAATTTTTTGACCTATGGTAAATTGTACTATGTTTCTCGAGCACATGAAAACAACTAGAATCTAAATTTATGAAATTCATATTGTTTTTCAACAATGGTACCGGTAATCAAAAATTATTACTTCATTTTTAATTACATTTAAACTTCAAATTTATATTAGATCTGTTTATTGAAAAGTTGTTCAGTGCCGCTCACAGAGTTAGGATTCAATTGTCTGTTTGCATTGGGGTTTCATGGGCTCCTAAATAGGTTGTTCTATAAAAATTATTTTATGATAATCGTCTGATATAGCTCGGTTTTCATGATTATTGTGAATATGCTCAAATGCAATTTAATTTTTGATAAACTACTGAATATGGTTGTCCTGGTAATGTTTTTTGATCTGATTTTTGTATTCGGTTACAGATGGACAATTGCCAAGTAGCAATCTAAACAATGGTGAAGATGTCAACGGAGAAAATCAACCTGAAGGATTGCTGGGTTACAAATACAAAACTGTGCTCAAACATGTTTCCCCGAAGGCATCAACAGAGCCGTTACCCGAGGGATGGGTAGTTCTAACTCATACAACTGGTATCCCGTTATATTTACACAAGAAGACTAAAGTTGTTACATTGTCGAGGCCGTTCACTTTGCTCCATGGTTTTGTAGGGAAACATAAAATAAGACTTCAAAGTATACCGTGTCTATATTATAAAAAAAATTTAGAAAAATTAAACGAATTGAAAAGTAATGTGGAATCACAGATTCAGAATTCAAACGAAGACACTGAGCAGGAAGATTTGGTAAAAGGAAAGCAGGAGCAGAATGCTAACGGAGATATAGCTTCAGATGACAAAAGTCAACTTGATGGTGTCTCTCAACCTAAAGTTATTCTTCACGATCAAAGCGACATGTGCGTTGAAGACAAAGAATTAAAAGAATATTTAGAAAAACGTTTTGTATTTGAAACATTAAAAATACCACGATTTAAAAAGTGGTCACAACGTCGAGACTTTACCCGAAATATGCGAAGAAAAAAATTGGAAGAAAATGATGAAAATGATTCTTCAAAAGATGTAGATGCTGATACCGGAAAACCCGGGACCGGAAAACTTATCACGTTAACAGTTGAGCAAGAGGTAGGCCCTGATGGTACAACCAGAAATCGAAAATTCGTTTTAAATACTAACGGAAAACCAATGGTTTGCATTCTTCATGAATATGCACAAAGAGTTTTGAAAGTGCAGCCCAATTATATTTTCAACACTCGGGAAGATTCTGCCGAACCATTTGAAACAGTGATCAAGCTGAATGGAAAAGTATACGGAACCGCAGTTGCGATTAATAAAAAGACAGCCAAAAATAAAGCTGCTCTTGCTACTCTAGAAATGCTTATACCAGGATTTAAAGGACAAGTAGAAGGCGCTGCTGAAACTCCAGATATGGCATATTTCAATGACGTTTTGATTACCGATTCCAGAGTCTACGAGTTATGTATACATACTGGACAGTTACTTCCATACCAAATGCTTACTGAGTGCTTAAAACGAAACCAAGGCGTCACAGACACAACAGTAAGTTACGACGTACAGCAGGGAAAAAGAAGATCGTTAAATTATACTATGAAATGCGGAATACACGTTGTCAGCGGAGTCGCTAAAAACAAGAAAATTGGAAAACAAATGGCTGCTCAACAAATCTTACAATTACTGCACCCTGAAATAAAAACATGGATGGAATTGATTACCTTATACGGAGCTTCACTCGCCCAAGAACGAGCTCGAAGAAAACGAGAGGAACAGGAGATTTTTGATCTCAAACAAAGACGAGGAAATATAGTCGAAGAGAAGCAGGAAGAACCAAGTACGAGTAAACAACAACAGAAAAGCGAAGATTCTCTCGAACCTAACCCAGAATTGCTCGCTAAATTACAAGAAATGATGTTTAAATTAGAATCAGATAGAGGGAAGAGGAAAGCTGATAATGATAATGCATTGACAGCGAAAAAAGCAAAATTGACGCCAATGGAAGCAGCAGTTGCAGCAGGAAAAGGAATGCTTAATATACCAATAGAAATGGATTTGAGTAAATGATTTTGAGTAAAAACAATCATATAACACTTTCAAAATGTTGCATTTATGGCTATTTACTTAGTAAATAGATTCATATTAGTTAAACAGAATATTGTACTCTACTATGTAGTGAGGTATTGGGTGCTTATTTCATAACTCGATCTCCTAGTATCAACAGTATATTGTAATGAATTTATTTTAAACTCTGTCGAAGTAGAATATTTTAGCAATCATAGATAGATGCTTATGTATCGAACATGTTTCACCGAACCTGTGAATCTGATTTTACAATGGTGTATGTAGGCTAAATTTTTCACCGTCAAAAAAAAAAGATTTTTATGAAAATATTATATAAAACGCTCTTTTCGGTATACATGTCATAAATTATTGACTGACAGCTCCATAATTCATTGTTGTTTTCTTGGAATATATATGCGAACATTTCAGATTTGTTGATTTTTTTACTTAATCGTTCCATATTTTTAGGTATTGCAAACTTATCATTGATAATGGCTTTTTTCGAATGAGGATCCGTAATCATGTCTTTTTATTTCTATGTATGTGATTATTCGTTTTCTGTATTCAAACCGACTTGAAATAGCGATGTCTGTATTTGAAAATTTATTTTCTCAAATTTCTGCCTTGCAATATTTTCAATGATTTTGAAATCAAATCAAATTTTACTCAGAAAATAGTGGAAATTTTCCAAGGAAATAATAATAATTTCGAATAAAAGATTTTTCGAAATACTTCGTAAATCTAATTAGAAAGAAAGATTTGCTCGTATTCAAGGAAATTTCACTGAAAATAAAGAAATTTCATGATCTAAATTTCCAATAAATGCCTTTTTCGCACAAGATTAATTTCAAATTTCAATTGCACTATTCTTAAACCTGAGTACAATACAGTAAGAATATCCTGAGTTACTGAGGTAATTGGTTTTTCATGAAGATTGCCAAATTAAGAATGCTATTTATAAATTTTTCTTCAAAATGAAATAAGATGGGCTAATTACATTACATACTGTAATTTACATCTTAAGGCCTAGTTATTTCAATAAATTTCAATTTGCAATTTCAATTTTCAAATTTCAATTTCAATTTTTTCTATGTGCTACTGTGGCTTAGCTGATCACTTAATAATGTCACTTTGTATTTTGAAGCATTGCTATAATTAGTGTAAGGAAGAGTTAGATTTTGCACGTCTGAAGTGCAGGGAAGAGATTCTCTTGATTGTTGTTTGGTTGTTGTTGTTGTTAATGGCCTCAACGAAAGAAGAAATTCCATGGCCTATCAGCAAAGATGAGTACGAATTGCAAGAAGTTATTGGTGAGTATAAATATATTTATGATTGTCTATAATCCAGAGTTATCAACTTGGGGTAATTTACGCTAGGGACAGGGGGCAAGCTAGAAAGACATAACCAAATGTGGCCATTGACCAGAGAGCAGTTTGCAATGTTGTTGTTTTTTGTTGCGCAATATTTGTTGTTATGCCTTTACTAGAGACGGGCTATTTATTTAGCCGGGCGTCAATTTATGCACATGGTATAATTACCGTATTTAATCTTATTATTCTCAAATATTTTTCATGTTTAATGTATCGAATCATTCAATTTGATCAAATGACAATTCATTTTCAACAGTTGCCGGTTAAAGGCACCTGAGATGTTAGTATCAGATAATATTAAATCTTATATTTGAGTAATATACCTCAACTTATGGTATGTGCTACATTCTAGCACATATTATATTTTCGAAAAGGCATATATCTTCAAGAGTGTAGCTATCATGACAATTCCTTATATTTAGAAGCCATAATCTACCTTTTCGCAAGTGTTTATTATTTTATGCTTATGTCTACAAGTGAAATGTATTGATCAAACAATTTTATTTTAATTAAGCTTATTTCATATTTCAAATCATCAGTTTTCAGACTTCAACATTACTATTTTGAGTGTTATATATTGGATCTCGTCTCCTTAGAACATTTTGTAGAATGATTTATGCCAGATGCTAGTATTGATGGCCTCGCCTGTCACTATAACAAGCTTTAGGAACTAGTTTAGATATCTGCGGTCAATCATATCTCTATGTTTCGCTGTCGAGACATATAATTAAATACTAGTATTGAATAATGATTTTATCATGTTTATTCATCCTTGTCTATGTCTACCTCTGTCTATGTTTTAAGCTGTTATTTATGTTAATATTATTTTGAGTCTTATCGCAGCCTTAAGTTCTTTTTCCTGTTCGATTTTAGTTTATGTGTATTTGATGGCCACAAGTTGGTTTGATATAAAAAGTTACTGCTTACAATCTTTTAATAAGTTGTTTCATGACAAATGTTATTAAGAATATTCTTGATAGATACATAACTTCATATTTAATTAAAGCCATATGATTTTTAAATAGACCGTAATAATTGATTGAAACTCTTAAACTTCGTCATATAGTAGTTATTAGTTATCTTAGGTATGTCTTATTATCATAAGTATCGATTACGGTATGTCTTAATCAGTTTGACTGCAACAAGGTTATGTATGTTGAATTGAAAAAGTGATTCCACGAATTTAGATTGTCTTTTTACTTGTCTGTTAGTTGAAGTTTTGATTTTGAGCAAATTTTTATGTAATAAATATGAAATATAGCACTTTTAGTTTGATTGATTATCTGTCCAACAATTCATAAATTCAATGTCAAATTTTAAAATTTGACAAAGTTTTTCATATAACATAATTTTAATACATAATGAATGAATGTGGTGTAAAGCATTCAAAATCAACTGACTGGACTTGAAAAATAAAAGCTATTTTCAAGGATGGCCGAAGGCCAAAGCTGAAAAATTTACTATTACAAATACATTCTGCAATAATATTTTTAAATATGGAATATCAAATATATTCTAAACAAAGTCACATTCTTTAAATGGATTATTGTTTTGTTAATTAAAAATAGATGTATATTATGGAGAAAAACATTTTTTATTTGATTTTCAATTTTTACAGTGTCTGAAGTTAATTGTACCTTTGTCTGATCTTCAAGTATCAAATGCTTAAAATGATAAATTTTTGAATGGAACTATTCTAAATTATTCATATAATCGAGAATTTCTCATGGTATATATAAAAATAACCGATTTCGAATCTATCCGCTTCGTTTTGAATCCTTGCCTTTGTGTATAAAAATATATTCTTGAATCTTTGTTTTATTCTGGCTTATATTTTAAAGTCTCGTTGTAGGTCATGGAGCGACCGCAGTGGTGCAGGCTGCATACTGTATACCGAGGAAGGAAATGTGTGCGATTAAAAGAATCCAACTAGAACAAACCAATCAGGATGATGACCTTCTTGTGAGTTACTTTTGATTTTAGTTTGATCTAGATACGTTAATTGCCATAATCATAGTCATAGATAGATGCATGGAAACAAAAAACAATATTTTTTTATCATAAATTACATATTGCTTTGTTTATTCAACTACTCACTCACAAGTTATTAGAATGCTTGCATAGTCTGTTTTGGAGTCAAACATTTCATAAATATTAATATAAGATTCAGATGATCTAAATTGAAATTACGGTAGATGCATTATAAGCACACTTTGGTGTGTGATGACTGCAGCTAAAAGCTAAAATATTCATCTCTATGTTGGACATTTCTAACAAATTGATTAATACCAACTCAACTTTTATGCTTTTTCTACACTTTCGCTAGAGTTTTGCTATAATAAATATATGAAACTAATATAGGCTATTTATGCATTCCAGAAAGAAATTCAAGCAATGAGTCAGTGTAACCATCCTAATCTCGTCACATTTTATCGAGCGATTGTTGTAAGAAGTGAAGTTTGGCTCGTAATGAAATTACTAGCCAGAGGTAAGATTAATATTTATTATCACTTTTATTATGAACGGTATATTAGTTTAACGCAACCTAATGATTTTAGTAATAATACTATATTCTGAAATTGGGGTCAGATTATTACTAAATTTTGCTAAAAATTGAAATATCTTGTGATTTTTTGTGCAATTAAACCAATTTCACTCTAAAGCCAACAAACGAAAGCAAAAGCATAAATGAATTATAGTAATCATGATCAATTTACCTTAGATTGATGTAACAATAATTCAATAATATGACATCGCGAATGATATCTATTGGAGGCCTTGGCTTGTTAACCCCAGTGAACTGTCTGTGGCCCCCTAGAGAGTCAGGAGCCCAGTTTGGTTACATTTTTATTCTTGCTTAAATCTGCTTGTTTGTGAATTTCAGGGTCAGTTCTGGACATTATAAAACACAAAGAGCAAATAGCAGCAAATGATGTGGATCCGAGAGCAGGTTTACTTGAAGAAGGTATAATTGCAACCATTCTACGGGAAACATTGAAAGGATTGGAATATCTTCATAAAAATGGCCAAATTCATAGGTATGTATGTAAAAATTGTTTTTGTGGAGGTACAATTTAACAAACTTCCTGTGTGAGCCATCATTTGCTTAAAAATCACTTTTTTCAAATATGATAGATATTTCAAATATTTCCAAACTGACTTAGTATCACATGTTTTATATATATCCTATTTTTAATAGAAAATCATTTGATTACATGCTTGATTAGACCAAATTATAAAATATCTGCTCTGGGAAAAGCAATTCTTCTTTTTGTATGTTTTATTGATTTATTTAAAGATGTTTTCACACAATAATAGCATGGAAATGTCATTTCAATAGTCAAGTATTGATCCAATTATCAATACCTTGTCAGAAACGATGGCTTATTATTGTTATGAACAAGTTAGGTGTGGCTTCCCATACAGGTCCATGAATTAAAGAAAAACTAGTTGTAATAAACTATGATATTCTTTGCTACCATTATTCTTTGTATGGTGATTGATTGTCTCTTACCTCTTGTTTGTCATGAGATGGACGGTCCTATGGATCCGATACTTCTATTTTACTTTAAATTTTGCTGTTGTATTTTAATTCATGGGGGCACTTTTTATGAAATATGGGAAATATGGGAACATTTCTTCTGACGAAAGTCTGACTTTCTTTAATTAACATGAAGTTACTAAAACCGATGAAACAAGATTTTTTATTTGTAAAACTTTAATAAGGTCAAGTAATAGTCTGGTTCGTTATGTCATTTTTACGTCATGTGCTGCTATTTAAAAAATAATCGACGTCCCCTGGGATAGAGTTAAAAAGTCAAACCAATTATCAGAAAAGTCAAATTTATATGGCATTAGATATGGTGACAATGACCTGATGGTATGAACCAGAGCTAAAAATTAGTAAATATGAACCTCTCATCTCTGAGAGTGTGTACTTAAATAAAACAACGTAACTATCCCCATTCCAAATATCTTCGTCCTTATATTTGCTGTTGACTGATTTCAAAATATTTCACGAATATGCAATTCTATGTGAACTTTGAAACAAAACAGAATGAAATCAGTTAATTAACATTTTTCCACAACTTCTGGATATAGTTATCAGCGCCACAACGATTCTGAAAATTCCAGTGTTCCACAATTTATATATGCGTAAAAATATAAATTTCATTATTTGCAGAGATGTGAAAGCTGGTAATATACTTCTTGGTGAAGATGGCATGGTTCAGCTTGCTGATTTTGGTGTTAGCTCATTTCTAGCAACGACTGGAGATATTGTACGAGATCGTGCAAGACATACATTTGTAGGAACACCTTGCTGGATGGCACCTGAAGTTATGGAACAGGTACCTTGTGACATGTAAAAGTTTAGAAAAAATACTGTAAAGTCGTAAAACAAATTGAAAATAGACCATCAAATCAATGCTTATCGTATCCTGGTATTATCAAGTACAAAATTATTAACTTACATAGACCTTTTTCTATGTGTTCTTTGCTAAACATGACTTAATTCAGAATAAATTTAATATTTTTTTAGAATGTATTTGAAATGTTAGATTATTGTTTTGACCATTCCTGAAGCCTAGCATGCGCCTTTATGATCCTTCTCAATTTAAGGCCGTAAGCAAAAGAAGTTTTTAGTTAATATTTTCTGTTATCAATTAGCGTAGTCTGATATGGACATCAATATCCTGTTTTTCTGAACTCCTTTTTGTGTTTCATTAAAATATTTACCCTTGACAAACAGGCATCAAGTGGATATGACTTTAAAGCAGATGTATGGAGTTTTGGAATCACTGCTATCGAATTGGCAACTGGAAAAGCACCTTATCATAAATATCCACCCATGAAGGTAATATCGTTGTTAGATTTTATTCACGACTCATTTTTATACTTTCTTACTTTTTTAAATAAGGCAAGGAGCTACTACTCTTTTTGTAATCACTGGAATTTTTTCAATTCAACATTTCGAATCAATTTGAAAACCTATGAACTGCATTCTAATAACATTAACACTTTCATTGTTTTTTTCTGTGAACCGTAAAATATAGAAATCCATTCAAATTATTGTTTATTCTAATTTTAATTCTGCATTCTCGTTATTCTCATTAATGTATATTGAATTGACTTCCTATTGGATCCTATTTGTCTTTGACCAAGGACAAACGGGTTTGGCTAAGGAAAAGCCATCTTGATTACATCTAATTACATTGAAATTACACTAGTTTTAACCTATTTTTCTTGGAGGAAACAGAAATTTTTTATTTGAAGTATGACCCTACCTCCATATTACTTTCATACATCACATAAATTTCAAACGTTATATAGATAAATATTTTTATTTTTGTTAAATATGGAAGATATATTTATAATATATTTTATTGATTTGAATTTAATAGCCTATGTACTATTTGCTCTTTAAATATTGACTTTTAATATGATTTATTGCGCAATAATAGGTACTGTAATATGGGAAATATTCTCAGTGTGCAAGCGAATTTTATACTGAATTTTATTTCTAGCCAGCCAACATGTTATATTTTTCAAGAGAGCTACGAAATTTTTGAATTTTCTGAAAATAACCTTTGAGAATTACTTAAGTGTCTTAGTAACCAGTTTTCTTCAATTAAACCCTTCAGCTGAAAAAACATGAAATGTCAAGTCACTGTAAATATGTTATATGTATGTTTGCTTGTCTAGGTACTCATGTTGACATTACAAAATGACCCGCCGACTCTCGAAACTTCCGTCGAAGATAAAAATAACCTGAAAAAATATGGAAAACAATTTCGGAAAATGATTGAAAGTTGTTTACAAAAAGATCCTTCTAAAAGGTATTTCAGACAGTAACTCATAACTAATTAATTTGGAGATTTAAGTGTAAACGAATTTTAAATTTAGTGCTACACTATTAGTCCTATAATCTCTGGTATCTTAAAAACTCAGATACAGTAACTGATGCTATTTATTGTACAGCGTTTCGAAAATTCCCAATTTTTTCCTTTTTTTTTATTCAAAATTATAATTTTTTTCTATAACGTTTCTAGAACAATAATTTTATTCATAATATTCAAACAAAAATCGATATAAAGATATGATTTTACATTTTGGCATTTGCCGTATATTTCATAAGCGGCAATTTAATTGCAATCTCTTTTGTTCAATAACATGTTTTTTGCTCCCCATCACTTATATAATTCCATCTACAAACCGAACTCTGTGTGACATGCTATTCCATATCTCATTCATAATATAACATCATTTTATTGTGTTGTTGATGTCGACGATGTCAACGCTCAATATAGCAATATGTTTCTGCATGAGTGAATGTGTTTTTATATCCCAAGAAATAAGGATGAAAGAATCTATTTTTTTTGTTGTTGTGGCATCTACAGTTTTGGAATTATTGGTATTAATAAAATTCATAATTTTGATATAGTACTTTAAAATTATCTATTGCATGTATTTGTAGCCACAAATCTTGCCAGTGTGTTGTAAGATTGCCTTATTTGCCTACATTATTATTGTGTGTGCTGCATATCATTACAGCGCCAAATCCCCTCTAAGTATTATAGCTTCTTATATGGTGCCTTTTTCAAGGAGAATCATAATAAGTATATTCATATAGGCCTATATAGTATGAATAACCAACCTTTCACTAGTAATTTCGATGGATTCAGTAAAGGTCGTCATTTTTGACTTTTGGAATTTCCGTAATATGTATTTTTTCATGTCTTGTGAATTTGAGGCCTCGCATGAAGTTATAGAAATTTTTAAGATTCTATATTACCATCACTGTTGTCTTATTCCTTGGACGGATTCAGTAAAGGTCGTCATTTTTGACTTTTGGAATTTCGGTAATATGTATTTTTTCGTGTCTTGTGAATTTGAGGCCTCGCATGAAGTTATAGAAATTTTTAAGATTCTATATTACCAGCACTGTTGTCTTTTTAATGTAGGCTCGTTGTCTGGAATTTTCGATAAATAGGTTAATGTATACAAGACGTATTTATTCTGAGTTGTCCTTATTTTTATGATCTCGTCTCTGTTTGAACTGCGAAATATTTGACTGGAATTCGCATTCAGGTTCTATAAATTTTCCATATCTTAACGCAATAAAACAAAAAGGTAAAGAATAGTCAAATTTTTTTACATTTTTTGAAGAACTTTGCTCAAAGCAAGTTCATGCTCACTCACTCAGAAATAAAGGAGACTGATCTCTGAGATAAGTTACGGGCGATCACTGAGGTGCCAAGAACTATTGAGATTATGAATGCAGAATTGCGCAATAGTAAACACCGATGAACACAAAGACTTTTTTAAAGAAATGAATATTTTCAAAAAAATCAGTCATATCATAAATTACCATTGTTCCATATTGATAACATGATCATATAGTTTTGATATGGTCCACATACTGTCCACACAAAAGCACACAAGGAATAAATTTAGGTAATTTTTTCACAAAGATATAAAAAAAATCTTTTGTACTGTAAAATCATTGTCATTTCAAACATATGGCTTAGTAGGCATTACTATAATTCCTCTATTGTTCAGGGCACTGATAAACACAATACAATGAAAATAATTTCGGTCTTTTTTTTATCCGTGTTATTGGTATTATTTTAATATTCTATTAATAATAAAGGCCTAAAAATCAATAACAGCGATGCCAGTTTTTTATTTTATGGATTAGATTATTCTATTAAGCCTGTCTTCAGACAAGCATTAGATTTGTCAATTTGTGACAAAAATCCTAATTTTTACACTACACAAAGTGCCCCAAAAAAAAAGCCCAGGTCTTTTGGAACCTACTAGAGAGAACGTAACTTTTTTGCTGGATTACGTAACTTTTGGGTACAACCATGCACAAACAGAAGTTCTATTGTTAATAAATTTCCTTCATTTTCTTATCTTATTTAAGAAATTTTTGGGTTATTTTTTTAGATTGACCTGTTCCCTGAATCGCAACAAGATTTTCTAGCTTATATTTATTTATATATGCTTCATAAAATATTTTAATTATATTTCAGGCCTACTGCAACACAACTTTTGAAAGATCCATTTTTCAAAAAATCAAAACCGAAAGATTATCTTGTACAAAACTTACTTGCTACTGCACCTACATTAAAACAACGTGGTAAAAAGGTATGGTTACTTAGTTTGATTCATTTTAAAAGTAAACTTGATTAGCATCGATATAGAAAACATAATGGTAGCTGTAGAAACTGCAGTTTTATTAAAATGTATTCATCTCAAAAGCAGTTTCTGCATCGTGTGTGAAAATGTTCATAAGCTGTATACCTGTCAGCACGTTTCTGAGCATACCTAAGTGCGAATCTGGTAGCCATTGAATATAGGAATTAATGAAAATTTCCACTTTTTTTCGTGCATTCTTCCAAATCGTGCATTAAATAAGCAGTAACTAAAGGCTGAAATTTACCTTCTTGGCAACTCTGGTATGTTATTAATGAAAAGCCGTAGCATTTTCATTTTATACTCCCCAAGGGTGGCATAACTCATGGCATGACAATGACATGCTCCCAGTTTATACCTGGCCTGGAACATTAACCTCGGAACTGCAGCTGACGCACCAAACAATTTTTAAGGAGAACATTCTCAATGTGCTCTCGCCCAGAAATAAAGGAGAACACATTCTGTACGGCCACCGAAAGGCCAACAGTCACAGAAACGATAGAGAAGTATGGGTGTGCCATTCGCGCCAGTAAATGTCGATTTAATAGGAGACTTGAGACAGTTTGGATCAATACAATCAGGAAAACAGCTATTACCGTAGTTAGTGAACTCCAAATAATTAAATTTATTGGAAAAAACCTTGACATAAAATTATAGCGTTTTATCAAAGATTTAATTTCTTACTTATATTAACTTGTGGATTTTAAAGTAAAAAAGCAATGGTATTTTACTCTTTTATTAATAGTTTTGATATTTTTTCAAAAATATGGTTTCTATTTTATTCTCAGCCAAGAAGGGTTCCAGGATCAAGTGGAAGACTGCATAAAACTCCAGATGGTGACTGGGAATGGAGTGATGAAGAAATGATGGCTTATGATAGAAAAGCAGAAGAGGTACTGCATTTAAATTTTTTGCTAAAATATTTTAAAATTAGTGAAATATTTACCAGTAGTTATTTGAATTTGTTATGGCATCAACATAATTATGTTCAGTGCTCAGAGCACTAAGCCATTTAACAGGACTCCCGTAATATGTGTACCAGGTTGGGGTTGGGGCATATTTTTATTCAGATTTTCCTTATTTCAGTTCTATTACGAGTTCGGGACTTTCTGTGTTAGCCAAGTATATATACCCCCTGCCCATAGGTTTCAGTCCCTTTACACAAGTTCATGTGAAATAAGCGAACAAAATTTGTTACCTCCATATTGGTTTGGTACACATATTCCTGGAGCGCCGATTCAACAGTGCAGTATGCTTGATACTTTGTCTATTATGCAACTGATAATACTAGTCTTCAATGGTTTTATGCAACAGTCAATAATATTTATTTACAAATTTTCTTATATTTTAGGCGCGACCTGATAGATCAAAGACTAATAACAGCGCACCTGACATTGTTGATGGTCCAGCACGAACAACAGCAAATGAACAAAATCAAGCTAATGGAGGAGACCAATCAAAATTACCTCCCAGTAGAGAAAATTCACAGGTACATTTTCAATTAATGTTATTCGTAGATTAATTTAACACAAAACTGATAACATTTGTGCAAGGAAGCCGTTTTCCGCTGGCACAGTTCTGTAACTTAAACCTAAATAACTTATGTGTAAGAGGAATGCAGGCTCGTTTTTTTCACATACCAGCTAGACGGTTAACGATTCCTCCACCTCCAAGTCTATGCATCTGAAACAATATCCGGTTGAGTAATACCATATCCGACGTGGCCGTGGTTCGTTATATGATTGAATCACCTCATCAGCCTTCCTCTCTTTTTGTGAGCAAAATCATTATATAACAAAAAGGAAAATAGCCATGATTCATATTTTTAGGGGACATTGAGCACAACTCTAACACAGCCACCTAATAATATGCAACAACCACAGCAGTTGCCACCATCTTCACAACAAGGTTGGTTATATTATCTTGATTTTTTACACTTTATTCCCATAATCAGGCATCTGATGTCAGGGGAGACGCACATCAGACCCTTAACTTCAAACGTTGAAGCACATCTTCGACAATTATGTTTCTGTCAAAATTTTGACAGCCGACTCGAAACTGATAACAGTTTTTTACAATGTAACATTTTTTGTTATTCTGTATATTAGGGGACCAATTGCCTGCTGTGGTTCCTCCAGTTGGAAGTGCTGAAGGATACATTGCTGCTGCACCAAGATACATAACAGAAGATGGGAATATGATTCCACCTACTCAACAGCCGCAGATGGTGTATCTTGCAACTCCACAAGGACATCCGATGATGATGCCTCACCCTGCTGCTATCCCCGTCCCACAAGGTAGTTCCCATTTTTTTTTTGGTTTGGGTTAATAAAATAAAAAAGTTTTATTCTACTAAAGTATTCTCATATATCGGTAGTTCTCAAATTTTTCTAAAGCTCACGTCACATTTTTTCCAGTGATACTATTTTTAAACACCAGGTAGAAATTTTGACTTTGTTGATATTGAATTGCGATAAGGAAAAGAATTATAGCCAAGACTGAATCTACTGAATTTGCTATCTCCATTCAATTTTTTGCTCATAAACATTATATTTTTGTTGTTAGGTTATCCACCGGGCTATATACCAGTGCCTCAAGGTAAGTACTGTTGATTGTCATTATTTGACTTTGCTTCAACTCTGGTGTCTTGAATAACTCTTCGTATTTTAGTATTTGCCTGTAACTTTGCTCAGAAACTAGTCACCTTACCTCTGGGTGAGTTCTGACTTCAGAAAAGTTCCAGTCAAATTTTTTTTTAGATGTGAATTATATTTCTATGGCAAATAATATTATCAAGTGTATTTATCAAAATCTCAGTATGGCCCAACTTAATTTTGTCTGTTATTGCAGATTGCTTTGTTTATTTATGACCAACAAAAATTCAGGATGTCTTTAAACTGAACTTCCGAAACTGCGTGTCCGAAGCATTAGTATACTGCCTGTTGTACTTGAAACATTATTTGACACTAGATGTTTACAGTCCAATAAATTATGCTATTTTTGACTGTTATTGCGGTAAAAATTGTGATTTCAAGAATTCTGAATTTTAATGTCATTAGGCCTCCTTATTTTATCTATTTAATTTTCATACTTTATTTACATATTATCCAGGAAATCTCGTAACCACCTTTGTCGATCCAAACACAAACCAAATAATGTATATGACGGCAGCACCACCAACGAGTTTGAACTTACCCCAACAACCAGCCCACCCTATTATGGTGACCCGTGCTCCAGCCGCTGTCCCAACAATTCCGCAAAATGCAGCTCCTATCAATGTGGCAGCCACACAACCGGCCCCACAACAACTAGTCTCACCAACCAATCCAGTCGGTGCGTTACCCACTATGCCTGCGCCGACAACGAATGCGACTGCTGCACCACAAGAACAAGAAAAAGTTCAAAAAACTGAAAATCCAAAGCCAATGAACTTTGTTTTACGCTTAAGGTTAGAGAAATGAGTAGTTTTTTTTATAAATGACGTATTTTCAATGATATTTTTATGCGACTTCATTTTCTACTTGTTTTACAACGTTTCCTTCTAACAAGGCTCTCTACTAGTGGTCTCATGTGTAATGAGTCGCTACTTTTGGAGGGACAGGATTGGCATCATCTACCCATTTTATTAATCCATGGATACCCATGGATAATGAGGGGAGCATGCGGTTTGAATCTTAGACCTGTAAACTCTAACGCCAATATAGTTAATCAAATGTTCTGAGCCATCGTGACCACCTAGATCTATTCATTTATTTATGTATTTTGTGTTATATGTGGTACTTGTACTACATTTTCTTCAGAATTTTTGTTGAGGAAAAAACTTCTCATATTGTGAATTAAAATCATTTGATTGCTATTTTTGTATTTTTTCAGGAATTCTGAAAATGTTCTGAACGATATCAAATTTGCTTTTACCCCTGGTAAAGATACACCCGATGGAATATCACATGAAATGGTCAGTGCAGGACTAGTTGATGGAAAAGATGTTATTATTGGTCAGTATTCTCAGATTCACTTGGGAAACGTATATTAGAAATAAAGTTTGATTTTTATGTTCTGTTCTTACTTTGCCTGTTTTTTGGGTTGTTGTATCATTTTATGAAATATTTATTGTATGAATTCACTGTGATTTGCTTATATTACTACAGTGAACATGGCCCATTTCCATGTTTGAAAAAAGGATTTTAGAAAATATTTGGAATAGTATATTCTTTGGTGTTGCTCACGCTGCGTTTAAACATTTGATCTTTGAACTGCAACACCCATTGGGTCAAAGCTCACTGTCTCATCATGCCACAGTTTCCCATTTCAATGACACATGAATTATTATAGATGTTCTTCAACTTGTAGAACTTTTGATTTCAAAGGTGTCAATTATACCGTCAATTATAACTTATTTTTTCAGTTGCTGCTAATCTTCGGAAAATTATCGACGGCCACCCTGAATTGAGTAACGTCGTATTCGGACTTCATCCAGGCACGATGCCACCTAATAAACTGCCTGAGGAAGGAAATCTCATAGGATTCGCTCAATTAAGCATTGTCGACACATAACCTGAATATAGATCAGCATGAGGTCTTCTGCGCTTGCCCACTTTTACCTAATTATATATACAAAAACACGTATTTAATTAATATTATAGACACAAAAATATATTAAAAATGCATGAGTCAAATGCCAAGATGTTTGTTGTATACTTCGTAAGGAATCTGGTCATTTATGGATTCTTGGTAGATGTACTTGCACGAACGCAGTCATATATATGACAATTCTGTTGGTGTTACGCTATGGGTTACTGATCTTTTGGAGTTGTCCACCACATACAGATAAGTTGCGTAGTTGTGATTAACATAATAACAACAACAGATATGCGGTTATGCGATTTTCTGTATTGGCGTTTCATCCGAATATCACCTTTAGTGTGTTAATCGTTTAAGAATCATTTGTGACACTATAACAACAATTATGGAAAAACAGCTGCTATTAATAGGTTCGATTTCAAAGTTAATCCTCTTCAACCAATTAATATCACTTATTTGCAATAAAAATAATTTTTGTTAAATTTTCCATGAGCAATAGTAAGGCAGAAGGTTGGCTTCAGTGAACCATCTGATTTGTTGGTGATTATAGCATTTTGTTTTCGTGAGCGCACAATTTCTTTGCAATAATAAGCTTCTTTTCTTTTATAACATGTAGTCAATTCTATGGAATTCACTTTAATAGGTTTGTAGATTGTATGAAATATTGGGTAGCTTAGAAATCAAAAATTAGTTCATGACATATGAGTGAAGTATGATTTAAATGGTATTGCCTGTATTCTTTTTTTGTTAATTTCATGACATATTTTCAAAATAAATAATGCGATATGATTTTTATATTTATGTCAGAGGATAGGAAAACTGATAATACGACATAATCGTTATGATGACTTTTGACACATATTATTTGCTTTCAAAAAAATCCAAAAATATTGGTTAATTCATTGACTTACACCCTCTGTAATCTATGTCAAAATGAATTTTAGTAAGATCGTGTTCCTCCGAATATCAGTAGCATTGCATGTTGTGGAACTGCCCTAAGAATTAGACTTTCCAAATGGCCTCTACGAAGAAGGACAATCAGTCGCGATTGGTACTAAATATCCATCACTATTCTAATTGTTCACTGGTTTTTTTCCGATCCAAGTGTATTCTCTCCCATTTGCTGAAAATGGTCTCCATTGAGCTACTCATTCAACAAGAAAATTCTTTGAGTTATTCCATTTTTTGGCTAGTTTTGCGTGATTCTTTTCGTTTATTTTATTAAGATTTATTTTATTCAGTTTTGTTCATTCTTCTAATTTCTATTTGATTTGAAACAAATTAAATTGTCAAGAGGTCAAATTAGTTGTTTTTAAATTATATTTATTGCAATTGTTCCATTAATTTGTTCAAATATCTACTACTAATAATATTGCAACAATACTGTTCTGTGATATGATTAAGATTTTTGTTATCATTAGTATGCACTTTTGAAGATAATGGGGAATGCTTTCTGATACAATGTGAACTGATGGCCGGTGAAGGAAATTCTTACTGTCTTAATATTTAGAAGATTTTCACCTGAAAACCTTCAGTTTAAAACAATAATTGCATGATATAAAACCTGCTGTAATTGAAATTAAGCACGTTCATCGTCATTGATCAGCATGGCGTGCTGAATGGCTCAAAGTCTTTCATAGAATATAAGGAACACAGATTTGAAATATTATTACTTCTTTAGGTACTTAATACTATCACGAGTTTCAAATACAAAATAAAAACATTGGCTCTATGATGTGAAAACTCATCTCCCTTTTTTTGATCAAGTTCAAAACCAAATGATACTAGTCTCTGATCAAAGTTATGAAATGCCATTAGCTACTGAAACTATATAGAATTACAGTGGTCCATTACTCTTGAGTTGGCTCGGAAAAAATTCTGACGTTTCTGACATAATATGATTAGTGCTACAAAAATTTTGGTGTTGCAATCATTTTTAGGTTTCAACTCGCAGCTCTGAGAATTCTGCCAAAACGACCCACTGCATATTTTGCCCTAGTGTGAATGCACAGTTACTTGTAAGATATCCTCTGCCGATGGCATTCTGTGTGTGTTATCTATATGTATGTCTGGTTAAGAATCTTGCATATATTATATTACAAAGACAAATTCTGTGGTAAATGATTAGCATAATATGGGTCTTCGCCTATAATACTTTTTCATCTTAAATGGCATAGTTGTAATTTTCTTGTCTGGCGAATAGGTACTCTTTAGCTTGAAAATTTTAGTTGTGCTGTTAAACTGCTACTAACTTCCAAGGTTCCTGTATCGCTCTCTCAATCTTTAAGTGCAAATTTTACCACTTTAGTCGTAAAGCAATAATCTTATTATATTTTGATTTGGAAAAAATAATTGCATCTTCAGTTTGACGAGTTTAACAATTAGTGTAGTTGCCAGTGTTGCCACATTTATTATGGTAGTAAGTGATACGTTTCGCGATTGGCATCGTGTCACATGGTAATTGTGGGGTTAAGTCAGCTGAGATTTGACTAAGCAGATTGAATAGACACCAGAGGACTCTCTTTTGCCGCTGCATCTTTTAAAGGCTAAGATACTGCCTACCTTGCTGTCTCGATTTGCTCGACTTATGGCTATTTTTCGTATCACCAGGCCATTGTCACTGCTTTGCGTTGTGCTGGCTCATAGGTGTGTTAGGGATACGCTCGCCACGGAATCTCTCATTACCTTGCGTGGGTTCGAATCCCGTGGAGGGTAATTATGTGAAATATATTGCTGGAGCCGCCGTAGGATGGTTCACTAACGACTGGTCGGTTATGGCTTTCTCTACCACCGAGTCCATGCATCTGAAACAAATAACTGGCTAAATAATCCCATACCTGGCATGGACCGGTGACCAGAAGAGAGGCCGTGGTTCGCCATAAGGTTAGGCCGTTTTATTAGGCTTTCCTCTCCCCCGGGATAAATGTGCAAATCCTGACCCACGAATCTCATCTGAGTGCCTGGCGGCCTACACGCTATTATACCATTGTACGAAGCAAACTCCAGCAGCATCTAATCCTCTGTGGTCATAACTTTTTCCCTCCGACCCCCGGCACGGTGTCATTTCAAAATCAGACTCGTTGTCAACGCCGCATCGACAAATATAAAGTTAATATGATGAAATTTTGGCTTTGTGCTTTGGAATAACGAAATTTCGACAATGTTCATGATTTATTCTGCTATTTGGGGGAAGTGAACACGTGTTTTTTTATTTCACTTACTTTCCTTTATTTCTGTTCATTTGTTTGTTTTGTTTTAACGAAATGTAGAAATAGAATTCCTTACAAATCTGACAATTATGTTGTCGATGAACATTACGACTACCGTGACGTGTAAGCCTGAATTTTTCAGTATATAAGTCTTGAATTCGGACTTTTTTCACTCCAAATCTTAAAAGTAAAATTCGGTTTTGACAGCTTCAACCAGATATGGTTACCGATAGCCCCACCTCGTGTTTTATCATAAAAATTTAAGCGAGGAGCTATGATCGCAAGTACTTGAAGTTAAGATTCGTGATTAGATTGAAGGGTTGCGCATAAGATTTCCTACTCTATTGCCAACCCCGTAAAAAAGTATAGATGGTTCACGTCAAAATATTCTAGACAAATATGATCAGGAAACCGCTCAGCTCAGAGACTTAATTTATAAACAATGAAAGTCTTCCCTTTTTTCAAATTCATACTTGATTGCACATGGCCATGCTATCTACGTTAGTGTGACTTGACGACTACCGTTTAATGACTTCAGCATCTCATGCCCTCAGGCAATGTCAAAACGCCACCAAAAAATTTGATCTTTGACTCGGTGCCAGTATGTTCTGTTACACCAGGCAACAGTTACAGAGTCGTATGGCTGCGAGTGAAGAGTTTCATAAATTAAATTAGCGTCTTTTGCGATTAAAGAAGCTCGCGATTCTTTAATTCTAGTGCAATAAAGTTCTTGTGGCAAACAAAACTCCGGTCAAAATTGCGAAAACGAACATTGGTTGTTTGATAGAAAGAATTCTACTTAATAGAAAGTGTCGAATGCTTTTAAAATTGCTAATACTGTTCGCGATTATCTGTTAAAATTTTTTTTGTTAATTTCATGATATATTTTCAAAATAAATAATGCGATATGTTTTTTACATTTATGCCAGTGGAGAGGAAAACTGATAATACGACATAAACGTTATGATGACTTTTGACACACTCATATTTTTTGCTTTAAAAAAATCAAAGAACTTGTGTAATTCATTGACTTATACCCTACGTCATCTATGTCAAAATGAATTTTAGTAAGATCATGTTCCTCTGAATATCAGTAGCATTGTATGTTATAGAACTGCCCTAAGAATCAAGACTTTCCAAGTAGCCTCCACAAAGAAGGACAATCAGTCGCGATTTATACTAAATATCCATCACTATTCTAATTGTTCACTGATTTTTTTTCCAATTCAAGTGTATTCTCTCCCATTTGCTGAAAATGGCCAAGGAAAATCGTCGCCATTGGGAACCCACTTATTCAACCAAAAAATTCTTTTGAGTTATTTGATTTTTTGGCTACTTTTGCGTGATTCTTTTCTTTATTTTTAAGATTTATTTTATTCAGTTTTGTTCATACTTCTAATTTCTATTTGATTTGAAACAAATTAAATTGTCAAGAGGTCAAATTAGTTGTTTTTAAATTATATTTATTGCAATTGTTCCATTAATTTGTTCAAATATCTACTAATAATATTGCAACAATACTGTTCTGTGATATGATTAAGGTTTTTGTCATCATTAGCATGCACTTTTGAAGATAATGGGGAATGCTTTCTGACACAATGTGAACTGATGGCCGGTGAAGGAAATTCTTACTGTCTTATAATTTAGAAGATTTTCAACTGAAAACCTGTCATTTTACACAATAAAATTGGCATGAATATAAACCTGCTGCTAATTGAAATAAGACACGTTCATCGTCATTGATCAGCATGGCGTGCTGAATGGCTCAAAGTCTTTCATAGAATATAAGGAACACAGATTTGAAATATTATTACTTCTTCACATACTTAATACTATCACAAGTTCCAAATACAAAATAAAAACATTGGCTCTATGATGTGAAAACTCATCTCCCTTTTTTTTGATCAAGTTCAAAACCAAATGATACTAGTCTCTGATCAAAGTTATGAAATGCCATTAGCTACTGAAAATATGTAGAATTACAGTGGTCCATTACTCTTGAGTTGGCTCGAAAAAATTCTGTTTCTGACATAATATGATTAGTGCTACAAAAATTTTGGTGTTGCAACCATTTTTATGTTTCAACTCGCAGCTCTGAAAATTCTGCTAAAACGACCCACTGAATATTTTGCCCTAGTGTGAATGCACAGTTACTTGTTAGATATCATATTCTCTGTCAATGGCATTCTGTATGTTATCTATATGTATGTCTGGTTAAGAATCTTGCATATATTATATTACAAAGACAAATTCTGTAGTAAATGATTAGCATAATATGGGTCTTCACCAATTCGTCTTTCTTGTCTGGCGAATAGGTACTCTTTAGCTTGAAAATTTTAGTTGTGCTGTTAAACTGCTACTAACTTCCAAGGTTCCTGTATCGCTCTCTCAATCTTTAAGTGCAAATGTTACCACTTTAGTTGTAAAGCAATAATATTATTATATTTTGATTTGGAGAAAAATAATTGAATCTTTAGTTTGACGAGTTCAACAATTTGTGTAGTTGCCAGTGTTGCCACATTTATTATGGTAGTAAGTGATACGTTTCGCGATTTGCATCGTGTCACATGGTAATTGTGGGGTTAAGTCGGCTGATATTTGACTAAGCAGATTGAATAGACACGAGAGGACTCTCTTTTGCCGGTGCATCTTTTAAAGGCTAAGATACTGCCTACCTTGCTGTCTCGATTTGCTCGACTTATGGCTATTTTTCGTATCACCAGGCCATTGTCACTGCTATGCGTTGTGCGGGCTCATAGGTGTATTTATTAGGAATAAGCTCGCCACCGAATCTCTCATTACCCTGCGTCGGTTCGAATCCCGTGGAGGGTAATTATGTGAAATATATTGCTGGACTCCTGGTCGCCGTAGGATGGTTCAGTAACGACTGGTCGGTTATGGCTTTCTCCACCACCGAGTCCATGCATCTGAAACAAATAACTGGCTAAATAATCCCATACCCGGCATGGACCGGTGACCAGAAGAGAGGCCGTGGTTCGCCATATGGTTAGGCCGTTTTATTCGGCTTTCCTCTCCCCCGGGATAAATATGCTAATCCGAACCTACGAATCTCATCTGAGTGCCTGGCGGCCTACACGCTATTATAGCCTATCATTGTACGAAGCAAACTCCCTGCAGCATCTACTCCTCTGTGGTCATGAATTTTTCCCTCCGACCCCCGGCACGGTGTCATTTTAAAATCAGACTTGTTTTCAACGACGCATCGACAAATATAAGGTTGATATAATCGAATTTTGGCTTTGTGCTTTGGAATAACAAAATTTCGACAATGTTCATAATTTATTCTGCTATTTGGGGGAAGTGGACACGTGTATCAGCTTGTTTCAAATATATATTTTTTTTTACTTACTTTTCTTTATTTCTGTTCATTTGTTTGTTTTGTTTTAAAGGAATGTAGAAATAGAATTCCTTACAAATCTGATAACTATGTTGTCGTTGAACATTTACGACTATCGGGACGTGTAAGCCTAAATTTTTCAGTATATAATTCTTGAATTCCGACTTTTTTTACTCCAAGTCTTAAAAGTAAAATTCGGTTTTGACAGCTTTAACCAAATATGGTTACCGATAGCCCCACCTCGTGTTTTATCATAAAAATTTAAGCGATGAGCTATGATCGCAATTACTTGGAGTTAAAATTCGTGATTAGATTGAAAAATTGCCCATAAGATTCCTACTCTATTGATAACCCCGTAAAAAAAGTATAGATGGTTCACGTCAAATTTTTCTAGACAAATATGATCAGGAAACCGCTCAGCTCAGAGACTTAATTTAAAAACAATGAAAGTCTTCCCTTTTTTCAAATTCATACGTGATTGCATATGGCCGTTCTATCCAGTTTAGTGTGACTTGACGACTACCGTTTAATGACTTCAGCATCGCATGCCCTCAGGCAATGTTAAAACGCTAACAAAATTAAAAATAATTTTGATCTTTGACTCGGTGCCAGTATGTACTGTTACATCAGGTGACAGTAACAGGGCCGCGAGTTAAGAGTTTCATAAATTAAATTAGCGTCTTTTGCGAATAAAGAAGCTCGCGATTCTTTGATTCTAGTACAATAAAGTTCTTGTGGCGGACAAAACTCCGGTCAAAATTGCGAAAACAAACATTGGTTGTTTGATAGAAAGAATTCTACTTAATAGAAAGCGCCAAATGCTTTAAATTGCTAATACTGTTAGCGATTATCCGTGGAAATAGTTAAAGCTTGTTCGGATAAGCGTTATCAGCCCGAGATTTTAGAATAAACTTTGAAGAAATCAGATGAACATTTCAATAAAAGAATACGCTCGCAATTCAATATCCTTGTTCTCAACTCTTTGAACTGCAGATTTTGTAATATTTTTTGGTTCAGCTACGAGCTATCATCTAAAGGTGATGTGTAATTAAAGTCTTGCCATCTACTAGCATAGTATATAGATACGCGTATTTATTAGGGGCCCAAAGATGTCCACATATCATTGTTTGTACAGCTGATATTGGAAAAGGCGCCGAAACAATATATATTTTTTATATTCGTCATTGATGCACCATTCAAGTAGAAACAATTGAATGACATATTATATAAATCTTTTTTAAACCTAATTTTATGATAAAAATATAGGCTACTTCGGTGAGAATTCCCTGAGACCGTGAATTAATCGGTCACTGAAAACGGGAAATGTTTGTAGCTGATTATGAATCGAAGTTATTCTGAAATTGATCAACGAATTTTCAAAGATAAAGGAACATATTTAGAGGAATAGATAAAAGGATTGTGGATATATACATATACAAATAAGTAAGTTTTATCGCGGCTTTTTGTATCAGAATGTTTGTAATTCATGTATTGTACGGTATCGTGTGACTTATTGCTTTGGTCAATCACGAAAGTATTATTAGGTATCATCATTTATCAAGAAAAACGATGTTAAATCGTTACACGTGCATCTATTCTTAGCGAATCTGTTTTACATTTCTCAAATTGAACAACTTCGACAGTTGCATATTTTCATCATAAATATATATTAGGTAATCATGAATTTAGAAAAATTGCACTTAGCGTTTTTTTTTGATGGAGGATTGCAACGATTGATGTCTCTAATTCATAAATGCTGAGATATTTGAGCTTTTGTAGGTTTGACAAAAATAAATATCTGAATCTGGACATAGTGTATGAACATAATATCTATAACATTCGACGGCAACGCATTTGGGCTCAACACGCTAACATACTTTTGTGCGCCCATGTCCGCATCGGTGGGCATACTGCGTCGATTAGCAAACTGGTTCATCATAGAGGTAATATAACTACCGTCATCATCTGTAACTGAAAATTTTCATATTAAAACCCAGAATATAAATTTTTAACGGCTTGTACGTCTTTAGGGCGAAGTACGGATTTGCGATTACATTCGGAAACAAAAATTTCCCGTTATTCGTCATCACTAAATACACTTCGTTTTTGTGGTTTATTTTTGTCTTTACGTCAGAGATATCAAAATAGCCAGTATTACTCAGTATGATTTGAACGATAAATTCTTCATTATGGAAAAACTATATTAATATTATCACACTAAAATGGATACAAATACTCTTTATTTTGATCAAAAATAAGAAGATATGCTATTGTATTTTAAGTTATGTATTTGGCTTGTTTAATTTTCAGTTTACATGTCGAAAGAACGCTAATTAACGCTTCAAAACCACGAAACCAATGACTAGTTTGTCAAGATAACGTTATATTACTTAGCCGGAGGCAAAACAACGCATACCAGCCTGTATTTACTGAAACGACGTAGGCAAATAATGAAACTAATTTTTGTCAAGTGTGTGTTTTGAAGCTTTCATTATTACCACCCACAAATCTACCAAATTTTACATTAATACAATCAATTAATTTACATTTATACTGGTAGCGCGTTGGCTCAAATGTTCTGATTTATTAGGATCAATCAGATTAAACGAAGTAAAATTCTATTGTCTTCCTCAATCACTGCTAGACTTAAACGCCTGCATTCCAAACAAAATCAAAGACCATATATGATTTGGTATTGTGACGCAACAAACACTCATGCAGTTGTAATTTAATCATTTTAATACATCGCCAAAATAAGTAAATGAAAGGGTCTTATAGCAATTTTTCACTATCACTCTGCTATAAGTAGCCACTCAGATAAGTGAAATTTAAAGATTATTTGAAATGATCGCAATTTATCTACTTCAGCATAGCTTTCCTATCATGTATTACATACTCCGGTGCCTCTGAGTATAGGCGTATATGAAAAACAATTCGAGATATTTTCGTAGTTCTTCATATTTTTTAAAAAATATAGATATTTTTTCCTACAACGTAATTGCATACCATTGTTATAGTTTTTACTCTACTTTTTCTTATTTTCAGTATGGTGCCAACCATCAAGTATGCAGTATATATATTACTGTATTTAAGTTTGGGTCTACAGACTGCAAAATGTGAGTATTAAAACTCTAAAGTTTGCCTGCAATACCATATGGAAAGCAATATTATTCTCCACATTTTCAGAGATTAGCATTAATAAATTTAGTCAAATTGTTATAAAACAAGAGACGCTACCCCTAATATATTATTTTTCAAAAGTGCTCCAGGAGTATGCGCAACAAGATGTCGCACAACCTCAATCCTAACGGGTACTCACTACTCACCTACTATGTTCAGGTTGTGCGCCATCTTGGTGCGCATACTTCTGGAGGTCCTTTTCAAATATTGTTTTGCGAGGTGATTCATTACTTTGTAATGTTTTTGTATAGATACGTACGTACTTTTTTTTTATAGCAAATCATGGCTTGTGTAAGGTAATCCTATGGAATGCAAAATCTGTTACATAAGATTTCGAATGGAATTAAACTTGATATTATCATTTCAAGTGTCCAAATCAAAGCCGAAAATTCAATTCCCATTTATTATTTTTAGAAATCTCATTGGCTGAAATTTCGGAAACTGTTCCATTGCATGAATTTACTATTGCAATTCCATAACCCTTTTATTTTAAGAACTTGAAATAAATACATGAACATGAAATAAATTTTATTTTGGAAAAACAAACATCATAAAAATTGACATGAATCGGACTCTAATGCTATCCGAAATATATGATTCGATTTAATGATCATATATTATACAACTTTGTCTCGTACTTGTATGTGATATGAATTTTATACATTTCACTTTTTATTGCAAATAATTACTGAATAACTTCTAAATCGCAATAAAAATGTTCTTGATGGTACATTTGATTTCTAATACAGGGCTTAATTGGACTTAGTAAATGCGCAATACAAAGTCATAAATGTTAGCAGTAAGGTGTGCTCAAAATATATAACATTAGCAAGCTTCAGCTATCCCCGATAACTATAGTCATAAAATTTAAAAGCAAACTTCAAATTCATTTTCAATGCTGATATAACGTGCACTTAAATATATTCCAATATTATTTAAATCTTTTATGTCATAGAAATACTGGAAAATATGCTTTTTTTACTCTCAGGTCAATCAGCATGTAACGGTGTAAGTTGTAGTAATAAAGGAACTTGCATTGAAAATGAAGCTTACAGTAGAGGATATTGGTGTGAATGTGACGAAGGGTGGGCTGGTCAGGATTGCAAACATCGTAAGTTAATGTTGTCTGTTTTTGTCAATATTTCTTTGTTGGAAAATATGAAATATGATGGTTTGCTAGTTTATAATATCTGATGTGGTGTTTTATGGCCAGTATAAGAATGTGAACAAGTATAATATAAATGAATCTCACAGCATATGAGTATTTTCCTCATACCGCATGTCTCACAAGCATACAGTGACATACACTTACAGTAAGCGAACATTTTGAAAGTTATTCTGAATACGCATAATTGATGAAATAATGACAACACAAAAGCATACAACCATGAGTGAGCAGATAATGCAACTCCATTTCGACGAATTCGAGAAATCCGCTTCAATTCGTACAAATTTGTTTCTGCCAAGCGTCATGTTTTTAGTTTTAGACCATGTGAAATGGTTTCAATTGAATTATCACTTCCGAAAAATTTATCAGTTTTTGAAACTGTCTCTCTGAAAAAAATAAATGCAACTAAAATGACAGATAACAATATATCAGGGACGCCAAACCAGACCTGCGAAGTCGAAGGAAAGTTTAATCCGGCTCCGGGCGGCTAACAAAATTTCGATGTTCGTCCTGAAAAAATCTACTCCGACTGACTTACCTATTCCGAAATAGCGAGTCCGTTTTTATTGTCACGACTCGGACGAATTTGAAAACACCCGTTCGGCTTCAATATATGCCTGACCGCAGTCCATAACTCAAGAATTTGATGTCAAATGTGATTCAGTTACACCTCGCTAAAAGTGGCATTTTCGCGCAAAACCAATTTTAATGTAATTAAACAATTTCGTCACCTGTATGTAATTATACATTCTGACATTTAAATATACTTTAGCTGAGCCAACAGTCAGGTGCGGATATTCTGACATAGAAGTTGTCATCGACAAAGGACTAGTGAGAGAACTAGAGATCGACGATGACGCAAAATACGTTTACTTCGGACTTTCGTCAGCATCGAGTCATTGTCGGGCGAAAGAAGAAGAAAATCTTTACAAATTGTCAATACAGGCACCGTTTTCGAACTGTGGAACTCAAGTTATTGTAAGTATTTAATTGTCCGTTAGTTTCGGAGAAAGCTTTTTTTTCAACAACAACAATAGAAACAACAGAAGCATCAACTAGAATTACAAAAATGAATTTTTCAAAACGACCCATAGGGAGCGCAACTCGATTCGAAGAATGACTAGGATCTCAACACGCAATAGGGCAAAGTAAATGGATTAAAATACCGATATCATTTTTGTTTTTTAGCAACGAGGGCCCGGAGACGACTATACATTCAGTAATACGGTAGTATGGAATAGAGAAGTTCACAATCCACAAAACATGATTGATCGAGAATTAGTTCTTCTAGATTTTAAATGTATCTACGAAGACACTTATACAGTAACAGGACCAGCTATATTGCCAACAAACAAGTAAGTGGAACATTTAGATTAGATGAAAGTGTGTTTATGATAATTAAGGACTTGGTTTGAAAATGTATCTCATCTCTCTCCTTCTCATAGTCCCCAGTTCATGTATTTCCTACAGGGCTAATAACGTCATGGAAATACAAGGTAGGTCATTTGCACACATAGCAAGCAAAATATGCATATCCAACCAGTCTAATGTACATATACAGCCAATAAAGCAACATGCATATGTTGGTAGTCCTAGCTAGATCCAGATGGCTGTATATATACATCACATTACTCAGGCCTCACTAGACTTTTAAGACAAAGACACCTTGTAAATCTTCAGTCGCCTTATGACTATCATCTTGCATTCTGAAAACTATTATCCTTAAAAAAATGTGTCGTCGTCTCTTTCTACGCAGATTACAATAATGCAAACATGTATGACAATTATACCCATAATTTTAGTGTACTTCAGTTTGTTTCTGAAAAAGGAAAGTTTGAAGTTCGAATGAGACTTTATGATGACAATAGTTACACAAAAGCACATGAATTCAGCAGTTCGCCTTCTATTATGATTGGAACAAATGTATACGTTCAAGTAAGTTGCGAACTACTCTACCCTTCACTTCACTCAGTTGTGGACTGAATTATCCTGAAATCTTCAACCTGAGATGCTAAACATATCGAGGCCAACGGCAGCATCTTAGCAAGTTTACCGGTACTTCAGTCAGCGTTGCCTATACTGGAGCCGTATGCATACATAATTTTCCAACAATAATAATTAATAAAAGAAAAATATATAATTGTATGAAAAATTGTAGGGTGCCACAGTTTAATTGATGCAATGTAACATACAGGTTGAATTGGAACTTATCAAAGACACACAGCTTGTTGTAACTATGGATCGTTGTTTCGCTTCACAGTCACGTGATCCTGCTGATCCTATAGCTACAAAGCACATGCTGGTCACTGACAGGTAAGGGAATTGGCCTTTTAATAGTTTTAAGGACTAAAAATACTTAAATTTTACCCAATCCTTTTGAAAAATGCCGTCCTATTCTAACAAAATTTTTCAATCACTCGGTGGCGTTTGAGAGCCACGAAGTTGTGGCTTGAGCTACTCAATCGGATATACTGGCGGAGTGTATCTCATATTTAGGTCAGGTTTGATTTGAGCCCTATCGGAGCAAGTGAATAAAAATTATTGTAATGGCGCTGTTGCATATGTATTATGGTCAAAATTGTTTCTCAAATTCCAAACATTGTATAAGAAAGAAAAGTCTGTGTAAGGAATGATATTTTGCCAATGCCATAAGCTCTTTTATGTTTTCTGGAATCTAATGGTATACACTCAACCAGATGCGTGGATTCCCGTGATCCAACAGTCCAAATATTATACAATGGAGAAGAAAGCGAAGGAAGATTTAAATTTCAAATGTTTAAATGGAGATGGAGTGCTGATGACGTTTATCTACATTGTGAAATCGATATTTGCAATAAAACATTTGAACAGTGTGCCGGTGAAGCAGTAAGTAGAATTTATCACCTAAAATTTGACATTAATGATTTTGATTACAGAGAAATAAGTTAATTTCGTAATGTAAAGTGTAAACTTTGTCTGTTTCTACCATTTGTCAAACGAATATGGTTCATTTTTACTGTAAGTATGAAACAAAACAAATCAATTTCGTATGGGTCAGTTCAATTCATAATTTTTATCAATGGGCAGAGGATCGGGGGTGAGCCAAATGAATAATTTTGCTTTCGGAAAGTTATTGGCAAAAGGTTGAAATATTTTGATATCAGAACTACGAATTTGAAAATTACAGTATTTGATATCTAATATATCATTCAACATGGCAGCAAAAGTTGTTCAATTCTCATTTGTAAACTTGAATGAAATCGAATCAACTTACATCAATTTTAAGCTGTCTTTTCAAAGTTTAAATTTATATAAGAAATGACGGCTAAACATGGATGGAACAATTAAACAAAAAAGTAGGAAAATGAATGAACAGCATTTGATATAACCAGTAGTGGTGTTCAAACTTCCTTTAAGAACGATTCTTCTTTTTTATCGAACTCACACTTACGTCAAGCCCGAAAATGTATCTATCGCACCACCTAAGCTGCATTAACATGGCACGCTTTACATAAATATATTTTAAAACTTCAAATATAGCACTAATCGTCAACTGCGGTTTACGTAACCCATTTTCTGCTTCGTATACAACAAAAGCAAGAACGTGTTTGCTGACTATGAAGGCATTCCCAAAAGGGATTCGCGCGAACATCTGGGTCCCACCACTGTATATATCTACAGTGTGACAATAAATTTTTTCAGACCAACTGCAAAGGTTCAGGTGACTTCAGACGAAAAAGAGATTTGCTTCGTGAGGGAATTTATGATCCTGATTCTCTTACACACACAAATAAATTTGTCAGTAACGGACCAATAAAGGTGGAAATGCAGGAGGATCTGTTGGAATTCGGAGCATCTGCAGATGCTGAAGATTGTAAGGCTTTTGTTTTTACATCAACATCATTATTCTTTCATCCAAAACCATCAACGTTTCCCTTGTTCTCTCACTTTCTCTCTCTTTTTTCTTCTTTTAATTCTAATTTACATATTTCTCTCCTATTACCTTTACTTTTATTATACGATTTTATTCATTTTACAGATGATACTTCAATGATGTTCCTTGGGATTGTATTAGCTCTTATCTTAGCTGCATTTGGAGTAATCGTCATCATCATCTTCAGGAGAAGACGTCGCACAAAAGCATCTCGAAAGAAAGTAAATTATGCTCAAGTACCTCAACAACAACAGCAACAACTAAGTTCTTTGAGGTTCACAACTGAAGCTTTCTAAAAATCATCTATGACGCTGTTTTGCTGGCTTTTATTGCCATATAGTATCATAACGCAATATTACTAGAGCAGGGCGAATAAGTTAGCCCAGTTCAACAACCGCACAGACAACTATATTACAAAATTTTAAATAAGGTGCACACCATATTCAAATGTACGGTTGTTTGCCTGCGAAACGCTACAGGCATTATATTAGAAAATAAAATAATCTCAAATAGGCAGCCATTTTTGAAATACCATACGTATTAAAATTATGTCTATCATAACATGAAAAAATATAGTTTAGGTAATGTAGCCTACCTACTGTGTGAACATGGGTTGCTAAGATATAGCGACTCACCAATTGCGATTGAAGTGATCTACATGAGCCGCGCGCCCATGGGTCTTTGATATCAAGCTCAGCTAAATTGCTTATGTAACGTAGCAAACACTTGCTTTCGACTTGCCTTGTATTGGTTTACCTTGCACTTTCTTTTACCTTTTTTTTCTTTTGTTGCTATCTGAACAGATACATAGGTAAATGAAGTTGGATGTGTTGTGAACTTGAGTGACGTACTATAGTAACTTTTTAAAAACCTTTTATGAACCGAATTTTTATGATTTGAAGTAATTGCTACTAATATACTAAAAAAAAACAGTAAGGCGAAAAAGAAAAGACACTTTGGAGGTTGGTCTACAGACCAGATTCACCAATCAATAGCCTATATCTGACAGGATAATACTAAAAAATTTCTGATTTAAAAAATCCAATATAATTTCAATCGTACCACTATATTTGAAAAAATTTTTGTAAAAATAATTATAAATTTCTTACCTATATTGACTAAAATTACAGATTTAATCCAAATCTTGTCTGATTAATATATATCACTTTGAAATTTGTTGATCAGCATGTTTATAACGGAATTGAATCATAATTAACAAAAACTCTTTTAAAATTATTATGTGACACTTGACCTTTAACCTTTCAGTACTCGCAAATTTAATGAGATAACTAATTTGTTGCACCTGATGTAAAATATGACTTCTGACACTTTTCATGTTTTTAATCATGTTTGTCCTGTTATTTTATGAATATTTGATGAATTATGCCTTTCAACAATATTAGTAATAAATTGGTATGAATATTGTGTTGTTCATATTGTTTACGTTATATGTAGGCTTCATAAAGGCGATATATCCATGTACTTAGGTAAGATACTCATAAACTTCTCTCAAAAGACCACTGTCGCGAATACGTGAAAGGACTAAAACGTGTATTCCCTAAGACCTAGGAAACTTATAAATGCATACTGGTATTGAGATCTTTACGCCCAAATTTTCAATTATCCTGTAATCGATAAGATTTCAAAGGTGACATAGACTTAAAACATTACTTTCAGAGATAAAATTATGAATAAGTCGCTGACTCAGAAAATCATCGCATGGAAGATAAAAATTATTCGAAGAGAAACACTTAATTCTGAGCTTGTAAAAAGTAATAATACTATGTAATTCAGTTGTTTGATTCATTCAATATTCGCCCATTATAACGACCATAATAACCCATCAGGCTGTGGGAGAAAGTCCCCAACCCCCCTAGTTGCGAGTCAAGTCTAAACTTCGGTAATCCGAAAATCGTGTCTCTTTATTTTATACGACTTCATCTACCTCTTTTGCTCCGAAATTAGAGTGAGTCGTTGATAAATGGTGAACCGAGTCCAACTGAAGTCAATTACATGTCATAAAAACACATCGACTTTAAAGCCGTCAGTTTATTCCCTCGCTTGCCAAATCGAAAGACATAATGATAAGAAGTCATTTGGGAATAGGAGAGAACCTAACAACAGTTGTACAATATTCATTAGGCTACCGTATATTTTCCTTATATTGCTCACATATACTTCCAAACAACCAATCCACAAATAACTATATCAAAAGCATGGTTGCCACATTTCTTACAGGATCAGGCAATCTGTGGACACAATTTGGACCCTATAAAGTGAAATTTGAATTATACAAAGTCATGTAAATGATATTGTTTACTTTTCCAACTTCTTATTTTTCCTATATAGATATATAGAACAAGAAAATCCAAAAGGTATGCTTATAGTTTTATCTTGGTCTCTATTATCCTTACGTTAGTGTAGTGTTTCCCAACCCGCGACAGGTCACTTGCGCGTCGCTTACCGTAATCAAACAATTGGATTTCACAACTCACTCGCGGACTTCCGACGAAAACAAGTCTGTACACACTTCGATAGATACGTAAGTGGTGTTTCTCTCGAGTTCGAACAACGAGGAATGAATTTTTCTGGTAGGTATGAATGGTGGCAACCCAAATTTTCTAAATTGAAAAGCGGCAATACAAAATACTAAAAATAAAACGGAGAACACCATAAGTGTTGTTTTGTGATGGTTCGCGACCGATTCAAAACGCTTTTTTAGACATTGCAAATCGTAAAATTTCTGGTGCTATCAAAGTATACCTAGGATTCTTTGCTTTACTGCCTCCACATTGGCACATACAGTACACCAGCTCTTTTAACGAACGCGTAATTGTGGCGAATTTCCGATTTTGAAAATTCGTTAAGATTCTGTTGTGCTTGGTTCTATTGCTTTTTCACACAGAGTACGGTTGCAATAAACTCACCTTGATTCCGCAAAGGTTTTCGCCAGTGAGAAAATAGTTCGCTAGTTCGCGACCAAAAAAGGTTGGGAAACGCTGCGTTAGTGTAATGCTCTGTCTTAGAATCTTACTTATAAAACATCAAATTCGCGGAGAAATCACCTGCAGGAGACACCAACCTCGTGTGTTGTATTTCTCAAACTTTTGCTTCCTTCAACGTAATTGAAAACTGAACGCACCTGCGTAACATTTACTCGTACGTTTACGCGTCAGGAGACTTTTGACTTTTAAAATTCACGGTAGCGCTTGAATCATCGCCGAAAGCATTTTTTCTTAAATGCAAAATGAGGATTTTGAGTCAGGCGACTACATCAATCGATTTATTTAGTCTTAATTCTTAACCGCGACGGAGGCAGATGTTCCAACTGGACATGGGAATTATATATTTCGTGACGACTTTTACTTTGCTGGGATTGTGCTTTGTTTATTCAAATGGTGAGATTGTTATAAAATATTTAGAAATATTTAATTTTCCAATGGCTATTATAAATACTAATTTAGAGTGTCTGTACTGTTTTCATGCCTTGTTACTGAAACAGTCAGAAAAGAGTTAACATTGCACTGGAATATGGATTGGACTTTGTTACATCCTTAGTTGCGATTGTCTGAGTGACCTATCATTATAAACTAGAAACGTGTGCTCTAGTGGCCAACTGGACAATATTTTTTTTATTAGGCTCATATAAAACTTTACATTTTCGGTCTATCTACAAGAAAACTCTATAATTTTGAAGTTTAAAAATAGTGTTTTGTGCCCACCTGACGACACCAAACGATGTATATTTTCAACCGCCGGCCTTCCCTAACTATTTACCTTAAATATTTTATAGTTTTATATTAGCCTTCCATTAATTTATAATTTTTAATTGAACGTGTCTATTGAATTTGTCAAATACACTGAGCCTCAGTCCTTTGAGCCCATTTCTACAAGAAAAACGATGCATTATCATGCATATTTAATGAATAAACGTTTATAGCTGAAGGCCGTTCATTTACTGTTACAAATGAATATATTGACCCTTCAACAATAGCCGTACTCGATGACAAATTAGTGAAGTAATAATCTTTAATAGTGACGTCATAATACCAAAATAATAATAGGGGCGTGCGCAATAATAATGTGTTGACATCATAATTACGTCATCGACTTTTTTGAAGCCATAAAAAGACAATGGACCGATAGTCCTTTATCATTATCACACCAGTAAAAAGTTCAATATAATGGATAGTTATATTGAAGGGTAGTTCAAATAGCGTTTTATTTAACCTATACATAACATTATAAAACGACATATTTATATAAGCTGAAAAATAATAGTTATTAATTTTGCATATTTTCAGGCGAGTTTACAAAAACGGAGAGATTTTCACAAAACTACGCGAACCACCACGAAGTGTCAACCGAAGTCATATTAGAGACTACAAAAAGTCGAAAAGATAATTCAGATGAAGAATTTGCATCAAGATATTTTAAAAAAAGTCCAAATTCATTTTGGGGAGATGCAGCTTCATTATCAACAAATCATCAACATAAAATATTCAAGAGATCTTTGAAAAAGGGCGGGGCTAACTCGATAGATAACGTCAAAACAGAAACCGATGAAAACCCAGAGGTCAAAGAGCAGGCTGATTGTCAGCACTGGCCTTACTTTCCGTGTGGGAACAGGAGACAATGCTTCACTTCTCAAGTAAGATAATAGTCAAATTTTTGAAATGCTTGCGCAAAAAACAATATTATATGTTTAAGTACATTTAAACGTAGTTAACTTAACAGCAAGCGGCAATTCATTCCTAGCTTTTTATTGACAAACAAGTGTTTCCTGGGTGGTCGTTACAGTAAATATTCTGCTATTATTTCTAACAGTAAATACAGCTCAAGGAAAAAATTTATATTTTTTCAATCATATATTGCCGAATTCATTATTGGATCGTTAGTAATACGCGTGTTTCGTTTATTATTCCGACAAGCTCTATTACTTGTTTTTGCCGCATAGTAGTCAGTCAATTGACTGACCCAAAACCCTTTGTCATTTTTTATTATTCCTATTATATACAAAATTACAAGGCTAAATAATGCATGGAGCCATGTCAAGAGAGTCGCATGAAATTTTAATTTTCAATTGTTGATTTTTAAAAAGTAGTCATCGCTGCGATAAAAACAATGTATATGAATATGCAATGTAAATTTTTTCTTAAAATTATTTTAGTTTTCAGCAAATGAATTTGGTCATATAGAAACATTTTTTTGTCGTAGATTTGCTTCTAACTGATTGAAATTGAACGCCACAGAAATACACTACACAGATTCTCGCTAGATTACCAAAATAATATGTATTTTTCATACAATTCCAAATGTGCTGACTCGCATGAGAATGAAAACGTGCCGGAAAAATCACCTAATATTGTCTACATCGAATTTCTTTAACACATAAATAGGAATTTCTAATCGTTTCACAACGCCATCCAAGTGATAGAAATGCAAAATGGAGTTATTTGTATCATTTGTAAAAATAAAAACAAACAACTGAATTTGGGGAAAATATAAATCTTATTTTCCCCGCGGTGCAGATATTGTAGGGTAGAAAGGACAAAGGAAAAACGAATCAGGAAAGTGTAAATGCCGCGAAGAATAAAATTTGTAAATAAGCTTCCAAAACACGAAATTTGAAGAGAATTGTATTCCTAAATTCTCCTCAACTGGAATACAATTTAATTCTTTCTAATGGACTTAAATGTTAAAGTGATCCGAATAATCAAAATGTCAATTCATAGGCCGATTCGATTCCGTTCATCAAAAAAGATGTTTTAAAAAATGAAGGAAATGTATATTTTGGATCTTGAATTCTTGAACAAAAATTTCAAACGACTTTTTCATAACGATAGCAAGAAGAATACCATGATAACAAAAATACCAAAACGGTCTATAAGTCGACTACGTGTCCAATAACTATAACTATTTACAATTATTTAAAGCAAGCACGTGTTTCAATGATGTCAATAAAATGAACAAATATCATCTAAATCAGTGGTTCTTGGACTTTTTGAGCCGCGTCGTCCTTTAAAAAATATTACGATCTTCGCGACTTTTTGCTTTGAAAAAATGCTTTTGTGATGGGCAGGTTGCTTTATATTAAGATGGCACTGTAAGTGTCTTGGTCTCATAACGTCATTGCTCAGATTGTTCAGGCATAAAACGCATCGGAGTACAACTTTGCCATTCACTGTCGTAGGTATAAAGCCATACTCAAGTAGAGGTCATCATACATTCTCATTTTCCCGCTCAGTTTGCAATACCTGGTAAAGTTGAACTAAGTTTTAAGTGAAACTAAACACGCAACAAACGTTTGGTTTTTGCGCTTTATTGTATTTTCTGCTTACACATTTACATAACACACATAAAATCGCAATCAATTGTTTATTCCATCATTACTGAGTTATGCAAAAATTATTTGCTGTGTGTTAAAAATACACAACAATACAGACTTCTCGGCTTACCTAACGTCTCCAAAATTTACTACCAATACCTTTGGACAACCGACAGGTTAAAAAATACAGTTTACAAAATAGGAAAGTGCAAATGAATTTATGTACAATATTAGCACAAAGAAAGGCAGTTCATTTTTTAATAGTTATTATGCATGTTGACTTTTCCCAGGCCCTTGACTGCTATAAAATAATGTCGCTAAGGACGTTTGCAATTGCATTCTGTTTAAATCTCCGATTGTGTTTGCCAGCGTGACATGTTATTTGGACCTTAAAAATGTTTATTTCGGTGTTTATTCTCCCCAAATCAGAAATTTCTTCGACAAATGTTTTGTACGGGGAAAACGATGACAATTACTTTTTTCGTTCTCGCATGGAACCATGACACCTGTGAGGAAAACGAGTTAGTTTTTATTATATAATCATCAGCTAAAGAAAGAACAAAGAAGTGAATCCGCAACCAAAAATTTCTTGATTGAAAAAACGACATTATAAAATACTAAAAATAAAACGGTTAACACCAGGAGTTTTGTTTTGGGATGGACCGCGACAGATTAAGAACACTTTCTTAGACATTGCAAATCTCATAAATTTATTGTGCCTGTCTTGTTCTAAAACTACCGACTAGAAATAAATTTTATCGCAGACTTAGGAATTTTTCGAACGGTGATATCTTAAAATTAATTGAGTGGCAGCATTGCGATGGAGCGGAGTAAGAGTTGCAGGGACAGCTCATATTGGTCTAATTTGCAAGAATACGAATCAAATCAAAAAGTAATTGGCCACTTTGCCACACATTTTTATGTCCGTGGATTGCCGTGAAAAAGTCGGTTTTTTACCGAGCAGCGTAATCTCGACGACTGACTCAGGAGCCGTACCGCGGGATTTCGGGGCGATGAATATGTATTTTTGATTTACTGATATACTTTATATGTATTTTCATTGTACTAAATTAAATATACTTTCTGGGATTTTATACCAGATCTTTCTAACGACGATAACGAATTCGCATGGGCGCAATATATATTAAAACTAAATATAATTGAGCAGTTGATCCAACATTACTATGTCTGCGGATTGGCGTGGTATATTACATCGGTAATAAGTTCATTTTGTCATGTGTCGCCGCAACCGCGAGTTACCTTGAACGCGAATGAAGTAAAATAGAGAGACATTAGGAATTCTTGTAGTCGCCATAGATTGATTATTACAAGACAGAAAATTTTATAATACCGTGATAAAGCCGGCATTTATCGAACGAGGAGACCGTTTCAGGAGACGTTGCATGGAAATTTCCGATTCCATCTTGTGACCTCTCTCATGACCCCGATGAGCATCTCGCGCCCCCCAGTTCAAAAACCACTGATCTATAGGCTTTGATACCAATAGCGTCAGATGTTTTTTGACAACCTAGTGACCAAATGCATCGATTTTCTATATCGTTCTTGTTTTTGTTGGATTGATTTTTTAAATCGGTTCCAAATTTTCAGTACATGCTTGAAGATGTAGTCGCCACTGGAATATAGCTTTTTTTCAAATTTACTTTGAGTCTTTCAAGATTCGCTATTTCACCCACAATTTGGCTGTTTTATTTTACGTTATGGGGGCGCTGTTTAATTCATGACTGGCACGTTACGTCTTTTCTTCGTATTGTTTGCGAACTAGGGTCTCAGACAACTTACAGTAGCCTATAGGTTGGTGGGCTACCGGTATTGTGGTTGTGGTTATTGGCGCTATATATTTTAGCATTTCTCAATTGTCTTGAAAGTACTGCTGGCGAATACTTTGAAATGATATATATATATACTTTTGTTTCAATCAGTCAAAAATCACATTTCATTTACTTAAATTAATGTCGCCATTGGAAATGGGACCAAGAGAAAACTTTATCTCAAGGGCCACAAAGAATCGCTCCTCGTCCCGCTAGGAGGGCCAGGGCCCAGTTTGAAGAACCATTTGTCAACACCAAATAATTCGGCATTTTGGCAGGTATTGCAATGGGTCAATAAGAACTATAACATGTAAGTGTCATCAGCTTTTTATCTTAGTACTTCATTCAGTAAATGATGTTAATCAATGCGTAAAACATCATATGGCTCTTTAGCTGGACATGTGCATAAAATTATAAACTTCATGAATCTCAATCCGAAATAGAATATAATGGAAACATCCATATTTCTATATTCCTATATTTTGGTCAAAAATTGTTTTTTTCCATGGTTATCTGTAAACGTATCACCGATTTGTTGTAACTTTCCTCTGAGTGAGTTTATGCAAACTGCTGCTGTCTTTCTTTTGACATTACTTAGAATATAAAACACAACATTTTCTATTTACTGTTTATAGCATTGAAGAACTTTTTGGAAACTTATATCGATATTATCAACTGTTACATAAATAAATAACAGCCATTAATTGATTTTTGTGACATAAAGTAGCAAAATCCACACATTTTTGACTGGAAAGGGTGACAAATGTTGGAAAGTTTTAGATGAGGGTGAATAATTAATTACCTCCCGGGATATCTTGAATCCCTCGTGATAGCAGCCGTATGAGGTATCGACAAAACACCGCATCATATCGAAAGGTTAGGGACATATTACCACGCGCTAAAAGCATTAAGATTAATGTAATATGCATATTCTTCCGGGCAATTTGAAACAAATTGACTTTTTATCAATATTATATGTGAAAGGTAAGATAATATCCAAAAAAAATATATATTAAGCTGGACATATTCCATATATATATAGACTTAGTATAAAATATAAGTAATTTGCGATGTAAAGCTGTGCTATCTTATACGAAGATCTTATTTTCCCCGATGAATACATAAAAAGACTTTTTTTAGCAGGAATCAGTTTCAAATTACTGTAGGTTTACTGATTTTTTGCCTTGTGGGGCGCCCGCATGGCTCTAATAAATTTGATATTATTAATTCTTTGATACTATCAGCCCTTCCTCACGCTGAAGTGTCCGTCAAATGCATTGGGTCGATATTTCATAACTTGGATGGACATTAGTATAAAAATAGATTTATCTTTTGATTTAAATAATGCAATTTGTGGTTTATGAAATATGAATCAATAGGGTTAGAATACTGAAATTCTAACGCGGTAGCGTTCAAGAATGAAAAATATGGAAAAAGGCAAAAACAATCATCTATTTTTGACATCATTTGCTGTATGACATTTTTTGCCACAATATGTCGTATATACAAATACATCATTACTCCGTCATTTTTCGAAGATGATATGATCTGACAAAATAAAATGAATAAATAAAATTATAAAGAACATTAATACGAAATTGGTTTAGCAGAAGTCAAAACCAGTCAACAGAAATTCAGTTGGAGATTCAATTCCACAAAATAAATGGCTGTTAAAATAACATAAAACAGGCTCATAGCGTCCAGAAAATATAGGCATAAATATATTCAAATATTTAAACATATTCGTTCACTGAATATTGAAAAGATTTGTCCAGTATGCCAAAATGAAACTTTTTCTAACAACAACAAGTTTTGGACATGAACAACAACGATTTAGCAAATGACTCCATTAGTTGACTGCATGTTTATTTGGTTAACAGAGTTACAAAGTCCAATGAAATACCAAGGTATACTGAAACTATACAGATTTATACTGGTGCGAGACGTGACGCATTTCAAGTTGATAAGGCCAGGAAAAGAGTTATGAGTTAGTAAATTCTGTATAATTGAACTTCTTAGAAAAACACTTCTATTGGAAAAGTTTTTTCGTCTAAAACAGTGGTTCTCAACCTTTTTTCTTCCGTGGCCCTTTTTCGTTGAACAAAATTCTTGTAGCCCACCAACTTTTCTATGCAAAGGAAAAACTACAAGAAAAACAAAATCATTCCACAAAAATGGACACTTTTACATTAATAATAATTACAATGAAAATTACCACTCAGTAGCAGAAAAGAGCATCATCATTCATTGCTGCTAAAATTAAATATATATAGTGACACAAAGAAAATCAGCAATTTTTAACAGGGATTTGGTCCACCTCAAAATGTTTCATTGAACCAGCAGTTGGACATGGTTGAAAACCGGTGGTCTAGAAATTCCAGAGGTTTGTAGAGTAAGCATAGCCAGACAACATTCCGTAAAAGTGAAATAGTTTGCAGATTGGGCGGCAATAAAGAGACAGCCATATTTAATCAATATTCTCAGTCTGAAGTCTAAACAGTTGAAAACAGTTACAGGCGCACTAGCCCACATATTAGAGCAGTCCTCCATGCAAGAGCGTATCAACGATGTGTACAAGTTATGTATTCACTCACGGGACAACTATTAACGGTCGCGGTAAAAATATACAAGTTACATTGACGCATTTCAAAGGAACGGACGTATTATACTCATTCAAGTCAAGTTGACAAGTCCAATCCGACAAAATTCAAATGATTCGGTCAAGGTTTTTCACAGCATCCCAGGATTTGTATCCGGGTTAATATGACGATTGATCGACAAGAGTTTTTCGAGTTCAGGGAAACTTGTCCTTGGCACGCATACTGGATACCAGAGTCTGTATCCAAAACTTTAGCTAGCTCCAAACGGTGTTGTTTATCGTTTTCCACATAAAGATAACGAATAAAAAGTTTTATCGGAAGCATAAATTAGTAACTTGCAAATATTTATCAGTGAAGGTAAAAACTGAAAACAGTGTGTGCTAAGAAGGGAGATTGTTTTCAGGGCAAAATCTTACAAATGTTGCTTAAGTAGTTTAAACTCATTACACCTGTTTACAGCAAAATCAAGCTGTAATCGATTTTAATCCAGTCTACTTTGTTTAATATTTCAGACTATTTTTCTTCACTGAGATTATCTAGGATGACAGTAAATCTTGTCACTTTATTGCCAGAATATCTCGGCCTATATTTGTGTATTGTAAACAGATGTATGATCCGGTATCAGAAAAATAAAAAAATGCAACAAAAACTACAATATCCGAATTAGTTCAAGACCTCAAGTGCAATAATGGAACAAGTAGAATTAGTTTGACTGTTTTCCAAATCTCATTGATTTTTCATTCTAAAGATTAAAGTTTGGATTGGAAAATTCCTTAATTTATGTCACGGTCATTGCGGCGTCTCGTCGAATTCTAGTTTGCATCATTTTTAATAAATAATTAAAATAATTCGAAGTTTGGTGGTAACTTGATATTTCTAATTAGCGAAATTGGAATAGTATTTTCTCATAATAATCTAGAAATATAAGACTTGCGGAAAAGATGCAAATTTCTGATTGATGTATGCAATATTTGAATGACCCACTTTTTATGATGAAATATATAACGATCATGCCCGATATATGAAAATGGATAAAATCAAAGTGTGTCAGCAGCAATTCACAAATGATCATGCTTAAATTATAAGACTTACAAAGATACAACAATGAAAATGCAACACAATTTTATTTATTACAATTTATGAAAGGAGGTGGCAGGTCGGTTATTTCGGGGAAATTTTAGTAAACACAATCTTATGACATGGTGTTTAAATCATTACCTGGAAAACGTCGTAAGGGATTAAATTGTTTTGACAAAAATTTCTCCTTGCTTATAACGTCGAATTAGAAGCATGCACATGCTAAGTGTGGCAAATAGTGGACCCATACCTACTTTTACATAAATTTTTCTTAGAGAAATACACCATGTTAAAATTGACTTCATGCTCTAAATTTTTGTCCCCGAAGTAAATTTCTCAAGCGTGCAATGAAATTAAGAAGAAACGCTATAAAACGATTTTATATCGATTTGGATATACACCATATGAGGACAGTTACAACTAAATGGATTTGACATCTGTTAAAATACGTATTAAAAAAAATGCTATTGAAATCGATATAGGATTTTATGAAGTTATACTCATGCTAATAAAATTTTGGTAAAATCTTTAAGTTATGAATGTGTTATTGTTACAGGAAATGTGTGATGGATATGATGATTGCAGCGACGCCACAGATGAATGTGAGAGTATGTGTACTCAGACATTTATTTGTAAAACGAGTAAAAAATGTATAGCACTCGTTCAATTTTGTGATGGAGTTGTCGACTGTGAGGATGGAAGTGACGAAGTTCTTGCTGATGCAGACGAACCAAATGGCTTTAGTGATGATAATGAAAGGTAACGGTATTGTCTGATATGATGAAACTTTTTCTGTGTGAAAAAATGGATTTTCTCAATATTTACTGGACCAATTGTTTGAAATTTTCAGTGATTTAAAGATTGTAAAGAGGCTATCACTTTTATTTATTTCAAAAACATCTTTTGGCTCTAAGGGATTCGTTTTTCGTGTGCGATGACGTCATTTAATTGCGCACCTTGTGGCGGGTGGTTAGGCGGGGTCGTGAAGACTGCGGTATCGGTAGTACAATGTGGGAGATTGCATACCTGTTCTACTTCGTTTTGGCTATCGTGGCCATATATTTGAGCATTGCACTTTCGTTCAAAAATAATCATAGTCTAGTTTCACCACTTTAAAAAACTCGGAACTTTCTTCGTCGTGGCTTTGAAAAGCGTAAATGATTTTTTGAAAAGTTTAAAATTGTTTCGGACCTCCCGAAGTATGCGCACCAAAATGGCGCACAACCTGAAATCAGGTTGTGTACCAGGTTAGGGTTCAGGTTATGCGACATCTTGGTGCCCATACTTCAGGAGCACCATTGCTTCAACTTTAGTAATATAAATTATTTCTGAAATGGGCAGTAATTAGGCAGCATTTATTTTTACAAAATAAGATTTCCTGAAAAAAAATATCATATAATAGTATCGAAGAATTTACACGTGGCATAAAAAATACAAGAACTCTGATATTGGTAGTTGTATGAAAATTGAGTTGAAGTTGGTATCTATGTTAAGCCCCAATATTATTAATAAACTTCTTCAATTGGCTTCAATTTCAACCTCTGGTATTAGTCATAGTTTTTAGTTGGGGACAAAAAAAAATATTTATTTAGTACATCCATGGTTCAGCTGAAAATCGATTTCTTTTTTTGTAAACCACAATGCGATTTCAGATATAAAATATATATATATATATATATACAGACGGCTAAGTCATCATGCCGCTGTGAAAGGTCATCCGAAAAATACAACAAAATATATAATGAATACCAAGAATATTCAATTCTTTACTTAATTGTGCATAAATTTATGAGATGTTTTTGAATTCCCAGTGCGAATGGAGGCGAAAAAAGAACCGCGGACAATTTCTTACTTTGAGGCCGTCCAGGAGTAATTTGAGCAAAACGGCTTTGGTGAATCACCATGCAAAACAAAATGCTGAATTATGCATATGAATCTAAAATACTGTGTAACCGCGTTCCATAATTAGACAGCAAACATACATATTGAGTTAATCTTATCTTGGGATCATTGTAACAAAACACTAGAGGTTACACAATATACATTATGAATAAGCAACAAGTAAACTTTCATATTGAATTACTCCTGTCCTGATTGAATGCGCAAATTTCAAAGCAACAATTTTCCTATTCGAACTAGAAAATAGCAATTGTTGATCCGGTCTTATGTGCTTCCACTTCACACATATGGGTAGTGGTCGCTACTACCTCAAGAGTGTTGCCTGCCTAAATCTTTACAGTTGTTTACAGTGTGGAAAATTACCTAAACCTTTGAACATGGAGAATTAGGGTATTGAAAACCGGCTACGTGTGTCGTGGAAATAAAAAAATTGAATAAAAAATGCAATATGCAAAATTTGATGTTTATCAGTGGATTTTTGTGGCATAATTTAAATTTTGTTAACTTGAATGCAACGTACAACGTTCAATATTAAATTTTTATATGAAAAGAGAACTTTTCTTGGGCGAATCACGACTTTCCTTCAAGAAAAATTCGTTATAATTTCAATGTAAATTCGGTTTGGAGGACAATGAGATTATGGATAGCCAAAACCATAACCGAAATCATTTACTCGTGTTTCGAATTCCACAATTTTATTTACAAATTTTTAATTTTCATTATTCGATTTTTGTGACAAATTTTATTCGATTTCAATTGTGTCTTAACGTAGACAGATGAAATGAATTGTCTCAGCTCATTTTAAAGATAAAATTAAGCTGATACATTTTAAATTTCGTTTGAATAATTTATGTATTTGAAGGCGACTTGTCGTATTTTAGGAAGAATCTAGACAATAAAAATAGGTAAATTGAATCGTAAATTGCAGTAATTGTCATCATTCGTCTGGTTGAAATCGAATCCAAACAATACGCATATTTACCAAGAAACGGGAGTGTAATTTTACTGAAACTTCGCACTTTTTTAAGGCAAACAAAAACATATTTTCAAAATTTTTGTGTTACGAAATTTGAACACGCAGAATTAATAAATATGAATACATTAAAACGTTAATCAATGTAAATACAGCCTTGGTATGGCGCCACGAAATAAGTTTCGTAAAATTAATTGCATTAAATATCTTTCAAGCTATAACAGAATTCAGTGTGATGTAATCGACAAATTCAGATTTCTTGTTCCAAACTATTTTATCCAATATAAATTGATTTTTGTATCCACATCCCATTGTAGAAAAGTTTCTATAATTGATAACCCAATTTCCAACGAATTGCGAAATGAACTACTTACATATACTGAAAGCTAATTCCATTTAGTAGCGGCATAATGTCAATATGTGAGACTGTTTGGCAAAGTTGTCAGTGATGACATAATCGAGTCATGTACTTTGAAATAACAAAATTTCCAAACTTGTTCTGATTTGCAATCGATCGTTACATCAGTGTTTTGCGCTTTTTACAGCCGGAGGGGGGGGGGGGATCTATGACGTGACAATACTACGAGACGCATCATTGATTTTAAAAAAATGGTCACCCCGCTGTCGGATGACATAATATGTAAATCAATTGGTACGAAATACGTGACACAATTTCCTCCCTTTAGGGTATAATCAAAAGTGCATATGGAAGTCACGTTTAGTCCTCCCACTAATTGTCTCCGTCAGAATATTCCGCAAATGCACTCTCAATACTAAATTTGAAGTTTTGTTTCTTTTCTCCGTAAAAAATCATATACTGCATTTTCTTTTTATTTCAAGTTTTGTGTGTGCAAACCTTTGGACCTTAAACTCCACTAGGCAACGTACAGAAACTAAGACGCGAAAACACCATCGTCATAATAATGTGCGGCGAAGGTGTCGTCTCCCACTGGAATATGTTTGTGATGGAATCAATCATTGTGGGGATCATGTGGATGAATGCCATCCACGATGTGGAGAGGAATCCCATTTCTCATGCGATAATAACAGGTGAAATGTAACGTTATTAAAAATAAATTATTGAGCAGATTAATAACAGATCGGCCATCGTGAAAGCGCAATATTCGTCAAGTAAACTATTAATTTTCCTGGTCCATGTTCACATTAAGCTATATGAGGTATACGGATTTTATTTAAATTGATGACAACATTTTTTACAATATTGTCCTAACAGTATTGACGTGGCATATTATAAATTTTGGATACGAATCCCACACCACAGTAAGGGTGTGATAATTTGGGTCATTTACGCAGAACTGCAGAAATTTTGTTTTTTAATGAGATTCCTATGTTTGAGTGACTGCTTTTCTAAAACTGTTTGAAGCTACGTTTAAAAAATACCATATGAAAATTATCCTCATTTTAGATGCATCGCAGCGAAGCATCGGTGCGATGGCCGTGATGATTGTGGCGACGGTTCGGATGAATGCACTGATTGTCAGTCTATATTTCAGTGTGAAAATGGTAAGCCTGAGATATTGAAGTTATTTACCTAATCCCGTCATGTAGAAGAAATTTTATAACGAGTACTGTATAAGGCAATAATAATATCGTTTCGTGAATAAGAGAGCAGTGCTGATTATATGGACACGAAGGTATAATGACAACCAAAATTTCAGGCCAATTTGGAATGAATTGTATCGGATGGTATATTAATGTGTCCACCAGATGCCATATAATCGTAATTATAAATTTAGGGTGCAATATCGGGACCCGCAGAAAAAAGCGGTGATGGACTTCTAGCGAGTTCTCTATTCGTACGTGCTTAACATTTGAAATCGTTTGGTCTTTTAGTTTAATGGAAGATATATTATTCCTCAACATCACATTTTGCAAAACGATCAAATCATGTTTTTGGAAATCCAAATATCATATATTATTCAAATATAGTAAAATGTAACATAATAAAATCTGCTGACAACGCGGAACATTTCATTCCCACAATTTCTATTTTGATATTTGAGCAGTTTTACCTTTTAGACTAATTGCATCGTGGTTTAGTGTTTCGTTCACTGTCGTACTTTGTAATTAAAGTGATTAACCGAAAATTAACTGGCATGGATATATTGTTATAGAGAATAGAGATATATGATTTGTTTCATATCAGGTCGAATATTCGGTACCGACATTATCAAGTCTTTAGGGCTGCCATGATACTCAATACACGACATAATAAGAAATAAGCCAATAACTAGGTCAAAGGTCAGCTCAACTTAACCCCAAATTCATTGGACACGAAGTCGATCTAAAGATTGGTTTGTTATTAAGTTGTTGTTTTTAGTATTCTTCTTTTTCTTGTTGTTGTGGAAAAAATCACTTTTTTTTATCAAATAGACCAATTGCTTTTAAATTTTCAGTGTTTAAAGATTGCTGTTGTCGCTACAAGTCCATTAGTTTTATATACTTTTCAAAACGTTTTCTGGGCTTCATGGGATTCGTTGGCTTTTGTGTCTTCGTCTTGGCTTTTGTGTCCATATATTTGAGCATTGATATCTTGTTACTAAATTTTCATGTCAACTTTTTAAGGAGCGTGTATTCCACAAGCTAGTTTCTGTGATGGAAAGATTGATTGTAAAGATGGAAGCGATGAAATGTATTCATCAAATATTTTGTCAACGTACGGTAACGGCACTCCCGTTGTAGTCTGCAACAATCTGCGAAACTTGGTTAAAATGGAATGCGTACTTCCTTCGAGGTAGGTTATCCTATGACCTATTTGATTGGTCCCATCGCACAACAAGAGGTGCATGTCGAGGCAACTATACACGAGTTTTACATGCTAGGCTTTAATGCACTAAAACATTTGCATTACACAAATGATAAAGCACCAACAAACATACCTCAGATGAAATATACCACAACGAAGTTGAGAATACCAAAATAGGCAATACAAATTAACACAGAGCAATGCTCAAACATATGGAATTACGTTATTGCAAATACATGTAGTATAAATTGTCGTTTATTCACCCATATTACTTCAAAAATTATCATTTCAGGTACATTTGCGATGGGTATGAACATTGTTTTTACCGAGAGGATGAATGTGTAGAGAGTTGCCCATATTCATTCAAGTGCAAAAACGGCAATTGCATTGTGAAGAGTTCACTGTGTGACGGAATGGATAACTGTGGTGATATGTCGGACGAATGTGGCGAAGGTTGTCCAAACGTTTTCCACTGTGATAATGGTCGTTGTCTCTCACTGGACCGGTTTTGTGACGGAAACGATGATTGTGGTGACGGGACAGATGAAAATATCAAAGGTACAAATGTCAAAGATTATTTTTTTTACAATGTGTTATATCTTCACTTACGTATGCTATATGTATTAGTACTTAATTTTTCCACCTCACGGCGAACAAAAATTTGCACGAGTAAGTATTCGAACTAGATATGTGAGCGCATGGGTTTGAAAGGATCTGGAACAGCCTACTACAATCAGGTAGGCCTATTCGAAAATGTCCAGACATATCCATGAATACTATACCCATATTTTGGAGTTCACAAAATTTACACTATATATATGTTTCATTGTTCAGATTCAAGTCAAACTTCATCTGGCCTGTTCTGTTCAAATATCGTATCAAGTAGCACAAAAACATGTAAGCTGCCGTCAAGATACATTTGTGACGGAAAGGATCAATGCAAAAATCGATTAGACGAATGTCAGGACAACTGTGAACGGAGTTTCTTCTGCGACGGGGGAGAAAAATGTATATCAAGAAATAACATTTGCGATGGGTTGCCAGAATGCATGTAGGTTCATATGATATGTACTCAGTATTACTTGACCAGCATTTTTGTAGGGTTGAATGAGATGCCATAATGTCCGTGTTTATGGTGTCTGTATATTTTTTTTATGTTCATATGGTATTATGCTTACCCCTTATCCGATTGTTTTGTCGGGTCTGACCACTTTGCTGGCATCCGAATTTGTATTATCAGACTCCGATCAACCATAATATGTTCTAGGGAAAATATATCTCTTGCTCTCTTATTGGCTTTAGAGTCGGAAATTTTTGGATATGTCTGCTGCTTCTAAACTTCCAAAATTTATTTTGCTAATCAAAGTGTCGAGTTGCTGTTTTAAATAAATAACCAATCCAGAATCCTGTGTCGTCTGATCTAACAAACACAGTAGCAAAACTTTGAAACAATGTTGTCCCACTATTTTAGGGATGCAACTGATGAATTGAAGACAACAAATCTACCTGCGATTCGCGGATTCAAATGTCGCGTTAGTAGACTTGGTGAAAGCCGACAATGTGTTCTTCCTCAGGTAACTGTGATAATGGTTTCTGCCTAAAAAACTATTTAAAATTAAATACCGGCTTGAAATAATTATGATGTTCTGACTCGATGTTTTTAGGAATTTGTCAATGATGACATTGGTGATTGTGAAAATGATGTTGATATCTGTGTCGGATATAAGATTGGCAATTTTTCTTTATTACACCACAATGAATCCAATTGCGTTAAATGCTTGAGTTCCAGCGTCATTATTGCAAAAAGGTTTGAATATTATATTTCTCCTGTTTTTTCTATCAATGTGCTTAGGATAAATTCTATCATTATGTACACATGTTATTTATGATTAAATTAGGCAGAAGAAATTGGGGACGAAATGGGAATTGATGGGAAAACTCATGTTGCACACACGATTTCTTAATTTGGCCAATCAAGCATGAGACAGATTCTTCAGAAAACAAATTTAGATATCGACTCACTATATTAAAAGGATACAATAATATGTTGAATTGAAAATTTTCTTTCTCATTTTGTTACAGTCAGATTTGCGATGGTGCGTTCGACTGCCCAGATTTATCAGATGAATGTCTTTGTCAAGATGTAAAGGCATCATTGGTGTGTGAAAAAACTTGTTTTGGAAAAGCTGAAAACTGTATGTGCCCAATAGGCAAATTGCCATGCTTACTACCACCTGAAGACAAACAAGAAGAGCTATTTGAACTTCTGTGGAGAAGAGATCACTTGATTTCAGATCCAAATGATGTCAATTGCATAGAAATCAGCCAATTTTGTGATGGTAAAGTTCATTGCGCAAATGGGGCGGATGAAGTCGCATGTGGCCTTTCAGCAGACTGCAGTGACTTTTCCGTGCCAACAAAATCGAACGTTCGTCAAGCTACTAAGTCTTGTAGTCCAGATCATATTTGTACAAAGCACATGCTAAGAAATCCATGGACACCAAAACACGCAGTGGCTTGTGACGGCACACCAGAATGTTTCGATTTAGAAGACGAATGTGCATCAGGTTGCGCAGAACCTCTTCCTCTATATTGTAAATTTAGAAACTATGACGGATTTTTTGCTTGTCCCGAATCAGGAATACTTCCTGGTCTCAAAGTTTGTGATGGAGTAGGAGACTGTGATCAAAGTAAACAAGACGAGAAGGCATGTCCGGGTAGATTCTATTGTCATTCAGGGGATGTGATAAGTGTGCCTGATACACGTAAATGCGATTTCAAAATTGATTGTAAAGATGCATCTGACGAACTGAATTGTACAAAATCGCACTTTTACTGCGAGGGAGGAGATCCAATTTTCGTACCATTACGGAGGAAATTCGATGGAAAAGATGATTGTGCAGACGGAAGCGATGAATGTCCCGCAGATTCCTTCGAAGACTCGATGTTTTCTTCGCTTGAGCATCTAATTGACAATGTATTTTTGAATATCATGGTTTGGGTAATGGGAGTATTGTCAGTTGTTGGAAATACATCGGTTCTCATTTTTACATTGAAGTCAACAGTATTTCAAAAGCAAAAACTCACAAACGTAGCAGTGATTTACAATTTTTTGGTATTCAACTTGGCATTAGCAGATATGATTATGGGAAGTTTTCTTCTTGCTTTGGGTGCAAAAAACGAAATGGTATCTGGAACATATTGTCGCGAAGACAAACATTGGCGTTCCGGGAGTACTTGCACCGCTCTTGGTATGATGGCCACAATTTCAAGTGAAACTTCAATTGCCATGCTGGCTATATTATCGTCTTATCGACTTTGCTGCGTGGTAAGGCCAATCCAAAGCAGAGATTTTCGTTTGGGAACAGCTGTATTGATAGCAGGATCTGTTTGGTTTATCGCAATCCTTGTTGCAACTATTCCCATAATTCCATATTTCGCTAACTACTTTGTAAACAAGGTTTGGCTCTCTCCGAATCCATACTTTGTTTCTGATGTGGTCAACAAAAGTACAATGAAGACATTTATTCAAATACTTGATTCTTACTCACCCAACTATACAAATAACATCACTTATGCCAGTTTCGAATGGAGTAGGGTTGATGAGAGTTTAAGTCAGTTAGACCCGTCTTACAAGACTTTGGGTTTCTTTGGCTATTACAGCACTCACGCTGTCTGTTTGCCCAAGATATTCGTAACTCACGGCGAACCGGCTTGGGAATATTCGTTCGTCCTTACTACAGTAAACTTCCTGACTTTTATTTACATCGTTGTGGCCTACATGATGATGTGGCGTCCTGGACCAATGAATAAAACAAGTTCAGTAACGTCGAGATCGGGTAAAGCGACGAGAAACATGCAGAAGCGCATCGCCGTTCTCGTAGCATCAGACTTTGCTTGTTGGGTTCCGACATGCATGATTGGATTTCTCTGCCTTGCCGGAGTAGATGTTTCAGATACTGTTTACGCCCTTGCGGCTATCATACTTCTACCGATTAACAGTGCGTTAAATCCTATTTTATACTCGAACGCACTTCAAGGTGTTTGGAGAACAATTTCTAGAGTCGTTGGTTGTTGTAAAACGAATTTAATGAAAAGATATTCTATGTTTTCCAAAGACCGTCTTCACCGATCACCACCGTCGACTCCTGAAGCAGACAGTCTGCAACATGCCGTAGAAAAAACGGAAGACGTTGAGGACATAGAACTGATGGACAATACGCAATTATAAGAAGGGGATTGTGTTGTAGCATTTTCCATTTCAATGCATGAGTATTGAGTTTTGAATCTTCTTCCAACTTTTTTTGCGATAAAATTATAACGAAATAAATGAAATTCGTACAGAATTTTGCTGTGGCTCTCCCCAAGAAAACTGACATAATATAACACAGTCATGATATTGTATGATTAGAATTTGTAGATGAATTCGTAAAGAATCAAGTTATTTCCTGACCGTATGGCTTTTGTTGAGTTGTTTATCATGTCCTTAGAAAATATGCGAGCGCATGAAATCTTTCAAAATGGAAGACAAAATTTCCGATACACAAGGAAACCGTAATGGTTCGCTGTTTATTTAACTTGTCCAGTTATTCGATATTTTGGGTATGAAATCCACGTTTTAAAATGTATCTTAATATGAGATTGAGATGATATATCAAGAAAAGCCGAATACAACATTGTTGATCTGCACATGGGGACATAATTTAAGATAACATTGTCTGAGCACAGAAAAACAGAGTCAGTAATTTGAAAAAATATCGTTATTTTCATAAATATCACCGCGCAAGGTCTACGGATAACATATATGGGTGATATGACCAGTGGTGGAATTCAAATTTTTGTCAGCCGGTTCCATCACAAAAGTCATATTTTTTAGCAAATAAACTGCTTATTTTTAATTACTTCCTAATTAACATTTCAAAATAATGATTAAGTAGGCCTAAGCATCATTATGTCAAACTTAGCATCGAAATTTTTGATGATGTTGAGAATTGTCTATATTACTGTATATACCTCCTTAATCCCATCACTGCTAACAGCCACACTGAAAAGCAGCAGTCGTCTCATGAGTCATGACTAGTACATACGCAACAATTCAATTTTAAGACAAACAATCACAAATGGAAAATTACTACAATTATGAAAATTAACACAGTGTATAACTGTCACGTGCGAACTTGATCTCAAAAATCGACTTGTCAGTTATGATGCAAAAATCCATTGACAGTAACCAGTAATGCTAACCGGTTCGATGACCTCATAAAATTCCCTGAGACGGTTCTATAGAACCAGCTGAATCCCACCACTGGATATGACAGAACGAAACTTTTCAAAACTTAATGCAGTATCATTTAAGGAAATTTAGGGCAGTTAATGGAACGGTCTGGCTCCAGTTATTTTGATAACTCGCGAATAAGTTGCCGTCATCATCTAATTATGATGACACTGTAGAACTCTGCACTTTCAAGTGACATCGACCTGATATTTGATCCTTTTTATTCCACGTCACGTCATTCTTACATTTTGAAATTTCAAATACAGAGACTCAGAGAGTATGTTCAGCTATTCTGTATTTATATTTGCCATTGGTTGCCAAAGCAGTATACGCTAAATACCACCCCAGATAGCACAACTACGTTGGGCCAACGTTATAATCCGTCGGCAACCGTTGTACGCGGTTTTACAACCATTTACCATGGTAAGGCCATGATTGGCCTTCAACGAAACACGCCATTATGCGAAAAAATGGGCGCGCGATTCGAATATAGCACATGAGGTCGCCATTCTTTTTGGCGGTACTCGTAATCGATAGCCTGTTGCGAGGATTTTGTCGTGGATGGTACAGTGGCATTGAACTTTTAATGCTTTCATAGTAGAATTGCGAAAGTAGAGATAGTTGTAACCGTGTAAGTTAATCTCATGGTACCGGTACCCTGAGTGCGTTGTCAGGTCACGGTTCATAAGGGTGATACGGTACCATACCGGTAAAAGTTACATATTCCGTATCCCTGGACACCGTAGGTACCGGTAACTAACGACAGAACGAAATGAGGTAAGGTACCTACGGTACTTGGTCTTTTGGCATTTTTTTGTTAAACTTTCTTAGGTTGCCATCTCTCATTTACTAGTACCGGTATTCGTTATCGAGTACCGGTACTGTACGGTAGGTACCTATGGTAGATACCGGTAAAAGTTACAAATGTCTCAGGACACCGTAGGTACAGGTAACGACAGAACGAGATGAGGTACGTTACCGTACTTGGTCTTTTGGCATTTTTTTGTTAAACTTTCTGTGGTTCCTGTGGTTGCCATCTCTTATTTACCAGTACCGGTATTCGTTGTCGAGTACCGGTACCGTACCGGTATTGGTCCTTCATCCCTGGATATGATTTTTTATATTTACTTTATATGTCTCGTGCAGAAGTGCAAACATTTCCGCAGCCCAAATCCAACCCGTTGAACGACCTAATCCAGTAAAATATCTGAATAGTTGTACATTTGTGAACCTTCTGTCTGATGACAGGATGAATTTCAACAAATCTAAATACAAATCTCAATTGGCTGAAATCTAAAATATGTTTTAACAATTGCCACAACCAAACTCAAACTAAAATTTGATGTTTTTGGGTAAAAAATAGCTCAAGAATTATTGTTTTCCCTTTTTGTTTTTGTAACACTTTAAATAAAATTTTGTTTTTAAAGTATAACTTTTTACGCCACACATCGACACATGCGAGATGCGACATGGCCCGCCAGTCTAGGTGCGCAAAATTTTTGCACGCGGTCCGATAACTTTGCCCAACCCTGCTCTAGTTCATATTTTCAGCTTTGTTGAGAAATAAATTACTGATTTTTGAATAATATCTATTTTGTTTTAAAATTCAATAGAATTATATTGGGTAATCGACTAATCGTATATATTAATATGATTTATTTTCAGTATGTATGCTATGTAAGCTTACCCAACCAACCTTAATTAAGTGTTATTATATTTGAATTGAAAAAAAAAAAAAACGCTAGCAAAAAATATTCGGGCGATTGGGGGGGAAGCCCATCTCTGTGCAATGACTGCCAAATGTGCATGCAACTGTGCAATGCCCAGCGACTCTAAAAGCATGAAGTATTGTACGACACATCCTTTACAAATATTTGGACATATTTTGTGTAATATCCATTTTTCCGGGTATTCTAAATAATTATTACCGATTAGATATTCTGTCAAGTGTCAATATTACCATTGTAAGTTTAATGGTATATACCATTTTTATAATAGGCCCTATGACAATGGACTGGAAAATTAACCTGCTTCAATACCATCTTTCACGCAATCATACACTGTGTCATTTCAAGCATCTCAATGTTTCAATGCGGACAATGCCCAAAACAGGTGTTTTTGTTTTATAGTTTGATAGTAGCTCCTTGCATATCTGTGCCATAAAATATTGCACAATAGCTAGATATATCGGTTGAATAATTACCTAGTACAACATCATGTGGTTAATAACGTATTTTCCGGCGAATAAATCGCTTTTCTAGACCCAATTTTTGGCCTGATTTTGGGGGGGGGTCGTCTTATTAGGCGAGTATGATCATTTTCATTTTTTCGTCGCCTTATTATTGAATCCAGACAATAAACTACCTTTGGCGATAGCATCCCCCACGTCCTCATCAGGTTAGTTTAAATAAATCGACATTCTCGCGCTGTGAATCTGGAATTTCAATGCTGTGATCATCATATTTGCATTATCATATATGGATTGAATATTACGCTACAAAAAAAAGTCATAGGCTATTTCAACCAATGCGCAAACGCGGCAACCGCTCGAAAGGCATTGCATGGTAATTTGAGATTCCCGACGTTGATGCGATTTTACTACCCCGACTTATTGGCCGGTTATATGCAAAAACCCATTTTTTCAGGCTTAAAAACGGGTCTCGTCTTATTCGCCGGAAAATACCGTAATTAATATTAATGAAAAATTTATATTCTGGTAATTAGTATAGACGTTTATCATCTGAAAGACAATCATGTACTATATATTGGGTAGCACTAACTTGATTTTCAGAGATCAAGCCATGCTCCAATCCAGTTCATGGATAAATTGTTGGGACAGGCGGTAGAAACTCTTATGCTACAAGCTACGGCATCTGCAACTTTCCGCTGACTATAGTGTGGACTCGGACATACAGGAATTGATGAAATTCATTGTCAATTCATTGTCTGATTACATACACTTTACGGCGGTGGTTCCCAAACTTTTTTTTCCGCGACGCCAATTTTTGTAAAATCACAGACAGATTCTTGCGACCCCACAACGAGAGAACATTAAAAATCAATTTATTCTATTTAATCTTCTGATGAAAATCGACTGTAAGTTTGCGGGGCGTTGGTGTAACGTGGTTGTACTTAACTGTTTAGTTCAGTGGTTCCCAACCTTTTTACCCCAGGGGCCAGCGGGCAAGCAAAATTAATTTAAAAGAGTTCGCTGACCGGTATGAAGACCACGATGTAAAAATCTCTGAGATTCAGAATATTTGTTTAGTTTTAGTACAATGTTAAAATATCGCAGACTACTCCATAATTAATTCGAAAGCTAAACACAACATAAAGGAAGTAAAATAGGTGAAAATACCTTTGCGCTTCGAATTTATGTATGAAATACAATATGCCCCATATTTTCGCTTCGTGTTCAAGGAAAATTATTTAAATGTCTAAATACGATCTGATTGCAATATTAAAATTGTTCACTTTTATACGAATGGGATGTGGACAAAACACATATGTGTCAGGGGCGGACACCCGGGGGGGCGAGGGGGGGCGGTCGCCCCCCCAATAATTTCGCAAAAAAAATTAATACATGTTGTTTCCGCCTTACAAAATTATCATTTCCAAAAAGTGCGATAGTCAAGCGCAATTAAACGGTTAATAGTCACCGATATTATAACTGTTTTCTCACAATAATGTGGACCAGAGCGTCTTCGGAGCACCTCACATTTTCGTGAAACATGCGCGCCCGCACGGGTAATACTCCGTCTTCAAACGCACCGCCGATCACGCGCCACGGTTTTGCACAACTAATTCATTTTTGTACAATTTAATATGATTTTCTCATTGTGTTATTGTTGGCACTTGCGAGAGAAGTGAAAGAGGCAAACTGTGTTTCATTACAACAATTAATTATTATCGCTAAAAAATTAACTAGATCTAAAGTTGTTATAAACAATTTTCACCGCTGGACGTATATTTTCACGTTATGGATTTCGTGCAAGGCCCAGCATAATTTGCGGGCAAAGATCAAAGCATTTACTATGTCGAAAAGTTGAAAAGCGGCAATATAAAATACTAAAAATAAAACTGTAAACAATATAGGTTTTGTTGAGGCCCGCGACAGTCTAAAAACGCTTTTCTAGGCATCGAAAATCGCAAAATTTCACAAATTATGTTTGCTTGACCTTTAAAAACATTTCGTCACTAAAATCGAAACACGGTCAATTGTGAGCGGGATTTGCCTTTTTATCCATTACTTTTAAATTGACGTCGAAAATTTTCGTGTTAACATTAAACAAAGCTGACAACGCGACTTTTCCCCGGTTTGTGTTGATATATAAGATAATTAAAGTATTTTCGATCACTTTTTGTATTTATTTATGTATTTTTATTGTACTGAAATAACTTTTACTACGTGAGAATTGACAAAAAAGTTATGGATTTTTCGAAAGGTTTTATCTTTAAAAATAATCGAAGTGACAACATTGCGATTGGTGCCAGTGTTACAAGTAAATCTCAAATTTATCGAATTCGCAAAATAGCAAAAATACGGATCAAAACAATATATAAACGGGCAGTTTACCACACATTTTTATGTCCGCGGATTGCCGTCGTGTGTTAGAATGGCTCTTGTTTTGTCGACTCAACGTAGTTTAAATTGAAGACAATCAAAATAATAAATCAAGACATTTTGAATATGCCCGTATCGGTCTTCGATTGATTACTTTGCACAAGTGAAAAATCATTTTTCGTTGATAAAGTCGGCTCTTTTAACAAGTGGCGTAATCGCGGCGACTGTTCCGCGTGGATTTCGAGGCGGTGAATTTGTATTTTTGATTTACTAGTATACTTTATAATTATTTTCATTGTATGAAGTAAAATTAACTATATGGGATTTTATACCAGATATCGAGATTTTTGTAACGGCGATAACGAGTTCGGAAGATTGCAAAAATACGTATCAAAATTAAATACATCAGGCAGCTTATCTCATATTTTTATTTCCCAATATCGCCGTGGTACTTTAGTTTAGTAATATTTTTATTTTGACCTAAGAAGTCGCAACCGCGAGTTACGCTGCACACAATTAAATTAATATGTAAGGACATTTTAGAATCTCGTGGCTGTCATGGATCGACAGAAAAAACATTATACGCTTAAATAGGCGGCTCTTTTAACTAGCGCGTAATCGCGGTGCTTGTAGCAGACGGCAATGGGAAGTTCCGACCTCAAATTTGTTATTTTCTGTTTGTTAGCAAGAGCCGTGGGCTAATTCTCGCGGAATTCAAGAAATTGGTTCAGTGACGCGCAAGTTCCGTGTCCGAGCAAAGCAGCCTAGGTAATCGATATATGAGTAGCAAAATGACATGCTAATACTTAGAGAATGACATCGACAGGTTATTGTTACGTGACGATACACGGCGCGGTGTTTTTCGGTAGGCGATCCAATTTCGCCCCCCCAAAATTATGGAAAGTGTCCGCCCCTGATATGTGTATATTTTAGAGTAGATACTCGCGATAATTAACATAAAGCTTTTGCAACGGATGGAAACCTTTTCATTATATGTATTCTTATAATTGTGCTTATTTACTCGTTCCAGATAAGATATTTGTCAAGTCTCGGAGGTTACTTCAAGAAAGACTGGATTGAAGAATCATGAGCTCAGTTATAACAAATTTACTCGCCCGCTCTTTCAACTGTGCAGGACGCGGTGATTAAGAAGGAGTGAGTGGGACGCCCTTAGTTTCTGCTATTAAAGGTATGTAATATGTTTATCATATTGTACCACCATCCTCTTCTATTTTATAAGTATAAGATTATTTTGACTCCAAATCAGCTTAAGATAATTCATAACGGAAATGAACAAAAATTGATTAAATAGAATCTGACAATCTGGAGTGAAAACAAAACCTCAATTAAGATTAAAGCATAAAGAATATAACGTTTTGCCAAAAAGATGCCGATCGTGTTTATGGATTAAATTAAGTTACACACACACAACAACAACAGAGATATAATAAAATAAAAACAGGCGAGAAAATTTATATAAGTTGGGTATTAAACAAAATGTACTTGCCAGTTGCCACACCATTCATTTTTATCATTATGATTGTCAAATTGAATAATGATTTTGTAAACAACTGTGAACAGTAAAGAAATTGAATGTAGATTTTGTATACAAAAGTGAACAGTATAGAAAAATTGTTATTGAGGAGATATCGCCAAGCTGATTATTGTTAGAGTCGAGTGCCAAATTGCCAATCCAATGTTGCCAGAGTTTGGTGCATAATGGCGAACAGTGGTTTTCGAACTTATTTGTATCATCACTCCCTCACAGTACTTTTTACATTATCTTCCCCCCCTAGCACAACAGCAAATGATGAAGTTACAAATAAATTTATTGTAAATCAATTAGACAAATAGACTAATCAGGGTGCATGATGTTTCTAATAAGATAGATGAATTTCAACAAGGAATATTTGAAGACATTTTAGTCAGATAAAATCTCAAATCATCATTATTCCCTCCAACAAATATTCCCCTCAAAACATTGTCTACGCCCCCCTTGCGGAATCAAGAATTTCTGTATTTCTCAATTATTATTGTCTTGTCAATGTAAGCTTCACTCACACATTTGCGACTGCAGAAACTTGACTTAAGATTCCTACTCTGAAAATTTGTTGGGATGCAGTCATTCAGACTAGGCTTTGAACTCTGGTGCTGTAATTTGCTAATACTGCAATTTAACACAGAATTTTTATATTTTTCAGCTCTGGATGATCTGGCAACGAACTCCGATTAATTTTATTACATGTATACATATTTGTAAAATAAAGACATTTTGTTATCTTTTGTTTTTATTATATAAATAATGTTAGATTAGTGGGAAATTTCTATGTAGTATAGATTCATACCCTGTCTGTACAACACATCGCCTAACTTGGCCCGACCATATGCCACGATTGTATTACAACGTGTCACCTACGTAGGCCCGGCCATATGTCACGATTGTGTTACAACGTACCGCCCACGTTGGACCGGCCATATTTCACGATTGTGTTACAACGTATCGCCTACGTTGGCCCGACCATATTTCACGATTGTGTTACAACGTATCGCCTACGTTGGCCCGACCGTTTGCCACGGTTGCATTACAGCGAAAGGACCGACGTTGGCCCAGCGGCCAAATCTTCGCTGGAACATGGTTGTTCGCCATTATTGGGCCGGTGGTTCGAACAACGTTCGGCCATGGTTGTTCCGACGTAGTTGTGCTATCTGGGACGCAAAATCTACAAATATATCACGGTTATTTGATGGGCTAAAATAAGCTGAAGTGAACATTCATTTTTATATAATATTCAGACTTTTAAGTAACAATAAGGCGATTATATAAAATGAGCATGCTCTTTTAAATTACTCATTTCCTGTAGTAGTCACAAATTTAATAATTTTCTTACATCCGCGCATCTTTAGGTCGTGTCAAAGCAATCAAATTATTACACGCAAAGAATGTGCACTTTGTCAAGTACAAGGTACAAGTAAGAAGGCACAAATCTTTCTGGTCTGTGCGTTCACACTGTGATTCGGGCGAGTCGCGACTCAGTGAGAAATAATCGGCTTGAGATTTTGACCTATGGCACCCGATTCTGTTTTACGTAAAAAATTGTTTATGATTAGATAGTAGATAAATTTGAGAAAATATTGTTAATATTGATCTGTGCTATTTATCAGAGAAGATTGAGAGAGAAAGGAATGGGGAAAGAAAGGAGAATTTATTCATATCGAACAACAATACTTTCATTAGCTTCAACTTCTAAAAATTTTAGAGCCTACTTAGATCCTTAGGACATGCAATATATTTAATATATACATCTTACAATAATAAGATAAGTTTCATGAAAAGAAACTCCGATGTGAAGTTAGCAAAAAAGGAACGCCGAGCAGTTTCAAAAAGAATGCAAAAAATCCAAGCAAGAAGATTAAGTGAAATTAAATATACTCAATGAATTATTCGCTTTTAGAATTTTCATATTTTATTGTATTGTTTTCATATCGATTATGAATTAGAGTTATGTTAGATTAATATTCTAACAAGTTAAAATGAACAATAAAATAAATCATCGGTTAATAGTAACCTATTTGTGTCTGTTTGCGACTGGAGTACACGGATATAATATTGAAACCCGTGCTGTGAATATTATAACACCACGAGATGTTCAAAACAATAGTTGGTTTGGATATTCAATGTTGCTCCAACCCGAAAGGTGAGTTTTAGATAAAATTCCATCGCATGTACGTTATGGTATAAGTCTACTCAAATGCTTGATAACAATTAAGACATCATTTTTTGTCGATAAATTTTCGATGAAAGTTTTGCTCACTGCAGTTAAAATTTCTATATTTTTCCAATAAACATATTTTGCCGACAATCTGTTTAATAGTTTCGGTTCAGTAAAGCCCTCAGAACACCAAACCCGCTGTCTAATGCCAAAAGTCTTTTACAAATGAGGTAATTCAAATCGGGATAAGGACGGTATACCCCAATTGATAATTTTTTTATAATAATCTTCCGTCTGCTAAACGGTGATAAATTATTATATGGTGAAACGTAAGCACCAAAGGATGGTGCTCCAGAAGTGTGTGTACCAATATGAAGGTAACTAATTTTGTTTGCCTACTTTACATCAAGTTGTGTGAAGGGATTGAATACTATGGGCAGGGAGTATATTCACTTGGCTAACACAGACAGTCCCCGAGCTCGTAATAGAACTAAAATAGGAAAATCGGAATAAAATTATTGCCTAACCCTAACCTGGTACACACACTACGGGAGTAACCAAATGATTTGTATTTCCACAAACTAATATAAAAGAATTATTTTAATTTGCAGCAACGGTAAACTAAGCATTTATGCAAGCTCTCCTTTACACAAGAAAAACTTTACAACGACTGCTTCCAACGGAGCCATACATAAATGTTTCAACGACGAAAAGTCAAAAGATTCATTTTCTTGCGAAAAAATGGATTTAGGTATGTATTGTGGTAATTTAGGTTTAAGAATATAATGGAAAAAAAAAGATTTTAATAGCTAATAATATTCTTTGATACGTCAGACGACACTTCATCTTTTGGGATGTCAATGGTTCAGACCAAAGATAATAAACTAGTGGTGAGAAATGTTTCATTTATATACATAAATTATGAATTTAGTCACTTTAGTGTTGAAGCAATATACATTTGGCCCAGCATAGGTTATCAATTATTGATACCTATTAACCTATACTACTTTTGGGACATTATATATGAATTACTCACAGCAGTTAAAATGTTTGAACTGCGCATTTCTGAATAATTTATCTGATTCAAATATATGGTTAAACCTGCAATTGCGCCAAACTACGCATGTCTATAGTGTATGTTCATCAGTATATCAACTTCAAAAGGTCAAAATGAAGCTTAAAAACATATCTATCGATATCTGTACAAATCAAGTGATTGTTGCATACGTTTTCGCGAGCTAATGCTTCTCTGATTACAAATAGTATATATATCTCGCCGGCTATTTTACATTTATCCCAGGTTTGTGGCCCTCAGTGGGAATATCAATGCAGAAATGCACATATACCTAAACGTATGGTCGGAGCATGTTACATGTTGAATTCTTCTGATGTATCTAACGCTGTTCCAGAAAAACTGCCTTCTCCGTGTGTCACAGGTAAGAAATCGACTTGTCATCAATTTTTTAGAATTAACTAGCTTACGTTGAGGAAAGATAAAACTTTGCTGCATAGTTGTCGCATGTCAACACACCATTCATTATTTTAGATTGTCCTGGAGGTTTGGATATTGTATTCCTCGTAGATAGTTCTGGGAGTGTCACTGAAGAAAATTTTAATCAAACGAAGGATTGGTTGGTCGCCATTATGGAAGGATTCAGGTTTGTCTTCGATGGTCTAATTGACGAGTTTCATTCAAACGCATCATCGTAAATAACTATTTCGAGGGCGCTCCAGAAGTGTGTTTATCAATATGGAGGTAACTAATTTCGTTCGCCTACTTTACATTGAGTTGTATACGGGACTGAAACCTATGGTCAAGGGGTATATTCACTTGGCTAACACAGACAGTCTCCGAACTCGTAATAGGTAGGCTACTCGTAACTAAAATAATGAAAATCGGAATGATATTATGGCCTAACCCTAACCGGGTACACGCGCTACGGTAGTACCCTATTGAGCAGTATATACTTTTCTAGGGAAGGAATGAAACACGGAGAAGTTAATGTCGGTGTTATACAATATAGTGGTACTACAGATAGTCTGTTATGCGAAACAGGAGTCCTAAGGAGATTAATTTCAGTAAGTAAACACGACACAAGGAATAATATTACATTACTCTCTGTATTCAACCCGTTTAAGCAGTTAATATAATGGCACTTGTGGAAATATTTGAAATGACGTGTCTGTTCTTGAATATTGACTTCATTTCAGAATAATTTTATTTAATATATATATTATATTTGATAATATTATGTCAAATAAGAATTGTAAACCAATTTTTTTGTTTCTGCTTGGAAATTATGTTTTTCATTAGTTTCATTTCATTTAGTTGAACAATGGAAAACTGGCTCATGCGCAACAAATCTTGGTGTATTCTTTCGCTTTGAGATTTTAGGAGTGAATTTCTACTTTTATTCAGATTGAATTACCGCTGGGTAGCTATGATTTAGAAGCAGCTCGTGCCAAAGTTATGGAATCAACTCGTTTGAGGAAGTGTACTCTCACAGGAGACGCTATCAATGCTACTGTAGATGAATTTCTACTTCACGGAAGGAAAGAAAATGCTGCTGTCATGATCGTCATTACGGACGGTCGATCTTCAGATGACGTCACAGGTCCATCGAATCACGCGAAGCAGAATGGTCAGTACCGTAATTCATGCAATGTATATATAAATCTAATGCTATTCATCTAAATTCAACCTGAATAAATATATAAACAATCACTTAAAAATATGTAGCATTGATTAAGTATCACTCACATTGAGTATTTTACATGGGGCAAGCCCGAAATACTGAATCCTTGAACCCCCATTGAAAACAGTACGTTATAAAATAATATATATATATATATATATATATAACTATAGCGCACTTTTTCCTGCAAGTTCAATATATTTTCTATGGACTTCAAATCAATATCAAAAAATATTCTAAATTAACATTCGTCAGCATTTCCAACTTACTTAACATGAGTGCTTACTATACGATCTATTCCAATCAAAGCGGATATTCTGGACGCAATTATTATATTTTCGTTAGTTGAATATACAGGCAATAGTAAAGGCATTTGAAGATGTTAAAAGTATTTTTTTCAAACCACACAACCAACCACAACTGTGCCAAAATCAATTTCAGACATCAACATGCTCGCCGTCGGTGTTGGCGAAAAGTTCGTCATGAGCGAACTCGAAATAATCGCAAACAACAATCTAAGCATTTTCACAGTCGAAAGTTTTGCTAATCTCAACTCGATCTTAACGGATTTACAACAAGCTATTCTACTTGCCAGTACATCGACATTGGAAGGTGAGTTGAGACAATTTTGCCTAGTGGGATCTACTTGTACATTTTCTCACGCCTGATAGAAGAGATTCGTTGTACAGAATGTATGTTAGATATTGAAGATTTTTCGTGATGTTTTCCAGGATCGTCCGGAAATTCAACGACCGAATTAACACAATGTTTGATGGGAATGTCGGCCTATATTTCAGAGGTATAATCTAAAAAACAAACACTTGAACGAAATTATAGTAATACAGTACTCAATAGAATAATGGTATAAGTATAGTCACGTTTCAGCAAAAACCCCTGACAATTACCCATATGACGGTTGATGACGTCACTATATATGATTCGAATAAACCTACTTTCAAATAGTGGTGGTGTCATTTCAAATGGATATAATATATGAAAATTTAAAGAACTACATATCAGGATAAAAACCACGTATGAAAATCGTAAAATGCAGTCGCTATGTTTTTATTGTAGATATAACTGAAGCGTATCAACTTTACAATATATTCTCAGGAAAATAATCTTTACTTGGGGGCGATAGGAGCAAATGATAACAAGGGAACAATAATATCAAGATTTATGAAAGATATCGGAAGTACACACGTTCTTCCAGAGGAACTTGTAAAAAGGATCTTACCCATGGAGGAAGAAATAATAAAGGATTCTTATCTGGGTAATGAATTAGATTTCACTGTACTAGTTACTCATCGATCTTGATCATTACTTATCGATTTTGATCGGTAAGTATGTGGAAAGGTATTTGTCTGTCTGTATGTCTGTGTGTTAGATGCACGCGATATCTCACGAAAGCATGTGCATTCATCTTAGCTCGGATCAGAAGCCCATTGATATTGGATGGATTATGTCGTATAATTAGCGAGTTATTAATTAATTAGTGATGGAACACACGGTGTCACTATGGAGTAAGACCACTGTTTTGTGGGATCCCCTAACCTTCGATCGATTCGGTTTCCAACCGAATTCTAGTTTCGTCTATTGTTCGCTATTTCATGTGAATATATGTGTTTTTATAGGGTACTCAATCACGGGAGGACACTTTACTGGGCCAAATATAGAATGGATTGCCACAGGAATTCCTAGATATTTCAATCATGGGGGAGTGATATTATATCGGACGAATGTCTCAGGTACAGTAAGAGACAAAAAATCATTGAATATATTCTATTTAGGCATTGATAATATTCATGTATTTGCATAGCTTCTTAAGCCCTAGTCAATGTGTACTGAGGTACCTATTCATCGAAAACGCAATAAACATCTTAGAAATTATTATTGAATATGAGTTAACTATAGAAAATGTAAAACAAAACTATGGTCATGTGTAAATTAATATGTAATTCTTGGCCGTAATCCATTTTCAATGAACAGTACTGAATGTGTTAATGTATGAAATATTTTATCTGAAAAGGCAAGTGTGCGTAAATTGCAAATGCTACGAGAACTCCGATCTTTCTGATTTTTTCTTTTAATTAAATATGATCATTATTTTTCAAATTAGACATTCATAATCCCCACCTGCTGTTGCCACCTTTCGACTACACAAGCAATCGACATCTCGGAACATATTTCGGTCATACCCTCTGTGCTGTGGATTTGAACATAGACGGGGCTGATGAACTAATAGTTGGCGCACCTCTTCAGTCTGAAGCAGGAACACATTCATACGATGAAGGATGTGTTTTTATTTACTACGGCAATAAATCTGCGGGAGATATATCATTTATGGTACAAATTTTATGACACGATATCTGTGTAAATTTTCAACATTGTGTTTTCTTTGTATTATTTTATTCACGGGCATCGAGACACGTTTATATATATATATATCTTTTCTCCATCTAATCAAAGCAACACCCCAAATCATGTTATTCCCTAAGGCATAGGTTCTCAAAGTGCTCCGTACGGAGCCCCAGGGCTCCGCGAGAGAAACCCAGGGGCTCCGCGAGCTATTCGATTACTTTTCAAAATACTGACTAGTTTTGTAACTGTTCTAATAAGAAGCAATAACAGCTTTGATAAAATCTGACAACAAAATAGCCTCGAAATATGGCAAAGAGGCGGAATTAAAAAATGACATTATTTATAAGCATGAGCGCAACCAGGATTCATAAGAGGGAGGTAGTTCAAAATTGGAATCGGAAATTTCCGCGCAACATTCTTCACGATTAAAAAAACGGATAACGAGATTTCTATTGCGTAAAATATTTAATCCATGACCGATGCGAGCATTTAACGAACAATTGAAATGTATTTTATTGCGTTCGGCTTCGTCGGTAGTTTCAGAATGAAAAAAGGTACATCGCGGAGCGCGCACAATTGATTGCGTGCGGCTCCGTCGGTAGTTTCATAATGGGGGAAAAGGTACATCGCGCGCACAATTGACTTTGTTTCGATTTCGCAGTTACTACGATGAAAACCTAACATAACACCAAATTTTGTGATTTACAATGTCTATAAAAACGTTTTCAATCTGAGGTGAGTCTGCTGAAACCAAACCTGTGATCATCTTCCATTTTAAGTTTCTGTTTTAATATTTTAGAATGCCGCTTTTCAATCAAGAAATTTGAGTTGCGGATTTACCTCTTTATTAATTATTATTTTTAGCATTTCGTCACCTATGACTATTATATGGTAACATGTTTTTCACATTGACCTCATAATTCCCCACGAGAAGAAAAAAGGAAATAACGTCGTCATTGTGTAACAATACATGTATATATATGCCAAGGGAAATTTTTGATTTAGGGAGAACAGGCCATGCTGACGAAAAAAATCGGCGATTGTAACAAAATGCAACCGCGCACGTTATTAGCGCCTTTTAAGTCTTCCAAAAATGTCAAAAGGAAAAGATTCGACCCCTTATTTATTAATATGTTTGCCAAGTGACAAATTTACAGCTTTAGTGTATTTAGTGTATATAATTTTATTTATTTAGTGTATAATTTATGTTTGAAATTTAGATTTATGTATGACTTGTATTAACCCTAAGGTTCAGCATTTAAATTAAGTAAAGTACTTTTAACTTGCTCAGTAATATTATTCTGAAAGTAACAATTTTAACATTTATTCTGGGGCTCCGTGAATAATAGTCAACCTTTTCAAGGGCTCCGCAACACCAAAAGTTTGAAAACCCCTGCCCTAAAGTACTTGCAATCTAGATTTCTAAAAGTTTGTATTCTTAGACTAAACCTGCCTGTACTTTGCATGGATTTCTTCCGAGTTCCAGATACGGTATGTCGATCATCGGTGCCGGAAATTTAGACAAAGATGAATATAATGATTTTGTAGTAGGTAAGTACACGACAAAGTAATATATAAATCCGACAATTCTCAATATCTCATAGTTAAATATTACTCCAGCGACATTTTTTTTCTGTAACAAGGTAGCAAGGTGTGAACTACCTTAGTGATCACAGCAAAGACAATGGCACAAAGCGTATGGATTCTTGAATTAACTCCTCCACAATTATGATCATAGATTAGCCGCGGAATAAAATCAGTCGGTGTCAGAGATTATTTGGCTAATTCTACTGTGTATAAATTTTAAGGTGCACCAGGGGCTAATGGTCAAACAGGAGAAATCGTTGTATATTATGGAAGCAACAACTGTTCAACGATGAGATATCAGGTAGAATAAAGTATATGTTCCTCATTACTCCAGTCAAGTAATGTCCAATATAACACATATTATATGCCGCAAATCAACTAAATTTGAACACGTCGACTAGAAAAAACTAGGAAAACACTTGATCCAATCTGGACTCTGAATCGCCGCAGGGTGCTTCATGTAGCCCTACGAGAGTTCATTATGAGAGTGGGCCAAATGGTTATTGGCCCTACTCTGTTGCGAATTTATACGAAAAGACACATCTTATCGATAATATATATATATCATGTATGTTATCAATGGCAAAGCCCTGATGTAACAATTATTCAAACGTACTAAAAATAATGCCACTTTGCGAATTAGTACAATCAACATTTTTCAGCGAATCAGCCCATCATCGTTTGGAATCCAGCTTCAATACTTCGGTTATTCCATTGCCTCTGTTGACGACGCTAACTTCAGCAAGAACCCGATCATTATAGCAAGTTCTCCAAAATCTCAACAGATTGCTGTAATCAAGTAAGCAATATTACAAAACTATATATATTTACATTATATTCTCCTTTGTCTAAGTTACTATCCATTTTGTGCTTGCTAAAATGACTTGCATTCTTCTTTCCCAATAGTGTATATATTTAATATAATTATTCATTTCACAGAGCTAGGCCAGTAATTGAATTGTTGGTCGACTTGACCATCAATTCTCAACATGGTTCCTCAATTGACGTCATACAATGCGCCAAAGACCAGACAAACAAGATACCTTGCGGAAAAGCGGTTGTTTGTTTTCAAGTTAACTGGAAAAACGTGGGCCAACAGACGAACAACGGAATTGTTGGTGAGCTTTTTTTAAAAGAAATACCATATACGCTATATTCGACTCCATAATAAACCTAACAGCTGATAAAATAATAAATGATAAAAACAAATAATTGAACTGAACGTAGAATCGGGAGAGCTAACAAAACCTCTAGTAAGATCCAAAGAGTACAGAACTTGATCCATCGAACTGGGACAGGCAAATAGAAAAAAATGTTGACGTTAAAAGTAATTTATATGATAATTCTAACCTAGCCGACATATATCACAATTTCAGATCTATCATTCGATATTACGTTGGATAGCGACTTTAAAGAGTTATCGGAAAAACGTATGGTTTTTGAGAGAAACGAAACAAGCTTTGTGATTGCTGAAAGCAACCATCCTAGTCAAACAAGAAAAACATGTAATGAATACAAAATAATACTTCAAGTTAGTAACATTTTCCATTTTACGCAACAGACAAGAGAGAGTATGAATTTTTTCAAGACACTGTCAGTAATATCGCGGTGAAAAAGTATTTTCCCAAAAAGAAGTGTGAAATGAATAACATCGCCTTGGATCCTTGATTACTAACAGTTTTTATGATCACAATCGATTCAATTTTGGGACTCAGTTCTTCAACAGAAATTAGGAATACCAGCGCGGAAAAGTAGCTTATTTCACGCTCAACATGCACTTCATTGCATATTTTTAAATTTCAGCCTAATATTCTAATTGCTGTGGACACCGTTGATTTCAGTCAACAGATGCATGCAACTTTGACTACTAAACTTTCTGAACGTGTTCAAAGGGAAATTATGTCTCCGGTTATGGCTGTTGAGCAAATCACTGTCAAGAAGGAAATGCTATTGACCAAAGGATGTACAACTAATGGAAGCTGTTTATATGATCTTTCATTGAGTGCAGATATTCCGTGAGAGATTATAGATATATATATAATACAATGCATAGTGTATGAACATGCTAGGAGCTAAGGCTGGACCTTGGCAAACGGCAACTTCGATTTGAGTATTGTAAATGATTAGTAAGTTGGGCACATTGTGCAAAAGGCTAAACGACTAACAAGGGCTCACTATGTGCTAAAAGATACCCAATGGTTTGGTTTATCATCATCACTTCACTATTGCATTTTTTTAACACAGAGAAGATGATCCGTTCCTAATAAATGATGCAAGTGAAGTGATGGACATCAACATTACAGTTGTAAACAATGGAGATTCTGCATTTTTCACAAAGTTGCAAGTTGATATGTGGAATATCGTTATTGTGCATGTAAAATACATTTGGTTCCTTTTTACAGTAGAGCAATTTTGTTGTCGAATATTTCTCACTTTAATATGTTATAAAAATCACATTTCATTCTCTTATAAGAATTGGTGAGATTTTATTTCATTCACTCTTTCGTGGCCCTAATTCTTCTGAGAAAATATCGGTGTAAATGGTATTGGATTTCGTTCAATATTCAAATTATTTGAGAAAAAGAATGTGTTATGTGATAACTAAGAATTTCAATATAAAAGCCGTTTCACTTTACCAGGTCAAAAGCGAATGTGCATTTTTGGAAACTGATCGGCAAACTATTTCATACAGGGATAAAATATTCGGATCCCTTCATATGACTGGACAATCGGTAACATACATTCATATTTCTAAAAAACTTTTAGCGTCATTTCAAAATCCTCACGTCAACAAAGCGGTAAAAAGACTGTTGGCTATCCATTTAAGCTGTATTGCAAATTTATTAGACAATTTCGATAATATGACTGACCAATTCGAATATGATTTAAAACAAAAATACCTATTGCAAGAATTGATTCAACATCCTTGCTATAATCACTCAACTCGTCGAAATATCTTCCTGATTTCATTTTTATGTTGTTGTTATAAAGTAAATATTTCTTACTTGCAGTGTCAACTTGGAATCAGATTCAGCGTCATACCACTCGCAAAATTTGCTAATGAAACAGAAATGAAGATAAACATTACGGCATTCTCTCTGTAAGCATTAAAAGTGGGATTTAACTTTATTGGTGAAAATGCAAGCAATTTCTAGTTATTCTTTTCTTAGATTAAGTAAGGATACAAAAGCTAAAGACGTTACACCATCAAACAACATCATAGTGATAAATAAAAACGTCGTTTACAGGAGTTCGTTTACCGTGAATGGGTAATGTATCATGAATCCTACTTCATATGCTCTCTAAGTTTAATCACTTTCAATCGATTTTATATCTTTTCTAACTTACATTTACAGTAAATAAAGTACATAAAATTATCCTTGCGTTTGAAATAATAAAACCTTTGGAATGCAATTTGAGTGTCACACTTCACAAAGTGTAAATCTTGTGTCGTTTAAATAACTCAAAGCATGCGTTTTTGTATAAGAATATAAGTACAAATTTTGCGACATTGCTACTGAACCGTGTATAAAATTAATCTCATGACTTCATGCATGTTTCAACCAAATTTTCATAGACTATCTATCCCGGATGCTATGCAGTACTGGAGAAACATCACCAACATGACATCGGCATCTTCATTGTCACAAAAAGGAGTTTTTGCTGGTGAAGATGGGAACATTGAAAATTCATATAAGGTGACATATATAGCCATGTAACGGGACCATCAAGTTAACGTAATTTGTACAAAATTGAATTTGAAGTGAGCAGTTAATTTTATCATGGACCGTTCTCGACGATACAGCTAAAGTTGAGTACAATAACCCAAGGTTGGGTAATTTCAGCGCGTTATGGCTAGTGTTTTATATCATTCACTATTCAATAATGATAAAAAGGTGTTCACGAACAAGAAATTATACTTTATTTTATACAAACGCAAGAGTTCGAGTGATATAACAATACAGAAGATTTTTATTATTTTTAGATACGGAATACCGGACCTTTCACTGTTACGACTACTAACATGACCTTTACATGGCCTGCATTTACAGCAACTGAAAACTTACCCCTGCTATATCTGTACTCTTTTACATGCAAGGTAAGATCTTAAATTGAATGAAACCACGACTCCAGCAGAATTTAGATATAAATTAGACTTCTGATCTTACGGTAACTAGACTAGTTATTACTAATTTTATTTATTTGCCTTATAGCCTGAATCTTTGTGCACCTGCAGTCGGAGCGACCAATGCGATTTCATAAATCCACATAAACATCCCTACAATAACTTGACTGTACAGGAATTACATAACGTCACTCATTGTCCAGCGAAGCGGAACTTCACTATTTACAGTTCAGAGTTCAATATTACACAACCGGAAAGCTTTTACGTAATAAAGAATGACATGGTTAGTTATTATAATATTAAAACCTACAAATATATTATATTTTTGCGCATGAACAAATCATTTTTTTAAACAAGCAGTAGCCTACGTCGGGTGTAGGCCTACTAAGCCAGTGGTTCCCAACCGCCGTTTTTTGTTGTTTTTATGTCGTCTCAATCGCTTTACCGAAGACGAGATTACTTTGGTTTATTGCGCAATTTTTCTTCCGCTGTCATATTGCGACGTCCTGGCGAATCGGCACGCGTGCTTTTTCTGTTCTACATGCCTTTCCTGATTGATATGACCATCCATATAAAACGTTAGGCATATTTCTTTGTTTAAAACAGAAAACAGTCAAAAACAGTATAATATTCCAGTGGGATATGAAGTTATTGCGAGACGCGCAAAAATGCATGACCCGTTGAGATCTTTTTCAGTATTTTGAGCAGCAGGCACAGTAGGATTTTGAGCCTGGTGCCAAGTTACCGACGACTTTGTCATTGTGCTGTAAATCCATTTGTTTGAGGCGTCGATCAACTGCAGAGGGATTAATATGATGAACCCGATGAAAAAGAAACAGCTTGATTAAAGTTGTGGTTCTACTCCACAGTCCAGGTTTAAACAAGAATCACTGTAACAATTTTGGATATCTCTTGATGAAGAATACCCATCGCTGAGTAATCGAGAAATCAAACTGTTGTCCGCATTTTCAACCAGTTACCTACGCGTTATGCGAAAAACAAAACATTTTTATCACTAGCTTTAATTAAAACAAAGCAGAGAAATCGACTGTACGCCGCTGCAGAGCTACGTGATGCGGAAATATTTCTGAGGCCTCGTTTGCAATCCTATATTGGAAACGAAACAGCAGCAAAATCCTCACTAGAGTTAATTGTGTATGTACATGATTTGGCATGTACATGTTTTTTTATGTGAGAGGTTTAATGTGTGCCTTTCTCACGCATAATGGGTGCCCAGCACTGCATTTCATTACGCAAATATATATATGGTATTATTTTATGATTCACACATTTCAATTTTTGGCCGTCACATTTGACCGTTTTTCTTCATGTGAAATGTTTTTAAGTGTGTCTTTTTTTGTCTAGAAGCATATTGAGTGCCCGACATTGCATTATATTACTCAAATATAGGTTACTATTTTTTGCCGGTTCGCGAGTACATTTTATCAATTTTACTGCTCCGCCAGGGTATAGAAAGGTTGAGAACTTGAGAACCACTGTACTAAGCGACAGGGAGAACTGAAATCGGCGATGTCAAAATGAATAACTATCATAGGCTATTTCTACAGGGCTACTGCAGACCATGAACATTTGTTCACATCCACGCTGCTGATTTTATGTAACTTTCGTAAAAATTTTCACTTCACTAAGAGGGGCTCCATTAATTAATTCTGTTCCCCACAGATGTGTGATAAACCCAATAGCATTTTCAAATGCAACGAAATATCTTGTCACGTGAACAACATCAAGCCTAATCAAGTTGTTGAGATTAATGGCAGATTCAAATTCTGGATTCCGACGTTCAGGTTCAAAGAGGTGATTTTTAATTATATAGCACAAAGTACATATGATTACCTGTCCAATTACGTAAATTTGCAATCTTTGCAATCCATATCCAACTTCCCACATAACCAAAAATATACTAATTGTAATCCAGTTTTTACTTTTCTATATTCTTTATAATTCTCTGAAGGAGGGTAAATATCAAACTTGTCATACTGTTATCCTTGTTTTTCTGTGAATGACATACCGATCGGAGGTTAATCACCTAATCAGACACTTTTCCACACATGGTTGAGAAACATTGACTCGATTTGGACGTTCTCGGTTTTCTTTGACAGTTTTTTTGTTATGTTTCCAAAATTTAACTAGTAATTAAATATCACAACAGTAATATGTCTTCATATAATCTTTAGTTTATTTGTAGTGAGAGACAAACGGTAAGGAAAAGCTAAACAATCTAGTTCGTCTAAATTCAGCTGTCACTCTTTTTGATGGTAACTGCTGACATATTTTGAAACGAAATTCTTATCTTAGATATGTAAACCGGTTTGTGTATGTCATCTATAGTTAACATTCAAATAAAAGGCATTAGTAACTTCGCAAAGAAAATATATACAAACGTTTCATATATTTTTTTTGTAATGTTACTAATAGGCATATAATTTTTTAAATACAATTGGACAGTAACATGTGTACCTAGATAGATGGTTATTTTATTTTCATACAGAACGACGAAGACACCAAAGTATACATTGGAAGCAGCCTCACATTTAACCCGACCAAGTCACCTGTTTTTCCCTCGACGATTTACAAAGAGTCGGTGAGATTTGCCAAACAACAATAAAAAGACATATATATATAAATATAATATGTATATATATAGAATGAGTAATGAATTAAAATGAAAGTTTCTCATTCAACTATATGCGATGATAGCTATATGGCAGACCATTTCTCTTTTGTCACCGAGTTTGACATATTTGGTTTGATGTTTGCGGAATGGCTTGTAAATTGTGGCCTATTGAGGGAGTAGGTTAATGCGAACTCAAAATGGTGAAAAGTGAGAGATCAAAAGCTTTTGATCTTAAAAGATATGCTATGTATCTATCTGATTACCTTAACTATTCTGTTTTTATATTTAGGCAATAACTACGACTCAACAATACCTGAAAACTAGAGTTACACCTAAACCACCGGAGCAAAAAGTGAACTTGGTGACAGTTCTGATAGCAATGTTTGTTGGTTTAGCTATTGTTGGACTATGTACTTTGATTTGTTGGAAAGTAGGTCTGTTTTTGTCTTTTTAAGCATAGAAAATAATGAAAATAGACATACAGTATTCAGTTACAGGTAATTGACAGTGACAAGGAAATTCTTTCTCTTCGTACGTTTTGATATCTCAAAATTTATATATATATATATATATCTTTATTTTTTCTTCAGTGTGGGTTTTTCGAAAGTCGTTACAAAGACATGAAAGAAGCTGTTCTGGAGGAAGAAGAAGAAGAATTGTTCATGAGTTTAGCTTCTGATACACAAAAACAATCTAAAAAGAATGGAAAAGAGAAACAGGAACGAGGAGAAAGTTCCATAAAAGTTAGATTTATGGGGAAAAGAGGTGAAGCAGGTTTTTCAGAGGAACTGGACAATATAGGACAATTTTTGTATTAGAAAGAATAAGTCTGCTATAGTTTCTACCTTCGAAACATTGTATGGTTTTTGTTATTAATAGAATATATTCTACATTTTTAATTTGTATTCTGTAGGAATATCAGTTAAATTTTGTATTAAAATGTTGTATTGTGATAATATATATGTTTCGTTATGCAAAGTTTGTTATACTATCCAATGCTTGGAATCTACATTCAAAGGCGAAAAACTCTATATCTTTATTTACAGGAGATGGGGATGCTTCGTCCGTTATAGACGCTGCTGAAGAATTTGTGCGTGCCACGTCTTCGCCATCTTCCGCGAAGAAGCTCTCCATACCTAAAGACGATCTTTATCTTGAAATGACACCAATGCGAAATTACAGAGCACAGAAAAGGGTGTTTCAAGCAAACGTAAACGATATGCTGGATACTGAACCTACCCCACAAGGTACGCCGTCACCTAGAAAGTTGCGAAAAGTCATGTGGTCATTTAAAGAACCATCTCGTTCTACTTACCCCCGCGTGACTCCCAAAGGAGGGCGAACCCCGGATAACGAAGATAGTTATGAAGTTTTTTCGCCGCAGTTTGATGCAACCGCTCATGCAATAGTACCAGCTATCAACTTAGATGCCGGAGAAGTGACGGTACGGCGATCTGCGACAACCAAACCCGTTGCCAGATCGTCTTCTCATAAAGCTTTTGAAAAACAAAGCGAAGCGAATTACACTAGGTTTGATAACGATGAAAATGTGGCAACGGCATTTCCATTTCCAGATTATTCCTACATTTGTAAAGAAGAAGAAGATGGTGGAAAAATGAGGAAGACAACCATGACGATAAAGGATCAGAAAAAACAAAGAGTAGATTCTACCAGGTTTTGAAGAATGAAAGATGGCCGTATATTCACTCAAGAGAAACTAATATATATCACAAAACTCTATGTTAATAGAGTTATTGCAAGCTGCGATACTCGCAAATTTTTTTTTTTACCTATTCATTTTGTATATCATTTGTTCTCGCTGTAATACATATGACTAGTTTTGGACCGTTGTGCTACAAGCATCAACTGTCCAATTAGTAATTATTGTCATTATTACATTGAGCCAACTTTTAATTTGACTACAATTACATAGGATACTTGAGATATTGTAGATATTTTGTTTTTCCGCAAAATGAAACTTGATAGAAATTCAAGAAGCTCATTTTGCAAAATGAAGTATATGCCTATATGAGTATTACTAATACTTTACTGTGTTCTTCGTATGCGTAATTATTATCGTGGCGTTATGTTTATTGATTGGTTTTAGACTTAGGGTTTATTCGTTCGAAGACTTTGTTTTTTATTCGGGTTAAATTAGTTTATTTCTATAAAATTATAATCATAAATATGCTTTACCTATGCCTATCTATGTTTTCACTATATTTGTTAATCGTAATTTTATTCCAGCCAACGTTTGAGCCAAATCAGAAGTTAGTGGAATTGAAGCACCTAATTCAATGTCTATATACATATATGTGTGCAAATTAGGCACATTTGTGTACAAATTTATCATCTAAATTCTAATGCATGCGAAACCATGAAACTTTCAATACCGATTTGAACTCCAAATCCTTTGACCTTTAATACAAGTTCATGATCATGTTGCACTTATACAACCTGCATGTTGTATGCACCGGTATGTTGTATAGTCGGCGAATCGGACTTCACGGTTTCAATACCAGACATCACGTTTTGCGTAGTTTGCTCACGATTCCGCGTGTGCAACAAGGTAACGCAAACTATTTTGTGATCTAAGACGTTTCTCGCATGTACGACTGTCATCGCTGACGCTCTAGTTTCAACATAATATCGTGTTTTCGTGGATAGGACTTATACTTTTAAATGGCTGCTTGCTACTTATCACATTGGTCCCCTATGAATTACCGTAAGTGAAAATTGCCATGACCGTATATAGTTTGACTAAAACATTATCCCGGCAACAAACACTTTTATATACCAACTGTCATTGCCACAATTTGAAAAAATAAATGCATCATGATTTTATACTTTGATCGATTTATGGTGTTACTGCATTTACCGGTTGTACATATATAAATTGTATTTACTGCACAAAAATAAAAAGACGGCAAGATCAGAAGAATAAATCAACGTTGATGAAGACAGACTCACTTTGAATATGCAAGTTCAAAATTCAGGTGTATCCCCAGAATCAACTGTTATTTATATTGCATCAGTAAATAGTGCAAATATTCAATTAAATACCAATTTAAAATGAAAAGTGTTAATAAATGAACTAATCAGATGGACAAAAATATTTTTGCACTATTTTTCCGCGAATTAGCGGATTGAATGCTTTTGTGTCATCTCTTCGTGATGCCTCGATTGTTGACAACCACGGAAGGCAATAAGCAAGCAAATAATAGGTATATACTTTCACAGTTTTCGTTAACAAGGAAATACAACCACCATAGGTACTGCATCTTCTAAAATATAGCTTTCGAACTATAAATCGGAAGAAACGATAAACTTAAAGTCAAATTTTCCTTCGCATCTTCATTTCAACAAACTTGAGTGAATAATAATCTCCTTTCCAATGTCGCCAGTTTACTCCATCTGCGTATGTTTTATGTACTCCATGTTTATATCTTCCGTTAAGATTAGAACTATGACAAGATCTGTGCCACCATGGCCCATGATGATATAGTGCACAATTTTTCTCTCTGTCTAGATCATTATCTTGATCGGTTGTAGTGAATTTCATCCTATTATGCACTTGCAAGGAATCACCAGCTGTTCCGCTGTAGCCATTGACGAATAATTCGTACCCAGAACTTGCCGGTCCAACGCGGAATTTACTAAAATAAATATGGAATTGTAACGTAAAAATAATAATTGTTAACAAAAGTAGAATCTTAATTGATGTAACTATGTAGCTTGGATTGCAGAGAAAGCAACCCTGCTGATAACGACTCTACAAGGATACCAAATACAGTTTAGTCATTTGTGTACCAAATTGAGGCCAACATAGGCTATAATATCTGCAAAAAACAGTTTTTTGTACGTCCATTTATTTAATATTATGAAAGTAATTCTATTTTACACGGAAACGTGTTCAACTCATAATAGAAGAGTAATCAATCTATGTTAGGTAAATGATTATTATTTACCTGTATTGCGCATAAGCAGTGTTGTTATCGAAATCTTTCATATCTATTCTTAATTCATACTCAAATCCCAGATCTGATGAAATCTGATGAATTCTTTCCAGACCTATAAATATAATAGAAATACACAAATACTCTTTTGTATAAAAAAAAAAGAAATTAGAGAAAGATAATTCTTTGAACTCGATGCGCGATCTCATGGAAACTTTTGTTCCAAAACTCATTCCAGAACTTTAAACTGATACATTGTGCAGTGAGTCGTGAAAGCGACTGTGAACCATAAACCTGGTCATTCTAAGCTATTATTTCTAATTTATTGCAATTCATAATTGCCGGAGGATGGAAAACGTGGGATCTTGAGGGTCTAAAAGCGTTTCACGTTACGCAAATGCTTTGAATGATAGAAAAAATGTTTTTGTTTTCACATTTCAAAAAAAAGAGGGGGGAGAGGCACAATTTCAATCAACATTTTCTCACCCATCCAAAATTCTTCTTCAAGTTCTCCGAATCCTTTCACGTATGCGTTCCATTTTCTCTGAAAATTTTCTTTTCCGTGTAATCTACGCTGAAAGACCTGTTAATACAGCAATGAGAATTAACCAGGTTTCTTAAAGTTATTATTAAGCAACACCGTAACTGTTAATTATTTAAGGAAAATTTCAAAAAGTGAACCTCATTTATTATTACATTCAACTAAATGTTGCGTGTTGCGTGACATCAAATCATCCATAAATGTCTATTTCGTATCAGATTATGACTTGATAAATTAGAATGACGAGGTCATATCAAAATCCGGGAAATAATTAAAGAATTGTGCAAAACTATTATATAAATGTATAAGATTATATATTATCCTATACTTAAAGAGAAGTTAATTTGTCTGTTAACGGTTCCTTCAAAATAAAATATAGATACCTATCTCTAAATGGTATTTTCTCGAGAGAAATAAAAAGGTTGATGACCCCTATACATCATGTTGTTAGTTTGAAGCGAAACTTGTACATCACAAGCGTAGATAACTTATATCTATCACAACTTTCCTGTTATGTATTGTCAAAATCATACTAAAAATTGAAAACATTCTTTATCATATAAATCATATAATTTTTGTATACTTGAGTGGTTGTACGAACTCAAGTTATTCATCACTTAGTCGTGTCCTACAAGTGTTACTCACCGTCCATCCGCCACCATCTGTCTTTTCGTCACAGTAAACTTCAATTCCATACGGATAAGCAACCGGATAGACTCTTGTTATTCCGTGTATTCTATCCCACGGAGTTGCGTAAGAACAATCTTTAAGAAGACTTTGAACTATAACTAAAATGAAAAATTAAAATTTTAAACGAGTTTAGTTTCGATATGCAATCTTAATATTCTAGAATTTTGTTTTTTCTGAATAAATAATTTTATTTTATTCAACTTTATGAGAAAAATAATGTTGTTGTTTTCAACAGTTTATGAAGCAAGAGTATGCCCGTGAGTTACAAATTCCCTAAACGAATTGACATTATATGAGAAAGATAACGTTTTTGAATAAAAACATTAATAAAATTTCTAGTAAAGTTTACCGTCAGCTTTCCTGTCCAAGTCTCCCGTCATTACTGAAAAAAAAGGAAATGTTTTGACCAAAGTTTTAAATCTAAAAAATTCATCACAATTATTTAATAAAACCGTTGTTCGAACATTGAGTTATTCAGTATTCCAATATTCCAGTAGATAATATTTTTATATTAACCTTAAAATCAAAATTCTAAATCGCAATTGAGTTGAAAAATGCTATAATATCAGTCGATTTCACCGAATCGAATCTTCATCTAATTTATCCTTATTGTCAACTTACGCATAAGTTTCTGATCAATTCTTCGGACCTAGGAGAGTGAAGAATCATTTATTACAATGGCTAAATGGCAAACTTTGAACGGTACAATTAAGTTCATAAAATGTTTCAACAGAATAGGTAACATGCTTTGTCGTGGTCATTGTTTGTAAGATATTACATAATTTAAAAATAAATGGAGAGTGGAGACAACAAATAACGAGAATACATTGATTCAAAAAACTAGTTTTTTCATACGATAGATAAACGTCTTGTTAGAGTTAGGTAACTAAATCATCAGTTAATTTGTGCATGGAGTCGAATCCGGAGTTAACGAATTTCTCGGAATCGAGGATCGAAGTGAAATTTTCAATTTTCGTGGAATTGGGAGTTCGTATCTATATTTTGGATCTTTTAGAAGTAGGGAGCCGGTGTCTCAATTTTTAACTGAAGTTGAGAGTCTTTGGAACGTGGCCACTGATTTTGAAAGTTTGAGAACCCCGGCCTAATTCACGTCGTAGTCAACACGCAAAAGCCACAATTCGCCCGAATTTGGTACCGTAGAGATGCCAAGTCTGTTAATATTATTATTCGAACTTTGATTTTCTTTAAAACTTCCAGTTAAATCTTATTGATTTTATATAACAGTCGGTGATTTTAAAAGTGGTAATGCAAGATGCTAAATCGGAAATCAATTACCCATTTATTTCTGCGAAACATTTAATTCATATGTGTGAAACGTGACCATTTAGAATGCACCGACAGTTCAGGTAATTTGTCATTTTTGATTGAAAATATATCGATTATTATGATATCTTGACGTAATCAGCGATGTATCAATAGATTGGGTTGAGTGACAAAAAACTTGATTTGATAACATATGTGTTAAAAAAGATGATTTAACGTGCAAAAAATTGAAGGTTTGTTATTATGCACAAAAATTGAAAAAAAATTAACCTGAAAATTACATATTATATTGAATAATTCTATTTTTTAGCTTTTAGTAGCAAATAAAACAAGTTGTAAACATTTGAACGCAAAATATAGTACTATGTTACGTTTTCTTACCTCGCCATATAAATATGCAGAAAGGCCAACTGCTGCAATAGCAACAAGAAGACACAGAAAGATAGCACCGCTCGAGAATTTGCCTGGAAAAATAAAGAATAATAAATTTGAAAAAAGAATGTTTTTTTTTATATGGAGTGAAATTGGTAGTCAAAAAATAAGGCATAAACAAAGTAGGCATAAAGTTCCAGTTAGAATGAAGTTTTGGTTTAAACGCCTATTCCAAACATTAGTCTTACTTCTTTTTCGAGATTTTTTATTCTTTTTGTTTAATTTTACTGTTTTTCCATTTTTTGTAGTCTGTTGTAATTGTTGTTGTTGAAGAGCAACAGTTTTGAGAGCCATTGATATGTCTTGTGCAGATATTGCTGAAATCCTCCTTCTTGTGTTTGGTGAACTTACCGGTGGAACACTATCAAATGCAAAAAAATGATATTGACTGTAAAATTTTTGATGTTGTTTCAACTGAAAATTGTATGGAAGGGCAAAACCTTCCAAAGTGAAATATTATTGGTAAAACTGTTAAAATAAACCCATAGCGTGCTTCAAATATAGTGAACACATAGACTATGAAGTCGATGGACTCGATCAAGTTGCTTCAACGCTCTATGTGAAGTAGTCAAGTGGAAGCGATTCTCACACAGTAGACGGTCATCAAACTTTTATTGAGGGCGAAGCAAACTTACATATCATTACTTTTTCAAGTCATTGTTAAGATGGAAGTTTTTAATAGCTACGTTACAAACAATTTTTCAAGAACTTGACTACTAAGGACCCCGCCAGGTCGAACTGACTCTCAAATCACTAGAAAGTGTTCTCGTTCTATATATTTTTGTTATTGTATCATCTCCACTTTCCTGTACTTGTGCGCTTAAATTATTTGCATATAAATACAAGTCTCGGATCCAAAACCTATCTCGAGAAGGAGTCAAAATCAACGCATTTAACCCAACTCTCTCTCTCTCAGTTTTAAACTGAAATAAGCAACGAACACTTACTTGATTGTCACAGAGCTGCCTTTCAGACTCTTTGTTCCCAAAGGTTCTTCAGTTGGAACAGTCAATAGATTAGCGGTATTTCCATTTTTCGTCATTTTATAGGAAATGGTTCTTATTCACGACTTAGACTGGGGGTGACACGTTTGTTACTGGTCAGAGGAAAACAGAAATATTCGTTTTGACAGATAAATGATATATACAGGTAATTAATTAACAGTCACTTATTAAGCGACGTCATAAATTCAATACAATGTTATTTATTGACTAAAAATCATGTCATTAGACTCCACCAACCGACACGTTTTTGTCCCAGACGCATAAAAAGTTCATATATATCAAACTTTGTATTGTACTAACTAATTATTATAAAAAAAATACTACAAAAAACACAATTGGGTGGTACTTTTTAGAGCGGTATTGATCCGATACTTTCAAGTTATACCGTTACCGATACAGATATATATATAATAAAAAAAGTACGTTATATCAAATTACACATCGATGGAGTAATAATTAAAACCCTTTTTCATTATATAAAAAAAAATACAGATGAACATGCACGTATCAAGTTGCTCATCAAAATTTTCTAAATAATACATTTAAAGTTAAGGCGGTGACCCTAACCCACTCTATCTTAAACCGACCCTGCAAGTAATTGTCTAATTAAAGAATTAGGACAATTATCTTGCATTATCTCTTTTATAACGCGCATTCTTAAATGCCTATTTTTCCTTAAATCTCTCCTTTTTACGACAAAACAAGGACTAGGAACAAGAACAAAAATGCTTCTTCCTGTCGCAAACTGGCTTTAAAAACAAGCAGTAAATTACTTGTAGTTGAAAGTTAACAAGTTATGTTTTATGACTTAACCACTGAATATGTTCCAATTTAGATTCTGCTTGACTGCTTAAGTTATAGAAATCAACAGTTTGACAGAGAGCCAATTTTTGGTAAATATAAAAAAAGTTGTTTCGATAACTATTATACACTAGTAAGATACCTGAAAAAGTATACTTTACGTGAGCGGCGCACAGTCTTTGCAGCGTTGTTTCTGATCACGCATCGCGATGAAATTGACATTTAATGTATATATAACAGGTAAAACGTCTAATTTTTGTCACGATGCTCAATGCTCTTGCCTAAATCGCAATGCCTATATATGAAATCTAAAACATGCTGATGTGCAATATTTTATAAACAAAGCCCTGAAGAGAGTTTTTCATTTCTTTCTCGCGTTCTTGATCTTCGTGGCCGTACTCTGACATGGTAGTTTATCTCGGTTTAACTACACCACGAGGAGTAATAAACACAATTTCACCCAGGATATATTATGATAAAGCAAAGAATTCCATTCTTTTCAAACTAAGATGCTCATTCGTATAAGGGACTTCTCACCTTGGACCTCGATAGGGCCAAAATTGAGGAAACCACACTAGCAAAAACAAGAAAAGAACAGTGAAAACTATGTACAGCCTTGCTCTTGATACGAGTATATTCCTTTCGTTCAAACGCTATCCTAGCAAATATGAAAAAGGCGACATTGAAATGCTAAATTGGTATCTTGAGAGTTGAAAAATTGAATGAAAAATTTATAAATAACTGCATATATTCATATATATTTACATTTCACGAGGCCTGTTTATTTTAAAAATAGAATGGCTTTAGTTATTCTTATTCCGGAAAGCTAAAAATATAGGTATCCTAAAAATAAAGTTGATTTTGGCATGATTAATTTCAGACATTTTCTTGTCACGCACTGAGAAAAGGTATTGAACAGAATGTGCCAACTACGTGTTGCTATTTACAAATTTTTGACCAGTTTTTATCCGGGTAATCAAAATTTTGTCTGTGGTTCTACAAATGAAGTAGCCTACTCATATGTTAAAGTGAAAAGCAAGAAGGCGACTTTGTACTCATGGGAGTAAATAAGATTATGATTAATTGTTACGTGACTCGGCTATATTCCAGTAATGTGACAAAATGTACTTTCGAATGTTGACATTCGCATTGAATTTATCATAAGATAAAGATAAGATTTACATATTTATTCCGAGAGATAGGAGAGCCGATAAGACGAGTTATAGTCTGAAAAAAGGTAGGGTAGTCAGAAAAAAGCCCATAGATAAGAATTCGTGTAAACATTTTGTTATCTGATAAGCAAGGTATTCTGTGCACACTGAAACCTCGGCAACTTAAAAATATGTGAAAATAACGTGACGACCAACCGAAAACCTGGCAACACTAACACTGCGTGAGTTCACACATTTTTCCGCCACGGTTTAGAATCTCCCAATAGCGTGCGGCCTACGTTCACTTCTCTCAACAAGCAAGAATATTTCAAGCTGACATTTTAATAACGACTCCGTTGGAAAAAGACAGTATCCCGACCCCGTCAGAACAGTGTAATCAATCCACAATCGACTCAGGGCTGAGATAAATTCGGGGACAGCCACGGAATCATAGAAAATCAAATTTTGATAACAAAAGGGTTGGCGTATGCAAACATCCTTCAATGAAGTTTGAATGTTAATATCACCCTCAAAAATTTAAAATTCTGAATCGGGCGAATTCAGAATTGGCACTTACTCTTGGCATTTTAAAAATCGACTTCAGTGAAAACATGGAAAACTCCATCTCCGCAGCCCTTATTCCCGTCTAAAATGTTATACAAGATTAACACAACACGAGAATGTATTTTTATGGCTTTATTTCATCTCTGGAAATTATAATAACTTACTGCATAATGACATGCAAGCATGCATAGACATAAAACAAAAATATAAAAAAAAGGGAAAACAAGATTACTGCTGTGTAATATATGTGACGTCATAAAGAATCCGTTTTGATGACCTCTGAATACGGAAGACAAAAATAATGCAAGTAAGCAAGGAAATAAAACGTGATGGTAGTAGTGAAAAGTGTGGATAAAACTTGTGTATGCGGCCAAGCACGATCCATACATGACAGTACCTTTTTAGGCAAGAACATTTAAGAACATGCTTGGCCTTAACAATCAATTAATTCACCGTTAAAATAATCCCATTAAAATGAAAATATGCTAAGAGGAAAAATACTGCTGTAAACGCGTTGTATGATAAAAAAAGTGAAAATATCTCAACCCCGGGATCTGTGCAGTATTGCTCTTTATTTCGGAGTTTACTCATAATAAGGCCACTGGCGCTGTGAAATAAAAAATGTTAAATCATCTGCGTGAATTTATGGAAATGTATGTTACCATACCAGCCAAAATTGCTGACAAAAAAACCTAAAAAAAAGTATCACTATAAATGTAAAAAAACTACCCGTTAACTCAACGAAAACAAAAATGCTGAATAAATGAGAAAAATTAAACCAGGACTAGGAGAAACTAGGACAACAGTACAATGACGAACTTCCTGAGTTATTATTAATCTAAAAATAATTCAAGTTGGCAAGAAACGAGCACAATAATGGACGGGACTATTCTGAATGGTTAACAAAATCACGAACTGGCAGCAGCAGTTGGACGTATGTAAAAATCAAATTTTGCTCAATAAAATAAGATCATAATACCATTTTGAACATGGTAAATTGATTGCAATTTCTCAGAAAATGAGTAAGGCAAGAAATGAGTAAGGAAAGCTGTACACGAAAATGACACTCAAAAACACAATACATAATATACAGCAGGTGACGGTTTGTCGAGCAGATCTCAGAGGTTCAGATCATAGATTCTACTCGAAAGTAATTGAAATACTACTTGAAACTGACCCTGTATGACATTGTATTGTGGAACAGTTGATGAAATAGAAAATAAAATAATAAAAATGTGTTGACAAAAATTGCACCTAGCATAACATTAAACACATTCACTTAGAAGGGTCTCAAGTTCATTGTGATAATTTTTTTTAGAGATATCTGTTCATGGCAAATAAAAGTGAAATGTCTTTTAGAATCAACACCACTATCATATCCGACATTTATTCAAATTACATCACTGACAGTAAATTTTAAATTTGGTCAGACACAAAGAAAATACTAAGCAGCTTCAGTTACTTTATATCACACTAAATTTCCATCCTTGCGATTTGAACGCAGCAGCAAATCCGAGACAGTATTTATTTGACGAATTCGTTGACAGCACAGACGATGGTGCTATTCGCCAATTAAATACTGCTTCTTTATCCATGACTGTGATTGTGACTCGTAGTGTGACGGATGATTTTCCTTTGGATTTTTTTCCAGGTGATATACTGTCAATTTCTGTCTGGATTTCTTGTGTTTGAAAACGTATTTTCATATTTCTAGGATTAAAAATGAAAAAGATTAGCGAATAATGGTTTGAATAGCGGTTTGAAAATGTAGGAATAATTTTCAATTACCGGTAATTCCAATTTTTACTCTACTTATATAATGACAGTCAGACAGTCTTCAAAATGGCAGACAGCCAATGAATACGACTCATAATAATCCGTCATAAGCCAATCCAATTGAGTTCTTTGCCAACAACACTCAAAACAAACGAGACATGGCACTAATGTTTAAAATGGTGAATTGGCAAATGTATTGTATTTGATCATGTATTATTGCAAAAATCAGCAATTTACAAAAATTTTGTCGGTGCGGTGCCAAATTATCAGGAAAATAACTAACAGCGCGCTTACACAAACAACAAATTGCTGCCTCAAAATAAAATTAAATTTTGTGATCGTTAATGTGTACTTTATGCTTTTTAAAGTTTGAGAACATCTAGGCTAAAAGAATAAAGGCAATGTCAACTCTTTTTCCTCATCTCTATTTGATTTTCATTTAAAATACTAAATACAAATCAGTCATTTTCGCTAAGCTCGGTGCAGTAGACAAAACATTTACCGTATAATAAATACAATATGTAAAATATTCAATCATATATTAGTCATGTTTAACACAACTTCGCTAATTTTCGGCACACTTAGCGAATCGACGCGGTACTCTCTTTGGGAAATGCTGGCATAAATGGAATATATAAAATACACGTTCCATTGATATTACAGAAAAAAATAACAAAAACTTCAGAAAATTATTTTACCTGCAAAAATTGGAAAATCTGGTTTTTGATTCTGTACCATTGATAAATATTCTACCTGTATAAAAAACAAAATAAATTTTGTTAAATTAAATCTAAAATTATTAAAATTAAGAGGATATGAACAAGTTTTCGATTTTCTCTCTTAATTCATATGGAGAAAACGAAACAAGTTTTTTTATTTTTTAAAATGGAAAAAAATTTAAAACACTGAGAAGTGAGAGTGTAGTGATAGTATTTGTTAATAGTTGCACGCCGTTGTAATTATGATTAGATCAGCAAAATGCTCTACTGGCACACCTCTCACTTATTGTTGCAGGGGTTAGAAACCTGCGGCCCACAGGCCAAATGCGGCCCCTAAGAAAAAATTGTGTGGCCCGTGGAGTAGTGCCAATTATGAATGGCGCGCGGCCCACGGAACAAGTTTTTTTTATCTAGTTTTATCTGGTATGTGCGAGTAATTCTAACCCCGTTTGCATGGCAAACTCTACACTTATGACGTAACAATGCCCTTACAACAAGCTTTTGCGAATCGCACAACGCATGTCATAAGATCACCGAAATTCTGGCAACTACCAGAAAGCCTATAAAGAATTAAGGTGTGGCCCACGGTTTCGCCCAGTTCTTCGTATCTGGCCCTCCTGTATTAAAGGTTGCACATCCCTGATGTATTGTATTGTTTACAGTCTACATGTCTTATGTTTAATAATGCCTAGCTATCAAAGTATTATTTCGGACAAAAGGAAGTCTGTAACAAGCATGTATTCACCATCAGCAGCAACACATAACGAACCATCCTTTACGATTGAACGACTGACTGGATCAATCTTTGCAACAAGAGCAAATCCATCTCCAAGACTTTGAGACTTCCCTTCATTTTCTATCCTGGAAATAAGAAACATAAATAGCAACAATCTGGATATGTTGAGTCACAAAAATGATAGTTAATCCACGGGAGTATTATAGATGAGGCGATTGCCATAAATGGGTGATCAAACATAGTTTCATACTTCAACAAGAAATGGCAGGAATCGAACAATTTAATATCTAAAGTAATATTTTCGAAAATTGTAATCAATTGTATTTTGTAACACAAATTTCTGAACAAAGTGGGAAATCTTATTACTTATCACAGAGTTGTCCAAGGTTGCGAAATTAAAGGGCCGCAGAAATTTTTGAGGAGGCCTTACGGGCGGTCGAAAAAAAAACTCAAAATACTGGTCCATGCTTAAAAATTATATGTGTGTTTTTATTGAAATAAAAGCTCAAAACATCTATCCAGATAAAGTTTTACAGTGCGAAATCGTGGGGCGATTACGGTGCAATGAAAAGCGCAAACTATCTCATCGGCACAAGCCACATGCGGCCCGCATGCCAGGATCTGGACCACTTATCATATTCATGTGCCATTTTGGTTTTTGTAAGTTTTCACAAGCAATATCAATATATCCCTTCAATCATAGTACCAAGGTAAGGTTCTAACTTTTTTAAAGACTATACCGGACTTTTACTTGGAACAAGGCTCTGTACAAGCAAATAGTAATACGTTGGGAGCTACCGTTTTTGGATAGACCAGAATATATCTCTGACATGAGCAAACTACGGCCTGCTGGCCAATTCCGGCCAGTTCAGTGATTTAATCTGGCCCGTCTGATACTGCCATTAATTTCAGCTTTCAACCAATTCTGCATGCACTTCATAGTTGTTGTTATTGAAATCTGTATGAAGGTTGCCACAGAATTTCATGTTATGGGGGCTTCTCACACCTCTTTCTGTCGCACGTGCAGCCTTGAGTTTCAACTTAGTGCCAACAAAGTTTTGTTAACATGTTATCCCCATTCGGAGGAAATTTTTGGCCCCTGGTTCGAAAACCTTGCACACCCCCGATTCTATCCCATTCACCCTGTTTGGGGTCGTGGGCATGGGTCTTGAACCCGAGGTATATATAACATGTAAATTATGTGCAAGTAAGTGCAAGAACTCGCATCAATGAAAAAAATTGCATGAAGTCATTTTAATTTTAAGCCACATTCAAATTGCTTCAAAAATATCTGAATTGACGAGCTAGTACTTATCTATTACCTGAATAATATAGGATAACCGACTGTATAACCTCCAGCCTTTGAATATAATATTTGAGATGTGTTGCTTCTTTTGCTTGCAACTCGAAATTTATCTTGCACATTGTAACCTTCATTGTCTTTTACATCCGCCCATTCTGTGAAAATAACGAAATTTAGAAAAATATATTTTTATCGCAACGGAGAGGTAAGCTGAAAATGTGACTTAAACATAGGAAGCAACAACACACAGCGACAGCAAATAATTTAGCCAGCCTCTTGCACATCTAGGCATTTGTCATGGATTCCAACATGTAAACCCAGAATGGATAAATAGTGCTCTTACAGCATGTAATGATTTTCGAATTAAAAATTTAGCAAATGCCTGTCACAAGTTAGTAGCGTTATTTCGTTATGTAGAAAGTAATTCAATTTTAAAATAATGAAGTGCAGTATACCATATCCTGGTAGTGTCGTTATTCCACCTTGATAAACACTCCACGGGCTCCAATTATTTTTTGTTTCTGATAGATCACTATCAGTATCTCCTTTGATGAGGCAACGACTAACCCTAGTTAATGAAGAAAATTCTACCTTCAGAATTTACTCACGTAAAGGAAAATCAAGCAAAACTATGAGAATCCAGTGAAATGCTCGAAGCTATACTGACACAATGTAGATTTATAGTGGTCTGTTACGCTTGAGCGAATGCCAATTTATAAGAGACTCAAAGAAGTTTAAGTCAATACAGTCAGGAAAACAGTGGTATGATGACATCAAACTTGTAACTAATTGTAAATGAATACCAGCTCCCAGCAAACGAGTATGACAAATGACAATTAAAGCTTTTTCTTGGAAGGACAAGTTCAGAAAAACAGTTTTATTATCTATCTGTCTAAGTGTAACAGGAAATCTCCGTTTCTTGTATTCACAGATGCCTGTTAGATATTCTTAAGCATAAAAATGATTATCGAAGCATTAGCTTACAAAGCTTACCGAAAAGTATATACTGTGTTTGGTGATAACTTTTGCACGGTATGACTAATATTTTTTCCAATGTAAGTGTCTTGAAAAAAGTGTGAACTGTATTCAGTCTCAGAACGTTTTGTTAATAGACTGACCTAAAAAATAGGCATGGCGGTAATCATCACTTCAATAAGAGGACAAGTATAAGAACACCAACAATGTCAAACATCACTGAATCGCCCACAAAATTCTTGCTAAGTGTTAAAAGAATTGTGGCGAATGTCATACGATGGTATGTCCATAAGTTATAAAAAAAATAGCAAAACTGGGGATGGGGAGTGAAATATCCTGTGAGGAAATATGAACTTAATTGGTCTATTAATTACGAACAATCACAACCTATTTACAACAACCAAACCAACTCAAACAACAACAACCTTTATGTAGCCATTGTATCCAACAAACCAAGCATAGTCTAATTTAGAAATATTCGATACAAAAAATCATAAATTTACATACACAAAAAAATAATAAATTTTTTGATTTTCTAGGCTTCAAGCAAAATATTATTCCAATAATGTGATAGTTTAGATAGCCATCTTAATAAATAGGTACAAGTTTTTCACCTAGTTTAGTGACTAAACAACATATATATATATATATAAATAGATGTATTTGGTGTAGAATACTTAGCAAAGAACTCAAACTAGGATTGTAAAATCTTTGTTAAAAATAGAATTACACCAAAATAAGGCCAGGGTAAACCTAGAATAATGTTCACCTTTCCATGACAAAACTGCAACTTATATAAAACAGTGTTTCCATTTTCAATCCAATCTGCAACTTCACTATCATCACCAGCCTGTGAAATTAAAACTAGATGGTTTGAAACAAGAATAAAACAGAAAACTCTAGTACTATGCAAAGTGGGGTTGGAAGGCGATTCATTTTTATATTTAAAGCTTTTGGCTATAAAAAGCAATCAGAAAATATAATGACAAAAGCCTTATAGAGCAATAATATATTATAAAATGGAGATCAATACTTATCGATCCTAAGATTGGTAAGTATGTTGATAGGGATTTGTCTGTTAGATTGACGCGATACTCACGAAAGCGAGGTTGAATCACCTCCAAACTTTGCATGTGCTTTTATCGTATCTCGGACCAGAAGCCTATTGATTTTGGATGAATTTTGTCTTATAATTAGCGAGTTAATAATTAATTAGTGATGCGACACGCGGTGTCGCTATGGAGTAAGAGTAAGTAAGTAACTTTTGATCGATGAGTCTTCGGTCTCCGACCGATATTCTCGTTATTAAAGTTATCAATCTCACCTCATCCCAAGTAACTACCATTCCACCAGGCAGAGGTTCTAACTCCGTTATTTGCACAGGAGCTTGCTTGCTTATTTCTCCATGATTTTTAATCGCAGAACATAATTCTAGATCAAAGAAGAATAGGATAAAATTGAGAATATGTAGCTTGAACATCTAGTAGTTAGTAGGAATGACATGATGTGTTTATTCAATCATCATATTTCGCATTTATAAATATCTGTAGAATTTAATTTCCTTAAATGTGCTTCAAAACAATTTCCCACCCTTCAAATTAGATGAGAAACTGTGGCTGTACAGTGTACACACCTTTTGGCTCATGTTGAACCAGTCATTATGAATGCGATATACCCCAGCCTGAGTAGGCGACATAGCGATAGCAGTAGACCTAATGCTATTGTAGCACCACATCACCTTTGATTTTATATTTCTGACAACATCAATAAGATCATATATTTGATAGACTAGGTTTGGAGAAAAATATATACGTTTTGAACAGTTCGAAATAAGATATTCACCAACCTTGGCTAAAATTCTTTTCTTTATAATTAAACGATAAACAAGCGACCTCTGTGACAGATGGAACCTCAGGGACACTGTAAAACATGAAACAGGAAATGCAGATTACTCATAGTAGTTGCTAACATCAGTCATAATCACAAACTGTTTTCAACTTTCATAAAAATTTGTACAAATATAATATACTCAATAAAAAAAGACCAATACTATTCTGAATACATTCTAAATAAATATATACTTATTTAGATTATGTTCAATATTGTATAATCATTGAGTTTAAATTTGGAAATGCAGGAAAGTTGGGATGAACAATAATTTGATTGGTCTAAGTCAGCATTTCTCAAACTTTTTTTGTCCCGGAACACCATCTTTGTATATAATTAAAAAGGTTGGCCGACGGTTAACGATATTGAACAGTTAATAAAGAAAATGCCACGCCTTCACGACTAGCACAAGAGGCCTGTTTGTTGTCAGCTGGGAGACAAATTTGCAACCCAGAAGCGCCGAGCCATTACGAGTAATCTAATCACAATTTTAATCTCTGTTCCGCAAAACACTCCAAAGAAGTTCGTGAAACAGCAGTAACTCGCGACACACTAACACAAATATATTTCTGTAACATTTTGTAGACAAAATGACTCTTCTTTAGACATACATAGACCGCATACGCACTCATGCATAATTGCATTATATGAATATAGTTAAGTAGTTGGTAACAAAGAAACCCAATTTATACCACAATTTGATGGGTTCTCTATTTTTTTATAGTTTCCAGAAATTTAATGAAAGCTATTTTAGTCCCACTGTGAGACTTTGAATACCCCAAAATGATACTTAACTTTATTATTATTATTAGCTATCCTGAATGATTCTAGAAATCAATATCAAATAAAACTAATTTTGAGAAGATTTAAAATTTCATTTGGACAGTCCTGCACATGCCCAAGCAGGGGCCATAGATGGCCTTGCTTGGTAAAGTATGTTTCTACCGGACTAAGTAACATTTTACATCCTACCTCTCTAAAGATAGACCTGTTGCTGAATTAGTAAATTTGTTCAATTTTTTAATATTTGCATTGTTTGCAGTATCGTCTTCAGAATGCAGGAGTTTTTCACCTAAAAACAAGATGTATAACAATAAAGACACATTAATTTACCTGGATTATAAAAAATGATAAAGTGATTTACAAAATTTTATTTAAAATCAAAAATAATTCCGTTGGTATTCTGTATAATGGAATCGATGGAAACTTACCATTTTCAATTACTGACACAGTTTCTTTTATTCCATCATCCAAGATCTGTTTACATTCTTCCAGTGGTTTTAAAGATTCTTTCTCAATAGCATTGATTCTATAATGATAAAATGTTTATGATTCATTCGAGAGTCTGAGTTGATTTTTCCATAGCCTGTACCTGAGATTCTTAATGGCGATTAATCGAAGTCAAAATTTGTAACAGAAACTAAAATAGTATTAAATTGATAAGCTTTCGTTACAGACCATTAGTTTTTCTTATCAAAATGTGATTTTCTCAAAATTCGAAACAGGAGCAGAAGTCAAAATATTTTTGAACTGGCAAGTAAATTTTACCAGATTTTTCATATTCAATATTCGGTACTTCTAGTGGACGAAGCATAACAATATTTGCATATAATATTCCTAATCCCTACCTGACTAGGTAATCAAAAAATTATGTCACTACAATGTCAGAGTGAAGTAATAAAGCCCAATCAAAAAATGTGGAGACGATGAGTGAGTTCGTTATCATCGGCACAGACGCCATTTCAAGTGATCGTAGCTATACTTTGGCAAGCTATATGACGTGATTGTGAAGTTGTAGTGGCGTAATTTTTGGACGATATGGTCATGTAGCGGTTAGGAATAACATGTGCAAAAATGGTTATGCCAAGCCTACTAGAAGTACTTGTGGTATTGAACTACACTAGACCCCAGTATTCTTATAGAATGAATACAAAAATTACATATCCAATTTAGGACAAGATTCTCACTGATCAAGTAGTACTTTAGACTTGTGTTGTATTTCTTTGACAATTTTTGATTGCAACTCAGCAAAATGCTGTTTAATGTCCTCACGGGCTTTTTCACTTGTAATTGATACCTGATACAATGAAAAGGCTTCAATCAATAAAAAAGATTACAGTGTGACAATAATGCAATACGATTTTTGTATATCAATAACTAAATAAAGGTACAACACTAGAAATGTGATGTGAACAGGAATAAGATCAAGTTTATTTCAATGCCTTTTTTCTTTTTCCGTTACAGTATTAGAAACAAAAATCATTAAAATTGTGAAATGCTAACTTCTTAATTTAGATTAACTATAACAGTATAAGCTGCTGGACTTCATCATAACAGTTATAGATAACCAGCTGATGAGTTGAGAAGTGCTCAGTTTAGAAATCAGTAAATGCACAATATGACAATCCAAAATTATGTTTGTTAAAATCTTGAGAAGATAAGACACCATTTTCAGACTTTAACATATCAGTTCACGTTCTTAGCAGTTTGAAACACACGATTAAAAATTAAATTTGTTAAAATCTCCTAACCTGAGATATGCAGTCATTCAACTGGCCCAGTCGACCTTCTAATTCACACTTATGTTGCCTTGCACCATCAACAGTCTCAATTGCGTTTTGTAAGACTTCATTCATATTCAGGCCTAAAAATCTACCGAACCAGGCTAAATCAAACAGAAAACGAGGTCATGGGTCCTTATTTTGCTGCAAACCAGAAATTCACCTTCAGCACCTTCTCGCGATCGCCCACTCCCGGACAACAGGATGAGTGTATGACGCGAAGTTAAAATCTTAATCTGCAAGTTGACAATATTTCAAACTGGTATATCCTATAAACTTTGATACGAATGTCAAATGAACTCGTTCTCCATAAACACGGCGCCGAATTGACTTGCATATTTTGTATATATTTCCCTGTTTTCTGGTTGACAAAATAATAAAAATCTCTTTCCATATTTGACTCGAGCGTGACGACCGACAATTTCTTGCTTTATGATCAATCAGACAACTAAAAAACGGAACTATCATTAAATTAGTTGTTTCATAAGGTGGTGGTGTGATCAGCTCCTGCCAACTTTACCTTGAGAATCGTAACCTTTCACACTTGATCGCTTCCCACCCCCAGTGGAATGTGTAAATGTGGAAAGGGTCGGGAGCCTAGATGACCTTAATCGGTCCTGCACACTGACCCGCATAAAACAATAATCAATCGCTGTTTATTACTGATGAAATATTTTCTTCATTATATTATTATCTATTATTGTTTATATTAGTGTTGATTTTGTTTTTGTGGCAATAAATCTCTCTCAATATTCAATTTTTTTTTTAAGCTTTGCATGTTATCTTTTTACTGGATGTAAGAAAAAACCTACTATGACTTCATATAGATTCTAACCATCCCCCAAAATTGATAAAAAGTCTTTTATTCACATAATATATGAAACATTATTTTTTGAAAAAAAAAATACTGAACAAGAGAATCATAATAACAAGAGAGCTATGCTCAAATACACGGACACGTAGCGCCACCCAGTGGGAATAATTTTGATGACGTCATAGCGGGAAAAAAAAGTAATAGCCTTCTGGAGAAAAATTTTATCTTTAACCACTGAAAATTTCAAAGCAATTGGTCCAGTATTCGAAGAGAAAAGCGATTTTTTAAAAATGGAGACGGAGACAAATAACAATAACAACAAAATTTTGAAATGATCGTTATGGCCACTAAACGTGTCCAACAAGAGAAAAACACCTGTGATTTCTCTAACTAACAGCCACTATGGAACTCATTGCTGGAGATCTATTGTGGTAAACGTTAATTTATGTGTAACCAGTATGTACTCAACTGAATGCTTTTCATCAAATTAATTTAGAATACAGCAGTAACGTACAATATAAGTTCGATTTTGCATCATGGCCCAATAATGATATACGCACACTGCTCATATATATTAAAACAAAACACTAGCAAAGACGCTACAAAACTATTCATCATAATACATACATACAGTTATGAACTCTAGCCATAATCAAGTTGAACAAGCATTTAAACCCATATTTCTCCGACTGTTTAGTTCGAATCTGTGATTAGCAATTAGCTGGAAGGGAAATTTTGTGATGTTATGATCTCAGTACAGAAATACAACCAAATTTTTGTATATTGTCGATTCTTTCAACAATTACAGGTTCATCATCAAAAGTAATCAAATGCAATTCATATTTTTCATTTCCCATTAGATCAGAGGAACAAACAACATAAATATCTTCTCCAGACACACAAGCGGCTACAAAATTCTTGGGTATTGTAACATTTATCGTTGTCCACCCTGAAACAGTAGGGTTGAGAACTTCAACAGAGATATCTGGCGTAAATGTTCCTCCAAATATATAAATGGAATCTTCTTTTACAGCAGATACAGCTCCACTTCTCGGACGCTTGAGAGGCGCTACATTTATCCACCCTCCACTGCTGGGACCCCATCTTTCAACCAACTTTACAGCGGTGTTGTTGTTATTAAGTCCACCAATAGCATAAACGAAACCTCTTGACGAAGCCAAGCAATGTTTCGAACGAGGTTTCTTCATACTTTGTAACTTCTCCCATAAATTTTTCTTTGGATCGAAGCGTTCTGCAGTTCGCATCGATTTGTTAGTCTCCGAAACAGTGCCTCCGCTGACATATATCATTCCATCTAACACTACGGCACGAGGATCTCCACGTTCAGTTCCCATTTTTGCCATCTCTCTCCATGTGTTTTTATCAGTGTCAAGACGAAAAACTCTCCCATTTTCTCCCATGATATAGACACATTTTTCAACTGTCACAGCTATACATTTGCCGTCAAATTCAAAATCACAAATTGCAAAATCTTTCCATTTTCCGCTCCACGGGTCATAAGAAACAACATCTTTCCTGCCTTGATCAAACATCACCATGGTGTCTTGCATTAATGTATCTGAAATTTTGAAGTAATTTGAAGCTTTGTAAGCAAAGCAATAACAACATTCGAATTCAGTTTTTTTATCAGAGTTTAAAATAATGCACAGCACAATATTTTCAAGTACTTTGGTCAAGAATTGCATTGTATAGTACAACATGTATGCTATTACAAACTACGGTAGATATGATATATAATGTAAACCAAGTCTTTGAACAGTACCAGATTACCAGTAGTCACTAGCAGATTATTTATTTCCAAATGACATACTTTCAATACTGACTCTAGTAAAAACTCAAAATAGACTTTTGATGGAGCAAGATATTTTTGACTGATGTCAATCACCCAAGATGACAGGCTTCGGAAGATAAATTTTTAACTTATTCCTGAAATCAAGAATCAACTATTTTGAACATTCGAATTAGTACTGGACATCCCCAGTTTAATCCTTCATCCCATGTTTAGTGAAGAAAAAGCACACGGGCTTACATATTCAACAAGCCAAATAGTTTAAGGAGAAATCCATTTGTCGTCACACATACCTGAACCATCATCTGTTACTAAATCCGGTTGAATATGACTGAACAACGCTTTTTCTAATAAATTACGACATTCTGCGTCATTCATCACTAATGGTTCTGCATGAACGCATTCTCGCAGATAATCAATCGGCAACTGTTCCAATGCAACATAATTTAGTAATTCTGACAAATGCTGTTTCCTTTTGTTTGGTGTGAAGTTTATCCAAGCAATAACAGCCTCATAAACTTTATGTTCAGGAATCATCTAAAATAAAGAAAAATGGAATTAATGCCAATTGATTGGGATCAAATTTACAGTACAAAGCACACATTTCATTTTTGTCAAGTTAGGCATGTAGTTTACATATCTCAGTCATAGAGATGATTTAATCATACGACAAAGCATTAATTACAATTCTATTTTGACCACAAGGTTGTAAAACCCTTACGAGGTTCCAAAATTCATTTTTTGCAAAGAGGTGGATTATTTAATAATGGATAGAAATTTTCTCTTACAACAGGCCTAATTAGAAAAGAACAGAACTGAAATAAATATTGTGTACTACACAAGATAAAACACGAAACATTTTCACCCATGGACTGTCATAATAGCTACCGATATAAAACAAACCCATTTATGCACATGTCAAGAATGAATGTCATTAATTTTTAGACTTTAGATTAATTTTTTTCTCAAATGGCAATTTAACTAAATCGATATATAATAGTACTGTAATCAAAAACTGATTATAGTTATCTATTATTTAATATAATAATAATGAGAAAGTGAAATTTTCTGGCATTATCGCATAAAATAAAATATCAATATCACCTTGACTTTTTTATTCTTCAATAGGAATACCATTAGTATTTTATCAATAAGTGCAAATTCTTCATGAGTCATCAATCGTTCAAAATTACACAAAGCGAATATTTCTGTCGCATGGAGAAGTTTAACACAAATTGTGCTTGCCGCCATCATTCGAAGATCAAAAAATGAGTCCATTGCGACATTAGTAGCTGCATAGTCTACGCAACATTCCCATACACCTAATGAAAAGCAGTTAATATTGTTATGGTCAATGTTTCTACTTCCAAAGACATACCAGAGCTTCTTTTGAAGAGTATTGTTCAGAGCAAAGGCAAATTTAAAAAAAGCTATAAAAAATATCACTCCCTTTGTGAGTTGATATTTCTGAACGTCAATAGTTGGAACATAGTTCTAATATGAAGTCGGATTAATAAAATAGAGAAACAATTTAATTTCATATTCATCAAGGGGAGGGAAAGCTAAAAAAAGACTAAATCATAAGGCTAACCACAGACTCTCACAAGTGCAGTTTTAAGTATTCTGTGGCGTCTGCAGGTGCCGAAAACCAGGGCAGTATTTCCATACCATGGCCGCTACAGCCAAACCTATGGCGACTGACTTTTTAGCTGCCACAAACTAAGGACGAGCTGCCGTTACCGCGGCAACAAATTGAAAACTAATGGCAGATAGAATTTTGCTGCCGTATCCACGGCAGGTGGGCCGTAAAGACACCCTTATGGTAATATTGGGTAAGTTGTAACATTTTTCTTATGGATACAGTTTTGATAGATTTGGGGTTAGGGTTTAAGTAGATATAATTCCGCATGATCAATTAAAATCTGGTACATTATTTTGTGAATATATCGTTAATACTGATTACTGAATAGTGCTATAAAACCATGGCAAGAGCTGCCGCGGTTTGTTCGTGGCAGGAGCTGCCATGAAGTGGTAAGAACTGCGCCTCGACTCTCATCCTTGCATCCAGTTGCTCACAAGCCTATGTCAGGCATGGAAATAGAAAACTAATTATTTGTTTCAGATGTGTGGACTTGATTTGGGAACAACAAATGGGTATACAGACTCAAACAATATTACAATACTTACATATAAGAGTCAGAAATAAGTTAAGGAAAAAGAAAAACCATAAAATAAAAAAAAAACAATATCTCACCATACATCTTCAAGACCAAAGCTGCTTCAGCAAGATTCCGCAAATTTTTTGAGTTGATATCCAGATACCCAGTGTACATGAAATCAAGGCATTGTACCAATGCAGATGGCTCGACATCAGTGATATAGATTGGGCCAAATTCACGTTGAACGAAACTTTTTCGTGAATAAAAACTCTGGAAATATCCAGATGTTATGATCAATAGAGATTTATGTACAGGATAACACCTTGCATTATAATCACCAATTAAAACCAAGTCTTTGTAATCGTTGCAGCAAATTTTACACGGTTCGTCTTTATTGTCCTCGCCAGGCTTTGCATTGGATTGAGAATTGTCTACCTTATTAGTGGTAGCCATATTTTACTTTTGTACGATGCAGCAATAGGACATTAAAATACTTCCAAGCTCAATCAAACGTCTATACCACCACTATACTGCATAAGAGGTAGAGAGAAACTTATTCAGTTGTAAAATCAGAAAACAATACAAATTTATATACACTACATAATATAAAGATCAAAATTTTTGGTAAATTTCATTTCGAATCCATACTGTACTGCCATAATCATTAATCAGCATAACAGACAATAAGATGATTGATAAATACAATAACTAAAAACTGGTTATGAAATCAGGAGAGCAAACAAAACCCTACATAAGGTTTAAAACATACAGAATAATATAAGATGGAAGGTTTTGCTAAAGAGTGTTCACTCAAGTGGTGCGTGTTCACTCACCTAAAATTATTAAATTACACACACACACAACCACAGAGATATTATAAAGTCAGAAAGTAAGAAAAACGTGATAAACTTAAGATTAATTACATAGTGAACAAAAATATTGAAAAAATAAATAAAAATTACGGTAGGCCTACCGTCTGACCGTACTTGCCACACCATATTAATAATTTTGTAATGGTTGCCACTACCAAATTGATCGGTTTCCTAAACAGGAATGAACAGTAAAGAAAACACTTATTAACAAGAGAGCTATGCTCAAATATATGGACACGTAGAGTCACATAATTTTGATGACGTCATAGCGAAAAAAAAAGTAATAGCCTTCTGGAGAAAAAAACCACTAAAAATTTCAAAGCAATTGGTCCAGTATTCGAAGAGAAAAGCGACTTTTTAAAAACGTGTCAAGCGGTACTGAGTTAGCAGTCAGGCAGCATCTTACCTGTACACTGTAGGCCATATACGGTAATTGATCACAGAACAGTTGTTCCCTTGCAAATTTTATGTTGTTTACATTTTAGGACAGATAATTGATCACAGAACAATTCTTCCCTTTCAAATTTTATGTTGTTTCCAGTAGACTCTCATCAAAATAAACAAATATAGTAGGCTACAAGTGCTACAACGCTTGCATTACTGCACTGGTAAGACCGTGAAAGAACAAGTTACGGTAATTTCATTGTGGTAAGACACCGGTACCGGCACCAGTACCAGAATCGTACTTACGTACTGAGCTACCAGTACCGGTTAGCAGTCAGCCAGCATCTTACCTGTACACTGTAGGCCATATACGGTACCGTAATTGATCACAGAACAGTTGTTCCCTTGCAAATTTTATGTTGTTTACACTTTAGGACAGATATTTGATCACAGAACAATTCTTCCCTTTCAAATTTTATGTTGTTTCCAGTAGACTCTCATCAAAATAAACAAATATAGTAGGCTACAAGTGCTACAACGCTTGCATTACTGCACTGGTAGGACCGTGAAAGAATAAGTTACGGTAATTTCATTGTGGTAAGACACCGGTACCGGCACCAGTACCAGTATCGTACTTACGTACTGAGCTACCAGTACCGGTACCGAACCTGTAGGTCTGATATTCCGTTCCGCATACGATAGGCTATAAAACTTGCATTGCAGCATTAGTAATACCGCGGAAGGAATAAGTCAATTTCACTGCGTTACGGCACCGGTATGGCAACTTACCAGTACCGACCTACAGTAGCTGTAGTACTGAGCAAGACAATCGATCGCGAAACCGCTTGAAATAAGTGTAAAACAGTGTTCCCATGAGTAAAAATAAATACCGCGAAATTTTGTATGAAATATCATATCTCATAGGATTCATATAAAATTTAAGAATAAACAAAAGTAATAGCCTTCTAGCGAAAAAATTAATCTTCAACCACTGAAAATTTCAAAGCAATTGGTCCAGTATTCGAAGAGAAAAGCGACTTTTTAAAAACGTGTCAAGGAACAAGAACAAGAACAACAACAACATAATATTGAAACGATCGTTATGTCCACTACTTGCCAAAAAACGGTACCGGTACCGGTAATCATTTTTTCTAACTAATATAAAGTACTAAGTACCGGTAATTACTGTAAGTAACTAATAGGATATACACTGAATAATTAATAGAAAAGCTGAGCAAAACTGAGCGACCGCTACCATACGAGCTCCTAATTATGAAATTTAGCAAGCCCAGTTAGCATTTGTGACTATTATGGCTGCCTAGGGTTGCCAACCGTCCTTTATTGGACACGTTAGTGGACATAACGATCGTTTTGGTATTTTTGTTGTTCTTGTTCTTATTTGTCTTCTTCTTGGTATCGTTATGAAAAAATCGCTTTTCTCGTTGATTACTGGACCAATTGCTTTGAAATTTTCAGCGAGTAAAGATTATATTTTTCCCCAGAAGGCTATTACTTTTATTTATTCTTAAATTTTATATGAATCCTATGAGATATGATATTTCATACAAAATTTCGCGGTATTTATTTTTACTCATGGGAACACTGTTTTACACTTATTTCAAGCGGTTTCGCGATCGATTGTCTTGCTCAGTACTACAGCTACTGTAGGTCGGTACTGGTAAGTTGCCATACCGGTACCGTAACGCAGTGAAATTGACTAATTCCTTCCGCGGTATTACTAATGCCGCAATGCAAGTTTTATAGCCTATCGTATGCGGAACGGAATATCAGACCTACAGGTTCGGTACTGGTAGCTCAGTACCAGTACGTAAGTACGATACTGATACTGGTGCCGGTACCGGTGTCTTACCACAATGAAATTACCGTAACTTATTCTTTCACGGTCCTACCAGTGCAGTAATGCAAGCGTTGTAGCACTTGTAGCCTACTATATTTGTTTATTTTGATGAGAGTCTACTGGAAACAACATAAAATTTGAAAGGGAAGAATTGTTCTGTGATCAATTATCTGTCCTAAAGTGTAAACAACATAAAATTTGCAAGGAAACAACTGTTCTGTGATCAATTACCGTATATGGCCTACAGTGTACAGGTAAGATGCTGGCTGACTGCTAACTCAGTACCGCACTTACGTTAGGTACCGGTACCGCCGTGAATTCAGCTCTCATCTCCTTGCTTTTTGTTACAGTTCTACTGAAAACAACGTAAAATTTGCAAGGGAAGAACTGTTCTGTGATCAATTATATGGCCTACAGTGTACAGGTAAGATGCTGGCTGACTGCTAACTCAGTAGCGTGCTTACATTAGGTACCGCAGTGAATTTCGCTCTCACCTTTTTGTTTTTTATTACAGTTCTACTGAAAACAAGAGAGCTATGCTCAAATATATGGACACGTAGAGTCACATAATTTTGATGACGTCATAGCGAAAAAAGAAGTAATAGCCTTCTGGAGAAAATTTTTATCTTTAACCACTAAAAATTTCAAAGCAATTGGTCCAGTATTCGAAGAGAAAAGCGACTTTTTAAAAACGTGTCAAGCGGTACTGAGTTAGCAGTCAGCCAGCATCTTACCTGTACACTGTAGGCCATATACGGTAATTGATCACAGAACAGTTGTTCCCTTGCAAATTTTATGTTATTTACACTTTAGGACAGATAATTGATCACAGAACATTTCTTCCCTTTCAAATTTTATGTTGTTTCCAGTAGACTCTCATCAAAATAAACAAATATAGTAGGCTACAAGTGCTACAACGCTTGCATTACTGCACTGGTAGGACCGTGAAAGAATAAGTTACGGTAATTTCATTGTGGTAAGACACCGGTACCGGCACCAGTACCAGTATCGTACTTACGTACTGAGCTACCAGTACCGGTACCGAACCTGTAGGTCTGATATTCCGTTCCGCATACGATAGGCTATAAAACTTGCATTGCAGCATTAGTAATACCGCGGAAGGAATAAGTCAATTTCACTGCGTTACGGCACCGGTATGGCAACTTACCAGTACCGACCTACAGTAGCTGTAGTACTGAGCAAGACAATCGATCGCGAAACCGCTTGAAATAAGTGTAAAACAGTGTTCCCATGAGTAAAAATAAATACCGCGAAATTTTGTATGAAATATCATATCTCATAGGATTCATATGAAATTTAAGAATAAACAAAAGTAATAGCCTTCTAGCGAAAAAATTAATCTTCAACCACTGAAAATTTCAAAGTAATTGGTCCAGTATTCGAAGAGAAAAGCGACTTTTTAAAAACGTGTCAAAGAACAAGAACAAGAACAACAACAAGAACAAGAACAACAACAACATAATATTGAAACGATCGTTATGTCCACTACGTGTCCAACAACATAAAATTTGCAAGGGAAGAACTGTTCTGCGATAAATTATTGTTATTTGTCTCCATCATTTTTAAAAAAATCGCTTTTCTCTTCGAATACTGGACCAATTGCTTTGAAATTTTCAGTGGTTGAAGATAAAATTTTTCCCCAGAAGGCTATTACTTTTATTCATTTTAAATATTTCTGATAGCTCTGTGAGATTTGTTTTTGTTCGCTATGACGTCTTTAAACGTTCAGCGGACATCGGACGCCATTTTGTGTCCTAGTGTGCTGCTTCGCTTGGTGTGAATATATTTGTAGACTGTGATCTGACGGTACGGTAAACCGTACTGTACTGCGATAGACGTGTCCATATATTTGGGCGTAGCTCTCTTGTTTCAGAGGACAATCCTTTATTTGAGATTTTTGTCCTTGTCCTTTTTAAGATGATAATTGTCCTTTATTTTTTCCAATATCGATAGTTATAGTACTGTGTTTGATACTGTTCCGTTCTTAAATTGCTTCCGTTTATTTGAAGCTTTTAATTGTTCTTTTTAATTTTGCTTTGGTCCGGCTCAAATAGCCAAAGAAATAAAAATTTTATTAACATTTCAAATATTTTACAATAATTTTCCGAAGATGGCAAGTGGCAACACTTCACAAGATTTGAGTAAATTCTAGTTCAATGGACCTTTCCCCGAGCATCGACTTCCTTGTTTACTTCGTGACATTGGCCAATCAGCAAGATGAAAAAAGTGACGTAACAATGCCCCCTTTTTGCATCCGCTCAGACACTTTTCTCACTCAGACAGATTTTCAAGCGTGGTTGTAAACATTACTTCGTTTTCGCGTTTTTGAACTCTATTCGTTAGTTTTCAGTTGTGTTTCGGAAACTTAAATAAAAATCAGATAATTCAATGATCACTCTGTCTTCCTAAGAGTTTTAATTTAATTGCAGTAATAAAAATTTGTGTAGAAATAGCTGTGATAGACTAGCCTGAAATTCTTTACCGGTACTTTGAAAAAACCGATTGTTGTGTGCAATGAATCATAATGATGGTTTGAAACACATACACCATTTTACAGGCACCAACTCGCAAAAGCACTCCTAAAATAGCACTGAAAATTTTGCAATGGCAAAGTATAGGAAGAATTTTCCGGGGGTCAAAGGTCGGGGAAAGGTTCATATCTGAAAATTCCGTTATTATTTGGCAATCAAACTGATCCTTCAAATCACAAAAACATGAAAATGTTTCCAGTCTGTGTTCAGTATTTTAGCCTGGAACATGTCACAGTTACTTATATTATTGATTTCGACAGTGTTACAGCACCCCCAGTGTCCCCAATGCCAAAATACCAAATATGGAAAAATATCACATGACATCATTTAACAGATAAAACAAGGGTCGTCACAAAGCTAAAAGAAAACTTAAATTGAATATGAATACAACAAATAATGAAAAGTGAGCTTTTAATACATTCCAACTTGAAAGAAATGTGTCGTGAATTTTCGGAAAAAATAAGACGTGACCAACAATTGCTGAAGTCAGCAAAGAATCAAAACAAATATAACTTTAAGAAATATAAACTTATTCAACTGGAAATTTAGAGCTTGATCGGGTCAATGTTAAATAAACATTAAATGAAAAACACTTGAAGATTTTTTAATATATCTTTTTAGCTTGTATATAAAATTTGTATTTCATTGTTTTATATTGTTCTTTCCTGCAAGTTACAAAAAAATGATGTGGGTAATCTATGTCCTTTATTGAGACTTTTCATAGTTGGCAACCCTATGGCTGCCACATATCTATGGCGTATTAAAGCATTCGATGGCGGCTGCAACTATAACCGGTAGTGTGTGGCGTATCGTGGTAAGCAGTAGCCTTACCAACTATCGATACCTTAGTGAAGTCATCTTGACATACCAACACACCTCTGATTAACCACAACCAATACGTTATCCATGCATTTTGTGCAAATTGAGGTGAATTTCTTCCTATTGCATGAGATGGTTGGAGCCACAAAGTGAATGGATTGTAATAATGTAGTGTGTGCGATTTTCTTCGAAGAAGTGAGGCGGTTGAAGGCACTTAAAGATCTCTGAAATTTCTACAGCATACTTTTATTGACATATAGCGACCTTTATCATCATAACAATATTAGGAGATTTTTCTACCTTCTAGTTTTGCTTCCTCTCAGTCAGTCGCAGAGTTTGTATGAAATGAATTCAATTTTGCTGAATGTGGCGTTGCGTGAACGATTTTTGATCTATATTGTATATCAATTGCATCAATGTTCATAGCCAGACAACTCGTTTCATCTATATTGTATATCAATTGCATCAATGTTCATAGCCAGACAACTCGTTTCATAAGTCCAATTCCAAATTCTTCGCAAATACCATTCCAGGCCGCCCACTTTAATGTTTGAATTTATATATTTTCCAGAGAACTCTGACACCACAAAAACTTGTTACAATAGCGCTATGGTAAAATCCCATATTTCAACAGATTCGCTAGCAATCCCGCAAACAATGAAATGCATGTATTGCTGCATTTGTGGAAGCATCACGAGCTGAAGCAGGCCACAAATGACATATTGTGCAATGGATTCGATATTCTGAATCTGCAATCCTAGTCTTAACTCAACCATAAAAAATAACTGTTTGCACACTACTAGACCCTCAAAGGAGAAAAAACAACCAGTATACAAAATTTCATGTATTCAGTCCAACGCTGCGATATCAAAAGCTACTACAGAACAGGGCGAGTGAAATCCATCCATGTTAAAGAATCGTAAATTATCAATGCATTGAAAAACCCAACTTAAGATAGCAAAATCACCCACTAAATTCAAGCAAAATATAACGCCCATTTACAAATCAAACTAAAATGTGAGCAATTGATGTCAGAAGGGTAAAAACAAAAAATAAGACCTATTTAAGTAAATATACCATGTACAAATATAAAGTTACCACAATGAGTAGATGAAAAACTATATATATGAAAATCATAAATCGGTGGTTATAAAGGAATTGATAAGAGAGTACCAGGCATTACTATGATGTAGTTTGTGCTCCTCAAAGTTGAGTTGTTTATAAATCAAGGAAAAAAACATTCATCTGATGACACTTCAGTGATTTTTTTCGAAGACAAATATGTAAGACAAAATTTTGAAGTTTAAATTAACCATATTCAAGCTTCCAAAGTTGAATTGTAACTGCGGGAAAACATGATCAGGAATGGGAAAATGATTAGAGACGTTTAAATTGAGAACTATTTGGTAAAAAAATTGACATTGCCTATAATAATGTGTTAGGCTCTATTAAACTGATCAGACAATAATGGGAAATAAGCTAAATAACAAAACCACCAAGCAATTTAAACACAGCATAGCTACCAACTTAGATCAGTTCACAAATAAAATCAATGAACAACTAAATAATCTAATTAATCTGTTTGAGAATCGATAATTGAACATATAGATCAACCAGTCAATACAGGAATAAATGCGTTATATAAATGAAAATTAAAAAAAAAAAAAAAAGTTTTTTCAGCTTAGTTTAATAATCCCCCTCATTACAGAACTTCGTGCATTTGGGTAAAATAATCATTTCACATCTGAAAAGGCATTAAATAAGAAAAAAGGGTTATATAATAAGGTATTTTTATGTTCACAAACATATATTTCCACAGAATAAAATTCATCCACATATTCCTGCAGTACAATGAAAAAACGCATGTTCAGCCCCTTTTTTTTTTCATCTCGGAATAATCAAACGTAAATGAAACTCAGCACCAATGATAACAAAGAAAATCAATTTACAGTAGTGTAAACCCCAATCCTTTTTAATCTGTGTTTTGACGAAAGATTTCCCAAATGCTTTCAAAATAAAGGCTATCCATCCAATTTACTGCATATTCTTAAAACAAGAAAGTTCTTGTGTTATCCTTCACTATAGATTACCAGTGATTCTTTGTCATTCATGACAAGATTAATGTGTTGCAACTCGTTAACCATAAATTGAAATAAGACGAGCAACCAGTTGTTTTAATATTCATGCGACTCCGTACAGTTATACAAACTTAGAAAGCACTAAAACGATTGTAAAAATGATTGCAGACATTTTCATTTCGAAAAAATTACGACATTTGACTTTTTCTCAAATTGCTTTCGATTTCCAGAAGTTTCTTTGATGCTTTTGGTTTCTCCAGCGGGCTGTTTTGACCTTGTGAGAAAAGACGTTGTCTGTCTTTAAATGTCAGGTAAGATGGTTCTTGTTGTCTTCTTTTCATTGATTGTTCTCTATAAAATTTAAAAATTAGAACTGATATCCATTTGTATAACGTTCTATATAAATAAACATGAATTTTCAAACATTTCCTGAAAAATTTTGCTGTTAAAGATTCAAAAAGAATTTTGATAAAGTCTTTGAAACGGTGAATACAGAAGTTATCCTACCCTACTCATATTGAGTAGACCTTGAATCAGTTACTCGACCAAGTCACTTTTATCTAAGTCTCGAAAGTGACTCATTTGAAGTCATTTAAGCAAAGACACTAGTACTCAACTAACCAAGGGATATGATTTGAAATTTGAAGATAATATTTATAAGAGTCTTTCAAATAGCAAAAACCTTTTAGTGATATTAAATTTACGAAGAGTAATATCACATTGCAAAATTGTAAAACACCGTACAATACCGATTTCACAATTATAAAGCTTGACAATAGAGTAGATCAGTCTAGTCATCATCGTTGACTTTACCTTCGACCCATTTTGAAAATATTTCAGAAAAAATTTCTCAAAGAATTCGGTTCTCTTACCGCTTTATTTCAGCTTCTCTTCGATCACGTGGATCCCGGTATCGTTCTTGAGCTCCAATTACGCCTGGGTTCCTGTGGGAGCTGACGTAATTGTTGGGACTTCGAGAACTGTGAGACGATGTCGGTGAAGTTGCAGACACATTATAGTTTGATGCAGAAATGTAAGAGTTGTTTGGCATTTCATTCTAATAAAAAATAATATTTATTAATATTATTAACTAAAAATAATCTAGATAACACTATTTTACATAGGGGATTCTTACAGAGTAAAATGTTTTTAAGAAACAATAGTTCAGGTCCAAGTAAAAATTTGAGTGCAAGTGTTATATTTAATAAATATGTAAATTAGAAGTGATTATGTTTGAAGGTTAGTAAGGATCAACCTATGTATGATGTAATAAAGTGGGCAGGCTATATTGAAAGATGACCGTTCTTCCGCAACATAATTGTCTAGAACTGGCATGGACAAACTACGGCCCACGGGCCTAATCCAGCCCGTTGGGTAATTCAATCAGTCCCGCCTGCTGCTGCCACAAGCAAACTAAACTTTGATGTTGTAGTTAAAAATAGCACAAAGAATTTTTTGACACTTCTGCTTTAGTGACACTGTAAATATTATTTATAAAATGTTTACGTCACACTTACATGGCCCGCCAGTCTGAGTGCACAAAATTTTTGGCCCTTGGTCCAAAAAACTTGCCCACCCCTGGACTAGAGCCATGTTTGGAGCAAAGATACAATACCTCATAAAACATCAAAATAGATGTTCTTGGTGCTTGGTTCTTGGCAAGGGCTGGATAGGATAGGAATTACCTATTCACCCTGGTGGCGAGGAAAGTCGATAAGATGGCTTAATCACATGGCAAAATACGGCCTCTCGTCCGACTACCATTTCATGTCGGTTATGAGATTAGTAAGTTATTTGTTTTCGGAAGCTTGGACTTTGATGTGGAGGGAGCAGTAACCGACCAGCGGTCAAGTAAACCACCCTACGGGATAAGCAGTCCAGCAATCCTCTCGCACATAACTATCACCACATAAAGTTCGAACCTACGAACCCACACAGAGTAATCACACTTGCGGTGGCTAGCGTATTCCTAGCGCAAGACCGCAGGGTTGGATCTAATTGGTGCAATACACAAACAAATTCCCAATTTTGAATCAAACTACATTCACTTTGATGTGAACAAAGTTACCTTAGTATCAGGAAGATGATCTGTTTTCCCAAGGAAGTAACCATCCGATACAGGTCTTGGTCCTCTGTCAACATGTTGCCTCATTACCGGTTTGTTCCTGTTTAAACAAGTTGACAAATATTTTCATACTTAAAAGCGGTATAATTTAACTCTAATCTCAATTCTCTTGAAAATTTTTAATTTGGGGATAATTTCTATCGTGTTCCATTGAAGTCATTTTGTTATCAGAATCTAGTTTTAGTTTTCGTAGGTTTAGAAATGTTCATGGATTCCTGTTACAATTTCAATTTTGTTACAAAGTCAGTTCTCAATATATCTCAACTCGGTTTGTTTTATATATATCAGTGTTTAAGTTTTTTTTTTAATCAATAAATTCTCTTGCAATTTGAAAAATTTTGAGATTTCATGAACATTTCATGTATATACACATGGATAATGTAGAATTTCGTATAGTCACATTCTATTATATGTGCACGGTAGACAAAAATCATTTTAAAAACCAACCTATCAGTCACAGATTGGTACGGAGTTGCAGATGTTGACGTATGTCTTCCATACACAGATGCAGCACCATATGCAGAAGGCCGACTGAATTTTGGGAAGTTACTAGGTTTTCCTTGACTCAATTGTTTCTCGAGTAATTCTCTCTCTGCTTCCTCTCTTTCATCTTCATCAGTAGGACGCTGAGAAAAAAAATTCAAGATAAAAAGATTGCCTGAATCTATTCAACTGCAACTGCACGCCACAAATATGAACATTTCTTGAAGGATGCACGACGCTCCACACAGCTACTTTATTTTAATGTTCTACATTAAAAATTGTGAAAGAATGTAATTATGAAGATCGGCGAGTAATAAAAGGAAATGATTTTAATTCAGTATTTTTAGGTGATAAAAATATTCAAAAATTTGCTACCAATGAATGAAATTGGATTTCCTAAAAAAACATTTTGCTATTCAGGCTATTTAAAAATAAAATGTAAGAAAGTTTTGAAAGAATAACTCTTAAAAAGCAAATAAAAAAATTGTATTTCATTTGTAGACTTTTCAATCAAAGTATCAATTACTTAATGTCAAGCATAATTTAGTACTCGTACATACTTAAACTATACTATACAAATTCTTGTGATATACAATCTATGCAAGATATTCTACAGATTTAGACAAGTTATGAGAGTTTATAGGTAAAAAAGAGGATTAAATGACAAAGAGTGCAAATTATACTCCTTCGAATTCCGTGGAAAAAAATACCTGATATTACTACTTTTGGGATACAAGTATTTTGCTGTGATTTTACTTTAATTTGTAATTTCAGTCGTGACATTATGATTTTGATGTACAAAGATGAGAATACAAATCTAGTCAAGTAGTAAACTCGCAACAATTTGTATATTTGTCAGACTAATCTAGGCAGAATTACAGTCACCAAACCTGCATAATCCGCATGCTATACAATAAGCACAGAAAGAGATGATTATCTTGAATTAATTAAAGCAAATCGTTGAAGACACTGAACAATGATGAATAAAAACCTAATTCAATACAATAATACCAATGACCTCAAGAATAGAAAAGATAGCTAAAATAGGGTGGTTGGTGTTCTGAAAGATTTGAGCTCATATCACATATCTTCTACTAAGAGCCACACTCAGAACTTAATTTAGCCATGTGAGGTGAGGAAAGTTTGGTAGTATAGCGTTCATGTCCTTGTATAACGCTTCATGTGCAGAAAAGAATTGCCGATTCAAAGTACGCATTGAAGAATTTTTCAACAAAATTGTTTATTTTGATTCAATTTTTCTTGTATAAATTGGCACAGATTTCACAAACATTACTGAAATGAAAACAGATTGAAACAATAATAGATTGTTAGCTTCGACTACCATCTACTTTTCTGAGGAAGCCAATTATCGGAAGCAAATTACAGCAAGCTCTACTACATTCTACGCTACATGATCTACAATCACATCATTATATACCATTCGTCTTTCTCGTCTTCGTTTTTGTTCGTTTTCGAATCGTAGGGCACGGAGTCGTGCTTCACGTTCCGCCTTTAGTCGGAAAATGTTATTTGTTAATATCAAGATGTATTATTTCTACTTCTCGTTAAAATTTCTTTGTATTTACAATGCATGTTGTCACATTGTTTTTTTTTTAAATAACTTTGATTTATTCCAAAATTGATGTCAAAAAATCTTCCTTTTTTTATATTGACCTACTTTTCATGTAAGGATTAAATCAAGTAATTATCAAAATTCAGTCAATAGTAGTTGAGAGTTGCAATATAAAATTAACTATACTGTATTTCCAGAATAAAAATTTGACCTATTTTTTTTTCTGAATGCAAAGAACTCAATCAATATGTTAGAGCAATCTGGACTCCAGACTTCCCAGGCAAATACACACAACATATGAAAATGTAATCATTACATGTGGATAAAAAATAATGATTTGTTAGACGATAAGGTATATCATATTTTTAACGTCACACGACCTGGAAGGAAAGGGTACTTTCTCCATTAATGGTCCAGTCTTGTTCATTGATAAATATTATATAGACAATGTGAAATGAATCACATTTACCGCCATTTACTAGAAATTTACCAAAACGACTGGTCCCTTTATGTTTATATATGGACAAATATTGAATATTAGCGAAATTGGACAGTCATCATTTCATTTACCTGTATGTCTTGCCTTGCCTTTGCATGTGCATCCCTTTCACTCCGCAATCTTTCTAATTCATTTTCTCTCTCCTAAAAAAATAGGACAGGCGTTATAGAACTAACTCCTTTTTGTACTATTTGTAGAAAAATTTATTATCATGTACTTACTTTCTGTCGTTCTTCTCTTTCCATCCTTTCCCTTTCTTCAAAAGCTCTTTGCCTTCGCTGTTTTTCTTCCTCCTCTCTTTCCCAGCGCATTCTCTCTTCTTGAGCGTGTTGTCTTCTGTCATGTTCTCTCCTTTCCATTTCCTCAAATTGCCTTTTTTCTTCTTCTCTCCTGTATCTCTCTCCTTCCATCAGTCTTTTTTCTTCTTCCCTTCTGAATCTCTCTTCTTCAATTTGCCTTTTTTCTATTTCTCTTCTATGTCTCTCTTCTTCATATTGTCTTCTTTCTTCTTCCCGTCTTGCCATTTCTTCTTCATAGCGACGTTGTTCTTCTTCATGTTTCTGTCTCTCTTCATCCATTCTTCTTTGTTCCTCTTTCTCACGAATTCTTTCTTGTTCTTCAAACTGTCTTTCCCGTTGGAGTCTTTCCCTAAAAAGAAAGATTCAAATATAGGTTTACCAAATATTTTGCCGATAAATGAGATGTAAGGAATAACATGCTCATAAATAACGATGATGATAGTTTACCGTAACTGTCGTTCTTTTTCTTCTTCTTCTTTACGTTCCCTCTCAAGCTGCCTTCTCCTTTCTCTCTCTTCCTCCTAAAATGAGAGAAAAGCATGACGTATACTCCGTTTGAAGTGTTCTCCAAATTCCAATTCCCAGAATCTGGAATCCCTCAACCTCGAGTTGCGGGTCAAGACAGTCAAGTTAGAGGGTACTCCCGAAGTATGTGAACCAAGATGGCAGACACCGTAATATAGTATGTGTACCAGGTTAGGCCATAATTTCAGTTACAAATACTACCGGAGTCACTTGGCTAGTCCCCGAACTCACAATAGAACTAAAATAAGGGAAATTGGAATAAAACCCTAACCTGGTACACATACTATGTTCCGTTCTCGGCCAACTTGGTTCACATACTTCGAGAGTACCAGTTCAAGTACCATCAAATTGTCACTACTGTTTTAAGTCACAAGTGAATCCGAATCATAGTGAATGATTAGTTATAAATATGAGTCACATTTACACTTGGAGCTTCCATTTTGCGTTGAACCAATGCTTCTTGGAAACTTACCTATGTATCGACAACATTTCCCTTTGCACCAACCCGCCCTATTTCGAGTCACTGCTGCAACGAGCTTGCGAATTTCAAACTCAAGTCTGTCTGGCAGTCGGGTCAATGGCTTTAGTAACAACTTGATTCAGTTTTTTACATCTGGTAAACCACAAGTGCTACTTACACGACGGAACGTTTCTTCTTCATCTCTTTGAGCATCTACTTGTTCAGCATGATCATCCTGCATTCGAATCAATCGATCTCGATCAGGTCTGTCTGGTACATCATATCCCTAAAGACAATCAAAGAGTGATAATTCTCAAGATAATTGTTCCCAACAAGTGTGACTTTAAATACTTCAAGACCCTGTGTAAAGCCTAAGACAGCATTTGCTGGTTACCAATGCAACACTATGAGTGGCCACGCATAATAGTATTTACATCTGAGTGAGTTTACTTGCTTTGTTGGCAAATTCCCTTGATGAAGTAATCACTTATATACTATTCAAAGGGCTTGGAAATTTCCATCAAAATGTGTCAAAAAAAAAAATAACCACATTTTTCTGAAAATTACATTATTATGTCGATTATGATTAATTTCAAATGTATTTGGTATGGATTTGAGTCAATGACATTAGTACCCTGGAGCACAGTAAGGTAAAATTTATGTATTGCATTTGAGTGAATATAAAGTGAGACCTACCTCATCCGAGAGATCTTCATCTGAGAATATTCTTCTGTTTTCCTCTTCAACTCTTCGTTGAAATTCTCTCTCTTGTAGTAGGTTGTTTAGTCTGAAATATAGAAAGGTACAATTGTTCACCATTACAAGTAAAGTAGTAAGACCATTAGGAAAGATGCGTAAACCTAGACACCTGAATCCATACTCGTTGTCCTTCTTGTTAGAAACAATTGCTTTTCTATCCAATCAATGAATCAGACTTATGGGGAAAAAAAGTCGCTAAAAATCTTTCCAAAACTTTTTCAAATCTTATCCTACTGATTCAATATTTCACCGTAATTTCGTCTTTTTTAACTCATGAACACTTCTCTGTATGACATTCGGTACAATTTTTTTAAATATCATAGGAAATTCGATACTATTCTTTCCGCCATTGGCTAGAATTTTGCTGGCATTGTGGTAGCCATAATAGTCACCTGACCTTCGATATAACTTCCACTATATTAGAGCACTGCCCATTTGTATTAGAAATAAACAGAAAATGACCATTTATCAGAGCATTGAAAGTGAATAAGTGATATAAAATAAGTGTGACAATTCCAGTCAAATCTGGAACTAACCGGTTTTTCTCCAGAGCAGAGAGCGAATCAATTTTTGCTGATAATTCATCAATTTCCTCATCACGTAAAGCATTGAGTTGTTCTTGAACAGCTTTCTGCTTAGAATCAGCGTCCCATGTTGGTCCAGATTTGAAATGACGAGGCAGAGTGGAAGATTTTGATTTGTCGGTTTTCTAAGGTGAATAATTAAAAAAACATTCAGCACATTTGGACAGAAAAAGAGATTTTAAGTAGAGTCACTTGACCAAAAAACATTCAACATAAACGTTTCTGAATAATATAGAAATGACAAGATGGCTTCATCATTGAGGCTACAACATCTTTCAATAAGCAAAGAAAATAAATAAAACAAAACAAATATGCCATTGTGCCGCTCTAAGAAGCATTATACATTAAGATTCCTCGTTATTATAGATATAAAATAATTACCTGTGTTGGAGCAACTCTTGCAACCTCTGGTTGTCTTTCAACTGATCTACCCATGGTATGAGACGATCCTTTAGGTGAAGGAGATTTAGTATCGGGCTTGCGATATCCTTTTGGCGATGGTTGTACATAACTTCTTGGCGAATCCTGAGTAAAAAACAAGAAAATTTTTTTCTTATGAAATTTCAAAATCGGAAATAAATCAAAAAATATATATTTGGAGGGTCCAAACTAAGTAATCGACTATTTAGAAGCCACGAAGCGATATGGAATATCGAATTAATTGTAATATGGGGCAATGCAGAAGTCAATGTATAATTACTATAATTGAATTTGTAAATGCAGGAAAGTTTAAAAAAACAGTGATTTGAGTGATTTTCTATTTTTCCCAATTTGCAGAAATTTTGGTCGTTTAGTCGTTCAATTGCTTGAAACGATAACTATTAATAATAAACGAAAGTGTTATGAATTATTCTTAAAATCTAGCTAAAACCGGGACAAAAGTCAAATCTGTTACATTATGGACAATTCTTGTGCAATCTGTTGCTGGCACATGTTTTGCCGTATATAACGAAAAATATTGTGAAAACAAAATTCACCTTTTGAGAAGTAGGGAGCTCTGGACTTTTGGCTATGGGTGATACTGGGGGTGGCGTTGGTGGAGGGGGCAACTGGAGTTCGTAGTTGGGGTTGTCGATAGAACGTTGTGCTGACCCCATGTGACGTGATCTTGATAAGTTTTCTGCTGCAGATTTACCAGGTGGAGAAAACTTGGATTTTTCTTGTTGTCTGTATTGATAGAAAAACATGATCAAAAAAAATCAAATGCGTTCATGGCGGGAATCTAATTATTTTGAATGCATACATTCGAATGCTTTTGAGGCAGACATAATCTAACAAGCAGGTAGGGACCCAGGATCTCCGGCTATAGTTGAGGCCCGCACTCAAGCAACCGATTTCCATCAATAGAAACTTGAGAAACTTTAACGACAGCGCGATTCAGTAAGTGAGCGGATTGTCAAAAAGGCCAGTTCATTTTGAGCGCAGAACGTTTTGCAGACATACTCGCGTGACTGATATACGGTGGCTAAAAATGTAAAAATAGACGTTCACTAAAATCTCTAAGGATTCTCCAGTGTATGGAGTATCGAGACAAATGACGACTTCTGGTGCAGAAGGTAGCGTTCTTGGAATTTTAATTTTCAACTTGTTTGGCGAGAAAACGGCGATAAGTTGTGGAAAAAATGGAAATTTTGTAACGATCGGCGCGGTATTCCTTGTTGCCATGGAAACTGAACCTCCATCCGGACTTTCTATAAGAAGCATGTTACTAGAGTGACAGGATAATCTATGAGAAAACTTTCATTCACATTGATCCAGCCATGATATTGGAACCGCCATCATGACTAGCTGTCAAGCACGAAATTTTTTCTACGAATAATGATTACCTGGGACTAACATGTCCTGTGATAAGATTTTCTACTTGTTTTCTGCGATTCTGTTCGTCACCTGTTGTATTACGAGGATCTGGAGACGTTGCTGCATTCAGAGCAGATGATGACTTGGCACGATTCTATGTCATAAAATATACTAAAATTAAGGTTTTATTGATTAGTTGTATTTTTTATATATGATTCAAGTTTTCTCATATATGATTTATATACGATTCAAGTTTTCTCATTCCTATCCTATCTGTGCCTATTTGCTGCACAATACATCAATCGTAAAAGATTTGAAAATCAAAACAAGCCCATAAATATCGAATTTTTCCAAGAACATACTCTCTGATAAGTAGTCTGTGCTCTTTTTGCTTCCCATGTCTTCTGCCAGTCAGCTAGCGCTTTCGATTTGGATTGGTCATGTTCAGGTGCATGCTAGGATGTAAATGCGACGAAAAAAAATTTAAAACTGTCGAAAACTCTCCTTGGGGAAACCGGCATGACAATTTAATCATGATTAGTTCAAAAATAATAATCAAATATTGCACTTTGATATATACTAAAATCCCAAATTTGTGAATGAATTCATCAATACCCTTTTTAAATCATATTCAGAAAATTAAATTACCTGTAAATTTCCCATAGATGCTGCGGCTCTTGGTGATGAATTTGTTATTCTTGTTGTGGGATGTTTAACGTCTTCGGCATCTAAAAATATAACAAGGATGCCTGAACTGGAATGGCAAAAAGCTATGAGGCGTATTCATAACTTAATTAATAATAAACTATCAGTCTATCACCAGAAATGAGATTGCGTAATCAATTCATGGCCCATGCCTGGTAAGCAGATAATGCAAGTGTATTTATACTAGAGGAAAACTCTTATGACACACCCGCATTTTTGGACTCATGATCCATTTGTACTACTAGCAGTTTTACATATCGACATTCGACACAGCATTTGAGCCTTCCTGAATACATTACCTCTGCCAAGTTTAGCTCTATATTCTCTATATCTCGGAGTATAACGAGCGATCGAGTAATTGACACCAGCGTCGCTATGTATTGATGACGGAGACTTTTTAGTGGGTGATATTTGAGAAGTTCGATAAGGACGAAGATTAATTCCTGTGGTAGCAGTCGGAGCACCATATTCCGACTGGGTACCAGACAAATGACTTTGATCAAAGTTTGAGTACGTGAACGAGCTTGTTCGAGAGCGAGGTCCACTCTCACTATTTTGCTTCAAAAATGGATCGTCCGGTTGTTTAATGTCTTCGTATTTTTGTATAATTGTCGACGCTGGTCGAGCTTTTAGTACTTCCACGGGTTCTTTTGCTGGGATGTGGCGACGTGGCGGCAATAATCCCCTAAGTCTAGCTTGTTCTACTCTAGCATGTCGATCTCTCGATTCCGCCTGGGTGATGAGATCTTTCATATCAACAGACGAATTTGATCTTCTTAAGGTTGAGAACCCTCTATAATCTGATCCAACTGATGAGGAACGAGTCGTTCCAGATTTGTACGCAGATGCGCTTCGAGTGCGAGAGCGTCCAGTTCGTGTGAGAGTATGTTGCTCTTGCCTTGCTTTTTTATCTCTCTCTTCAGCTTGCTCAATGAAATTTTTGAGCAGAGCATCTGCTCTAAATTTTGTTGAAGGTTTGTTAACTTGTGCGGATTTAGTACCAACGTCGTTTAATGATGAATTTGAGCTTTCTTTGTCTTCAGCATCTCGAGGGCTCCTCTGCGCCGCGAACTTTCTACGACGAAGGGATCGAGGCATCGTAGAATACGAAGAAACTCTGTGATAACTGTCTAAATCTGCATTTTCCTCCTCTTGGGCATATGTTGGTGGCACATCTTCTTGTACAGTCGGTGATTCGGGCGTTGTTTTAACATACGCTGTATCAGCATCGACTGGAGAACTCGAACGATAATAACTGTCAAAACTCAAAGATTGAAAATCGCTCACTGGTTCGCTGTTATTTAGTCGATCTCTTGGTTCAGATTTTATTCTTGGACTGAAAGCGGAATTTGGTGATCTGTTTAAGGTTCCATTCGTTAACATTGTCACTGATTGAAAACCGCTGTCGGATGTAGTGCTGGACGCGACGGAATGACCAGAAGGTGATTTCTGCCATTCGAATGACGATTCTGGGTTAATTTTATCGCTTATGACAAAATCATTTTCCAGAGATGAAGTGTTTGGTGCGATATATGCACGAGGAATTGTGTTCCGATTCACAGTGTTCAGCCTGTCGTGACTGTATGAAGAATAAGCGGAAGATCTTCCATAACTCTCCAACGACGGTGACAAATGAGTTGACGTCATGGTATAAGAAAATATACACTAACAGTACATAATGTTGAAATCTAAAAAATAATGACACACAACCTATCATGAAAATGTAAAATAAAGTAACATACTTAGCTGAGAAGTTGACTTATTAATTGGCGATTTCCGACGATTAGGATAATGCGAAGCGGGCCTTTGTTGGCTTGACATTGGCTTAGTAGGATGCGTTCGTGTCTCGACATTGGCATATGGAGGTTCGTTGTCCTGTTGGTAACCTTGCTGGTGCAAGGCAAAGCCATCACTTTTAGGGCGGGGATGGTGTTGCTGGTGTCCACCTGGACGTCTGTGCGTCACCAGAGCTCGTTCTTGTTGTGGAGAAGGATCCAAAAGCGGGCTAAGTCCATGAAAGAGAGCAGCTTTTTTGGCCACAGTTAATGTCACAATCTGGCCTGTTCTAGTCATGATTTCTGCGGCCCTGAACAACAAAACAGGTATAATTCAAACAAATGAAGTGAAAACGCTCGTTTATAATAGAAGACAAGGACAGCTATACTGTATAAAAGGGTAGACATTGAAATCTAATCAAAACTGGTTTTACTTAATATTGTAAATTCTGAATATTAGGAATGATTTTGAAATATTTTTCTTGTCCAAACTTTTTCATTTCAAGCATTTGACTCGTGACTGTCAGATAAAAATTGCGATTCAACTTCTGCCATCGTAAAAAAATACAGATTAATAAGCAATTCTATTTACAGTAATTGAACCACTAAAAATAATTCGATCACTGCCAGTATTCAAAAGGTACGCTTACTTTTCTTGAGTGAGGCCGACGAGACTGTGACCATCGACATTAACCAGTTGATCTCCAGCCTGCAATCTTCCATCCTGCAAAAAGGAGTTTACAATGTGATTAATTCCCAAGGGTTAACATTGGAAATAAACCAATGTATGAGCAGATGTACATTAAACTCTAGCCTATATTTACAGACAGTCAAAAACAAACAAGCTATAGCAAACAAAAAAGTTTTGTATTCATATTTAATAAGCGGTATTGGAGGTGAGGATGAATTATTACGCAATTATACTATTAACAATTTCATTGCGCAGGTGTGCTTTCGATTACTTTTTTGAGTTTGAGTTTTTACGAAAAAAAAATTATTGGTATGCTTAATATCATGATATAAATTCACATCAGAGTAATCTCAAGAATCCATTTTACCCAGACACCATAAATAAACAAATGAAACCTTTATATACAGAAGCGAGTCATGCTTACCTTGTCAGCCGCTCCTCCTTTAACCACTGAACGAATGTAAATTCCGAGTGATGTTTGCCCCGGGCCCTGTTAACGACAAAAACAAGAAAATATTATAAATACATAAATATTGCCGCTAAATAATACATTGTCAGCTTGTTTATTCGAAGAAAAAAATAAGAATATTCAAATTTTTACCTAAAATATTTATGATGACAATGCACAAATGAACCGTCCATAGCCAAAATGAGACATAAATCCATCCGGTAATAATCCATGTCAAGCCAAAGTATAATTTAAAAGCCAAGCCAAATTCAAAATTGACTTACACAAGAATTCATAAAATCTGTCTTTAAAATGTTTTGATCTATGCTTATCTACTTAATCTTATCAACATTAGCTATCTCAATCAAGCTAGCTCATCTACATTGATAATATAATAGGCACAGTGTGGTACGTAAAGTAAAATATCCTTTGACAAGTTCCCAATTTCCACATAGAAAAGTTATATACAAAAATTAAAGATCCTTTCTATACCCTTCAATATTCTCCAAAGAAGCTTTCATGAAAAGAAATTAAAATATTGCTTTACGCAACAACAAAATTCATCATCCAATACTAACTATCTGAGGCAGTGGTACACAAATTGTCCGCCACCAAATTTAGTCGCCTTATTATCATTCATATGCACAAATCAAACTCACGTAAGAGCACTGATAGAAAGTGCATATAATATAAACTTTTCCTTGTGATAATATAATATTAATATAGCCACATTTCTACCGATAGCTCATGGTTTGTATTACAGACGGTAAATAGGCCCGAGTTTGAAAAGTTTGGTAACCTCTGCTTTGTAAGTACACTATCTGCAATCTCATTCAAAAATAACACTTGAAAAACAAAGAACCTAACAATATAAAACCTTATATCTCATATCTAATCATTTATACAAACAAGCTGAGAATTCGATAGACAAAAGCTACGCATACAGTAGGTACAAAACAACTATTGTTATTAACAAGGCAGACGATAAGAGCTCTTCCATCGAAAACCAAAAGCGCATATTTGCGATGTTTACTCAGTTTCAACATAGGTGAATCATTAAAAGGGTCTAAGTCGAACCAGGTATGGTTTATCTTTCGGAGCAGGCGCCGCTTTCTCTCTTGAAAAGTACAATATCAACATTACTAACCATAAGTGGGATTTGTTTGCCTTGAACCGTAGATATGAGAAGTGATTATATAGGTAATATCGTTGCACAACGGCGTCTGGATTTTGCGTTGTCGAATATAACAGGCTAATAAAATACTGCGATAAAACTATGCACATATAGTCCCTACCTGACTGAATTTGTATTATGTCCACAATGTGTATTTACAATTCAAGATAATTATTACATAGTCAAATGTTGCTACTTATTCGAATGACGAAGAGGATTATGGATATTATTATATTATCAAATGCCGATTTTTATTCATTCCTTCAGAGCGGGTCTTAGCTCACTGTAACCAATGCGACCGAAGTACGTACGACTCGCGCGCTATTTCTAGGTTTCAATTATTAAATTTAACCATTATAAATTATATTCATAAAGGCGTCAGCGTCCTTATTCTGCACGTGCAAAACTCGAAAAGTGAAGTTACCGTACTTCAATATATTTGATATTACTCCTGTCTGTAATAAGACTAGCCGGCCCTGCATTCCATACTATAACGGTTCAAGTTAGCATTATTTACAGCGACGATAGACATTCTTTGTACTTGCGAGTCCTTTAAAATCGCAATAGCGCAACTTACGTCGTCAACCATGCCTGCAAGCTGTCAAACTAGACAATGGTTGCGTTGTATAGATTCAAAAATGCAGAAATTTTGACGGCCGAATTTACACTCAAAACTATGAAGTACTTTTGAAGTCTAAACAAAAAACGATCTTTATAATTTAAAGTATCAACTACTCAAACAGTTGCGAAATAAACAAATTTCCGAAAAACATTCTGCACTGCTAGTGAACTATAGAACCGTACAGTCAGCTGTGAAAGCATCTCGAATTTTTCCATAAATAGAAATAATTCAATCGCCGTCAATTTGAACCAATTTCGACAACGATCTACTATTATGCTACCGAATTTGCGAGACTCAACGATAATGCAAATTAATGAAATATATACTATGTCATTTAATAGTATCGAGTATAGCCTTTCAAACGCGCATATGATACCTCAAAACCAATATCAAATATGAATACCGTATATAGAAACCCAGACTTTGAATAACAAAGGATAATATACAATTAAAATTGGAGTCATAAAAAATACTATCCGGCAATAAAATTACTGACGAATGACAATGTCTGAAAAGTACGTACGTAAGTGGAAGATTTAGTTGTAGACACAGTAGTAAATTTACACGAATTCGTCATTTCATATGTCTCAAATCATTACAGCATCCAATAAATCGTACCCATAAAAGCATAGCGAAAGTAGCTGCTCAACGCAGAAGATTCCACTCATGGCAAACAAGTTCTGCCTTAGTTACCACCAAAACAAGTCATTTAACTATCCTTCACCTACTTCGATCATAAAAATCAAATAAAATAAAATTTCTCGGGTGACAATCATACCTCGACAGTAATAAAGTAAACAGTGGCCTCAACTGACGACAACGCGGGAGACGCTTAATAAGGCATACCAGAAGGATTTGGTAAACATTATTTGCGGCTGCGTAGTTTCATTATTCTCTCTGATTAAATTACCATTGGCCATAGATAAATTGATATTAAATCAAGATAAAATTAAAATATTTATCTTTGAAACTTGCATGATCGAATCTACCCATAATACTTATAATTGGCCGTGTCATATGAAAACTCGAACGCCCTTATCATTTTATATAAAAACTATCGAACATAAACGTGGGGCATGCATGGACCATGTATAATCCACGTAATAACCAGAGGATAAAGAGCTTTAGCTTATACATAGTGCCTCGCATATAATGAAGGTATTAATATTTGTATATAAAACTCAAATGGCCTTTTATGTAAGTAGAAAGATTAATTCAAAATAGTTTATCAAATATAACACACACAAAAATATTTGTCGAAAATTTAAAAAATTTTACTTCCGGCGTACTTATTTTGGGGACGTCTGAAACAATGGAATTACGGTACTCCCGAAGTATGCGCACCAAGATGTCGCACGACTTGAACCCTAACCTGGTACACAACCTGGGTTTAGGTTGTGCGTCATCTTGGTGCGCATAGTTCAGGGGGTTCGGAATTTCTGAATTGAACATGGCCAATTTTCAGATTTTAGAATACATTCAATATTTCATATTAAGAAATGATATTTCAGTAAATTAATCGGTTTCGGGTATACCCGATTATAAAACACAAACAATGGCGAGAAAAATGCCCACCCAAATTCTACACAGCATCGAAGAAAATTTTTATCTTCAACCACTGAAAATTTCAAAGCGATTGGTCCAGTAATCAAAGAGAAAAGCGACTTTTTAAAAACGTGTCAAAGAACAAGAACAACAACAACAACAACATAATATTGAAACGATCGCTATGTCCACTACGTGTCCAATAAACTTGCTTAAACCGAACTTGTTACGAAATATACTTTAATTTTCCAGCTTGGGGCGTATAAACAATGTTGCGAAATATGTCATGCGAGCCCGGGGCAAACAATTGCGACGTGTTAACTAGATAATACATACCAAAGACAAACAATATCAATAATTTTAATGTACGGATTTAGCGGTATGGATTGTGCAATAAAAATTATCGCTTCAATTTCAAACGTCATTTTTTGCATATGACGTATTTATACATCTTTAGCTTGGAACAAGGCAGGGCTCAATACTATTGTTTGGAAGCACCGGAGCCATTCCGATTTGAAATTATCGACCCAATTTATTACACGCTGGGTGAGGTATTGGACATGGGATTCGAACCCACGATATTAACCTGCGATGTCATCATAGACTTGGACTAGCCGCTAGCTATTCACAAAATTACATTTAAGTACAAATACTGTACAAATCCAACAATTTCACTGATTTTTTTCAACAGCCTTGTCATAAAATATCACTCTGTTCCAGTTGCGATATATTAAAAATAACGCGCAAATGAAACTATTTTACTAATCTTTTCAACAATCTTGTCACAAAATTTGAAAAATATCCTCGATTCCAGTTGAGATATTACAAACACTGTGTAACTGAAACTAATTTACTGATCTTTTCAATATTCTTATAATATAAAATCTAAAGAAGATCCTCGCAGGTCACTGGATTCCCACATTCTGCTATATATTGTGACGTTTTAATTAATGTTGATTCTATTATGTCGTAACAAAGCTAATTCTGAAATCCAATAACAAAGGTCTTCGTCAAACTGAGTTCTCTTTACAATTCAATCTCGAGTATTTTATAATAGGTACCCTTCAAGAATGAATCATGCATGAGTCTATTTACGCGCCGTGTTTGGACGATCATTATCCTTTGTTAAGTGTAATGATATTATTATCGGAATACCAACTCAGCGTTACTAAATAACTAAGGGATATATTGATGGTAGCGAACAATGGAATCAGCATCATATACATCAGGACGAAAATATGCGATGAAAACACTAATCGTATATGACCTAATGGTTATTCTTGAGAATGTGGTTCTCTCCAAATAAGGCTTTGCGGAGGCTATTTCGATATGCAAAGCTAGTTTTAGGCTAGTCTACCAATCTTCTAGTATATAAATAACACACTAAATAACTTGGCAAGCAAAGTATACTAGAATTATGAAGCTGTATATAAGGTACGTTTTCTATAAGTTTTCCCTAAAATATGATGGCTTTTACACAATACTATGAGCAACTAAACCGAAAATATTTCAGTGACTAAAATTTATCCTAATTTGTAAAACTTCAATTATGCCATTTTAAAACGTATGATTTATTTAAAACTCAAGCAACACCAAATAATACATCGCAATTCCTAAATAGTCAGGCCCGCACCTCGCACATAATCAACTAGGTCGAAGCAAGTAACTGATGTCAAATACCACAACACTTATATGTAAAGT